ATTAATTAAAATATAAATATAATTAAAAATTAATAAATAATTAAAATAATTATTTTTAAAATTATTAAATAATATATATTATAAAATAATATAAAGTAATATAAAATAAAATATAAAATAATTAATATATAATTAAAAAAATAATTAAATACGAAATTATATTTTTTAAAATTATTTATAAATAATGTTTTAATTTTTTTAAATTAAAATAAAAAGATTATTAAAAACTTTAAGATTTTAAAAAATTATTAATAAATTAAATTCGTTTTAAGCCTTAAATATAAACCTTGTTACACGTAAAATGATTGGCTAAAGGAAAAACGGGATATATATTAGGTCGTTTAAAGACCGAAATAAATATGCGATGAAATTCCAGGATATCTGAATAATAGTCTTCGAGTACCGTAGCTAAAGGGTGATGTTCCGCGAAAGTCTTCCCGTATCGTTCAAGGCCAGGGATTGCATCCCCTATTTGCGCATACGCATTAAGTAGTTTATCGAAGGAACTAAGATGTGTGCTGGCGGTCTTAAGTTCATATTAATGTTAGGTACCTCCTGTTGTATCCTATAAGAGTGATAGTGTATTCCATGGTACTTACGATAAGAACGAATTTAAGAGGGCCCTTGGCGAGTTAGCAGAGGCCAAGTCAAGATATGTACAATATGAAACGGCCAGATACGGTTGCTTACCCATACGAAGCATACGAACTCACTTGCGTTCACAAATATTTCAATCACTTTACTGAATTGTTCCATTGCTTCAATGAAACCCCTGAGTCGTCCCATGTGTCGTAATTTCCCTTCGCTTCCATGCTTCTGTTGAATTTCCTTGTAGACTTGTCGTACATCCGACAATGAGCATACAGAAAATTCGTTTGCAAGGTCCGGGGAAAGTGATTGTTTGAATCGATGGAGCGCCCGCTGGAAGCTGTCTCCGTTTGGCCCTGTCATCTTTAAAAAACAACCTGACCAGGCGCCCCCAGCATATAACGAGCCAGAGATTTCAGTTTTCTCAGATTGGGATAACTAGGTGGTATTTATTTTCTGTGACGGGATACGGCGTAAAATAGCTATTCGCAACAAAAAAGTCCAGGAGAAAAACACTCAGCCCCTCGTTTTTTACTCCGCCATTTCGACGTTGCAACCTAGGTAGGTATATTAACTATGGGCTATGCGTGCCGTGGGTTGGGGCTGAGCCGCATTATACAATCTTATTTGTTGGTTGTAGCCCAGTTAACTGGCGCCACGGAGCAGACTTGTGCAAAGCCACCATTGCACATTTCTTCTCTTTCCATCTCCTTCCTCTCTATCGAAGTACGATTTTCCCTTATATACAATTTTATCGTGCGATATAACCTTTCCGGACACAGCGATCGTGTTTCACAGGTAGTACTTGGGGGACTAGAAACGGAATAGCCCAAGGTAAAACGATATTAGCGGAATTTTCAATTATATCCTAGGTAGTAGCAATATGGGCGGGTACGAGATCTGCTATGGCGCAGTAAGTTCAAATTTTCATATCAGATTTGAACTGTCGTAGCTTACTTAGGAATCTTTCCCTTTAGCTATACGATGCAGCTATAAAGGTGCTGATTGGCATGGAGATGCACCAGGACACTGCTGGAGAATTCAAAATATTCTCCTTACGGCGAAAGTATCATTACTATGTTATCTGCTCCGAAGCTGGTACCGAGCTTGGTATCTTAGATACTCGAACCAGCTGCAGGTTAGATGCTCTGAAAGACTATCCAACGGTGCGGTTCGAAGCCGTAGCCCCGGCTCAAGTCTTTACCAAACGCCGACATAAAGGAAAGTCAGGTTTACGATCATTTCCGGTGTCGATAAATATTTTGGGGTTGAAACTGAATGCAAGTGACGCAGCATATCGACTGTCGAAGCTCTCTGCATTTCTCCAACATCCTCAGTCATTGGATAAAGAAGCGCTATACGACAATCCACAGTTTCTAACTTTTCATGATGAAAATTTGAATATGAGTACCTTCATTGGCGTAGGCAACAGCAGTGGGCTAAATTCAAAAACCAAGATTTCAGAAGAGATAAATAATATCTTAGAGTCATTGACATATGTAACCACAGATGAGGACTCAGAGTCGCCTGTCGGGTTAGTCTCGAAACTGAAAAGGTACTTCCCTGGTTCAATGAAAGTTATCAAACAAAATGAAACGGACCCTACTAAATACTCGGGCATAGTCATCAAGAGGATAGCTTACGTTTTATATGTCAACGGGAAAATGAAACATTTACCCAAGGACTCTCGGCGCGACTATGTCACGCGGCCTCAATTGAGTGTGTTATAGCTAACTACCTATTCCTGAGTTAAGCTAACTATAATCCAGGATGAAGGCGTTATCATTGACATCTTTCGGAGGCCTGATCGCGGAGTATGCAATATTTCGACTCCCCATTATCTATCCCCTTTACCATATTCGAGGTGTTATAATCCCACCGTCGAGCTTTTTAACCTAAAACTATTTGAAATTCGTTCGGTTCATGATTTGGCATTTATACTGACTTTATAGTTGTAAAGTACGATGGGACTCGGGAAGACCCTTACCATGCTTGCGGCTATATTGCGTTCTGTCCCAGCCGCGAGACTTTTCAGCAGTTTTTACGATAGACTTGAAAACGAATATACACAAAAGCTTCCCACAAAGGCGACTTTAATAATTGTACCATCTTCTCGTTAGTAAAATTAGTCATGTGCAAAACCATAATCTAATCATTTATAGAACTTCTCGAGAGTTGGCAATCTGAGATACAGACGTAAGCACGACTGTCATATACGCCACTTGTTGAATTCAGCATCTAATTCTCAAAGTCATATTTTCCCAGGGGCTCTTAGCTTCACTTGTTTCCACGGAAAAAAACGGCCTCGGGATAATGAGCTTTTGTGTGCATTTGATGTGGTATTGACTACGTATGCAACACTCGCCGCCGATTACGCAGATCGAGGCGTCCTCCACCAAATGGAGTGGTATCGTGTGGTACTAGATGAAGGTGCAAACTAAGTCTTTCGTTGATTATTTTTTGTTTATCACTATCTAGAATAAGTAACTAAGGAGTAGTAGCCCATTGGATAAAGAATTCTAGTACTCGACAATTTCAGGCGTCAGCAGCACTATGCACGAAAAGGAGATGGTGCCTTACAGGCACTCCTATTCAAAACAAGTTGGAAGATCTAGCCTCTTTGGCCCAGTTCCTACAACTTCCACATATAGCCACTAAAGTAGCATTCCAAAGGTATATTCTAAGTCCGCTCTACGAAGGCGGCGCGGATTTTGCAAAACCCCTCCGAGCTTATCTTGAGGCCTACTGTCTTCGCAGAAGCGAGAAGTGTCTAAACTTACCTGCCTCTTCCGAGGTAAACGTAACGCTTAGTCTTTCACCAGAAGAACAGTGGCTTTACACAAGTCTACTAGACGAGACGAGACGACAAATTGACTCTCTAGTTAGCAAGGGAGTTGAAACTCGGTCCAACAAACTGTTCACGGCTATGCTAAAGCTACGCATGCTTTGCAACTCTGGGACATTCTATTCGGCCCGTAGTGACACTTCTCTCCTCGAACCGGAACAATCCTATCCCGAGACTGAATGCGAGCACTGTCAACCTTCTAGCGAAGAGGCACGTTTGGTTCAAGACGGCTGTTCGGTATGCTCGTACTGTGGGAAACCGTTATACCGCCCCAGTCCAAGTCCTACGCAAGATTCAGGACGGATAAGCGACGCGGGAAACTTCAGCAACGGCGCTAACACGCCCACCAGCGAGGGGATTCAAACCATAATAGAGAAAAGGAATCCCTTCCTATCAGTAGGTCACTCTACAAAGCTTTCTGCGGTGGTTCAAAAGGTAACAGAAGGTGGGATGTATAATAAGAGGTATGCACTTTTATTTGTCCAGAGTTTCGTGTACTAACCTTCCCAGTATTATATTTTCCTACTGGACGTCGACTTTAGATATCCTACACTGGCTATTCGAGCAGGCAGGGATTTCGTGTCGACAAATAGATGGTAAAGTAAGCCCGATAGAAAGATCTATACGTCTCAGAGCGTTCAAAGAAGACCCCCAAGTCCATGTCCTCCTCATGTCCATCGGTACTGGTGCAGTCGGGTACGTTCGTCTGGTGTTGGCACTCATTCTCGCCAGTACTCATAGGGATATAGGTTGAATCTCGCCGTTGCCAACCAAGTGCATATAGTCGAACCTCAATGGAACCCTTCGGTGGAAGAACAGGCGATCGCACGAGCGCTACGTATGGGTCAGACCAGAGAAGTGACGATTTTTCGATACGTCATGGAGAAAACTGTAGAGCAGGTAGTTCATTCGAGCATTCCTTCACAGATCGGCACCTAGCTAACGGTAAGTAGAATATTGTCAGTCTCCAAAGGAAAAAGAAACATATTGCAAAGTTTACTTTCGACTCGGAGACGCAAGAAACCCAATCAGGAGCACTTGAAGTGAGTATTACGTATAAGGTAGCTAAGAGGTCTATCACTAGCTGACAAACACATAGGATCTTAAGTTTGTGTTGGACATAGATTCCGACGCTCCTCCGCCTGTACAGGGGGCTGAGAATGATAATTGATAGTATTCGCTGGGGCTGTTGACCGCTATGGTTCGTCGCAAGGAATTTTGGCTATTTCATGTGAATTAGGCCTCGTTAAGATATTTCTTATCTTTTTCATGTTTCCGTATTTCGAGTTTTCTCCATACTATCCCTTAATTTTCATTGGAATTTCAGAGAACTGAAACCAGTTGACGGAAGATACTGAAGACCCCTTTCCCCCAGTGATGTATGACCACTAAGCATATTAGTTCCTCCATGTGTAGTCCTAGTCTGTTACTAAATTCTTATCCTTTTTTTCAGGAATATCTGATTTGTTTGGTTTGATCTATAGGCCACACTCGGACCCAGGCGCGCTCTTAGGCACCACTAGCTTATACACAAAACAACCGTGGCTCGTGGCTTGAAAATTTCCCACCGCCCTTCTAAGGCTATTCTCACCTACCTATTTGTATCGTATTTACTAGCTTGCACAGATAAGCCAATTTTTACTTCTCCTTACTTTAATGACGGCACACTCTTAATAAGTACAAGGAGTGAAACCCCTCACCTTCGTTCAGGCGCCCCATAACTGTATATTAAATGGGGTTAGCACCTCTTTACGATAACATGATCGACTTAGCAAACATAATCCTGAACTATAGATCAAACCCTAGTATCCTTGCTATCCATGGGGTCCAAAAAGTAATATTATGGAGAGCATCATTATTTTCATCGCAATGACCCCGGGAAATTCTTCAGTTATTAAGATCCGTCATTTTCTTCAGTTAGATAATTCCCAATCAAAGATATTGAGCTGCCCTACTACCGGTACTCCCCAGCATGTTTAAGGGGAATATCCAAGTTTATTTATCTATCCCAGTCGACTGGAAATGTTGGCCGGCAGGGAAAGGGTCCTTCGGGACCTCCGCGGTAACGCTAGGCAAGTAGATGACTTTCTCCCCTATTATATATTAATTAGCTATTTCCGGTAGGGTTACTATATGCTTGATACCAGCTAGTGTCGGCGGTATTTCACACCCGTTGCTCAGCCCCTGAACCATTGTCCCTTTGCCGATAGAAACTTCCACATCTAGAAGCTCCAACATCTAGATTAACCCTGTATAATCAAATTTAAACGTGCGTCAGTGAGTTCAGCGGATTAGATAATAGCCTAACTTGACTTGAGATTCATCTGGAAAAGTCGCTATTCTAGAATATATGTTGGGGTTGGGTGTAAAATCTTTTATTTGGGTAGCAAACAACCATTATTATAAGGGGTATTTTCGTACACATTGAGAGCAATGTTATTGGCTGTTGACGGGAGATACTAGATGAAAAGGTTTGTGTGGTTGATATGACCATGGCTTGATTAAGTATGACTTTATAAGGGTTTCTAGGTGGTCAGTTCTACGAGATATCTAACCCTACTGTTCAATGTAGCTAATAAGGGTTTCCCTAACCCCCTTTGTTTACAGTTTAGTATATTTTGGTACATGAATTGTAAGATACGGAAAATTAATCATTTATTTTCAAACCTAACCGATTCCGGGATATCTAACAGTGTCGTTTTACTTTGTCCCGTAACTATAGTATAGTTAATCTCAGACTTGGCATATTCCTGAATAATGTCGATAAAGTTGTGGCACGGACAGAAAATCTACACCCTCGAGGGTCCGTGAGGTATGCAGGAAAGTTCCAGCCACCCGGGCCCATCCACAAATAGGAATAATTTGGTGCGGGAACATTGGGACATCGCTTAATCGACTCGAAACAAGGGCCTAGGAGACGATCTATGATGATTGGCACCTGCTTGTTCGTTTAACAATTGTTTGAAGTTTCTACGAAATCACCCACCAGATTCAGTATAAACAAGAAGATATCCTCACGTCAAGAGTAATGGTCAGTAGAGCTTTAACTTTGTGATTATTTGATAGAGAATATAGGGAACGTTAAGATGGTCGAAGTTGGTGTCGTGCCGCCTCCGGAAGGAGTGACTCCTGACTTCTATTCTCGGACCTCTGTTCAGAATAGTATAATCATCGTTTTTGGTGTCACTTTTACATTAGCAACTATATCCCTAATTCTTCGATTGTATACGGCTTTCGGGATCGTCAGGAAGCTAGACTGGGATATTCGTAAGTGCATTACTAAAGGTTTCTATCATTCTCCATGTCGCTAATGATCACTCAAATAGTATTAATCGTTGCAGCCTGGGGGACTACTCTAGCATTCTTCATTGGGACACTTACAGGTAAGTTACCAACTTGAAAATATGTGGCATCTTGTTGACCGCTATAGTGGCCATGCCAGCTGGTTTTGGGCGGCATCTTTGGGACATTACGCCAACCCAAATGCTAGAATATTATAATGTAATTTGCCCTACGCGGAGGAAAGCATGTAATAAAAGTTACCCAGTCTGCTAATACAAGTATAGATCCTATCGTTCATCGCTCTCACGTATATTTGGCCGCCGTCCCTAACCAAACTCGCCCTCCTCGTTCTCTACATTCGACTCAACCCCTCGAAGCTTTTCCGCGCGTGCGTTTTCGTTAGCGGGTTCCTCATTTCTGCATACACCATTACATTCACAGTTTTGTTCCTCGGGCCTTGCAATCCATTATCCGTTGGCACTGGTACATGCCTGAATGATGTTGCCATATCACAGGCTGTTCTTAATATCTTCTTCGATGTGGTTATAATACTACTTCCTATTCCTATGGTACATAATTTACATTTGCCTCTGAAGCAAAGGGCAGCCATTGGATTTTTGATCGCATTAGGATCGGCGTAAGTCCTTAGGTACGGTCAAAAATCATGACAAACTGCTAACAGGGTCTCAGTGTCGTTATTGTTTCTATTGCGCGAGTTGCCTACGTGAGAGCCATGATAGCGGACGACGACATGACTTGGACACAGGGATCCGCTGCAATCTTGTCAACATTGGAATTGAATATCGGAATCATTGGCAACTGTGTATCACGTTTGAAACCTTTGGTTCAAAAACATGCTCCTTCGTGGGTAAACTCCCTGGGCGGTTCGGGTGTAGGGGCCTACGCTCTAAACCAAAGTGGCAATGTCCCACGGTCATGGGGAACGAGCAAAGGGAATCAAGGGTACAAATTAGAGAGTATGGAACGCGGAAAGAAGTTTGGTAATGGAGAACGAGGTGTCGACAAAGATATATATGTCATAAATGATTACAGCGTCGAGTATGACACGAAAGAATCGAATCAGGCTGGACCGGCTGGAACGGGAAGTACAGATAGCATCCTCGCACCGGAGAGGGATATTCGACGTGTGGTATAGGTTCGTGTTATACTTGGGACATAGAGAGTATGTCGCACCTCAAGATCAAGGACATCTTTTGTGCTTTTCAAACCATCCGTAATAGTAAAGATGTCCAGAAGGACGGTTCACGGATCTAATATGCGCAAGAGACTTCCCGCTCTTCATTTGCCTCTATAATTGATTGGTACTATTTCTTTCTAATTAACGGCCTTTCTTGTATATACATTATGTGTTAAATTTTATACATGATTTTAGCTCTGTCACTTTGAGTTCTCCTGGGCTCATTATTGTTATGCTAAGAACTATCTACCTCCTAACCTAATAATGCAAAGCCAACAGCCCGACATGGATATGCGTACTGAATTATCGTGGCGGGGCTTCTGTCCTCCCATATAATCAAGCCATGGGCAGCCGGTCTGGATTCTTATATAAAATTCTGGACCAGATTACATACTCTTCCATGGTATTCCATAGCATTTTCTATTGGAACTCTTTGTTCAATACGAATAATATTATGGTATTTCGCTTACTGAGATGTTTTATTAATGTGTACTTTAATTACAAGGTTAGAATAAGTGTCGATAAATTATTAATAATTTTAAAGACATCTTGGCCTCAATTTTCGCGAAGATCCGTAAGTTATGCTCATCTTACGCTCCTATGCCGGAACGGACCTGGAAAGGGTTCAACATTACCTTTCACCCTGCACACCTGCGTGCGTAATTGCACAGCGCTCTAAAATCGTGCTTGACATACTCGTGATCCTACGACCTGTTAAAAGTCACTCTGTAGATCATGTTTGTCCCTCCGTTTGGTTAAGTCCGAACGGCCTGCAGGGACCCACCCCGGCCCGGTGCACCCGAGGGATCCGGAGCTTGGTGGTCCACAGCTCCAGACTTCCGAGTCCGATTGCATAATCCAACCATTCATTCCGTTTCTCCTTGTTTTGCTGCCAAGTGCATAGCGCTATAAGGCGCGCTACGGTTATTGACCCGATTGCCTGTGAATACTCAATTGGGGGCCGTTTTTTGTGGCCCATGCGACATAGGGGTTTCCATTTCTTGATTCCAAACTTCCAACCTTGGAGGCTTCTATGCCGAACAATTATTTTATGCAAAGCAGGTATTAGCAAAATAATGTATGGAAATATCAGTTTACTTGGAATCGCTGACTTGAGCCGTGACAACCAGCGACCTATAGGCCTATTCGCTTATGCTTTCTTTTGTCAAGAGCACAGGTAAATATCCGTAAACGCCTGGATTACTTCTACTGGTAGGTGTACGATAACAAGGTTACTCCCTTACATCAGGTAGGTGCTTTAAGCAGCTACTAGAACATCAATGAGTTAAGGCTAAAAGGTACCTATATATATTATGTCAACATTAGATTAGGTACCTATTAAGCTACCTATGGCGCCCCTAGTAAATTCAAAATACTTGCCAGTAGAAAGTAAGTGAGGGAATCTAGACTACTCTTTTACATATTCAGGGAGCGATTCCAACAACTCTAATGTTTTGTGATCTTCCAGTGCTGCCGAATAGCGTTCCGTCATAATGAAAACATTTTCGTCAGGCTGCATTCCCTGGCCCGTGAGCGACCATGCCAATCCATGCAACACGTGCTTCCTGTAGTCATCCCATATGTCTTCCAAATCGAACTTGGGGCCACCTCCTTCGTGAAGTGCTTTAAGATAGTGTCTGATTAGGTCGGTCTCATGCTTTCTACGCTCTTCGATAGTCATAGCACCAATAAGGAAGTATGACACATCATCTAAGCCGATACCCGCGTAAGGAGCCTGCCAGTCAATAAATCCAGGCTGGCCGTCAGGCCCGATGAAAGTATTTCCAATGTGTGAGTCGCCGTGGACAATGCATCTTAGCTTCGGGTTTTCTGCTGCCCACATGGTCTTGAAGGCTCTCTCCAATCGCTCCCGATTCGCCACAGCCTTCGGCAAGGGAGGTGGCGCAAGAGCTTTGAATCGTACATCCCATGCTTCTGGTGTAATCAAAGACAGAATCATCCCCTGAAGTGGATTACCACCCATAGCCTTGTCCTCGGAAAGCCAGGGGAATTGCTCCTCGGAAGCACCCCATGTCTCTGAGTGTAGTGCTGCGAGTTGCTCGACCCCAGCGCGGACTCTCTCAACCGGCCATGGCTTCAATGGCTCGCCAAACTCGCAGCCCTCAGTAGCCAGGTTAGACATAACGACAAGGCCTTGTCCACTGAATTTGTCGGTGCCACAGTACCAGATTTTCGGAAGCTTCATGGTGAGGATAGGGCAAAGATGGTAATAAAACTGAGCCTCTCGGCGATATGTCCAGAGGAGGCCAGGGTGAAGAGCTATCATAGGGGCGTTGAAACCTCCTTTGACACAGGCCTGAGTCGGTACATCGGCGGTGTTTACATCATCTTCGTAGATTAGGTCGATGAGGATTTTGCTTGATGTCCCGTGGATTTCCTTCACAATTGCGACAGATTTAACCTTGTGCCCTATGATCTTAGTGCACCATTCCGCGGTAATCTCCTCAGGCTTAACAGGCAATGGTTCGCTCGAATCCAGTGCGCTTTGCGCGCTGTGCAGTGCCTGGTGAGTAGTTGACGACATTGTATGGATTTGTTGATGAGATAAGTAGGGAATCCTTGTGCTCGGCTTTGATATCTATGCTCAACTAGAGGGAGAAAGGGCTGGGATAAATACTAATAAGCGAAAGAAGCGGTATACATCAGTATCGTGGCGTTAAGATAGAATAGCATTCCTCGCTTAGAGGATGCTGACTGACTGCCTCGAAGCAGTTGCACTGCATACGATATACCTCTAAACTAGTATATCACCTCGACGCCAGCAACCTAGAACTGTTATATCCCTTACCGTGTGGAATGTTCTCATGCAAAATCCTATTATGACCAGCTCGTCACTTCTTGAGGTTGTAAGTATAAAAGCCCATAAAAAAAGAAAGCAGCAAACACGACTTAGCCAGGGTAGTATTTAGGCCCAACACGCATCCAGCATCAAATTACTATTCGTTCTCTGGAGCAACGTCCCTCTTGGGGAGCCCCCCCTTTTACTACGTGACACTACCTATCCTAGTACGCTCCGTTTTCCGGGATCTCTCCCCACTTAACTATTGAGAATTGTTACCGTCCATAATAGGTATTTTGCGATGCCTTGTCGTATCATAGGTTACTTTATGGAGGGTACCCATATAACAAACAATGAGAGGGGAAGTCAAACATGTTCTGGCGCTCTTCTGGCGTTTATCTAGCGCGCCGTTATGCAAGCCATTCCAAAATGGTTCAAATCGAGAGAAGTCTTTCTTACTGTAATCCTGACTTATTTTCAGCAAAAATATTCCACCTAGTTTGCATGCGGGCTTACGTTATGGAATATCGCTTTTCACGATAAAGCACACCGAACCAGACACCTATCTATACTAGCGTCTAATCACCGGGGGGGAGGTTGAGCACGAAACGCACAAGACACGATGGAGAGGGTTGATCGACTTGCATTAGGATAACTTTAGAAATAACTCATCCGATACTAGCTGGAAGTGAAAGTGGTTATTACTAGATGTAGTAAACTCGTCAGTGGATTCTCGTAGAGCCTCAATCACATTTCAACCGTCACGTCGAAGCCAAGTCGCACTTGTTCACCAACATGATGGGGCAACCTGCGGAATAGGAATGTTGGTTGGCGCTTGCAGGAATCTGCATGGCTGTATAACTCTTAATGTTGGATAGATCGTAAAGAGGGATGGCGAAAATGCCCCTGATTGGCCTACTCGATTAGCTAGGGATCCCAAGGTTGATCAAATGTTCCGCTCGGGCCGCTCCATTTGATATCCAACAAGATGGTCCTTTGACTATGGTGGGTTCTTTTACAAACACGTTCCTTGATTATTTCCCAATGAAGCAAACATATTGATATTTCACCCGGGTGACGCCAGCAAAGTCGAGCCCCAAAAACGTGCTGGAGACGCTACTTAAGTAATTGTTGTCAATCATATTCAAGAAAAAAATGCCACGTGCGATTATATTCTAGGAATACCTCAATGTCTCCACCAGAAGCTATTTGGCCTTAGCCGTTACTGTCGATATCGGCTATCTAAAATCAAAGGCTTCAACTTCTAACGCCATGCCACTACCCCATGACTCAGTAACTATAAGCAGCGATTGCGCCTTGAATTATACTCTGAGTCTTTGTAACTTGACTACGTCGAATATTTATCGATGATCAGAGTAGACCTTGAAGATTTTGAAGCTATTCAGACCTGTGAAGAGGTACATTGTTTCAAAACCGGAAAGTGATCCGGGCCATCGGTCCCCCTGTACACAACCAAATAGTCGCAAAACTTCAGAGGCTTGCACGACTGAATCCATGATTGGTCGTTACTCTACCCCAAAGGCCCCAATAATAAACGATCCATAACGTTGGGATTACCTACCTAAGAAAGAGATTTTCAAGATAATAGGCAGGGATAATGTATTATTTCAGGGGCTATTTCAGGGTCCATTAGGGTGGATATCGGTTAATTCAAGCTTTAAAACCCGGTAGACTCGAATTACGCTTAATCGAACCCACCTGAACGGACGGACACGTTGGCTAGGATATATCCGATTGCTTCTGAATTGTGAATCGTAGCTGATCATATCCTAGGCCGAGAATCCTAGGGGAGATTACCATACAGTACCTAAAAATAGACCTATACGAATCGCCCAAGTCCGACTACCAGAGCCGCGCCAGCTATCATCCGGTCGAGATATAAAAAGGAGGACGCCAAGTAACCCTATTGTAAACTCATAAGTTGAACGTATAGAAAGAGAGCAACTCGAAAGACTATTCTTTTCAATGTTTCTCATGAACAGTTAGACCGTCGATGTGTTTTAGTCCCTATCTACCCCTATCTAACTAACTCTGATACTCGCAGGGCTGTACGGCGTCGTAGAGGCTTTGTGATCATTTCTACCCGAGTGATTAAGCCCTATTACTCTGGATGTTTAGTTGTCCCGGCGGTAACAGACTTTGATCTTAACTTCAAGCTTCTATGACGTTATGACTGGCATAATATACTACTTGAATGTCAGGATTGGGATGCCCTAGTGAGGTGAATCAAGCATAGAGTGAATGTCTAGGGTAGCAGACCAAGTAGTAATTGTATTGAACTCAGTAACGCCTGGCCTTTCTAAACTGACGAGGGCGCTTCGCGCCTCTTATATACTCGTATAGACCCCTGTAGCCACCCTTACATTGAACAATCTCACTCCTTATTCTTTTAAGAGGTATTGTCTCCCTTAACTTCTTTCACATAGGTAAATTTGGGTAAAAGAGACGAACCTCCAGTAATGTTAAAACTGAACATCCCTTTTAGAAGATCCATTAACGTTCGAGTGTTGTCTTATTTTATCAAGACCTGACGCCGACGCAGACGTAATAGCCCACCCAAAGTTTGGAGCAGTCCGACTATGGAGAATAACGCCCTATTAGTTACAGTTCTCGTCTATAAAGCATAGGTAAGAGTCAACTTACACCGACAGCCGGATTCCAGATGTAGAACTGCTTCAATGTGAACTTATTACCATAATTATCGATGATTTTCTGGCAAGAGTCGCTGGACTTGACGAGATAATAAGAGTTGCCTGCAAATTGAGCTATTATCAACGACCAGCCCGTTGAAAAGCGGTAGAATAGGGCTGACAGGGGGCCATTGTAATACAATAGATGAGCGGAGATGCTTACAGTTTGCTGCTACGCCAGTCTGCGTTGGCGTAGGCCCAGTCGCAGTACTGGTTGTGGTTTTGCTTGTTGCCGCGGGCCGGCTTGTGGGCGTCCCGGGGATACCGACACACACGTAATAGCCGATAAAGAGCTGGGAACAGTCCGAGCCGACAGCTGGGTTCCATGAAAGACTATTGATGCATACATTAGACACAATATCTTGAGGCCGTAGAATCCTCAAATTACATTTTGACGGGCTTTGAAACTTACAAGTCTTTGAGGGTAAATGTGCCATACTTGTCCACGATCTGCGAACAAGTGTCTCCTGACCCGACCTTGTAGTAAGACGTACCTACAATTATTATCAGCACTTGATCCCTAACGAGATGATTGGGCCCCAAGATATGGCTATCATTTGTTCTTCGGGGGGCCTACATGTTGAAATAATTCCAGTCTGCTCCGGTTGGGGTGGACCCGTAGTGGTAGAACGAGTGGCAGTCGTAGTGGTGGTCGCGTTTCCACTCGAGGTTGTTCCCACGCAATAATAAAAACCAAGAAAAAGCTGGGAGCAGTCTGAACCAACAGCCATATTCCAGTTGTAGCTATAAACCGAGGGTCAACTTTAGCAAACTTAACTAATTTTGTGGACAGGGTAGGTAGAATCTACAAGTCTGTAAGAGTGAAATTTCCGAAATATTTGACGATCTTTTGGCAAGTATCGCCTGAGACAACCTTGTAGTATGCGTCACCTTTAGAAGTCTCAATTAGCCTCTATAAGCAAGGTTAAAATATAAACATAAACTTACAGTTCGAGGTAATGCCAGTCTGTGTAGGGGATGGTCCAGAGGGTGTTGTTAAAGTCGCTGAAGTCGTACTGGATGTCGTGGTGGTGCTAGTAGGTGGCGGTTGTCCGTCATCCCACTCGATGCAGTAGTTGGTATTGGCTGTGAGATCCTTGTTGCAGTCGACACCTGGGTTGTAGCTTTGAAACTGGGTTAATGTGATTCCCCAGTAGCTGGCGAGAGACGAGCAAGTATCGCCAGCAGATGCGGAGACGGAGAAAGTGCAGTCTCTCCGGACAAGATACTGGCACTGTACCGCGAACACTAGGAATAGTCCTGAAAGAAAGCTAGGCAGCACCATCATGAATAGAATACCGAGCTGTGGGATCGGTATAAAAGGTCAACGTATTTCGGTTACTGTCGAATAACTGGTTCGGCTCAAGTTCAACATCACAACTAAAATGAGGGGAACTTTTAGGAACTTATCCAGGAGGTTTTATTAGTCTATTCCCTCAACTAAGACAGTGTTACAAGTACTGAAGATTACTTATCCAAATCTGACTGGCCTAATCTTTTGCGCCCTTTCGAAAATGGTCGCCATTGAGATTTCTAGAGTAGCCAGCCCATCATCGAAGACATACTAGCACCCCTAAGTTAGTCCACCCCCTATTCTCAACTTGCTGAGGTGAGACCAGAAGCTACAATCCTCAATGATCGAGCAGCAATCTACCAATTATTCAGCAGTCCGGCATTTACGTAGGTAGGCGAAAGCTAACTGGCCCATTTCTGATGGGGCTTTTATCAGAACCTGGAATATGCATTTATGCGACTTTCCTGTATCACGATATCCTGTATAAAAGGAAGTTGTTTTTGTTGTCTCAACATCTGGTTTGGCATCTCTTGTTTAGAGACTATACACTTGTCTTATACATTTTACGCACCACATCCGATATCTAGACGCTAGACATCGATGCAATGGCAGAGCCACTTCAAAACATCCAATCTGCGACGGACATATCTCCTCCATGGGGAGCTTTCCCCGCGGAACAGTATCTCATTGTGAGCAGCCCTCGCCTACCTATCTTTTCATTTAATTAGGTGCTGACATGCGCTTTGCCCCTTTTAAGCGTCATTGGGATTTCTCATCAGCGCTGTCCGCAGCTGACCAACGGCGTGATCTGGTCCGAGCCTATCTCCAGCTCGATTCAATTCCTAGAGACTGGGACGCAACAGGTCGGGTCTATCTAGCCACTACAATCACGCGTGTGCCCACAGAACATGAGATACGCGAAATTCTTGCACCTTGGCGACCTCTTCGCTGGCGCGAGGCCGCCTTACATCTATGGAAGGATCGTAATGATGAAGAGATCTGGTTACGCACGTACTATGGCCAGGGCTCGGATGAAAAGTTTCACGAATTTCGCGAGACCGATGAGGATTATGACCCCGCCTTTGAGGAGGATTGTCGTACGTGGACAATTCTCGATGATCAAGCCTTGTTCGAGGGTGATTGGTCTACTGTATTTGACGTACTACCCGAGTTAGTAGGTCCAACACCAAACTATGATCCATATGCCCACCGCCATCTGGGAAATCCTGATGAGCTCGAAACATTGCGCCAAAAGTTACACGAGTCAGTGGCCTCGGCTCTCCGACTAAAAGGCGAGGGTAACACAGTCGAGCAGCTGAAGATTGATGATATCGAAGCTGGTGCCGCAGGCATGGCGCTACAGGCAAATGTCGTCGCAAGCTTCCTCTTCGTTGCTGATGCTGAGACTTTCGAGACAGAGAAGCTGCGGCTCTTATATCTTGATGCGCGAGGTAATATTGTGCGCGAGACACGGGTACCGTGCACAGAAACGTGGGAGACGCGGGACGAGTGGAACGCGAAGAAGTTTCGGAACAGTCCGTTCTGGAATGACCGGGATAGGAGTGAATGGGGTGTGCCAAACGACCCTGGAAGCGTTCTGGGTGAGAAATACAAGTTCTCAGGAGAGATTGGGCATGAACTTTACAAACTGGATTAAGTCCAATTCCTTGAAGTCTTGTCTGTCGTAAATAAGAAGCAGACATAACACATTTACAATTGATTAGACACAATACAGATTTGCCAGAGTCTGTGCGCTTGCTCGCATTGTCCTTTCAGATGCCAGAAAACCATAGTATTTCGTATGCCACGCAGGACTGGCTATAGTGACTAGACTCTTTAAAATCTTGGACAAAGAAAGTAAAATATACCTCTATGATAAACATGTCTCTATCTCAATATTCCTATCAATATTATAATATTTTTTATCAGGTAAGATAATGCTACGAAGTATGCCATTGCTAAGAAAAGAGGTTTATATGGTTTAATTACATAAACGAATAAACGGGTTTCCCCTATCCTCCCCCTTTCCCCCTTTCAGGAACATTCAGCCGGGTAGGCTATCACCTAGGCGCCAACGCAAACATAATAGCCAAGAAATAGCGATTCGCAACTATCGCCTACGGCAGGATTCCATCCGTAAAACTGCACCGTTATTCCGTCAGCGGGTACGTACGAGATATATAAAACGGGTAATTGAAGACATTAGAATATCTCACCTGTGTCAGGGTAATAGAGGAAGAATCGGCAATCTTCTGACAAGTATCCCCACTCAGGACCTTATAGAATTTCTTGCAGTTGGAAATCATACCGGCCTGGTATGGTGTCGGTGTGGCGCCAGGCGCGCTGCTGCTAGTCGAAGTCCCGGTGACGTCTGTGCTACGGTCCGGTGTACACTGGGAGGGTATGCGGCTGGGCGAGGGCGGCACCGGGGCACCGGGAGTTGGGAAGCAATACTCATCCATCAGGCTCTGGCAGCCCTCGGTATATTCCTCCTCGTCGAGATTACCTAAGTCGTCGTCGGTGAGCCAGCAGTACTTGGTCTGCTGGGCTAGCTCAGACGCAAGTGTCTCATTGTAAGAGGCAGTGCTTGTTATAGACGCTGTGGCAGTCGAGTTGAAGACTGATGAGTACCATGATGTGGTAAAGTTGGTAGTCGGAATCAGGCCTGTAGCGGAAACCCAGTTCGTGATGAAGGAGGAATTACTGAGTGGCAAAGTACGTTAGATTGGACCAACGAAGGAAAAGGGGACATTTAGTTACTTACAGTGTTGGTAGGAGCGCATGGCTAAGGGAAGAATTATACTCAAACGTCCCACCTCCTGGTGGCCTTGATGCAGAACAATTGTCAGCTTCTGTTAATCAATACGACAGTACCTACCTAGGTAGCAAATGGCTACCGGGGCATTTAGCTTTCATCTTATAGCTAGGAGACAGTAACTTACGAGAGACATATGCTTCGTCCTTCCATAGACGCAAGGTTATCGCAATTAGTATGAATCGTACTGTCGGGATGTCAGTAGTAGGAACAACATGAACAGTTTTACGGGCTACATACGGGTTCCAGGAGACCAGCTGGATAGTCGTGAAGGATTTACCCTTCAGTAGTCTGTCGCAGGTCTCATTTACCCCGAGTGTGTAAATGGTGCAGGTGTCCTGTAAGCACAGGGACATGCCTGTCGAAAGAGCGCTACAGTTATAGTCCAAATGGTTACGATTGATCATGAGATCAGTGCCTACTGCATTCCCCTTGGAAATAGACTGGCACGTATCAGAAGACTGCACGGTGTATGTTTTCCCGGTGCAAGACGGAGTCGATGTTGGCGTCGTTGTGCTATTGTCAGTCCATGTCAGTTTTCTACCCCAACCCGTGCGGATAGAAATCTATAATATTTGGAATAGCGAGGGGGGATTTTCCGGGCTACTAACTTTGCAGTTGCTGTCGACGTTGTTGTCGAGGAATACGTGTAAGTATAGCTTTTAGGATCTGCACTGCAAGATGAGAGCGTAGAGGAAAAGCTGTCCGGACTGAGTTTTGCTCTCCCATAATCGGAGCTCAGCAACGCGGCTCCGTACTTGAGGGCACAGTCAGAACATGCCGTCTCATTTCCGGCGTACAGATCCCAAAGACAAAAGCCCGATCTACTGCTGTTATTACCTAGAGATATAACGTTGCGATACCAGGTATAAAAGATTACTTACGCATCTTTAATACAGATTAGATCATATGCCCAGCTCAAACTGTCGGCGAGAGCTGCAGCCGACTGAGTATAACTACTATTAAAATACAGCGTGTACTCCGTGCTGCCACACTTGGTATCAACGTTGGTCTGGAATGTCTTCAAAGATTGATAACAACTTGTTGTGCAATACGTGGTAGCCTCGCTGCTGATAAGTGCCAGTCCATTGGCCGCTTGCGCAGCCGTGACGAGACTATTTTCACCACTATAGCATTAAAATTTAGTAAATTACTCCTTGAACTTTTCTGAAAAATGCTATTTTCAATAAAGTCACTAGGAAATGAGGTAGGTAGTAAGTATAAGAGTTACTTACTAGTTACACGTGATGTTCTGTACCAAGGCCGCACGGCACGCTGCGGGTACAGTCGTAGGAATAGCAGCTGGTGCAGTCCAAAGTTGAACTGCTTCCGCGGCTGGAAATAGCAAATGTCCTATAAGGACTACTTCGGTAACGAGGCCCATGATGATGTCGATGTAAATTAAGACTGAGTTGGAATGATGGGCGGGTTTTGGGGCACCAAGGAACGAGGGACGGATGTGTGAAAAGCGTACCTTAGGTACCTAGGTAGGTAGGTAAGTAAGTATTCAGCCTTAAGACCTAAGCTCAAAGTGTGTGTTTATGCAGTAACAGATATAGTGGCATGTCTCATCCTTCTGTTATCTTTACTACCAGCGCTGCTTACGTCCGTTTCTGCCAAGACACTGAAGATCGCACAAGTGGCTGTGGTAAGCATGCAATGTGGTGAATAATATTGCACGGTATTTGATCCTTCCGGATGTGAAGACGATTAGTGTCACCGTGAGATTTCGGATCACTCTGAATAATTGAAAGGGGTGGAGTGAACTTTGTAAGTGTGTAATATGAAGACAGAAGCCGTTTATCCTGACCGAGGGTGGGTGTGTCCATCCTCAGTTGTATTCTATAGCAGATAGGAGTGTCTACTCTACCGGAAGAGGTCTACATATATCAAATTATGGCTGAAGTGCCCAGTTCCGGCCTTTCGCTTCCCTCTTGTTTTCCTTTCTATTTATTACGTTCTTCCATCTTTCATCTGCTAAGCTTATACTAGTACAGAAGCACATCTTATATACCCTCGAAAATGGCACGGCACAAGAGAGCTCTTTTTATCATTCGTCTACGCAAGTCCTTTGGTTCAAATTTGCTGCTTCTGGCAGCCTTTTCCCTTTCACAGGACGCGCCGCCTGCTTCAGGAGGCACATGTTCAGATGCCGTACCGTGCGTGTCTGGGTGCTGCAATTCTAATAACGCGTGTGGATTCGGTCCCAAATATTGCAGTCCTGAAGCCGGCTGCAAGAGTAACTGCAATGCCACGGCAGAATGTGGTCAATATGCTGCAAAATCCCCTGGAGATTGTCCTATCAACGTCTGTTGCAGGTACGTATAGTGTCTCGGAAAAAGAGGCGTTTGCTTAAGAGGTATCTAACCTAGCCAACCCTGGAGAAAAAGGGGTTGGTGATTGCGTACAATGAATCATCGTCATATTCCTGCTGACACGCCCTTCCTTCACAGTCAGTATGGCTTCTGTGGTGTGACAGATGACTTCTGCGGCGATGGTTGTCAGCCAAATTCGGACGGTGGTGGATGTGGTGATGCCCCGTAAGTTCGAGGTTTCGCAACAAAATCATACTACCAATTTTACCAGGTACTAACTACATCCCAGGCGACCCAAGGATTGTAAAACGAATACCGATGCGCTTTCCTATGAGCGTCGCATTGGGTACTATGAGCTCTTCGCTACTGAGCATTACTGCAATGTCTTCGAGCCTGAAGATATAGTAGTTGCTGGTCTCACTCATTTGAACCTAGCTTTCGTCAATTTTGGGCACGACTTTAAATTACAGACAGGCGATGGAAGCCTCATATACCGCTCGTCGCTTCTAAAGGTCAACAATCCAGGGCTGCATGTATGCATATCAGTTGGGGGATGGGACTTTAATGAACCTCCCGATCAGGCTCGTTGGTCAAATAGTAAGTTACAAGAATTGAGCATGTCCCCCAGGAGTGTTGTGCGTAAGTTGCCTGACCAGCCATACCAGTGGCCAATGACTACACGAACCGACAGACGTTCATTAGCTCCGTCGTGGATTTTCTCAAAGAGTATGGGTTAGACGGCATTGACCTTGGTAAGTTTAGCCTTGCCCAAATTAGCCACAGCTACTAATAATAGCACTCGTAAATAGACTGGGAATACCCCTCTGCGAGTGATCGTGGTGGTATCCCCTCGGATGCAGACGCCTTTGTGCTGTTGGTGTCGGATCTACGTGATGCATTCGACTCGGAAAACCCTGGGTGGACCATTTCGGTAACGTTACCAACCAGTTACTGGTATCTACGGGGGTTCGACGTTAAGAATATGCAAAAATACGTATCATGGTTCAACGTAATGTCATACGATTTAGTGAGTAGCTTCCCGTACCGTTCCTTATCCCGAACATCCTGGAATATACCTAGGAAAATGGAGGCAGTTGAAGGGTTATGCTGATATGAGATTTCCTCCTACTATTAGCATGGTACTTGGGATCATGACAATAAGTGGACTGGGCCATATCTTAAGGGACATACAGACATCACCGAGATTGACTTAGGACTCGATCTTCTATGGCGCAATGGCGTCGATCCCGCCAAGGTGGTATTCGGTATGGGATTCTATGGGCGCTCATTCACCATAGCTGACCCCAATTGTTACGAACCCAACGGCGTTTGTAAGTTTACTACGGGTGGCCGAGCCGGTACCTGTTCCAACACGGTGGGTATTCTCACGTATCAGGAGATTGCGGCACGTAATAGCAGCTGTAAGTCATTTTTAGACTCGTTCCGAACCTCTGTTTAGGGTGTGGCATGAGATATTAGTTATAAGAGGACATTACTGAAAACGACTTCTGCTAGTGGATGTACAAACGTTTTACAACTCTACTACGACGGTCAAGTTCAACGTATATGACGGCGATCAGTGGATCTCATATGATGACGAGGAGTCATGGCATGACAAAAAGGCGTTTCTTTCCAAGAGGTGCTTGAGTGGTCTAATGATCTGGGCCTTGGACCAGGATAACTCGACATTTGAAGCCTATGGTGGTGTAATGGGGGACACGTCAATTTTAGAACTTGAGGGCGGCGGTCTAAGCCCCGAAGCGACGACTCAACTTGCCGTTCAGTTTGCTGCGTACACTGGACAGAACTGCTTCGTGACACCACGCTGTACAGATGGGAGTTCTAAAGAGCAAGGCCCTCAGCAGGTCTGCCCAGGCGGATACCAGGTCAGTATTCAGAAGTATCTTTTCCCCCTTCCGACGTCTATTTTCCCCCCTTCCGACGTCTTTTATTCGTTTACTTGCGTACCTAACTATACTATTTTCATGACATTTAAATGCTCAAAACAACCGAAAGGAACTGCGGGGAGAAATTACTAATATTATCACTTGAATACGTAGTCCGTATCCACGGCTCACACACCCAGGCAAGCTCCGGGTCATGGCTACTTCGGGGAGTGCAGTGAGGGTTGGTGGCGGAGTATCTGTTGTCCGAAAAACGCCCTCCCTAAGAATTGCCGTTGGGTAGGCGCCCCTGAACGCAGCGAGATTGGTTGCTCGGGATCCTGCGGTAGCACCCAGTTTGAACTCAATACGGACAGTTATTTAGACGCGAAAGGCGAGCGAACTTGCTACTACGGCACACGCTCTCTCTGCTGCGACTCCACCGAGCTGGTCTCGGACTGTTACTGGAGTCCATGTCAGGGACCGATTCTGACCAACCCAGAGTGTAACGAAGGCTACACTTTCGAAGGATATCGATTAGACAAACCTGACGGCACGCCGTGGTGCTCGGATACGTATGTCTCCCCTCTTGATGGGAACAAGGGTAGTCCGGTCCACGGTAGCTTCCGAAGCGCGCTATGTTGCCCAGAAAAGCAGGCCTGGGCTAACTGTGAATGGTCTAATAATGCCGGAACATTTGACCATGAGCATGTATGTATGCCCTCCTCATGTGGAAAGAACAAAATCCGGATCGGAACCGCCCTTGATCCACCCCCATTACCTTCTACCGACTCAACATTTCCGATTTCCTGTTATGGGTTTGTCGCTCCGCCAGGGAGAGATATGCACTACCCGCTGTGTTGCGACTTACAAAGTAAATACAACAAGAAGTGGCCTGTTGATCCCGAGAAGGTCTTCCAGACATATTATAACACCCCTGGCGATTCGGATGTGATGTGGCAGTATAGTGACGAGTACACCAACAATGATAAAGATGACGGCCAGTCAAGTTCTGAAGATGGGGCCGATGCTTATGGCTTCCTGATGCTCGATGGGCCGGAAGGCTCCATCGACAGTAGCTTCTCCACTACAAACACTATTGTCCGCAAGGAGGCAGCAATACCGCGTGTCAAGCGGTCACTCGTGACGTACAACCAGACCGTCATGGACACCGTCTTTGATCATGCCGAGGAAACCTTTCAGTTCTACTGTAACTTCCCTGCGGGATCAGCTGAGTGTAATCGGCTGTGGATAGACGGAGCCGAGGATACCATTATCCGGATGCCAGACCATATAGGAGAAGGCCCCTTCGCTCGTATCGTTTCCATTAGAGAAATTTCAACGGACAAAGAAGGCTTCAGTCTTCCCGCTCACCATATCGAGCATCGGGCTCAGCAAGGAATCTACGACACGAATCCTGTTTATGAGGCTAAGGTTGATTATAACTTCTTGGCCATAACTCCTAAACGCGATGATGAGCCGGTCTATCTTCGTGTTGACTACACGAATTTGCTGGGGTATTGGGATGAAGTGGAGGCCGCTGATCCCGGTAAGAAAAGGAGCAATATGCCAAATTGGCAGTCGCGCGTCAAGCGAGCAGCTAAGAGAGACAGGGCCATAAGGAAGAGGTCGGCACCAATCAATGTAACCGTTCCCATGGATTCTATTGCCTCTCGTTGTAGTAATGGTAGCACTTCTGCTACCCGCTCTGTTGACAAAAGGTCTGTGATCTTTAGAGTCAATTTCTCCATTCTGCCGCCCCCTTTTTTAGATACTGATCTCTACTTTAAAACTTAAGCGAGCTAACACGATGGTCTTCATAGGTGGTGGGGAGTCATTGGAGACTGGGTCAAGAAGATGACGACGATCGAGAAGTCCGAGTTGGGTGTGATCCCGTTAGCCTGGGGAGATACTATCAATCTGTTTTCAGCCCAATGGGGATGCCCAGGTCAAACCTTCTCAGCAAACTTGAGAATGGACCTAGAAGCTAATATTGAGATGGACGCCACCTACGCCTATTACTTCCAGGGCCAGTTCATTCCTCCAAAAAGCCCCGAGGTCTATGCCTATCTAGGCATGGAGCCTTCAGCATACGTTGGCCTTCACTTGGTGGGCAATGCCAGGATGCAGTACACCTCGGGCCGGAAGAAGCTCATCGACACTCTTGCGTATCCAGGCTTGGCTGTTAAAGGCATTGCCGCCGTTGGGCCCACACTGGACGTTTACGGGGAGGTGAGTAAATTTGTTTAGTACCTATCTGATCAAGATATTATATCGTGATTACATAAAATCTAATACGATTTTAGATTCGAGGAAAGATTACTATACATGGCGAAGCAAATGCTGGAGCAACTCTCAACTTTGGCAAAGCCGAGGTATATTGGCCCTCAGATGCCGCGGAGAGCGAGAAAGCCCAACAGCTGCTCGGTCTCGATAGTACGGCCAAAAAGCCTGCCCCCGATACGATCGCGCCGACGTTCGAGGCGGGGGTAGAGCTTGATGCACAACTGGATGTAATCGTAACACCCGAAGCCAATGTCGGGATAAAGATTGGTGGTGGAAGTCTAGTGAGCGCGACTATTATGGATGCGCGGCTTACGGGATACGTAATGGGCGACCTCTCATTTCAGGCCTCAGGTCAGGCGGACACCAATACGGGAAACTTCCAGTATAGTTATGGCGTTTACGCCTTCTATAACATAGGCTATAAAGCCACCGCGGCTATCTTGGGCCTTATTAACTGGGTGAGTCGTTTTTTTCCTGTTTGAAAATGTAAATACTTACACCCCTTTCTTTACAGGCAACGGGCCCTCAACAAGCATACACGCCGGACAAGCGCATTGACATATATGGCCCTATAAGCGGTAAGATTCCACTCCATTCAAAGAGGGGACTTGAAGAGCCACACGGGAACGGCGACTACGTAGCCACCGGGTCTAGTCTCGGCTTACTACCACGAGCCGATGGTGATGACGATGGCCTATCCCCTAATACCCCTGACTTCACGCAGCAGCTTAGCTGCCCCCCAGGATCATCAGCAGACGTGAAGCTGCCAGAGCTTCGCTTCAATTGCGACCTATTCGGCCCCGTGCAGATACTACCATTCGGGTCCGGGCAGTCATATTTACAGCAAGGCATGTGCGACGGTTGGAAGAGAATGTCGCCGCGCCCTACGGTACTAACCTACTCGCCCGATAAAACCCGCATCGGCAAACGACGAGACCAACAATGCGCTGGTGGATACTGTAAAGATGCCCAACAACAGCTAAATGCTGCTACAGGACGTGACGGCAGCTCCAAGGCAAGGTTAGAGCCCTTGCTCGAATGCGACGAGGCCCCTTGGGCATCAACCGAGGAAGGGGGCGATTACTTGCCAAGTAACGAGCGCTCGGCTACCTGCGTGCCTGCATATCAGAATCAAGGTTGGGGTGGAAGTTCATGCCAGAGTAAGCTAGCAATTCTCATAATTTTCTCCTACGGTGTAGGTCGTACGACACGGTAGGTAGGTAGGTAGATGGCTAACGTACGGAATACGCAGAGATGGTGGGCGATTTATCAACCAACTGGGGCCAGTTGGACCCAACTCTCGGCCTCGACGACTCACAGAAAGTTGATAATTGGCTCAAGTGGAGGGCCGACAGTGATTCGTGGACCACCGCCGATGCAGTAGGTGCTAATAAACAGAGACCGGTAAAGTATCCTAATAATCAACCTGACCCTGACGGAATGGGCACTCGGCCGGATTCTCAGACATCTTGGCTATTCCGTCGTAACTACACCTGGTCGCTCGTTGAGGACACGGCCGATGCAAGCCAGTGGTGGGGTGCAACCGGCCGTGCGTTTGTCAATACCTACACTGGGCCTGCTGGATGGGATTCCGTTTGTAAGTCAAACTTATATTACTCCCTGTTACTATACATTATCTACTCGTAGGTAGGTAGTAGTTTCTAAGGAGACTTACTTGATTATAGTGTGCGCCATCAATACCTTCGGCCAGGATCATCTATTTAAGATGGACGGAAGTTCTGATTACAACGGCTACTGTCTTCGCGGACCCCAGTACACCACCAAGGGCTGGCAGTATGTTTACCATGCCGCGCGATGTAAAATCACCTTCGGCGCGGTGACGAAAAGGGAGATCAACGGCAGCAAGGCGACGGGTACTGAAGACGAATGGAGTGTACGGGGTAAGGTCGTCCTGATCCATTTAGCCCCTATTTCCCCTCTTTCTTTTTTCTTCCTTATCATTTACATCCTTTATTTTTAAACTCAGCCACCGTGAAAAACCATTTCTTCTCAATGTCGTCACAAGCGAGCGCGTGATCGTCTCGGGGCGGCCGTTACTGACGTCGAAAATAGATATTAAATTTGTAGACACGCCCGAGGACGAGAAGCTCTCCTTTGTGGTCAGCCCGTTAAATGTCGTAGATAACCCCGTTATGGTAAAGGGGAGGTCGCCGTAATAACAGAATACTCTCACGTAGAGGACGTCGCAGACTTCTGCTTTAATGATACATTATGAGAAGTGGATAAAATTTGAGAGTTTATGAGATGGAGGGGTTAGTATATCACATATAGTTAAAACGACCTGGGCATTTCCTCTATATTGGCATGATGTCTACGGGATTTAGTTATATGAAACTCATAGGATCGATCGGTAGACTATTATAAAATAAATCGTCAAAGCCCATAGATTCTTCCCATAATTAGACACCCTAACGGACTAGAAGGTAACGAAAATAGATCCACTTGACAAATTCCATGCCTCCGCACGCCCCTCAATCCATCTCGTCGAAGCAGATCTAAAATCTATAGCAGAGCAAGCTAACCACTAGGAACAGGGTCCCAGCAATAATACGTACATGTGGTGGGCGGTGCCAAGACGTTGCAATCCTGCGGATAACACACTAGGTAGGCTACCGGGTCAAGCTTTATTCACCTAGACTCGCATCGCCTGGGCCAGCCAACCAGCGTGGACGACAGTGCCCGGAATGGTAAAACCATTAATCGGGGACGTTCTCGTCTACATGGGGGTCCGTGGGGCGATAGGGGTGGTATTCAAGGTAACTTACCATACAGCCATACCGCTACTTCGTAGTCTACACTATTTGAATATCCCTATCTTCCATGCAAGAGCTGAAACTCTATTCCTTTCGACAATAGAAAACTGGGAATCAATCTATTTAATAGACAATACCTGGAGGTATCTAGGTATTCAATATTAACCAAATAGATAGGTTTTTTTTTTATAGTCCTGCACCAGGGTCTCCATTGCAAAAAGAGCCATGATAAACGAAAACGAAAACGACGCTGTTCCAGCAGCTGTTGATCGGTCCGAGACAATGCAAATATCCTCATTGATAGTGCGAACTATGCTAACCTAAGCAAAAGTTCATATCATCCTAAGCTTCGCGAATTCTATATATGGATTGCTCCCCGAGCCCCCGCCTGCGAAATGCCAAGAACGCCGTGTTGTGATATCCTCACTGAGACCTGACCGCCGGAAACCGTCCATGTTTTACAACTATAGGCCATGATGAAATCTCCGGTTCCTCCGGTCCGATATTCCTTCTATTAGTTTCGTCATATTGCAAAGGTGTGGAAAACGGTATTCGTCTTTCCGGTGCCAAGAGTTGTCTCCAAGCGAAACCGATCAAGAATCGGGCGTCTTCCAGGCCGGCTTATTGCACTCTCCCATCGCGTCAATCCAGTCGTTGATGCCCTTCAAGTGCCAACCACTGACCCATTTAGCTCTGGCGTCGCCATTATCAGGCGGCATCTTAGGCGCACCCAATTTGAAGCTCTTCGCCGTACAGCATATATCCTCATGCCAACGGTACTGAAAGCAGGATCGATTCCGCTTCTTCTCGTTCATGGCCTTCTTCCACGCTTCCCGGGCTGCAGCATCGCTAGGCGAAGTATCCTCAGCAACCTCCGTGTCGTTAGCAGTGCTGGGGGCGTTGTCTTCGCGTTCTATGATTCCTCGTATATCCCATTCTTCTTCATCTGGGACATCCTGGGAGTCGCAGACCTTTGCGCAGTTTTCCCATGATTTCCATGCCTCCTTTTCAACCTCGTTCATCTCTTCCTCTTTCTTCTGTCTGTCGCGTGAATGCCCGTCTGCATATCGTTGAGCATCGGGATCTGGATTGAGGTAGCACACATCATCTGAGAGGTTATCCCAATTTTCTCGCGATACTTGCATTTTTGGTCGGATCAAGCCATCGTAAATGTCTTTGATCAGAAGAACGCGCTACCAATCGGTTAATTTCGAAATTTATGCATGATTTCCCCGAGATCAGGCAGGGAAGAACCAAGGCGATCAGGAAAGAGGGGAAGTAAAATTGCACTTACATCGGTCTTGCGTGTTTGCTCAAACTGCCACACGTTACTGATTTCTTCTGCATTCATATGATGCATAGTGAAAATCGGCTCGCACCAGTGACCAGGTCCATAAGGCAGCGTACTCGGCTTTTCACCGTTGATCATGGGCCAAACCTGCCGGACTTTAACCTTCTCATACTCTTCCAAGGCCTGCGCCAGCATCAAGTCGCCACAACATTCATGAGCCCCCTTGATATTATACTGCTTGACCACGCCGGGGTGATATTCAATCAAATGCTTCAATAGCGTCCCGCTAAGTATATATCCGGAACCTCCATGGGCAAATGGAGTTCCCCCGATAAAGCTTCGGCTGCCGAGATAGAGTTTCTCCCGGGGGTTTAAGCCGGACTCGGTCTTCAGCCAATGAACGATATTGGCCCAAAAGATATAGGTATCAGCTTCGGCGAATATATACCAGTCTCGGCCTGGGCGCATCCTCCAAGTTTGTTCCATCATTGGAAGAAATTTGTACTTGTCCAAATTCCACGCCTTTTGTCCGTCTCTCTTCGCGTCAACGCACGACTTTTGCGATACGGGACATTCCTTTTGGTCACGGTAAAGGTCGAAATCAGAATTATGGGCCTTTGCGGATTCGTCGAACTCGGCGAGGGCATCGTGGATATGGTATGGTCCAACTTGTTGTTCCTACAATCCGATTAGTATCTCCAAATATTTCGAGTTGTGACGTCCTTCCGACGCTGATGCTAGAAGGGAAAATCAAGATATAAGGTATCGCACCATGTCAGAGAAGATGAGAAAGTCGGGAAGACAGTTCATTGTTGTGAGGAGGTGAACGGGCATTTTATCGAAAGTTTCTGTTGCGCCCGTCTTCATCACCAGAAGTATGCCGTCGGTATTGGGAAAATTGGCGCAAGGGTTGCTGGCATTGTAATATTGGTTGACCATTTCCTCATTCCCTTCGGAATACAACGTATTGTTGTATACTGGGCTACCAAAGTAGCTCGTGACGCTCTTGTAATAATCACGAGCATATCCGAATGAAGATTCGTCCCATTGCGAACGAATATGGATGTAGGTCGCGATTAAGGTCAGGATGGCAACGATGCCAAAGACCCTGAGCCGGCGAGAGCTGGGTGGGACAATCATGATAATAGCAGGCGCCTTGATTGTTGTAAGGCGGGTGGCATTAAGAGGGGAATTATCGAGGCAAGCGACAGGGTGAAAACATTGGTAAGGCAAATTCAAATTCCACTTAAACAGGCACGCGGGTTTGTGAGAATTAACGTAGAATTTTAGTGACTGCTACGTAGAACGGAACGAAGAAGAATGGGTCGAGAAAGCCCAAAAAGAAGAAATCCCAGGTGGGATGGAAATAACCTAGAAATCATAACCACAAGTACAAGTCAAAGAAGAGGTTGAAAGAGACCTGCGCAAAAAATAAGATAAAATAAAATACGATCTGGATCTTTTGGGTGAGAGGCAAGTGGAGGTTTGCGCTTACCTACATGTACATACTTACAGAATACAGATTAACTGGGCAAGAGGTACGAAGGCACTTTAGATAGTACAGCAAGTGCTAAGTGCTAACAAGTGTAACGAGTACAGCATACGTAGCGTATTGCTTAGCGTGTTCAAAAAAATGGTAATATCTAGGAAGACCTTGCAACGAGTACATATTGATTAAGCCGGGTTACCCGGTGTGGATCTGCAATCGTACTTGCCTACTTTCAAAGTGGGGATATACGGATAGATAATGCCTGGGTAGGTTAGTTGGTTAGTTGGTTAGTTGATTCTATTGCAGACTGATTCTATTGGCATCAGCTCGTATTGTCCTTCCAACGACAAGAAATTAGGAATACATCAGCAAAAATACATCAGCAAAACCCCATTAGGTTATATGCCTGTAAAGTTGTATTGTACCTGATCTGCCTTTATATTTCCGTTCTTATTGTTCAAAATGCTACCTAATTAAAGGAAAAAAAGACGAGGTAACAGGGCGGGTAGCAGTTTATTACACTACTACGTAATGCCGTGCTACCCACGGTCTCAGTCGTCCCCGGTCGTCCCCGTATCATCAGCTCCAACCTCCAGTCGCACCCCTTGCCGATTGCCAGATCTGATGTCAACTTGCTGTTTATTCGCGTCTTTGGGGTCGCACAATCGGATCATCTATATGAATAAGTAAGGGGTTCTACCACCATCCCAAGTAATTATCTCAACCAAGTCCCCATTTCTCAAAAGCAGAGCAACCCTCAGCCTTTAAAAGCTGTACGACATAACCATTAAACATTCATCCAAAACATTCATCCATATAAATATTCACTAAAAGTCTACGGCATCGAAAAACTCAACGCTACCCGTCCCGTCACCGAGCATCAAGTTAAACATCGGCAAGGTTTGACATTTAAACCCTAACTACATGTAGGTAGTTATGCTTATTATTTTACTTTCAATATACTTCGTAATAGCTGGGGATATCTAAAATACCTGAGCGTCATGGTTATTTCAACGCCAAGCGCTTAGTTTGATAATACCTACTCCTATCATATACGAGATAGGAGGGACGAATATAACATTTCTAACCAACGAAAACCTATCCATATCTCCAGTTTCATACGACGTCGCATTGCATAACTTTTATAAGTAATGTAAATAGAACGAAGATGAGGCTGTTAACATTATATTAACTACCTAGGCTTATTTGAGTAGTGAATATGAGGATTACCCAAGGTTACAAACACGAATCCTCATCGTTTCAAGGTGCGCCGCTTCTTTAGCGAATTTCGTAAGATCTGTCTTGATCTAAATCTGAAAACCAGCATTATCACGTGAATTAAGATGTTCCCAGATCTAATCCGTATACAGTATCCGAAATGAGTATGTACAGTGACGTAGACAACTTACGTAAGTACTAGTTACAGGTATGTATGAGATAAGCAGTTAACATGGCCCAAGCTTCGCGGAGCCCCGTCTACCCGCCCGTAGCTCGACGCGGTTCACGCCGTTAGCTTCCACCTCGTGGCTCATGGGCAGGTCTGCATGCGGTAATCGCGTCACTCTTCCGCACCTCACGGTCCTCACCTACCACACCACCTGAAAAAAAAAAATCGCAACTACACCTGACCTCACCTTTTTACACCATTCGCATCTATCGGCGCAAATAACAACCACTATAATCTAGATCGCGTTATCATCAATACCTAGTCTATACCCTTATAATTGGTAGGACACTATCGTATAAGCTCTCCATTTCGCCGTATCTCTAATTCCGACAAGCTCCATCATAACAATTACAATCCCATAACAATTCCATACAACTACCATCACAATGGCAGAACCAACTTCAACCGATACTCCGATATTATCAGCTATCCCATCAGCTGTCGCATCAGCCGCGGGCACTCCCCAATCTCTACCTCCTATGGATCCCGATGAGCGCGACAAGTCCTTGCACGTATCGCTAGCCGATCTGACGGCTAAGGCTAACGCGCTGTATGCGCAGAAGAAGTATGAGGACGCAGCCGAGGTCTTCTCCCAGGCTACCGAGATGCAGGCCGAGATCAATGGCGAGATGGCCCCCGAAAACGCGGATATTCTGTTTCTATACGGTCGCAGCCTCTTCAAAGTGGGCCAGAGCAAGAGTGACGTCTTAGGTGGAAAGCCCTCTGCTGAGAAGAAATCCAATGGCGCCGCAGATAAGAAATCGAAGGGGAAAAAATCCCAGGCCGAAGCATCGATTCCCAATGCGACCAAGGACGAGAAGACCGATGCAGAGGAAGGGGTTGCCATTGTTACCAAGAATGCAAATGAAAGTGAAAAGGTGTCCGACGCCAAGAAACCACTTTTCCAATTTACAGGCGACGAGGAGTTCGAAGACTCGGACGAGGAAGAGGAGGCTGAAGGCGAGGAAGAAGAGGAAGACGATGATCTGGCCGTCGCGTTTGAGGTTCTGGACTTAGCACGTGTGCTTTTCGAGAAATCTTTAGAACGACAAGATGAAGACTCTTCAGAAGGGAAGGGAAAGGAGAAGGCTGAAGAGGATAGCCCTGCCATCAAGCATATCAAGGAACGACTTGCAGATACCCACGACCTTCTAGCAGAGATCTCCCTCGAAAATGAGAAGTACGATAATTCCCGCATTTATCGTCGTTATTCGCCTACGAATACTAACCGTGGCATAGGTATCCACTAGCAATTAACGACTGCCGTGCTTCTCTAAAGTATAAAGAAGGTCTCTATTCTCAAGAGTCGGAGGTGATAGCCGAAGCGCACTTTAAACTTTCGTTAGCTCTCGAATTTGCATCCGTCACCACAAGCGCCGAAGACGAAGCCGGCACGGGGCCAAAACCAGTCGACGAAGGCCTGCGGAAAGAAGCGGCCGAAGAGTTGGAGAAGGCTATCGCGAGCACAAAACTCAAGCTTGACGCCAAGGAGGTCGACCTCGCGATGCTCCACGCGCCTGAGGATAACGACGCGACACGGAAGCAGATCGCCGAGGTTAAGGAATTGATCGCGGACATGGAGCAACGGGTGAGTTTTTCACTTCCCCGTACACTCCTTAGTGTCGCGGTATGAAAACGATATGGCAAATAAGACTAACTACTATCAATGAAGCTTATCGAACTCCGAAAACCCCCCATGGACGTCAACTCGGTTCTCGCATCTGACGACACCATGCTCGGAGTACTCGGTACAGCACTGGGCGAGTCGACCACGAATAAGGAGGCGAGACTTGAGGAAGCGAAGAAGGCTGCTAAGGACGTATCCGGCCTAGTGCGCAAGAAAGCCAAAGACGGCTCCAAGCCCGAAACCGAGCAAGCGAAGGCAACCAACGGGAAGCGCAAGGCCGAGGACACCGCGCCAGGTGAGGAAGAGACGAAGAAAACCAAAGTCGAAGAACCCGCACAGTCCTAGCCTCCGAGGCGAAGCAAGCCGAAAGGAGTAAGTAACAAATCGCGAGCTTAGGCGCTAGAGCACACTCTGGCCGTTAGATTCCCCTGAGCTCTCTGGGATCGTAAATAGTCGTTAAAAGGGCAGCAGCCAAAGGGGGTTGGTTGTATATTATTGTGTAAAACAAAAGGGCTTCAACGAAGAAGTACCACTGGACAGGCATACGTATTGTGGGATATACATGTACCATGTACCTATCCCACACATATCCAAATCTATACTATCAGACGTCAAGTGCTGTGGCGGAAGAAAAGGGGGAGGAGATAAGAATGGGGAATGGTGATCCATGCTCTTAGCCACTTTAGGTAGGAAGGCGAATCGCATTGTGTGCTTTATACATATATATTTTTGCTTCATGGTGTAGCAATGCAATTATTAAGCATTTCCTTCTATAGGGTTTATGGTGTGTAGGTATTGCCGCTGATACAGTTAGCTACCTACGGAGGGGAGTTTTTTGCATGCTACCCGGTTTGTATACAATATACTCTACGTCTGTCACAGACATAGGTACCTGTCACTATAACTGAAAACGATAGCAAATATCCTCTAATGATTTTTATTTCTACCGAGTCCCCACAGGAACCGCTAAGTACCTTAACGAACACGCGACTCAGGTATATCAGCTAGGGGTGTAAACCTCAAATCAAAGGACTAAAAAAAAAAGTCAACAGCCGCAACCGAAAACGCCGCATAACTCCCAGGCAGTGCTTGCTGCTTTGCTATGTGCTGGCCGCCCATTGGGAAACGGTAGCGGTAGCAGCACGCCGGACGTAGGTACTCATACAAATAGGCCAGGTAGGAAAGGCATCATCTCCATATCTATGCCTGTCCCCTGAAATAGTGTGGAAAATAGAAGAGAGGTAAAGAGAAACAAGTGATGTAAGTAGACCCGTGTCATGCCCGTCGTGCTTTCTTCCTAGAATGAGCCCTTTTCATCTTGAAATCCGTTCTGCCCCTGCTCGAGAAGATTCGCCAACCGTCTCGCCACCGCGTATCCGTCGGTATCGCGACGTTGAAAGATAAGGTGAGAGAAATCCAGATTCCCTTGATCTAGTCTCACCTCCTGGAAGATTGTCAGGTTCGGACGTCAGTACAGACAACTCCGTCGGCGACTCCTGCGCCGCCTCCACAGCCGAACCACTCCGACTCTGCCTTCCCGCGCTCTCAACAGGCGTAAGCCCGCGCAAATTCGTCCCCTACGACAGATCGCGACCGGTCGCCATACCTATCGTTGGGCCGGACGCCTTGCCCTTGCCCTTCGCGGCCGCGGACGATGGGGCATTGTTCCACGATAGATAGGTGTGGTCACCGAGCTTCCGGGGCTTGATAAGGTTCGTGATAAGGAAGACTAACGCTAATACGATACAGAAGCCACCGACAACGAGCCAGAGGATACCTAGGAAGTTGTTCCTGCCGCCCATGACGGACAGCGTTGTGATGACGATGCTCTTTCTGCCCTGGTACTGATCTGTGCGGAAATCTGATTTGATGTGTTAGTGGGTTTATGCGAAGCTTCAGTTAAAATGCGCAGGGGTAACTTACTATCAATGATATCCATAGAATAGGTACCTATTCTCATTGGGCTCGTATCATTCCGCATATACAGTTTGCTAAAGGTCGGCAGACCCGCAGTACGCATCCACACGATAAAGTGTTCGTCTTCGTGCAAGTTGGGCGGAGGGTTTTCAGTAGAATAGTTGCCACCGGGGTACCGGATCTGCCAGTTAGGGGGCGGGACGATTTTGGTATAATCGGTGCTCACCCTTGGCTTATATAGCTCTTTATCCGATTCCCAGGAGATTGAAGTGTTTGTCATAATATAAGTTTCATTACCCTCCGGGCCATCTGAACCCGGCGGATTTAACAATATCGGGCTTTGGAAAGTGTCGTTGAATAACGAGTTGGCAATGAGGCCACAAGGATAATATGCTCTCGAGTTCGGGTATGTACCATTAGTTGTAGCTAGGGGCTCGCAATTGGAATCGTAAACTTCGGCAATTGAAACATCATCACCGGCAAGCTGTTTATCGAAGAACGACTGGACGTAGCGGCGATGATTTTGGTAAAAATTTTCAAGACGGTAGTAGAGAAGAACTGGCGGAGCCATCTCTTCAGGTATCGCAAAGGTCAGAGTGCACTTGGTGAGATTCTGAACTAGATGGTTGCCGTAAGTCTGGTTAGTTAAAGAATGTTGCCACATGGCGTTGATTGTATTATTGTCCTTGAAAGACGGAAAGATCAGACTCGGGTCCATCAGTCTAGCTTCATCGGTAGGAGAATCCCGGAAGCAGTCGGTGTAATCGATGCGAAGTTCTTTAACCTTGAAGACAACCTGTCAGCAGTGATCCAGACATTTCGCGAACATTTCGCGAAAGATATGTCATACTGTAGAGCTAGCATAAATCAATAGTCCACCTATAGGCGCGCATATAATACCTATAACGAAGAAGAGCGGGATGACCGTCTTGGGTGTGAGGATTGGCTGCCATGCTTTCAATCGTTGCTGGCGAAACGCGGTATTCGCGGGTCTTCTGCTCTTCTTCTTCTCCTTGGTGTTGTCGATACTCTCGGGAGGCGACGAGTCGTCCATTGTGAACTATTGAGATACTTCGGTTCTATGAGATATCGAGGAGGCGATAGGGGAGAGAAAGGGTAGAGTAGTTCGCGATAGAGCTATGATCGGGGGGCCTAGAATCTACGTCTCCCGTCGAATAAGAGACTCGAGACTCGGGACCCGGGGCAGCCGAGAAATTCGTCGCTCAGTCTCGGAAATTAGCGCTCAATCGGACACGGAAGCACCAAGTTTCTATATCGCATACACCAGTACGACGAAGAGAATATTGATTGTTGATAACGGGATAATGTCCCGGCAGTATGTTCGAAACAGAAAAGATTGATGTCGCAGACGAGAATCAGCCATGAATCTCCAGGGCTGATTGTCTTTACGATTGCGTGGCTTAGCTTATGCCAGATACGAACTCTGGCCACTCTCCTGAAATGAAGCACAGCCACCCTGCACGATTACCAAATACCATAGACCCACTTGTAGGTAAGATACCCAGGTACCGACGTATATCAGCACGTGATTACCCCCTAAGGCCACAGGAGGCATTGTTCAAATGGTCAACGACGTATTAGGCCAGACGATTATAGCTAACATATAAATACTTCGTACTCATATTACATAGCGTTTCACTGTTCGAGAGTCCCGCTGGTTTATACTAACCATGTTTAATATGCAACTTCATAAAAAAAAAGCATCCAAGGTCCCAATTGCCGCTCAAAGTTCCCTCCACCTTAAGTGACATAGGGCCGTCTTATAATGGAAGCTATTAGTTTCACTCAGTACCTTTCTACCACCAGGTAATTTTAACTATTAACTGATCGAATCCCCAAGAAATAGAATAGTATACCTACTCCCCCCAAAAGTTTGTTAAGCATAAGAGGTAACTAGTATTATCACCGGTAATAACCGGTAGATACGAATTTATACGTAAGAAACCCAACCGAAAATCCCCCAAACCCTGAGTCATGACACGGTAACATTAACCCCACTTGCTCAAGGTAGATAGATAGGGGCTCGGAGGCCACGAGGTTTGACTTGGGTAGCCATACTTCGCGTCTGATTGTGTTTGATTATTGTACAATATCTAGGTATATTTAAGAGGTCCCGTTCTCGTAGATCTTGTCATTGCTTCCCGAGACTCGTCATGTTCTCGCGTTTGGCCTCCTGGATATCTATCCCCGCGTAAAGAAGAATGGCGTCAGAAGTTCTTAAAATTGAAGCTTTCTACTACAAGCTTGACTCCGTTACCGACGAGGCGTTCGAAAAATATGTCCGCGAAGTTTTAACCCCTAAATGGGTCGGCATTATGAAGAGGCACAACGTGGTTCGCTACACATCCGTACGTCTTCCTTCCTTGGTTGTGCTTATAACAGGCATGAGTTCCAACCAACACATAGACTATCACACCCTCATCCTATGCCCGACAATTTGGCCCAACGCTTACTAAAATTCGTCCGGACTGGTCAATGCTAGAGGCTAATTTCACTCGTACATATTATGTCCGCAACTTCGACGAAATGAAAGCAATCATAGGCGATCCTGACTACAAGGGGAAGGGAGACGACATAGAGGTTGGATGGATTGACCCTTCCAGAGGATATGTTAAAGTCGGTTGGGAGACCGTATACATAGAGAACAGCAAGGTTGTGAATACAGTTCCAAAGGAATGAAGTCTGCGGAGTGAAAGTATCGCATTTGCAGCTCGATCAACATGTCGAAGAGGGGAAGATAGGTTCCTATCATTATGGATAAACCATTATTCTTCCATGATACCTTCATTCACCTATGTGATTAGCTCTCATCTATAGCCTCACTATTTCCGAAAAGGGGAAAAGGGAAATTTAATGCGATCATTGCTCCGAATCTGGCAGTAGTAAATAACTACCTACCTAAGGTATGCATTACGTCGGTATTAATAAATGATATGTGATAGATTACCTCAAGTAATATAAGCTACAGTAAGTTTCTCCAGCAGTGCATTTATGCCATAGCCCCTCGGTAGTATCCAGTTAAGTCACCATTTAGAACTTGCTATTTGGTAACATCGGGTAGTAAGGTACATATCTAAGATGTCGAATCTGGCGACAAGCAACCTTATCGTTGGGCTTTATAACAGTGCTCAGCAATACAAGGATAGCATAATAGACATCGAGTCGCGTTTCGATCAGCGAAATGCGCTAGTTTAACTCTGATCTACAACGAATTCATACGATCAATATCAACTCTTTGGCCGGAATCTGTTATCCTCATATGCTTCATACAGATGCGTCGCCATCATGCCTTGACGCCAGAGCCGCTCTCAAGCGCGCCCTAACCTTCTGATAAACCAGTCTCGGGACTAATCTACAATCATGTCCCGGCACAGGCCAGCTAGGCTGCGGAAGATTGATATCAGCGTCGCTGTCAAGCAACAGTCCAACAATATCGTCATGCCCCAGCTCCATGGCCAACTCGACAGGCCGACCGCACGAAAACCAGATCGGGTCCTTTCCTAGGTCAAACTCATATAAATCCCAAAGCATACCATGGTAGCTGGCGTTCACATCCGCCCCGTGTAGGAGCAGCAACCGAACCAGATCCGCATTGCCTTTCTTAACCGCACGGACGAGCGGGGGTATGAATTCCTCTGATTCCGCCCGGTCGAAGAAATAGCAGCCATCATCCTGAGGGTCCCAAGGAAGAGGCCGATCTTCTTCTTCGAATTCGCACCGGACGCCATTTTCTAGTAGGAGTTTGACCATCGGGATATCCTGCTGATACACGGCGAGGCCTAGAGCTCTCGTTGAGGCTACCCGATCAGTGGTTCGCACCAGGGCCTGGGCGATCTCTCGATTCCCCTTCTCCACGGCCCTGACTAATGCAGGTCCTCCTTTGTGCATTCCACGGACGGTAAAGCTAGGAAAATTCGCATCGGCCCCTTTGCCGAGAAAGAGGCTTACCAGAGGGAGGTTCCCTTCTCCTGCAGCCCATTCTAACGGGCTTACTCGCTCGGCACCAATCCTTACGTTCAAATCCATTCCATATTCCAACAGTTGTAAAACAACCCTGTCGTATCCGGCTTGCAATGCTGCCTCGAGTAGCTCTTCCTTCTGGGTTTGACTAGGAACAGTGGGGTCGGCGCTTTCATTGACCACTGCCTTGCCATGCTCCAGAGGTCTCATACGCCGAGGAGGGACAGACTTTTTCGTTTTAGTAAAGCGATTGTACAAGTCGAATTCACGGCGAGCCCCGTCCCATATTAGTTCCCAGCCATCATCCTCTCTGATAACTGCTTGATGGGAGTCCTGGGCTGGGGGATTGCTAGCTACAGGGGCTTTGGTGGATTCGAGTGAAGTTATCCAGAAATTATCCTTCTTTTTAGGAGGGTTATTCACCCTGTATTGCTTGAAGGAATTTGGAACAAATTCAGGACGGAAAGTAGGTGTGTACTTCCGCTGAAGAAGTTTATTCCAATCTACGCCGTCAAAAAAGGGATGAGATTTGACCTCCGAGGCATCTTCATTGGCCCCTAAGCGCTGCTTAGGGTCGCGGTCAAGAAGCTTAGTTATCACATCCTTGGCACTGGGAGGAAAAGACTCGGGAAAATAGTCGGGTTGGGTGAGAATCTTTTGGTGTATCATATCGTGGTCCTCGTCATAGAATGGGGGTAGCCCCGTTAACATTTCGTAGAGGAAGACTCCTAGCGTCCACCAGTCTGCCGTCCTGGATTCGGCTTGGCCAAGAAGGAATTCCGGTGCTGGATACTCAGGTGTCCCATGGCTCCCGCTTTTAGTATCAGGGTTGAAAAGGCCAAAGCCGCATAAAACAACATGACCAAATGAATCAAGAAGAGCATTTCTAGGCTTCAACCAGGAGAAAACCTTCCGAGTATTATGTAGATACTCTAACGCACAGGTAATCTCAGCAGCGTAGAACCGTGATCTATCGACATCGAAACATCGATCCTTCTGAAGCTGACTGAAAAGGGGTCCGCCGCTAATGTATGGGGAAAGGAGGGTTAAACCCTCTGATGATTCGAAAGCAAAGGAGAGCGGCGCGACAAAAGGATGGCTGACCTGATAATCCCATATGCTTTCCAGTTTAAGCTGAGAACTAAGCTGTGTTGTTCTAATCTTTGATTCGGCATATACACGCTGGGTGTCTTTCTTAATAATACCGGAGGTCCATACACCGTTGATAGGTCTATCACGCTCGAGGTCCCTCTCTTCTAACGTCCCATTTTCATGGCTCGTATATTCAAAGCTAATGCGTAGCTTCCCAGTACCATCTTCCAAATCCAGCCAACGTGCTTCAGACTTTTCAAGTTCGTCAAAGGGGTTCGCCCGTGCTACGCCCAGGCAAATATCCCGACTCTTCAAAGTGTGATTAGGATCCCGAACGTAAAGATATATTGCCAACTCAGAAAAGCTTGAAACATCGAACTTGCATATATCAAGCCGGGACATCCATAGGGGATTTTCGGTTGTCCCCCAATAACAGTTGAGAGTCGCCTGCGACTTTTCATAATCTAAAAGCGCATACGGATAGTTGCATCGCACACAGACAGGCGTGCGGCGCCCCACATGGTGATTATGTGCCTCGCCGTTAGAGCGTTCCTTATAGTCCTCCGCTACGGAAAGACCGATAGCCTCATGAAGTGTTACCGTCAAAATTCCCCTTGAGCTTGGTGCAGAAGTTGGTGGGTTCATCAATTTGATTGGACCGATGTCCTTCTCGTTGGATACTATGGAAGGGTATCAGCCACATAATAGGTACTTATGCAGTAGCAATACTTACTCTTAGATAATTTATAACTCATCTTGGTGTTAACTTGCAATAGGTAATGTTGTGAAGCAAGAAAAATCCAAGGGGCTGGGGTTAACGGCATGTTCGGCGGTATGCTGCGAAAACTTACCCCTGTAATTATGCAGGGTCTTGGCACATTTTAACACAATATGTATAACTATATGTATTTTATAATACCTGGGGATAAGAACGCACGATATTGTGAGTACTAGGACTCGGAAGGTCCGAGTCGAAATACCTACCAAGATTATATGCTGCAATTTATTACCATCTCGAACTCCTACGAACGCGGTTCAGTAGAGGATTACATGAAGATATTCATTGTAAGTAAGGCTCATGCCTTGTATAGGTATATTTTAAGCAAGCCTATCAACAACACCGTTACCTATAATGATTTGTTACGCAATGTAGTAACATTTAGGTAGTATAGCATGAGTCCCTGGAAAGACAACTACTACTAACTATATCAAAGCTCGAGGAATTTAATTTATCGTTAAAATAGTGGCAATACATCTTCCTGCTTGTAAGAATCTATTAAGTGCCAAAACTTCGGCTTATAAATTCTCTTCTCCTATTAGAGTTGTAACTAAGTACTATCAATACTATAAGCTCTTGGAGGTGTGAGGACTCGAGGATATCTCGTGATAACATTCATAATGGATACCAAACTCCAATAAACGTAGGTATAACAGATCTTGAATAATAAATGATTCTTCATTTTTATCGCGATATCTGTTTGCCTATTATATGATTTGATACAGCTACGTCAGCCGAGTCTTCTCGCTCGAAGTGACCGATATCTTGAAGCATAATTTAGTATCCTGACCACGGGGCGCGAATTTAGAGAGACGCAAGATGCCTTTGATTGTCGAAGATGTTGCTTACTAAATTTAGTGTAGCGAAGACTATGAGTAACTGCAGCCTTACAACTTCAATAAGATATAGTTAGTCACTTTTATATGCTAGTATGAATTGACGCACCCTCTAACTTGAACAGTTTGCTATATTACTGATTTATTACTTGACCCGAAGTAAATAGTTTCAAAGTTATGAACGGTCTAACTACCTCTTAGAACTATAAAGTCTATACTATGAAATGTATTATAGGATTGCCAGATGGTATCTTCTGTACTAGGTACGGGCTGCTTTCAACCAGAAAGATACCTAAAGCGATAACCTACCTATGGAGTATGTAACTGCAACTGCAGAGTTACAATGCATACCTACCAACGGCAATGAAGTCCCCGATGCATTTCGTACCTACCCACTTAGGCATTCATGACCTATCTCGATCTCCAACACCTTCGGCAGTGCTCTCCACGCCGTGATGTCAACACCGAAATCCCATCTAGGAATATGTAATGTGGGCAAGCCGTACCCACCCTACGGTACGCACAGGTTCACATCATCCGTCTCCACCTAATCCCGAAGATAAACAGATAAACCATCAAAGTGGGTCCTTCGCTAAGATATCCTCGTGATAGGAAGTTCTTAACTGATATAGGCATGTATGAAATAAACGATCTCGAGGGATCTGTAGCCCATCTTAAAGAGCCTATTATACCTCAAATAGTGTATGTAGTATCAACAGATCAAACAGAAGCGTGGGTAGATCTGTGTGACGTCAGATAGCACGGTCCATGTGACCCCATTGGACGCAATGGGTGCCAACGGCGTGCGCAGGGTGCAAGCGGGCACATACGAAATAGGCAATCAGATATCCCAACTCTGCAATTCTATTGGCTAACCATTTGTACAACCCTTGGTCGATTATTCAACCGCTCCAAGTACCCCCCGTCCGCAGGCTTCACCTTTGGAGTCGGTGACGAGCATCATTCAATTCAAAAAAAGCTTGGTGTTATCTTAAAAAATTCAAGGGATATGCTTGAATACGTATGTGCTTAACCGGCTAATATTGAAGCCTTGGTCATCAATTAACATTTTTGGTTGCTCCTTACGTACGGATTATGACGTTGGAAAGTGATTTTAGGTACTGTCATGAATCAATACATACTGCCGTAAGATGTTTGGTACCTCGAATTTGATGAATACTTAATTACCGAGTAAGGGAATCGGGATTATGATCGGAATTTAATTTCAAAGTTTGGACACAAAGAGAAGCTGCTTATACATTGCTCATTAATACGGCCAGGTTAGGTAAACTTAGCAGCAAGGGGGTTCGTACACTATTGTGTCATTATCAAGGAGGCAAAGGTAAAGTAAAGCATAACCAGGTATTCATAGTGAGATCAATCAAGTAACAAGGTCCGAAAACCGAGCAGACCAAGTTAAGGTGAGAAATTATTTGTATTCGTATCAATTCATGTCTTTAGAGACTCCGTTCTATGTTGAAATAAGGCTCCGCCTAAAAGCAAAATCATCACTACCAAAGGGGTATCCTCCTGCCTAGTTTGCTGCGCCGAAAATTGTCTCCATAATTATGCCCGTAATCTGGTACGGGTCAGCGTTTGACGCCGGACGTCGGTCCTCGAAGTAACCGTAGCCCTTGGCGGCACATTCCCGGGGAATGCGGATCGAGGCGCCTCGGTTCGCGATGCCGTAGCTGAACTGGTCGATGGTGCCAGTCTCATGTCTGCCAGTCAGGCGCATCTCGTTGCCTTCACCGTAGACGGCAATGTGTTCCTTGTGTCGGCCCTCAAGCTTCTTGATCGCTGCTTCAATGTGCTATACGGGTTATTAGTAAATTATATAAATGACCGGTAGGTGCGTTTAGTCATACCTTCATGCCGCCCTCGACGCGCATTTCTTTGGTGGAGAAGTTGGTGTGGAGACCGGCACCGTTCCAGTCACCAGGGATAGGCTTAGGCTGGACCGAGATCTTGGCACCGAATTCCTCGGCAACACGGTGAAGGAGGAAGCGAGCCATCCAGAGCTGGTCACCCATCTCAATTCCCTCGCAGGGACCGACCTGGAACTCCCACTGGGCAGGCATAACTTCGGCGTTAGTACCCGAGATCTTGATACCGGCGTAGAGGCAAGCCTTGTAGTGAGCATCGACGATGTCACGGCACATCACCTTGCCAGCGCCAACACCGCAGTAGTACGGTCCCTGAGGAGCAGGGTAACCGTTCTTGGGCCATCCATAGGGTCTGTCCTCCATGTCGAAGAGAGTGTACTCTTGCTCGAGACCGAACCACGGAACGTGTTCGGCGTGGGCTTCCATCAGCTTGGCGCACTCGTGGCGGTAGTTGAACTTGTTGGGCGTGCCATCGGCGTTCCAGCACTCGGCAAGGACTAGGATGTTGGGAACACCTCGCATGGGGTCGGGGTAAACTGCAACGGGTCGTAGGTAGACATCGCTGTTGTCACCCGGAGCTTGGTCGGTGGAGGAACCGTCGAAGTTCCATACGGGAAGATCCTCGGGTTTGAAGTTACCGTCCTTAGGAATCGAGGTGATGGTCTGAATACGTGGATGTACAGTTAGCGCAAATTCGCGACCACACGGTATTGAAACGTAAATAAACCACTAGCGCAGAACAAACAAGAGGCGGTGCAGTGGAAATTGAATAATGATAGTAGTCGCCACTGGGTGCAGGATACGAATGATGACGCCGCAGGTTGCCCACATGCCCACATGGCCACTTGCGCCACGGCTGAGCGGGTGCTGGAAAGGCGCGCTGCCGACAAAGAATTACAACGCGCAGCATTGTGGGTCGAGGGTATTCTCGGCAATATGGAGTGTAGCAAACAAGTGCCAAGTGGGCGAGGTCGGAGCAAGCCGGTTCTATTCTTGATCGAGTTCGAACCGGTCAAGGCCTAAACAAGGATCTGCGAGCCTAGAAAACCACCCAAACCTGACAACAGCCCACGAATTGAATCTCATGGGAGCTGATCAGAAAAATCAGGGTCCTCTCGTATGTAGGTCCCGGCCAATTCCCGCGCAACTAGTAATGTGCCGAGAAGGGGCCTGACACGAGGGTATCAAGTAATAGGAACGCAGGCCATTCGACCGAGATAAGGGGTGAGAATGTAGATTACGTACCTTGCTCTTGGATCGCACATGGCCGTGAGCATCAACCCAGATGTACTCCGCCATGGCGTTTCCCTTCTGGTCGAGCTTCATGTACTTCATGAGCTATCACAATAAGTTAGCATCATTGCTCGTGAGGCAGACAGTCGCATTTGCAGTCGCAGCCGCAGCGCTGGTTGCCAATAATGCGCTGTGTCCATGTGTTAAGGGGTTATCGCGTGCTCACGTTCTCAGTGTACGAGACATAGCGGCTTTCGGCCTAGTAGAGGGATTCTGTTAGCAAATCTTCGCGTGAACTGAGGGGTAATTGGCTGAGGATGGAAGGTCGGTGGGGTTTCGATGCAGGATGAGACTCACCATCTTTGCGGTGTTGGAGTATTAAGTCGATCTAGGAGTAAGTTTTTATTTTTTTTATGATACGAATTCGCAAACCGCGTGTTCTCGAAAGACAGACGTGGAACGAAAGAAGGATATTTATCGACGAAGGAGAGGAATGAAAGTTTGGGAGGAGAGGCGATAGGAAAGAATCAAAAGAAGGAATCAATTGCGGGGGGACGCTGAGGCTTTTATGTGGAAATTTCCGTCAACCGGAGAGGTCCTCTAACTGTAGTGCATTCAAGGCAGGTACAACTCAGGATTAATTGTAAAAGATAAGGCGCCTTGTTAGCTCGTGGCGCTGAAAATTCAATAGGTTAGGTACCTAAGGTACCTACCTAACGAATTACAACTGTGTTGCTACCTGGATAACGGGATGTATACAAGTATATGATTAGGTACCTAGCTACATACATGTACCTATTAGTGTACGCTGCAGGGGCCTGTGGGCTTCTGTGCCCGCCTTCTGGAGCTTTGGGGCTTAGGGGTCCCACCGTCCCATTGCTCCTGCAACATGCACACCTGCACCGTTGCTGCACCTCAATAGCTGATCTGTCGCTTCCCATTAGTCGTTCCTTCCTTCCTTGCTTTAACCCTTTAGACGTACCTACCCTTTTAGCAGTGGGGTTGATGGGGGTACACGATATGCATCTCAGGCATCTTCGACTTACACGCCGCCACTTATCAGTATTGTGTAGGTCAGCTTCGGATAGCTTAACTTAAACCAACTTGGGTAACTTGTGGTAACCCGTGGTCAGGTTTTTAGCTGTTATCAGATTGGATGAGGTTATCTACCAGGTACACAGTAATGATACCCTCTTTTTATGGCCTTCTAGAACTCTTGCCAACGTCCCGATACCCTTAACCGCTGCTATTATCCGGTTCGACTAACCAGCTAACACGGCCTGTGCCTTGTGCCTGGAACATCGGATCCGATGTTGTGGAACCCGCCTTGAGTTGACCGACACGTTGCCGTGCTGAATTCCCTTGCGCCACAGACATCTAGAACAATATCAAGTCGAATTACTGAGAGCCCAGCTTCATGGCAACTCAACAGGTTGCCGACTCAACTCCTTAACTTCTCGTAACTATTACTTGCCATACCTATGGCTCTAAATTATCAATTTGCAGAATTTGAGTATGACATCGATTATGCTGATCTTAGTGCCGGAACAGCTACGGGCTACGCAGCATGTGCAGTAGGCTTTCTGCACACTCCATCAAAAGAGAAGCATCGTGGTCGATCACAACAAAACTGGTTCAGAGTTTTAAGACATGCGGTGGGAAACAGTTAATTCAAATTTGTTCCCAACAGTGCTATCAAGTTAACAAGTCTGGTGTATATTTACTTAGGTAGTTAACTGTCTTGTTGGTTGACCCTTTACGTTACATTCAATCCTTTGTATGCAACGCAGGCGGGAGTGATTTCGTCACCTACTGTAGACTTTCTTAGCACACACAATAACTGAATTGTGCTAAAGCCGGAAGCTTGCTTATGTAGAATTAAGACGAGCAAACTGACTCGAAATGGAGACAATGCTTAACTTTTCTGAACCCGAATTGCCGCCGCCGCTAGGTTTCAATCTAGCCATCTGATATTGTGGATATTTTCACACGAACAAAGCAATAATGTGTGGGGAATATCGAAATATACTTAACTGTGTACCTAAGGTACTGAGCCAAGACCTTCCCGCGATTCGGACCCTGGGGTTTTGAGTCATTAATTACGGTAATTCATGTTGTTCGAGTTTTTCTTTATTCAATCCATCTCGAGTTGCATTACTGCAAAGTCGGGTATCTGTTTGCTTATTGGTTGTGAAAGACGGAAAGCTAATGTTGAGGCGGTATATTAAAGTTACTACGTACTAACCTTTACATGCAGTTGTCCATAAGTAGAGGCGAGAGGCGTAAATTGTATCACCGAGATGTGCTGTATTGTCTACTTGCTTTTAAAGTAGAATCAATTTGCTCTCTTCTTTCAGTTTCCGTTGATCTGGTCTTCCAAGTTCGTATTATTTTTTGTCAGTTGTTTGTTAGGTACTATTACGTATTAATGGTTACCCCATTAACAAAAAAAAAAAAATTAGTTAATATATCGTCCCATAACAATTGTAAATTTTGTATGTTAGGTACCTACATAATTTGCTTAATCCCGAATCCTTTACTTTTGGGTTTCGAGACATGCTTGGCCTTGGGCCGAACCCCCATTATCCAATTCAAATTTTGACAAATCGATTTCTTAGCATCTACAGGGCTGTATGTAATGGAGTTACATCCAGATAATAGCAAGGTTATGATATGATTCATTCTAAATAGAACTTTTCGTCGTCCAACCGCGAAACTCTTCATTCAGCTTACGAAGTATTCAAGTATTGATGTACATAGGCATAGCTACATGTGAATAGCTGACCCCAAACTTTTGTAACAAGGTAGATTGCGGGGTTGGTACGACGCCAGAATATTTAGCGTTGTCACCGGCGTCCTATGTTATCGTCGGCTTGTTATTGGCTACTTGACCTTTCCATTGCTTAATTCCATCTAGTACGCAGTACGTAAGTATTCAGGGCGAGCAAGGTCTGCAATTGGATCCCTCCAACTCTATTTTTGGTAAAGGAATTTCAACTTTATTAATCCCTCACCGTTTGTTCTTGTCATTCTAGATGGCCTACATAGTAAAGCATTCGAAATGTCTTTTTCTTCCATCCTCGTATTGCGTGTTCTTTGCCCAGACTGATCTACCCCTTTTTACCACAGTTAGATCTTTCACCGGATGTCTTTCTCCCTTACGCGAAGCAATCAAATACGATACTGTGGCTTCAATCGCCTGTTTCATTCTCCAATTCCCGTTAAGGAGCTGACGCGTTTAAACAATGACACATTAGCGCATGGATTTTACTACCTTACCTGGTAGGTAGGTACTATACGATTATTCTCGATAATTATAATATAACAACGACCTTTTCGACTACTTGTCCTGGCCTTCTGATGGCACAGCGCAAGCAGTAAACCTTGAATCATAACATATTATATGATTATTATATGATGAGGTTTACCTACCTAGGTACCTAGATAAGTCTTGTTTCCCCTGTGACCAGAGAGATCACGGGTCCAGATGGTTACACGAATATCACATACTACACGGTAGGTATTTTAAAGATGTATACTTACAGCTAGGTACATACGTGGCACGAGGAAGGAAGGCACCTGCAGGTAAGTTGAATCGTGGATAGGTGCTCTACCATTTTACTGTTCCCGAGAGGAAAGAGTAGTCAAATCCAGAATTAGTAGGTGCAAGCTTGGAAATACATATGATAGGAACGGCAGCTGCAATGTTCCCTTTACCAATAAGGTTATTGGTATGGAGGTAGGCAGCTTGCTTCAATCTTCGGAATGCACATACACTCAATCAACATCCTACATCCTACAGTGAGGTACCTAATATACCGCGTTATCATCAATTTCTGTACATCTATTCCGATCTTTCCATGTCGTCGTCTAGATATACTTTAATAACTATGGTTATGTCCAAGCTTCTAGCTACTTAAGTACCTCGGTATGAACTGGACTGAAGGGAATCTCTCCCGCCATTCTAGAGGTAGGCAACGCAACGAATTACTTACACGACAAAAGCAACATTTTGCCAAGGTTCGCAATAATTTACTGAAAAGCGACGTAAAACGGAGTCCCGTATCAATATCCTTCCTCGGAACTCAGTACTCGCGAGACCTAAAGCGCCGCGATGATTCAAGTAGTGCAGCATACAAGCAACCTTCAAGTCCCCTTTTAACAGAGAAGCGCAACCGGGCTCGTAGCTCACTTGATAATCCAGATAATCAATCCTCCACGCGGGAGAAGAGAAGAAGACTACTAGACAAGGCAGACTGGGTCGGATTAAACTTACAGCAACCTATTGATATTACTTTCCCAGGGCAACTCCAGGCATCCGCTGGTTCGAGATGGAGCAAAGTAGGCCGCCCTCGAGTTCGCATGCTTCGGAAATACCGCGAAGATTCACGTACACCTCGACTGGGGGCCGCACATAATTCCCACGGTCCATCCCTGAAGATTCAAATTGGGAGTCAGGAGACCCTCCCAAATACCAGTATATCATCGCAATCAAACTCAGATATAAAAAGATATAGTCTCGTACCACAGCCCATAACTGGCTTACCACGGAGAAAATCGAATCTAACCTCAAGTCCGGAGCCTAGTCAAACCCGGCGTCCGTACGTAGTATCCAGGGATAGCCAGCTCCCACAGGTGCCAAAGGGTGAACGTCATGGGATAGCGGGGGGACATCAGGGCGGTGCGTACCGTAACGCAGTCAAAAAATCCTTATTTCCAGAGGAGCCAACTCATGTTGTATATTCCTCTTCGATAATCCATGAACCAACCCCTCTCCGAGCCAATTATTTTACGGTACTTCGATGGACTCCATCCGGCTCCGACGACCAGGGAAGCATGCAGGTAGAGATCGATCGCCCCTTGAGACCGATTCCATCGTCCCAAGAGGCAGACGAAGAGATTTGGAAGAACTGGGTGTCTACTTCGTCGATGATCCAGCCGGTTAGCGCCTCGGCTAACTCTCCGATTGCAATATCATCTGTCAGTTCAAGAGCTGGCGGCTTACCCTCTCACCTACAGAGACGGCTACCAAGCTATGATATCTCAAGCGAGGCAGGACTAAGCACGAATTATCCGCCTCAAGAGCCCAACATAGATGACCAAGCACCCCAAGCTAAAATCCATGAAAGTCACCATCAATCACCTGAAGAAAAACCAGGCCATAGCAAAATCAAAACCCAACCGCCGGACGATGATGCCGTTTGGATGAAGTTTGCTTTAAGCGACAATAGCGATGAATTAGAAGCAAGAGTGTTCGCAGAGGCTGCATTTCAAGCTGCTGCAGAATTGCGCCCTTCTGATACGTCTACGAGCTTCAATGATGCAGCCGAAACAATTGCCACTCATGGGTCTAATCCGGCTAGCAATGAGGACCAAGATGAGAGCACTTCCTTTGGATACTCCGATGAAAGTCACGTGGCAACAGATGGCACTGTGGCCTCGGAATCAGTACTCAGCAATATAGCTACCGTCGGCTCGACAATTCAAATGGAATCAGAACCTCGATTTCGCTTTGCGCAGCCGAGAGCATTCGTAGGGAAATTCGCTGATTCAAATGTCGCTACGACAGGAGGATCACGTCTTGTATCTCATAGTAAGAAAAGGAGAGGTAGGCCTAGGAAACGAGCCGTAGATGGGAGGGCGAATATCCGACGACTTCCAGATTTCGACGGGGATCCAATCGAAGAGTTTGAAGATGATTAAAATACCTATACTAGCTAAATTCTCAGCTATGAATATCTAGGAGGTAGTTACTCGAATTTATAATGAACAACTGCGACAATGTCTATAGTACTGGGCACTAATTGATGTCAGTGGAACTTTCGTAAACTACCTAAGCAGCTTACTTGCCCATAAATCATACCCTAAGATAGCTTACTGCCTAGGTATCTAGGTAGGTATACCGGAGTTTTTCGGCCATTCAGGTTGAGACTTATTTAGACAGCAATAGGGCGCAAGTACAAAAACCCTCCAGAACACATAATCAACGTACAGTATCCTTCACCTTATCCCCCCTGCAAAACTTACTACTTACTGCCTAGTAGTCGACATTCATACTTCCAGGGTCGTAACGTCTTTTAAATCGTGCGCTTCACATAAGTTATCATCAATCCGGCCGAGTAATTATGGCGCCCGCGTCGGAGGTTGATTTGTTTGCGCCGTTCGAGCGGGATGTCATACTCGAAATCCGGACGAGTAAAATGGAAATTATGCCAGGGCTAAAGATTGAGACGGGAATAAACAAGAGGATTCGTACCGGCCGCATACCCGTGACCTTCGGCGGCCTTGATGCGGATGAGCACGATCTCGTATTCCACGGGGGTCCAGATAAAGCAATCCACGGGTGTAAGTCCGCGCGCCTCTAATTTACAACTTACCGTGAATCATACGTATATCTAGAACGATTCTAATATACGCTCCAGACTGCTGTGCCCACTATCCCACATGGCAGAAAGAGTTTCCCGAAGCTGCTGCGCGCTTTAGGCCTGGCGGATTTGGGGAAAACTTCGTGACTGAGCGCAGTACGTATTTTTACCGATGTTTAATTTTCCCCCTATTTAAGAATCCCCTTTAGCGGGAGTACTTTGCGCAAGATGATCTTATGTCTTACCCCTCATAACTAGTGAACGAGCGTAATGTATGCATAGGTGACGTGGTATCCGTCGGTGACGATGGCGTGTTGCTTCAAGTCAGCCTACCGCGGCAGCCGTGTTTTAAGTTGAATCACCGGTTCCAGCTTAAAAACTTCGCACCTAATACCTACAAAACTAGCCGTACAGGTTGGTACTACAGGGTGCTACAGGAGGGCACGGTGCAAGCTGGTGATGAGATCCGGCTTGTGGAGCGCAAATGGCCTGGATGGACTATCGAGCGCGTCCAAGAGTACCTTCACCGAACGCAGGATAACGCCATCATGAACGAAAAGCTTGCTGCTATTTCAGATATGGGCGACGAAAGCAGGAAGGCGTTTGAGCGACGCGTCGATAAGCTCAAGGCTAAGCAGAGGCGCGCTGCCGCCGCACTCAATGGGAATGGAGATGAAGCAAAAGAGAAGTGGCGCGACTTCAGAATCGTGGAGAAGAAGGTTGAGACGCCGCGTATCTCATCATTCATCTTCGAAGCGCTACATCCTGACCCAGAGGCAGGGGAAATGCAACTTGGCGCGCACGCACGTCTCAGATTACCCAACGGCCTCCAGCGGTCCTACTCCATCGTCTCAGGCACGCCCAACCGCTTCGAATTAGGCATCGCCCTCGAGGAGCCTAGCCGCGGGGGGTCTTCGTATCTACACAACACAGCGCAGGTAGACGACATCGTGCAGATCGGGCGTGTGACAACGGACATCAAGCCCGCGGGCGCAGCCAGCAATCACGTCTTCATCGCAGGCGGCATCGGCATCACAGCCTTCCTCAGCATGCTCGAGATGTATCGCAAAATCCACTGGGATTCGACGCTGCACTACGGCGTGCGCGACGCATCTTCAGACGTACCGTTCCGGGCGCGGATCGAGGCGCTCGGCGACTCGGTGAAGATGTACGATCGCGCGAGGGGCCAGCGGATGGATATCGCGGCGATCTTCAGCGGCTTGCCGTGGAACTCGCACGTGTATGTGTGCGGACCACGGCGCATGATGGACGAGGCGATGCGAGAGGCGAAGGCGCGCGGGCTCGGCGAGGACGAGGTCCATTTTGAGGCCTTTGGGGCGGATACGAGCGGTGACCCGTTCGAGGTCGAGGTCACGTCGGCTCGGGAGAAGAGTAGTAGGGTTTTGCAGGTAGGTGCGGAGGAAACGTTACTGGAGGTGCTGAAGAGGCATTTTGGGGACGAGGATGTGCCGTCTAGTTGTGAGGTGGGTAATTGCGGGACGTGTAAGGTGGTGCTGAGGAGTGGGCGTGTTGATCATAGGGGTACGTCGCTGATGGAGGAGGAGAGGAAGGATGCTATGCTGAGTTGTGTTAGTAGGGGTATTGGGAAGATTGCTATTGAGATATAAGCTACTAGTTAACTATCCTATCTCAGTGAACTTAGACTTGAATTTGTTGAATTGGAAACATCTTAGTAGAAGTACATATCGACTATATGACACTATCCCAACCAAAGATCCGGCTTACCTCGCGGGAAAAATATAGACCAGCGGGTAACCCAGCTACTTCTACCAATATCTCTGCCAATTTTTTTGCCTCATACTTTCATTTAGCTTCATTGTCACACGTATCAGCCCTGGTTGCGTGCTTGCAACTGACGGTGTCGCCTTTCGCGACATTCATCAAACAACTTGATCATGCTTTCATTACACCAGTATTTAGCTATAGCTAATTCATATGGTGTTAGTGTCTCAGGAGACCGAGCATCACCATTTATATCCTTAATCATAAGTAATGGGTTAGTAATACACTGAACATCAACATTTATATCCTTATGATTAAGGAATGATTTAATAATGCTTTTATTTCCGTTAATAATAGCGGACATAAGAGGAGACCCGGAGTTTTCGTATTCAGCATTAACATCTATATCCGGATGATCGAGGAGCAATTTGACGATGCTCTCATTTCCGCGCTCGATGGCGTAGAACAACGCGGTTTTACCGTGGCTGTCGATCTGGTTGATGGGAATTTTCTGGACCATTTTTTGGACGCCACTGTGAAGCCCAAGCCATGCTGCCAAATGCAACCCAGTAATTTGTAATGGGAATATTTTGTCAGTGTCCTCCATGAATAAGGGCCGATCTTGAGTCATCATTACCTGACTAGCCGACTCAACTTTTGCGTTGGATTCGAGGAACTCGATAGCAGCTTGACCACCTATGCGTGAAGCTTCCTGAGCATGATCAGCCCAGTGAAGGGAAGAGTATTTATAAAACGGATTTGAAATTATCCGCTCCTCAAACTCTTCCTCCGTTCGACAAGAGCCGCTCCCAAAGACATCGAACGATAAATAGGTAATACAAGCATCCGCAATCTTGACTTTCGCCTGGGGAAACCAACGGCCCCCAGTTTTGTCAAAATATTGCTGCGTCGTATAATGCACCAATCGAATGATACCGCTTTGTTCGTCGATGGCAACGAGCCCAGCACACACTGAAACTATGGTACTAATATGTGGTAACGCCTCCTTTTCAAGTTTTGTTGTTCCACATTCTATAGCGAGGGCATGTTGAAGCTCAACCGGAGTAAGCAGTCTCTTTGCGTAGACAAGCCAAGATAAAACTTGTTTAGCAAAGTTTCGGTGGCCGTCTGCTTGTTTTTCAATTCGGATCATTGCCTCCTTATACATAATGTCGTATGCATCCGACCCATTTGGTAGCTTTTCAAGAGCACTGCGGACTTCTTTTTCTGAGATCTTATCCACAAGAGAGTTAAGATGAAGCCGCGCAAGGAGAAACCTAAGAATATCAGTATGCTTTCTTTATTAATACCTAAAGACATTTCTCACATTCCCTTTACCGAGTTACATATTGTATTTATGACGTCTTCTTGAAGGCGCGGGTTATAACGGATGGGAGGTGGTAATTCCGACGTACTATTCTCTACGCGATGCTTGAGATAGTTTCGTACATCTCCATCCTCGGCACGAATTTCCAGCCGCAGGCTGCCTTTGAATAATCCCTCTGTATCCGGTTCATCCCTTGATGTTGCAAAAATGTTGATTTTGCACTTGGCTTGAAGACCGAAGATCTCCTCAAGAAATTTCCCCCGATTTCCCTCAGATGTCTGACACTCATCTAGAGCGTCAATAAGAACGAACGCTTTTGAATACGATTTAGCTATAGATTGGATGACGTCTGAGATTTGTGCTAGCGATGGTGGCGTTTCCTTTCCACGTTCGTCGTAAAGCAATTTCAAGTCCTCCGGGAATTTGGGCAGACTTTGAGATAGCTGTTTAAGAAGGCTGGCTAGGAGTTTCTCGGCTGTTTGCTCATGTTGTCGTCCAACATCGCAGTAGACGTATGCAATTCCGACATCACTTTGACCCAGAAAAGCGCTTTCTAAATTCTCGACTATAATCGAAGTAAGAATTGACTTTCCAGCGCCCGGCATGCCCGGACAGAACAGAGTATTGCTACGTGTGTCGCGCCAAGTTTGGAACTGTTCTGTTTCAAGGAACCATTCACCGGTTCCTGGCTGTCGACGTTCGAGATTGTCACTTTGCCGGGGACCGTAATTGACTGGGGTCAACCAGTTCAAGATATCTTTGTGTTCTTGGGTCTGTTGATGATTGATTATTGTATTAGACTTCTTAGAGATATCCCAAACTCCTTTTTGTACCTCTGTTACACCTACGACTACGCGTTAGCCACCGAAGCATGTCGACCACACACGAATGAGGATAAAGATATAACGTCACAAATTTAATATAAACAAGGACATGATCATATCCGAGAAACACTAATGTTGCAAGGCTTTCGTACTCTCAAGTAGTCCCTCCCAATTTTCCATACGTATAACCCTTTCAGGTACTATAACATGAAGGAGCTGCCGCGCGTATGCGGCGGCTGTGAGTGCTGCATATTTGTGCCACTCGTCGTTCTTGTGCGAATCAGAATAATCGCAAATTCCTCGGATCACCAAACAAGGGACGTTGTTCATCAGGCCAGCAGCTTCTGTTTCAAAGCATAAGACTTGAAGTTCCGGGTTCTGAGCTAGTTCGTCTCTTTGTTCGGTATCTGTCATGATTAAATCAGCGGATGCGATGGTACCGTAATGGACATTGACAGCTCGTTTAGCTACCCTGGGCGGTCTCTGCTCGAGCCCATCCGCCAGACACTCCTCGCATGTGTTTCCGCCCTGGTGCTCGTAATTTGCGCGGTACAGTCGATCTTTATCAGGGCACTGATATTCATCCATATCATCCATCAGCATGATATTTTCTGCTAGTTTATCTGGCTTTTTGAGGTCATTGTGTCGACGCTGCATCTCCTGGATCGCCGCTAATAGCACCCTCGGGGGGGAGTTCAATTGGCCGGTCCGCTTAAATTGACCACCCGGTAGCCTCTTCCCACGGTTGTATTGGACAACCCCTCCAAGAGTTCCTTGTGGTTTACTGACAACCACATCGCCAAGCCGTACGTCTCTCTCTCGTGTTGGAGCACCTCCGCCAATGCCCACCATTAGGGCGAATCTTAAAGAAGGAAAAGACCGAATCATGTCATTAGCAACGATAGCAGCAGAACTAGTACCGTATTGGCCATCTGGGAGACATCCGATCACCACATTATGTTTGTTAATGCAACCAAAGACGTATGCATTGCTATCGTTTTTGTTAGCTACGTCGGGGCGGTCGAACTCGACGTCAAGCATACGGCATGCGGCCATATGCTCTTCCTGCAAGGCGCAAATCCAGCCGATAGTGAAGTCGTCGGGATTAGCCATGGCTAACAGTAGATACTCGTGAAGATATTATGTTTTAAGCTTGACGTAACTACGCTGCTGGACTAAAAAATGACTGGAGCCATCGATATAGTTCTATTTTATTATTTGATGCTATCTTTCAATGGTATTTTCTGAGGGCGAAGTTCGAGAAGACCAAATTGCTTGGGTAGGTAGGTAGTGGTTATAAGCGGGCATAATAATAAGTTGCGAGGCAGAATTGGGTCAAAAATGATATGCAACCCTTTCGATACTATTCTGCCTCGTAATACGCAATACTTAAGTAAATACTGTTGGCTCATGTCTATCCTCTCTATCTTTGTGGCTTCTCTGCCAAGCCAGAAATAAGCCACTACTGCTCCAGATGCTGCCCAGATAGCAAAGCTCCAAGTCAGGGTTCCCCATCCTGCCGATTCTACAACATAGCCGGCCCATAGCGGCCCTACGACTCCTCCAAGAGAGAACGCCACGTTAAAAAGCCCGTAACCGAGTCCATAAACACCTTTCTCTCCAAATATTCCTGGTTGCTTGGCGACTTTCGCCTCGATAACGTACGTGATCTCAGCCATGAGAGGGACATTTGCGAATGCTAGCCCAATACCTAGCAAGGCAAGCAAGAAGCAAAGAAGTACCTTATGCCGAATGCTATTCTGCGTGACGAAACGGAGACACACAAGTAACGGTATTATAACACAGAATCCGAAGAAACACGGCCATCTCGCACCGTACTTATCCGCGAGCCAACCAACCAACGGGGAGATGAAACCTGGGAGAAATACTGCTAGAAAAAGAATCCCGGCAGCGGTGGAGTTCCACCCAAAGGTGCGCTGAACGAATAAAGCCAGTGTAGCGTCGAATCCCATCCTATTCAACGTTAGCCTAAGTTGTGACTACTATTTAGACCTATTATTATGATTGCATGAACTTACATGATGCCGGACTCAACTAGGAGACAATATAGTGCGGCAAATAGCCTCGTGGACTTCAAAAGGCTTTTAGAAGCACACCATATGCTAATACTCTCTGTGGGACCTACCAGGTCTTGATTTGGTATATTCGTAGTTTCGGTCCGTTTTTCTTCATTATTACTACCTTGAAGCTGGCTCTTATCCTTTGAACTCGGCTCTGCAAGATTGCGTGTTCTGCTTGCTTCAATATAATCCCCACGACCGTGGAGATCCGGCGTGGTGGGTGAGGTGCCCGTCTCTATGTCGACCTGATTTGCTCCTTCTGAAGGACCAGGTGTCTCGTCCTCTTTTATCCACTGCCTAGCAACCTTCTTCTCGATCATCAGCAGTCGTAGTAGGATATCTACCGCAACGACGCCAAAGGCGATGTAGTAAACGGCATAATAGCCTGCTGCGGCGTAGACCGAACCACCGATCACGGGAGCAATAAGCAGTCCGACACTCATCGCTACGCCGACGTACCCCATAGCAACGCCTACCGCGCTCTTCATAGTGTCAACAAGTAGCGCACATCCTACACTCCAGACGATGGACGCACTAAAACCTTGGAGAATTCGGCCCACGACCAGGAGGCCTATCGAGTTACCGAAACATAGCAACAGAGTCGACGCAGCAAGTGCGATTAGTCCGATCAGCAAAGGCCACCGTCGCGACGACGTGTGGTCGGCATATATTCCAGCAATGGGACTGCCAATGAGTAAGGCTACACTATAGCAAGCTAGAAGAATCGATGTCCAGTGTTGCACTTGATCCTCGGCGATTCCAACTTGAACGGTGAGCGAAAAGGGGATGACCGGAACGATCAACGCATAGTAGAAGATATCGGTGAAGATGGCCAAGCCCACTTTTCATCATCTGTTAGCAGTGTTATAGGAATTCATTGAAGCGGCTGTCCGTTTAAACTTATGTTCATAGATCTTAGGTATACGAACCAGTGAATACTATCAAAGTGGTCGAGGATCGAATCGAAAGTAAACAAGGAGGTTTGGATTTTGAGTCCCGCTTCGTCCCCGAGAGGAACTGCCAGGCGTTGGTGAATAATCTCATCTTCAATATTGCTCAATGGTGTCAATCTATGGTTGGTACCTCTCGGGAGAGGGAATATATTATATAGAAATCTATTAGGGGTAAGAAAAAAGGCTTATATTACCGCGTAATAGAATCGAGTGACATCAAAATGAAACGCATAATTCTCGGCCAAGAGGCCGAAGTGGATATGCGAAGAGGCAAGCCAGGATTCCGCGGGGTCCGTCCGGCAACGGGAGTATTTGACTACATACGACGGTAGCATTCATTACATACTTCGGATCGCCGCATAGCAGAAGGCATCTCTCCGTATTGTTACTACTTTCTTTTTGGTAAGACTCCCATTAGAAAAGCTGGAAATAAATAAGTTAGGATTGTGAAGCTAAAGCTAGGCTAGATAACTCAGACAAAGAGCTCTCGAATCAACCAGAATCTCATGAATTGAAGTATATAAAAGTCAGGCCAAGACGTTGGATATAGATCCGCGGGCTCCGACTAAACAGGAATGACTCATGATTGAAACATCAACCCTGTCTATGAAGATATTACGAAAGAAATAAAGCTTGTTCATTGGGCAGTTTAATACTCAAGATAAGTTGGAGAAAAGAGTGAATATCGTTTTCGTTTTCTTGTCAATCTGAAAAGTCAAGTGGGAAATAAGAATGTCATTACTCTGTTTATTTGCATATTACAGTTGAATACATTAGGTAAATATTGACGTAACCTCTAGATGCATAACTACCTATGTAACCAGGTAACCTAGGTAGCTGCCAATCCTTATCTGTTTACCTTGACCCACTAAAACTTTTCTCTGTTTTCTTCCCGTCAATTCCCAATGATCAATGATCAATGATCCATCATCCATCATCACGCAAGGCTGATACTTCTCGATTCAAGGTCGCAGATTTGCGACGATTTACAGTCAAAATGCTTCGAACATCTACCGCCTCCGAAGAATTTACCGAACTTCCCATTTCGATTCCTCCGCTTCCATCATTTCCAGTCGAGGCAATACATTCCACCTATCTTCGGCGAAATACCCCTAAAATACCAACTCCAAATGATTCCCGAAGCCTCTTTGTCGCCAACATTCCCTGCGATAGTACTGTAGAGCACTTTCGAGCTTTATTTGCTAGCCTAGTCGGACCAGGTAAATTCGAGACCATCACCTTCGATCATGACAAGAAACCCATATGGCCTACCCACGAGCCTGCCCAAGCCACAAGATTAGCTGCGCATGGGAAGAGGAAAAGAGAAGAGGAGGAGATGCAACACGTTGAAATCAAAGTCCGAGCTGCCTTACCTTCCACGTGGTCGCGAAGGTTATATCCGAGTGGTACTTCTGCCGTCGCCTTGTTCGCCGATGAGAAGAGCGCCGGGTTGGTCCTAAAAGCTGCCAAGAAGCTGAAAAAGCCGAAACATTATCCTGTTTGGGGCAAAGGTGTTAGGGATAGCGATAATGCGCCTCTGGGTTCTCAATGGCTAGTAAATCACAACATCCTGGCCTTCCCAGAAAAGGATGAAATCCAGGCCTCGACGGATGCCTACTTTACTCTTTTTAACAAGATGGAGAAAGAAGCGCGTCAACTCGCCAAGAGGCTCCGTAACGAACCAGATGAAGATGGTTTCGTAACGGTCACACGAGGCGGTCGCGCCGCGCCTGCTAGGAGGGACGAAGCCGAAGAGGCTAAGCGGAAGATGATCGAGAGAGAGCAGAAGAAGAAGGATGAAATGACAAATTTCTACAGATTCCAGATGCGCGAGAAGAGGAAGGCTGAGCAGGCCAATATGCTACAGAGATTCGAAGAGGATAAGAAGAAAGTACAAGCTATGAAAGAGAAGCGAGGGAGGTTTAGGCCCGAGACTTAAGATAATATCGCCATTAGGAGCAAAGCCATGTCCTAAGCTCATCTTATGGGCTACCTCCGTGTCTAGCGTTTGCGCTGTCTGAGGGTGTTTTCGATAATTCTTATTCAGGCCTACCCCAGGTAAGCCCCCTCTCAATCAGCCCTACCCTTCCTACATGATGACGAGCACGGGGCCAGTGAAGTGCTGTCAAGCCTGGGAATCCAGGTCATTGATGGTGCATGCCGACAAAAACCGTGTTATTATTATATCTTCTCAAACTTGTCTGAAAGGGATTTTTACTATTGGCCTTATATTTATCATCGCGTACGGCGGGTTGCTGATACAGTCTCTAGGTCCTCCAGTCGGCCATAGTAAGAGGGAAAGAATAGTTGAACACTGTTGTATAAACGAGGCAGTTAAGGCAAGATGTCCTGTTGCTAAGCCTTGAATAATTGCTACTACGAATACTTGGATTCGGCGGTTCTACGATGCAACGCCATTAATACGGCGTTTATACTAGGTGCTATATTCTATTGGTTGCTAGACGATCCATAAGCGCACTGGAAATAGTATCGATCGGATGTAACCTTTGGGATGGAACTGGAGGTGGTACAGAGTAGTTTAATCTAATGCAGCCAAACTTCTCTGATGTTAGCCAAGGGTGTCTCACGACTATATTTCCGATATCCGTCTTACTCTTACACACGTACCTGTGCGCGTGTGTGTATTTAACGCCGTGGCTGGCCTCCCTGGTGGGCATACGGCCTATAAGGCTACTGATCTCAGAAGTCTCAGAAGTCTCATACACATCTAACCTTAAGAGGCATACATGATCATTCAAGCCCTTCCAACCTTGATCACCAAATGGGGTCTTCCAGGTCCCCTAGTCGAAAAGGTCTTACTCCCATACGATAATCTTCAAGGGACTTTACAGCTGCCAACACTTAATTTCCTACCTATGTCATCTAAGTAGCGGTATGAACTTGATTATACGATTGTATTAACTACGTCTTGGTATACCCTAGGTGTATACCTTGATTACAAGTCCATACGAGAATAGCTGAACAGGTACTTCAATTTTTATTAACCGGTACTGCCTTGCCAACTAGTCAACACATATATGTACGTTTAACTATGGTGTCACTAACATTATCGTGCCTCTCCGGTCTAACCAATGACCAACCTCTAAAATCGCAGAACTGGGATGTACATATGTCTTTGAGACAGCTTGGGGGCCAAAAGTCTTGTATAAAAGCTTTTGAGGCAATGATGAGCAGTGACCTGGTACGAAGGATGTGACAATACAGCCCTATTCCTACGCAAATATGCGAGGCAATCCTGTTAAACCCACTCCGGCTTATGGCGCGCAAGTTGCATCTCATCATAGATATCTCACCCCCCAGAAGAACGTGGCGTACCTACCAGGATAATTGTTAATAGAGGTGCGCCAGTTTTTTTGACGCCTTTCTGCCTCCTGACTTTATTTATATTCTTTAGTAGCCTTTAACACCCTCTCTTACCCACACCGCAGCTCCCAAGACGATACCAACTTGACTCCCCCGTCTAGATCGATACCCATCGCTGATACTTGATGAACGAGACAAGTCTAGGCTCACGAGAGCGTCTAAAATGGACAGTCTTAACCTCTGGGGCGGTCGCAAGAATAGCTCCAGCGGCTGGAAGCAAGCTGCTAAGGTCAATTGCATTATTCTTAGTTGCATGTCGGTGACGCTGGTCGGTTGCTTGATATCTGCCATATCTAGGAGTGGCGGCCTTGAAAAGGCATTGTTCTTTTACGACGGTAACTGCTACGGAGGCAATGTGTCCCAAATTAATATGACGCTTCATTTGCTTATAAACGTCGTATCAACGCTGGTGGTAAGTTCTCTTGGTGCACCCAGAGAGGAAGTTTGGCAATGAGGAGTAGCCATTTATCACTTTAAACAGTTAATACTGATTCTAACTTGTATAGTGAGTTAGCTTCCAATATTATATCTTATTGTTAAATCATGTATGAGATAAAAGACTTGTCGAAGCCAATTTTTACCCACTTCATCTTTCTACAGTGTTATGCACAATTTATTTCCGTGTCCCAACACTGAGCTCCTTGAGTTGACTCTGGCTTATCAGGTTAGCTTCAAGCAACTTCTTTATGCAAGTTTTAAATTCTCCGTCGAGAGAGGAAGTGAATGTAGCGCACTTCCAAGGTTCCTGGTTGGGAATCGGCATACCGTCAGTCCGCAATGCCTTCAGAGTCTCCAAGTTTAAGACCGCGTGTTGGATTTGCCTGTTTCTCAGCTCGATTCCTATTCATCTTCTATTTAACTCGACGATATTTGAGACGGACTGTAAGCAATATTCGTTGACCCCTTCCCTCTGCCTTTCCACTATAGTCATTTTGTGTGGCTCGGTGTTGCTCTCTTAATCGAGATTATTAATGATCTTGGTTATAGATAGAGGATCTGACTTCCACCTAACGATTGCTACCGAGGAGTTTCTAAACGGCGGGAGCTTCTACCCCCCTGGAGGAAGTTTAGTCCAAGCCGGCTTCTCATCTTGGTACAACGAGACCAGTCCATATCCAAGCATCATTGCGGAATCCACTAGCCTTGACTTGTGGCAACTTGGCGGTGCATATGGCGCACCAGTCAACCTGACCGAATACGCTAATAAGGATGCTAATGTCATGAAAAACATATCGACTACAGCGACGAGTGCTGGAAACTGGAAGAGACTTGAAATAAGCGACTGCAAGCAAGAGTATATTAACTGCAGTGGACTTAAACGTCATCGTAACCTGGTCCTCGTCATCGACAGGCCAGGTGGCTGGGTAAGAGACGAGATGTGGCATCTAATGGACAATCAAACTGAACTATGGGATCGTTATGTCCCTGCAGACCAGCCCAATCACTTATTCTACGATGCACAATGTCATATGCTCGCGTCACACAACGGACTAAAAGAAACAGAATGCGTGAATAACTGCATCGAAGCCTTTGGCGTAGACGGGGATAATACAGTGAGAGCTACATATGCTGGTATCCCGGATTGGCAATACTCTTTCTTCGATGTATGCGACAATGACTCGGTCAACGGAACAACTATTCTAGAGCCCACGAGAGGCCCCTTGAATTGGTCTGATGGCTTTGAAAAGGGCAGTACACTAACATCCGGTCTACAGCCGGGAGCGACCAATCTATCTGTACAATACTGTCTTGCGGACGACCTCGACGGAATCTGTCATATTGGCTTGTCACCAACTCTACTACTAACAGTCACATTATGCGTTATATTCAAAACTTTCACGGCTGTCGTTGTCACGGTAGTTCTAAGCCGCCAGAACCAGGCACCGTTAGTGACCCTGGGAGATGTCATGGAGTCTTTCATCGAAAAGCCGGACCCTGTTACCGCCGGTATGTGCACTATCGGACAGACGGAAATCCGAAGGTCGATGAGATTCGATAGATGCTTCTTATTGCCAGGGCCAAGGCAATGGAAAACGTTGCAGAGACGTCGATGGGCAGTTGTTCCTCTGTTAGTATGGATATCAAGCTACCTACTATTTGGCGTAGGCATTACTATTTGTGCTTACTTCTTCGCGGATATAAGAAGCAATGGCAACCTGTGAGTACTCCTAAAATGCATATAACGCCGGGCAACCTCCTGACTCCAACGATAGTGTCGGCTCATTCTACGAGAGCGAAATGAATTCATTCATCGACTCCCCTTTCACCTTCACGCAAGGTGTCCTAATCGCTAATAGCCCGCAACTCCTCCTTTCATTCTGCTATCTTGCTTACAATAATTTATTTACTCGGCTTCAGATGGCTAGAGAATGGTCATTGTTTAGTGAAGGTTACCAACCACTTCGAGTTACTGACCCTAAGGTTTGTTTAAATAAGACATCAATACCTGAATGTCACGCTAACCAGGTAGTCAGGGCGGCCAATACTCTACGTATCGACTCCAACTACCTTATAAATACAGCATCCCTCTTATAGCTACTAGTATATTCCTTCATTGGCTGCTCTCGAATAAATACTATTTATCTTTTCATATCAGTCGGAGGTAAGCATCTCTCCAATAGTTACATCTACCTTCCATACAATTCATTGGGGCTTGCCAAGCTTACCAACATTTAGGTTACTTCAGTACCGGTTTGTTCCTTAGCGGAATCAAAGCCGACCCAAGCCTGCCACCCAACACTGCTATCGCCTTGGGGTATTCGGGCTATTCCCTTCTGGTTATGCTTGTGGTCTCATGCTTCTTGATCTTGCTGCCAGCGATTCTGAGCATCAAAAAGCTCCCGTCGAATATGGTAATAATTGGAAGCAACTCACTCGCGCTATCTGCTGCATGCCACGTCTCGAGCTTGTCACATGCGGTTGCTTCCCGCGCAACACCATTATTTGCCGATTATTCAACACCGTCACTAGTTGATTTTCCGCCAACTTTAAAGTCGTCGAAGCGATCGTACACTCCTCCCGCAGACGACATCTATACCGAGGAGGGTAACAGGAGCGGCAGCATTGAGATGCAGAATCTCACGCCGATGCTAACTACCACAAGCCGCTACTCATCACGTAAATCAATGTCAAAGAAGTCGCTGCTTGAGCGTACCGAAGAGGATTTCTCTGACGCGGGAGATGAACAGCAGAACAGCCAGTTCACGAAACTTGCCAGGAGCAAGATCCGTTGGGGTGTCGTGGAGATGCCGCCTGAATGGCACGCTGAGTATGATAATGACGACGGTACCGTTGGACACCTCAGCTTCGGCGTTGAGGAAGACGACGTTACGGCCCCGGAGCCGGGACGTTTATATGCGTAACCAGTGTTAGAAAGTCTGGGCTTAGACAATGCGTTTTCTTGTCTCAGGGGCTCTCCTTATAGAGGAAGAGTGAACAAGCTTCAACGATGAGAACGTCAATATCACATACGATCCGCTCAAGGTGTCAAAATATCGCCTTGGCTTTGTAACGGCCTCGGATTCATCGAGACGGATATCTTCTTGATACCATATTTGGCTCCTACTTGCTCCGGACTGTTTGATCTCTCATCTTCCGCTATGAAGAAAATGGATAAGCGTGCTCTGGATTTAAATCCTTACGTCCAGCATTTCTTGTTTCGAACATACACTCAAACCCGCTGTTCGTAAAAGCCTGCCGCGAAGGTCACGAGTCAGTCCAGGGGTTAGACGGTAATCGAGGTGCTATTATATTAGTGTAGGTATCGTCAAAACCCACTTGGACTACGAACCGAATACTTGACCATTGAACTCGTTAATGTGTATTTATACTTGGGATCGACCCAAAGGAGGTTATTGAGTCATATTAGTATTTGTAAGTGCTTGATGGATACCAATGGATTCAGAAGATACTTGTACTATAGCACCTATCGTGGGCTTCAAACTCTACCAAAGCGGATAGTGGAATTATTTTTTACGAGCGGCCGTCTCACCAATCTGACTAAGGAAAGAGAAACAAAAAAATGCAGACTAAACCTAGGCTTGATCCGAACTGGTCGAATTGGTGGGCGGTGGGCGGTAACGCTAGTATCGGACAAGGGGATAACTGCCTAGCGGAATCGATTGGTGGGTCGATCTGGTCTAGATCATGCAATAGGCCCGCATGGGCTTACGGGGATTAAACCCCGACTTGGTTTAACCCCCAACTAGAGATGCGTTCCGAAATTTCGTAGTGGCTTGAGTGGGTAAAAGATGTTCGCCGTTGCCCATTTTTCTCTTCTTTCCACCTCGCGCATATCTCACCCCGCAAGTCAATCGAGCAGGAAGAACAGCAGATTTGGCGTTGTTGCTGCATGCCCAGATGCCCCGTACAGTACAATTTAGCACTTGTGCAACCTTATTCTATACATAGACGTACATACGGATCCTGTATAGTAGATCCCATAGGGTATGTGCATAATATACACATATAGATACATGTTGAGGAAGAAAAGAAGCCACGCTTTCTCTTTTCCCAAGTTGCTACCTTTTGGTAGTTAAACTATTTCGTTCAGTTACTTCAATATTATATTTTCAATCTCGTTTTCTTCTTCTTCTTTTTCCTTGGCAAGGCTTGGCAGGCTTACATGCAATATCGCGTTTGATGGATGCCACATAAAATTGCTTTTCTCTTACTGAAACCTCCTGTTCTATACAGTATATACTGTGTCCCTACGGTAAGGTCTAGAAGCTTATGCACATAGTTGTCAATCTGTTGCCGTTTTTATCCTCCAAGATCTTGCCAATACACATGGCGACATGGTCAGCATTTTTCTTGTCGATCAGCAGGCCAGAAATTTACTAGTTAGTGACTTCAACATGCACAATACATATGTTATGTATTTTATATAAAAGTCCAAGACAACGGAGCGTTCGTTACTTAAATCTTAAATACCAATTACCCTAGCGGACATAATGGGTGTCGATAAGCATAATACGAGTCTAACTAGAAATGGGTTGAGCTGGAGCTTTAGCTGGCTTAGGTACCTCCTAACATGCATGCATAATGAAACGAAGGAATGAACGACTGCCACTATCTTCGTGTGGTACGGGCTGTACGGGCAGGACAGGTCGTGTGGTAGCACCGCGTTCTATTACTCAAGTCCTTGCTAGGCAAGGCAATAACACAAGCAATACCCATGTATGTAGCGTGGCAGAATACTAACCTAGGCAGTGGGCAGAATAGTCTATTCGCCCGTCGCAGCTGCACCCAAATTCAGTTCCCCCTTCCAATTGATTTCGTTATTGCCATCTTTACAGTTTTAGTACACTCTCTACCTTGCATAGACGTACCTGGCCAAAGGCAAGGGTACCCTACCGAACCTACCGCAGTTTCCCGTGAGCTGCGAACGGCGATCAACGTTCCTCTCCGAAGTTCCTCTCCTTCCAATTCCCATTAGTTATCCGCTATCTGAAGGGTGGACAAGCTTACCTTACCTCGAACTTTTTTGCCTTTGCACGTAACCATACCACCGTTACTTTTTCACCTTCCCTTCGTTGCACTGGCACGGCATTCTTGACACGGCAGGGTAGACGACCGTTGTATAATATTATATTATATTATATTTATTTGTATAATCATATTATCTTTCTTGCCTTTGTCAGACCTGTCTATACTTCGGCGTGGTGTATGGTGTTGTATCTTAGACGAAGCAGAATTCGTTAAGAGATTTTTTGATAGCTCCTCGTCTTTCATCGCCACGTCGCTTTTTTTGTCCCTCCCGACTTGCGATCGAGCTCAACTAAACTGCGACGTTCGGAGGATGCATAGATTACGGTATTCACCGGATTTCCCGTTATAGGCTGGAATAATGAGAGTTGCGATCCGGGAACAGTTAGCAGCCCTTGTGCTGCTTGCTGTGCTCGTCGCGCTCGCCATCGTCTCTATACCTACTTGGATTTACGTCAACCGTTTCGTTATTGGAGTAGAGACTAATGGCCTCTCCTTAACCGCTTCTCTCAAAGCCGCCCGCGTTGCCTCCGAAATCGAATTGATCCAGACGACATGCAATCACATAGCGACGAGACTACTTATTCAAAACGCTCTTGCATCTTTTTATCGCGGTAACGAATCTGATGCTCTTTGGGACTCTGCCTCTGCCGATATCATCAGCGCCTTGATCACTCCACCGGGCGTTTCTACAAATCTCCTACAATCGAGAATTTATTCACGAAATGAGACTGGCGCAGATCGATCTGGTGGACTTCTTAGTGTAACCGGTAGTAACATTTCTGAGGTTAGACTGCCTTATAAGGCTTCTGATGGATCACAAGCTATATTAGGTGATAACCCTTCGGGTTATCCGCCGTCACTGTATCCAAACATTACATATTACAGTTCAACAGATCCCGACCCAGGCTATCCTAACCATACTGCTGTCGTAGCTAGGCCGTTTCCAGATATACGAATTGACTCGAGTGTTGATGGCATGGTATTAGGACCGCTCGTAATCAATGAGACATACGCCCTTATCTCATTGACAATTCCGATCCGCAGCAATCGAAACGATGAGGTGATACTTGGATATATGACTACGGTCGCCGATGCTACCCCGCTCATTAAGATCGCTGCGTCTAAAGAGGGATTGGGAGATACCGGCACGGTTTTGCTCGTCGGCCCTTCTACGGGCTGGAATCGGTTCAGCAAGTATAACCTACCTGCGAATGCGAGCCACGAAGCGGCGACTAATTTCTCGAATGTCGACGTCAATTTTGTCTTACCGCCGCGAGTGATGCCTGGCCAATCAGATAGGCATACGCTGCATAATTATGCCTCTGGAAATTTCGATCAGCCTTTCAAAGTCGCAAGATACAATGCGGCATACAGGTCTTTCACTGCTCGGAACCCTTCGATCAACAATGCTAGCAGCATACTTTCTACCAAAAATGAGCAGGGGGTTGAAGTTGCCGTCGGATATGCTCGGCCGCAGACTTCGCTGGTTAATTGGACGCTCATCGTCGAACAGGACAAGTCCGAGGCTTATATTCCTATCGATACACTTCGACATATACTGTTAGCTTGCGTGTTCGGAACTGTTGGGCTCACCCTACTCTTAGTTATACCTTGTGCTCATATGAGCGTTTTGCCTATTCGCAGATTAAAGGCCGCCACCGAAAAATCTATTGCTCCTCCCGGTTACGCCGAAGCATATATAGACGACTTAGACTACGACGAGGACGAGGACCATGAAGGATCAGGCAGTAGGAGCCGAAAATCTGCTAACGGGGTTGTAATTCGGTTGAGAAGATTAATTCGGAGATCAACGCGATCAAGGATTGCGCCATCGACCCACGACAGCGAGCCGCGAAGACGGATTTTCAAGATTCCTGGCAAAGTCAGCGATCGCAAGCACTACGTAACCGACGAGCTTACAGAGTTAACGACGACTTTTAACGAAATGAGCGAAGAACTATTAAGGCAGTACACTTCCTTAGAAGAGAAAGTTGCGGAGCGAACACGCGAACTCGAGATCAGTAAGAAGGCAGCTGAGGCCGCCAACGAGAGCAAGACTCTATTCATTGCGAACATCTCTCACGAGCTCAAGACTCCCCTAAACGGTATCTTAGGCATGTGTGCTGTCTGTATGGAAGAAGACGACTTACCCCGGATCAAGCAGTCTCTAAAAACCCTTTACAAATCTGGGGATCTGCTCTTGCATCTCCTTGAAGATTTGTTAAGCTTTTCGAAAAACCAGATTGGTCAGCAACTAAGCCTAGAGGAGAGAGAATTCCGACTAAGTGATATTCGGTCGCAAGTAGCAACCATTTTTGACAAACAAGTGCGTGAAGGTTCGATCGATTTCTCAGTCGCTTTCTTAGGCACCGAACCAGATATGAGCCCCAGTCCCGAACGAGCCGAAGTGGATAAGAAACTCCCAGCTATCGGTCCTCTAGGGACTGGTAGGCTGAAAGATATGTGCCTGTGGGGCGACCAGCATCGAATTCTGCAGGTGCTTATCAACCTTGTGAGCAATAGTCTTAAGTTTACGCCGGCCGGAGGGAAGGTGTCAGTGAGGATAAGATGCCTGCGTGAAATTGAAGCATCTTTCGACGTAAGCAGGACTTCGTCCTTGTCGAAAACTGGATCCGGTCGCCCAGGTAGGACGAGACATAGAATGGGGTCGGGTTCGAATAAGTCAAAGAGCTCAAATGAAATTACAACTCCTCAGTCTCAATACAAGGGAGGGGGTACAGCATTGTCGATTAATCCCTTGGATCCTAAAGCAACACCCTACGTGCGCATACGTGAAAGGTCGCCAACGCCACCTCCGCCAAGCGCGAAGTCATTCTTGTTCGAATTCGAAGTGGAGGATACGGGTCCCGGAATTCCGGATCATATGCAGCAGAGAGTTTTCGAACCTTTCGTCCAGGGTGATCTAGGCCTCAGCAAGAAGTTTGGAGGAACTGGCCTAGGGTTGAGCATTTGCCAGCAGTTGGCAAATTTGATGGGAGGAAGCATTTCTCTGAGAAGTACTGTCGGTGTTGGCACTACTTTCACTATGCAAATACCATTAAAGTACACCAAGGATAGGTAAGGCGGTATAACCCAGACTCCCAGGTCGCCGGCTAATAGTTTATCATCTAGGGCTTCTAGTACGGCTTCGAGTAGTATCAAGTCACGCCCGACTAGCATTAATAGTTCGGTCGATGGGGATACCAGAAAAAATTCCCTGACATTAACACAAACTACAGCGGGCGCCAAAGCTAATGTGCTTGATCAGAAACCGCGTCTTGTTGGACTCAGCCAGCCTTTCTTTGCTACCACCCCCAGTGCCAAGACACCGCCGACCCCGACCCCGGATGATCGAATGAAAGCCATAGAGATGGCTAAAGCAAGCAAAGGCGACGGGAAACTGCGAGTTCTCGTTGCCGAAGACAACCCTACCAATATTGAGGTTGTTAGCAGGATGTTAAAACTAGAGGACGTGTACGATGTGACTATCGCAAAAGACGGCCAGGAAGCGTACGAACTTGTAAAGGCGAACATGGAGAATAATCTCTATTTCGACTTGATTTTCATGGACATTCAAATGCCTAACCTCGACGGCCTACAGAGCACTCGCCTCATTCGGAAGATGGGATACTCAGCACCGATTGTGGCACTGACAGCTTTCTCGGAAGAGAGCAATATTAAAGATTGCATGGAATCTGGGATGAATGAATTCCTAAGCAAGCCTATCCGTCGACCCGCACTCAAGCAAGTTCTTAAGAAGTTTGCAACGATTCCTGAGGAACCAGAAACGGCATCCCAATTAACCAGGAAGAGCACCCCTGAAAAGGGCGACCGACCCGCCGCGGTTCGGCCACCAAATGGAGAAACCTTTACATCTTCAAACTCAACCCCTACCCTCAAAGAGCGTCCCGTTATGAATGGCGTACACCCAACCACGGATATAGATATATGATCTTACCTACATTCATCATGGCAATGTTTATTTGAATTTGCAATTACTCTATATATCATAGCACACGATATTTCTAACAATTTTCTATATCCCATCTTGGATTCCACCTTTAATAACTGCCAGCTCTATTGCCATGCTGCTTTATTTTATTCTATTTTATTATATATGCTATGTCGGTACATCACAACATTCTTCTACCGCAATTTGTTTTCTTTTTTTCTTTTTTTCTTCGCAGCAGTTACGTTCCGGAAGGGTATTCATACGGAAAGACCTAAGAAAATGGCGAACCGGGAGCAGGGACACAAAAGCATCTGGCGAATCTGATTAAAAGGATGGCGAAGGCGTTAAGGCTGTTACATTTTTAGTTACGGGACCAACTCTCCGACGGAAACGTTATGGGCGATGGCGAGGATATTTCGGTTTCTTTGATCTCGTTGTAGGTCTAATACACGTTCCCAACATGCAAACAGGGAAATATTCTACGTATGATTTTAGGGGAGGAAGCAGCATATGAGTTTTTGAATGAATATCACTTGGGCCAGGCAAACGACTTTTAGGCCAGGAGTTACAGAGCTACAATTTGGCGATCAATGAGAAGGTCAATGGCTATCGAGAGATATAGCCGACCTGATGGAATGTACATATTTATTTATCATATACCAGGTACGACAAGTATATACTAGGTACTTACTACTGATTACATTGTAAATAGTTATGTACCAACTTGTCATATATCGAAAGACTTTAATTTACTTGCTCTTGGGTGATCTTTTGGAGGTTTAAAACTATTAGTTGCAGTTACAGTAGAGTTGCCGGTTAACTTGCCGAACTACTAGTGAAGTAGTCAAGGCGGAGAGCCTATGAGTGGAGCTCCCGATCTCGATGTAGCGCGCGGTCCGATGTTCGGGATGCGGAGAGAATTGCGGGTTGATTATACCCGAGGATGCTATTATTGGAGATGTGACACATCTAGCTTCAAAGGTGGGCATGGAGTTTCACCCATTCTACTTTAGTTATAAAGATATAACCTAAGGTTAGTTGATATATCGTATCTCGACTCTACCTACCGTTCATCATATACATTTATATTATATACGCTCACTTCATCACACACACTGTATACATACCTCCTATCTACCTATTTACCTTAGGTACCTAGTCTATCTACCCAGCAGCGAGCGATGCGTCTCCCCTACGTCCCCAACCCGCCGCAGCCGGCGTCCGAAGACGAAGCTGCCATCGTAGCGCGCATCGCGGCTCGTCGGGCCCCGCGCCCCTTGCAGCCGCTCGATCTAGCGCTGCTCCATTCGCCGCCGGTCGCGGACGGGTGGAACAGCTTCCTGGGCGCGATACGCACGCGGACGTCGCTCGACGACCGGGCGCGCGAGATCGCGATCTGTCGGGTCGCCGTGTGCAACGGCGCGTGGTACGAGTGGGGCCACCACGCGCCGCTTGCGAGGGCGGCGGGGGTCAGCGAGGAGGGGATGGGGGTTGTGGGGAGGGATGTCTTGGTTGAGGAGGAGGGGGAGGGGGAGGGGGGAGATGATGGGGAGGAGAGGAGTAGGAAGGAGGCTGAACGGGCGGGGTTGGGGGAACGGGAGTGGGCTGTGCTGAGGTATGCGGATGAGATGACGAGGAAGGTGAAGGTGTCGGAGGAGGTGTTTGGGGCGCTGAGGAGGGTGTGCAGCGAGAGGGAGGTTGTGGAGGTTACTGCTACGGTGAGTTTATTTTCTTTTATTTTTCGTGTGTGGGGTTTATGAAATAATGGTTGTTTCGTTGTAGGAGGGATATAAGGCTGATGAAATATATATAGGTTGCGGCGTATAACTGCGTCAGCCGGTTTCTAGTTGCGTTGGACGGTAAGTTCTCTTTTCTCTTGCGTTATATTTCTTCTGCCTTCTACGTTTCTATATGGGGAGGCGGGTAGGTAATTTGAACGAGACAGCTCTGGCTAATAGGTGCGATTTAGTTGGCGAGAAAAATGGTACTGGTCCTGATTCTGGGGATTGAGAGGAATTACGGCTGCCCCTGGAAGTTAGCAAGATAATAGAATCAGTTGCTCCCTCTACATCTAATGTGAGGTAATAGTAAACGTGTAAGATGAATACATGCGTAGCGAGATTCCAGACATATCAACAGCCGCGCCCTTCATACTATGATAAAACTCAGTATTGAAATGCTTGGATCAACCCCTGGATATATTATCGACGCTATGAGTCGATTTCCTTTCCCTAATAACCACCCAGCCAGTTCTTTTACATCCGATCAAGCCTACACTAAACCCATCTAATACATATGACATCCCCGAAGGAAAATAGCCAGTCCGTGTAATGCGGATATGAGGCGTGGTATCTAACTATCCCGATATACGAAGATACAGAAATAAGAAAAGCAGCAGGAATATTCCCGTCAAATGACCAAGGGAATGTAAACTAGTAGTAATAGTAATATGAAGCGAAGTAATATAAATTAATAAATAAATAAAATTGGGGTATCTCGTGAAGTGACCAGAAACTCCGCGTGGAATTGGAATAATATGGATAGGCGTAAATTGCTCATAAATAAGCTCACCGAAATTTCGAAGGGTCGTGAAGTGTATCGTTATACATCATCGTCGTCGTATAAGGCGATGTTGTGCTCGTAGGTATTCGTGCTCGTGCTCCTATTTGTACTGTATTCGTCAGGGAAGGGGGTCGTCTCAATCGCTCATTATTTTTTTAAACTCAAGTCTTGTTCTTCTGTCTCTGTCTCTGTCTTTGTCTTTATTTTATCTCTATCTTTATCTTCCGGAATGGAGTCTATCGCGTCGCGAAATCGTCCGCTGTCCATCTCTGGTGTTGACGATATAGGGCTACCTAAGGGCGATATGGGGGGCGGCGATCGCATGGCTAGTTCTATCGAGGCGTGCCGCTTTTGCATGCGTGGGGATCGCTGGAGTTCCTGCACGACACCCATCCAGTTCATCTGGTGCGGTGGTCTTTGCGGTGTCCTGTGCGGCGTCTGGTGGGACGCTTGGTGGGACGTTTGATGAGGGGTCTCGTTCTTCTCGTGGTGTCCTGTCGTCGCCTGTGTTGTCAACCTTCTTAACGGTGGTTTCTGTTTGATGCTTTCGGTCAGTCCCTTCGGAAGACACGGTCTAGTAGGCATATGATGTTGGAAATGCAGAGCTGCCTTCTCCGGATCTTTCGGCGTTGTCCTCTCAGCCTGCTTCGCACGGTCGCCCGCCATCGTCGCAACGATGCCCATATATACCACTAAGAATCGCATGCGCAACATGTCGAGCCGTCGTACCCTCTCTTCTAATTCTTTTCTATGACCCGCCCAAAGGAATCGCGCGCTGGTACGCAAGGTCCGGCTGCCCTCGACTAGAACGAGGCGGTTCAGCTCCTCGCGCAGATCGTCTCCGCTCTTCTGGATCTCGCGCAGCAATCGGCCCAATCGCAGCTTATCCGCCAGCCTCGGCACCTTTTCGACGTCCCCATCGAATCCCTCGTTCTCCTGTATGGAAGAGTCTACAGCTTCGAGAAAGGTAGTTATCTCGTGGGGCGCGGCTAGGTAGGCGGTCGCGTAGGAAGTAAGAATGTGGGCAGCGACCAGAAGGGCAAGACAAAGGGCGGTGACAAGGAGGAGCAGGGTCCACAGCAGCAGTGAAGAGGGGTCAAGCATGATGAGCTGTTGTTCCTGCGTGGCAGATGGAGACGGGGATGGGGGGATGGGGGGAACGGGACCATAGAGGAGAAGGGGATTTTTTGACTATAAATTCATGGTTCGTGGGGTTTGATGCGAGATGGAAGGTGAATAGCGAATTAGACAAGTCTAAGGGATTCTTATTAGTGGAGGGTATATAGAAAGTGGTGACGTTCGTCTAATAATTAAGTCTCTTTGGTTATTTATGGTTGGTTGGGTGGGTGGGTGGACGGTTGCGCGTGGGAGGTCCGGAATAAAGAGAGACAACCAACTGAATAACTAGGTTACCTCCTATGTAAGAATAAAGTGTAAGAATAAAGAATTGTTGAGGGGGCGTTTCTTCTACTTCGAGAAGCTAAGGTTAGGTACTTCGAGAAACCTGCTGCCGCCTGCCGCTGCCCGCGTGAACTGTAAAAACTCCTGCATATTAATTATGTATAATTTCGTGTCCAGAGGCTAGGGTTGCATTACATATATTATATTGCCCAATAGCGGAGGCCGCGGGATCGGTGGCGCAGTGGTACCTACAGTAGACCGACCCCTTTAAGGGTTAGGTGAGGGAGGAAATGCATATGTAAGTACGGTTCATCTTATCATACGACGCCTCATGATAGGACGAGTTCTCGGGAAGGTTTATTGAAGGTTTATTCTAGTGAATAAGGAGGGGGCTTCATTATTCTGACCTAAGGCTTTATCTAGCTACTACTATCATTATCATCTGATATGTTGGGATTCTTACACCATAGCGGGGTAAGGTTGAGTATACAAACATAAGAGGTATCCTTCGAATCACTACGTTGAAATGTATAAGTCATACTTATAGAGGGTAGTATAAAAACGGTGATTAGGTAATTCTCGCTTGCTGCTATATCCTACGAGCCGGTCTTGAGACTTCTCTAACAAGCCCTAGAGTAATTATAATATTCAATGACTTTTAAACCAGATTTTAGTTTACTCAATTAAATACGCAATATTGGCATCTAACTTTACTAATCTCTTAGGAGCCAACTCTTTATAATAGCGCCACAATCCGGTATAATAGCTTGAGATATAGTATTGCATACTAGGAAATGGTTGAGTATATTACTTAGATCTGGGAGATCACTAGAGTATCGAGGCTTCTTTCGAAAAGGAGTACTCCTTTTTTTAATAAGTTTAGTTAGACTATCTTTTACCTTTCCTGAAAAGAGTGCATTGAAGTTTACTTGATCTACTGTTGAGTATTTATCGTTGGCTTAACCACTATTCTACAGTTGGTAGGTAGAAATATCCACAACAACTGTCGTCCTAAAAAGCGCCAAGTAAATGATTTAACTACCGGGCCAACTTGGCTTTAGTTAAACCTCACGCATACCTACATATGATTCAATGTTTCCGGGAAAGGCTCGTGTGCCTCATATTAGTTAGGTGGACTATAAGATGAATTAAAAATCAAATACGAACTATAAGCCCATTTGGTCTCAGGAGCCAGTATTAGGTATAAAAGCTGTGTAACTTTTCCACTAAACATTAAACATCGCTCACCGACGGATAATAAGACGCTTGGAATAGGTCATCATCTTCCTTTCCCGTCTTTTTGTTTACCGTCTATAGCCGGATAGCCAGCCTTGCGTGCTCGTTTTTAAAATTCCATACTCTACATAGCTCGTTTAGTAACTACTATGAGTTATAAATAAGAAGCAGCTCAAGATTGCTTACTAAAAGTTTCTATGTAGTTGTCTAGCTGAAGTATAACAAGATGAGCTGAAAAAGAGTAGGCACCTAGGTGGGTTAGCGTACCGGCTAAGCATTTCGTCGGAGAGCGGTGTGCCTCGCAGATATATCCTTGCAATGAAACAGTAAAGTGAAGATCAAGAGAGAAAGAATCTGTCTTGGTTTGGAATCCAATCTTTCGGGTTCTTCTTAGAGAAGTGGGACTTAAAGCTAATGAATGAGGTGCAGCCGCAGCTGCTGCCACTGGCGGGCGCATATCAATCGCGGGGCAATTTGTGTTACATAGCGATAAGCAACCTCGATTAACAAAATACATACTGTAACTAGAACTCAATAACCTGCACTAGATTCGCCCAACACAATAAAGCTTCAAACCTAACCCATTTATAATCGCAAGCTAAGAACTACTTAACCTACAAAATAATCAACACAATGGTGGCAGCAGACACACCACCAGCCCTGCCGTCCGCACAGCAACAAGATGACAAAACCGAGCAATTCCCCCTCCCCACCATCCTGACGTACCCCTCGTCCACCCCGCCAACCCTCATCACCCAAGGCGCCGAAGCACGCCTCTACAAAACAACCTACCTCCTCCCAACCCTCCCCTCGGCCCTCAAATACCGCCCGCCCAAACCATGGCGCCACCCCGCCCTCGACGCTCGCCTGACGCGCCACCGCATCCTCGCCGAAGCCCGCGTCCTAGCGCGGTGCCGACGCGCCGGCGTCCCCGTCCCCGCCGTGTACGCCGTCGACGAGACGGCCGGGTGGTTGGCCATGGAGTGGGTGGGGGGCCCGCCCGCGCGCGCCGCGATTAACGAGTGGTTGCGGCGGAGGAAGGAGGCGGAGAACGACGACGCGAGGGGGAACGAAGGGGATGCGGCTCCGGTTACGGGCGAGAGAGAGGATGATGCGGATTTGGTGGCGCTGATGCGGAGGATAGGAAGCGCGGTGGGACGCATGCATGGCTTGGGGGTTGTCCATGGTGATTTGACGACTAGTAATATGATGTTGCGGCCGTGGGAGAAGGGTCGGGAGCCGGCGAATGGGCACGCGGGGGGTGGTGGTGATGGGTTGCTGGATGGCGATATTGTGATTATCGATTTTGGTCTCGCGAGTCAGAGTACGTCTGATGAAGATCGCGCTGTGGACTTGTATGTCCTGGAGAGAGCGTTTGCCAGCACGCACTCTCGCGCCGAAGGATTATTTACGGCTGTGCTGGAAAGTTCGTATAGGGAGACTTTCAAACAAGCGCCTGTGGTCTTGAAAAAGCTCGAGGAGGTTAGGATGAGAGGGCGCAAGAGAAGCATGATAGGATAGGATGAAGCCAGGAATTTGGGGTATCTGTTCTGAAAAATAGATGCATAATTACTACACTCTAGACTCGCGTAGTTTATGTGTTCATGGTCTAATGCTGGCAGTCCCTAACCACCAAATGCTATTGTTACCGAAATATGCGTAAGGAATAGATAGAACGCTGAGCCCGCCTCATGCCTCATGCCTCCTCTACCGTCTCTGCGCTCGCAAAGTAGCCTTTATTCTCGATTACTCCACGGTCCTTGACAAACGCCGTATACTTGACAACCCACTCGGGGATGATCTCCCCTTTGAGCCCGCTACTACTAGGTTCGCCGTCTGCCAGGACGCCAGCGCCCTCCGGTCCTTGGCCAAGAAGCTCCCGCAAGGTGCCGCTGGGTAGGATATCTGTAGAATCGTGATGTGTGTACAATTCGATGCCTTCGTCCTTGGCAAGTTTTGCCAGAGGCGGAGGTACGTTGCAGCAATTCCTGATATTGATCTGGTTAACGGCAGGCCGAACTTTGACCTTGTCTAGAAACCTCTTTAGCTTGTCGGTGCCGAATTCGGCAATCCCGAGTTGTTTGATCTGGCCCTGGTTATACAATTTTTCTAGCAAACCCCACGTATTCACCTCTTCTTCGTCATTGCCCATTGTCGCATTCTTTCTGTCGGCTTCCCATTCACAGTCTCCCTCAAACGCTAAGCCAGGGAACGAGGCTATGAGAAGGTCGACGTCGTTTACGCCTAGTTCTTTCTTAACCAATCGTAATGCTTCTTTAATATAATCCATTCTCTTCTCGGGAGGTGCTGTCGGTAGAAAGAATAACTTGACGGTAATCTCGTATTGCGAGCGATCCTCCTGTAGCCCGGCTGACTCCCAGTCGATGCGGGGCACATACAAAGTAGAATCTTCCCTTTCTGTCCACACCTCTGGCGCTGGTCGGCTGCTGTATCCGTTTTGCCCAGGATGAGAAGCGTGGCCATTGCCGTTATGAAGTATGGAGGCGTATTCTTTTTGCGCAGCCGAAAAGTTACTTCGGAGGGAATTTGTAAGTTCGAGATTGGACCGATAATTGCCTGGTTTCCGAATGATAGAGGGGCCGTCCAGGATGACGTTGCCCGTAGATAAGATTATTCGTGTCATGGTGATGGTGATAGAGAGAGGAATATGCTGGATATGAAGGACTACCTAAGACAACAACCGCGATGTAAATAGGAAGATAGGACACCAGCTATAATATAGGAAATAATAGTAATAGTATGATCAAGATAGATTAGGTAGATACCTAGGTAGGTAGGTAGGCAGGTACCGTATCATAAGTAGGTCTATTACCAATCGTATTTCATGCGATGCAAGCGCAATGTAGGGGTGGGTGGGTAGAAAAACTGAAGCTTTATAAATCGAAGTGGGGTCTTGATTAAATTCTAGCAATATTTCCATCCAAGTCCGGAGATAGTGAAAAAAAGGTAAGTACTAACTCTCTTAGGATGTTGAATTCGACTTGCTTAGACCCAAGAACAGATGATAGCAAACCGATGAAAACCTCGTCGACGTCAAAGTTTCGAGTAAGAAGGAGATTACAAGGGTATTTGGTAATAAAATAAGCGTTATAAGCCAATATTGATATATTGATGAGACGAGATGGGGAACGCCGACTACGGCTTAATGTAGTGCCATTGTTACCTACTAGTATAACAAGTGAATCGCGGGATCTGGTCGAGTGTGGTGGTGATACGATTAGTGTAGCGGGAGGACCCCTAGATCAGAGCCCATAATGTAAATAGGTAGTTAAGGGCGTAGGGCATAGGTCATTCAAAATCAAACTGTCATGGATAGGTCACTCACCCACTCAAGATATGCCCAAAATGGAAACCCAGTACTGGAGACCATAGTGTAAGGATTCACCCTTCAGTCAAAGAATCATGTGGGGTGTTGCGATCAACGTTACCGCCAAGGCTTCAGGACTTGCATTAGGTAGATTTACTCGGTGGATTAATAAGTCTCTCGGTTGGCAGTTGGCGGCATCATGCCGTCGGCCTTATTTATTTTTTTCATGTTTGGTTCTAGAAGCTAAAGAGATTACGAAATATTGCAGGTCAGAACAGCGTCAAAAAACATGCCCACTTTAATCTCTCAACTTTTAATACTTGTTTTAACTTAAATAACTTTATCAACTCTTATGATAACTGAATGAAATTTATATGAAATAATATTTAATCAATTCGGTTTAATATAAGAATTTTTAAGAATTCTTTTCTTTTGATTTGGTTGAAGAATTGGATTGTCAAACGTGTGTGTATATTATTTTGCTTGGGTGGGGATGGGTCATCTATTTTGACGCTGTTCTGCAGGTCCAAGTTTAAGTGCTGCAGGTCAGCCGCGAAAACCCGAAATCCCCTGCTGGCAGGTGTTGACTAATACCGTGGGGGTGGTAGAAGTAAATCGGACCGGCAATATTACCTAAGGTATTGTATGTCGGCTGGCTGTAGTTCGTATCTCGGTACCTAGGTACATACCTAGACACCCCCTTATCTGAATGCGGCCGCATAATTCGAAATTGACAGCTCGTGCCCAACCCCACTACCGGCTACTAAGAAATTGCTTCTGCTATTGCTTTCAATTCCATCAGCATTTTACTACTACCAACATATTAACAACAGCAAAAAACACACCCAATCTCCGACGGGCCTCCTCTTTTCTCATCCTGCGATAGTAATGTGAAAAGCGTGAAGATGGCTATCAAGTATGCCATCAAAATCTATCTTCATAAGCATTAAAACACAACTAACCATTAACATGATAGCTACTTGATCCTGCTGTCTCGGCAGGGCAAGGTGGTATGTTAATACAATAATACAACTCTTCTTTTAGAGCGCTGTTCCATTGAAACTAATCCCATATCAGCGTCTGGCCAAATGGTTTACCACCTTGTCTCCCAAGGACAAAGCGAAGATCGTCAAGGACGTCTCTCAACTAGTCCTCGCTAGACGAACTCGCATGTGCAACTTTCTCGAATATAAAGGTCCGCCTCCTATTAAGTGCCTACTATCATCAGACAAGGCTGCTCACCAACCTACCAGATACTAAAATTGTCTACCGCCGTTACGCCTCTCTATTTTTTATCGCCGGCTGCTCTTCCGATGACAACGAGTTGATCACGCTCGAGATCATTCACCGATACGTCGAACAGATGGACAAATACTACGGCAACGTCTGCGAGCTCGACATCATCTTCTCTTTCACAAAGGCATACTATATATTAGATGAGATATTACTAGCAGGGGAACTACAAGAAAGCAGTAAGAAGAATGTACTCCGCTGCATAGGGCAGCAGGACTCTCTCGAAGATATGGAAGTAAGTCGCCTACTTGGGTTTTTATTCATACTACTTGTTCTCGCTCCAAGTTACCGGTTCGGCAACCTACGCAAACTTCAAACTATTCCCTATCAATCCTTATTCCTACTAACATGGCTTTTTTCCGTCCAGGTCGAGGACGAGGTTACGAAGATCATGTAACAAATTACAATGTATTTTTTCTTTCCCGAGCGGATTGCAGTCCAAGAATGCTTCTCAAGGAACGGCGCAACGGGTTTCAAATTATAGTATTATACGCTCTGCATTTACAAGCATGCTTATATTCAATTATTTTCACAGATCTCCAAAGATATCGAGAATGCGCTGAAGGAGGTCGGATTTATATGATGCCAGAGTTGCAATCTCGTCTACGCCGGACGAGCCGTGTTGCATTTATCAAACGTATAACGGTCGTTTTGAAGTGACGCAATCCCAATGCCCTATCTCTTTCCAACCTATCGCCCAGCATCCCTTACGAATCGTTTATGCTACAAGTTTATCAGCAACTCTAGGGCATCTTCCGGCAAATGTTTGCGCAGTTTATTCAACCAAGCCAAGACGATGCATATTATAAGCGAATGAAATTTAGCTATGTGAGAGCTACGGATTATCTGAATACTAATTAGGCGTCCCATCAGTGACGAAACGATTGCATGGTTAATACGCTAGGTAAGTTAGTTCGAAGCGCGCCGTTGACGCTCGTGGGATCTTGACGTTATCCTATTCGCCTAGTCTCTGACTGGGGCTATTAATCGCTATTGGTACTGTTACTTATGGTGGGAGGCTGCCAACCCCTTAGGTAGCTGGGTAGCTACCTATATCGAGCCAGTGTCAAGCCACACCCCTCCAAGCTCCGATAGTTCCCCCCTCCCCCTGCGCCTGCGACCCGCGTTACTGCCAACTTGCAACCGGATTCGAGAAGACAAGGAAACGGCATACGGTAAACACCCGGCTTCCTTGGGGGGTCCTTGGTTCCTTGTCAGCCATGTCAGACAAGCACCAAGCACCAAACACCTGATCAATCACCACAACACCTTATCTCCCCCCCGGCACTCCAATTCGAGAAACCGTCGCAACTTACCTCTTCCACCTTCAAAGGCTTCAATTATACATTCAACGGCCATAATACTCATTATATTCCAATTTCGGTCACACTTCTACTACGTAATGTCCTGCGCTCACTGCGTCTATTAGACGATACATCGTCTAGGTCATTCTATTTTAGATCAACGTTGCAGGCATTGAAGTGCGCGTTCGTTGTCGTCGTTCTTTATCAGCTTACGGGTTACTACGTCAACTACGCACACATCGTCAGGACGATAATTATCTTTTAACCAGCAACTCACTACTCCAGACCAGGTGTCACCTGTTTACTGGTCGACTCCAGTCTTCTTAACGATCCTTCGAGGCCATACCTAGCTATTTTCCATCGGCCCCGAGCTTTCGTTTCATTTCGCGGTCAGCATCTACATTAACCATACCCGACTATTACCCCCTCGCATCATATGATATATTCATTTATGCCATTGCGAAATTATTACCGACACAAAGATGAAGGTTAGTGCACTCCTCGTATAGTTTTGGAGTGTGTCTAGGGATTTGGATTTGGAATTATCGCAGGTTTTAGCTAACCCCTATCCTCCACGTAGTTTCTCCCACTTCGCGATTTCGACGTCATCACCTCGGCGCTAAACTTCAGCACGGCTGAGTGTCGCGTCAAAGGCGGATGCGATCTGTACACGACAAAAGCGGCTGGTTCTGACAAGAAACTATACAAATCAATCGAAACATCTCTCGAAGCTCAACATGCGGCGCTCATCAAATTTGGTGCGTCGCTCTCACCGCCACAACGCAAGGAGATGGCTGCATCTCTTAATCTATCACGTTCCAGCCCATTTGGCAATATGAGCGAGATTTCGAGCCGTCGCACCTTTGCCTACCTAATTGCGACATTGAACGCGAGTCATCCCGACTATGACTTCTCCCACGTCTTGCGCCCGACGGACTTCCGCCGCGAGCGCAACCTACAACATGTAATGGCGAACATTGATAACACGCTGAATAGTGTGCGGCCGTTGGGTTCTTCTCTCCTTTCACCCGATACGAACTCTTCCTACCGTTCTTACGGTGGTTCTCCTACGCCGAATCTAGCCTCAGGAGGTGATGCGATTAGTCCTACTTGGAGTCCACATATGTGGACCATGATCGATACGGAGATGACACTGAAGGACTGCACAGTATTTTCGTATCAACCGCTCGAGGACCCTTTTGATGGTGACGAGTCCGCTATCTGGCGTCTACATTATTTCTTCTTCAATAAGAATAAGAAACGCGTTGCCTATCTATATGTTAGGGGTTTGCCAAACTTAGTCAACTCGCCCGCGCTTGCGCCCCATAGGCGCGGGAGTAATGGATTATCCAAGCGCCACGCGACGCCACTACCCGGTAGCTTGGGTGCAAATAAACGCGCCAGGTTCTGGCTGGGGGATCAACTCGCAAGTCGTATTATTATCGAGGACGATTATGATGATGACGAGTACGACGATGATGATATGACCCCGTATGACCCAGACGAGGATATTGAGATTGATCCATTGCATGATCCCTCTTCCGATGAGGAGAGCGATCAATATGATGAAGATGATGAGGAAAGTGAATACGAACAAGTTGCGCGTTCTGTTAGGGGCATGAGTGAAGACATCGCAGCGAGGATGGAGATCTAAAAAAGAAAAAGAAACAAAAACCCGGTGTAATGTTATCCCCATGGTCGGATTCGGCTCCCTTTCCATTATTCCATTTCCTTTTGGCGTTCTAGGATGGAATGGGGACGGGGGCATCAGGATCCAGGGGGGTAATGACGGATACCAAACCAATAGATGGCCTATGTTCTAGGGCCAACGAGCCAGGTTCTCTATGTCTTCAACAAGACGGCACAAATGGGTGTATGAGTTTTTGGCGTTTTGGACATGAAGGCATGTGGTTTCGGTTGTGGTTGAAGAGCGTGATTCGACGCTCGATACTCCATGATCAAATATCTCTTAGTTTTATTTTCTTTTGTGGTAACCAGCAGGCTGGCCAGTGGGCGAAGTGGCGAACGCTCGAATGCCGACGTGTTATGGTTTAAGCGTAGTTCTGATGATGGTACGTGCTTCTGTTGAGTGTACGGTTTAGTTTAGTCCAGTTCGTACAATTGCATAAGAACTCTTCAGACTTACAAATAAAACTCAAATTCCAAAGCTGCGCAGTATTATACAAAAGATATGGTGATGCGTTCTGATAGAGCAAGTACGCATTAGGTGCTCTAATTATTTAATAAATATTCCAAGTATGGAAGGTTTGTAAAGCAATGAGTCATGAAAATTACTGAAATCTTCCAGTCCCATGAATAGTCACATTCAAAGACTCTAGTACAGCGTTGTAGTGCGGAAGTCCCCATCAAAAGTTTTGTCCATAGGCCAGCCCCTGTTAGCTTTGACCAGCTTTAACAGGGCTTGGCAACAGCTGCAGGCCACATACCGAATGTACCTAGGTATTATTCAAGCTACGCTCTTTTTACTTACATAAAACAGCACGAACTTTCAGTTTTAAACAATCAAATTTATATAGAAGTGTAAAAGAGCCTTTATACTTGTGATATATTTATTTTCAATATTTTTCTTTAGTAAATTAGGGGTAAAATATAATATCTTATAGAAGGTAAATATGTATATACATTTAAAATCTTGGCTGCCGCATGGTGCCAGGCTTTAAACAGCTGTTCCAAAAGCTGTCAGGTGGCATCTATGGACAAAACTTTTGATGGGGACTTCCGTATGAAAAGTCAAAAGCCCAACTATGTTTAGGTAGCTAACTAGTATACCCACATACAGGTAGTCGAGTACCCCTTTTGATGGCCTTTTTTGGGATCATCTCGAACTAATAACCCAAGAGACTATATTTGATAAAATGCCGCAAATAATCTTGGTCTTGAGGAAGGTTACTAAAAGGCGATGATATTCGAGCGGTGAATGCAGTATTTGTTTCCATATTATACATAGAAGGTACGAATAAATCCAAAAGATATCTGAGTCCCATAGTTCGTAAATTATATGACTTGTGCACTTAGCTGGAGGGACTTTTGAAAATTCCTGGAATCGTTGCGAACCACTGGTGGTTTAGCATATTATATATACATCCTATTATCTTCTGGATCTCCTCTATTTCGTACCATTGATATCGCCAGTCCCATCATCCTCATCAATTACACCTTAGCAATTTCCCTAATCTATCTATTATATCCGTACCAATATGAGCTCGTCTGGATCATCGTGGCCACGAGATGGCGAGAAAAACGACGGAAGTGCTGGAGACCGTTCTGAACGTAGAACTAGGATTCGTTATAATAGCGACAACGACGGCAGTCCAAGGGTGGAGAGTGAGGGCGAGGGAAGTGAGAGCGAGCAGACTGAGAGCGAGGGCTCTTCAGACGAGGGTGGCTCAAGTGAGGATGAATCAAGCCATGACTCAGACGACGGTGATTCGGATGATAATTCAGACAGCTCAAGCACTGATGTGAATTCGACTGCTAGCGGAGATAGCTCTGATAGTAGATTTAGCTCGGCTACTACTCTCGTCTGGAATTCGGAGGACGACGAATGAGGGCTGCGAGGAGCAAAATGGTTCTTATTTTCTTTCTCGTCAGGCGTTGATTTAACCATTTAGTTAATGGAGCACGCCCATAAATGGAAATCTGTGACCAGACTGAATTACGCTGATTAGCAGTAACCTATGAATTTACTATGAAAATGTAATTGAAGCTTTGGATCAAGATGGAGGGCCGCATACGATAGCATTGTAATACTGTAGTAGGTATTTCGAAGCATATGAGTTGCTTATACCCCCCTTTTCATCTAATCCTTAGAGAGGCATGTAATAATCATTACTGATTCAATAGCAGGTTTAAGGGGTATACGTAGTGTCAACTTTTGTGAGGAGGCTAAAGTTTTCACTACGGACACGGACTTGAGTTAGACTGACGAATCGTGTACGAGGACGCACTACCGCAAGGAATGGGACGACACTATTTAGTCCGTAGGAGACGATTCCTTGGGTAAGACGTGAGAATTCACACCTGTGATTTGCGCAACACGTGTGCTGCTTCATTGCTGTAAGTCCACATTGTGACACTATCTCCAAATCATTAGTATTTTACCATAACCTTGTCCTATAAAATCTAGGCCGCCTCCCCCCTGATGCTCAACCTTCCCTTCCGTATCCTACTTTGATAAAACTCATCTAGGAAACCTGCCAATTCTGATAACTACCAGCCACTTGGATTAATATCGGAGGAACTCGCCTCGTCATTGCTACCGCCATTACCATTCTCTGCCGCAACCCGATAAGAAGGTTCTCCTTTGCCTTTGGCCGAAAATGAGCTCTAGCTCATCCTCCAGCTCGTCGTCGGGCAACACCGATAACAACGGAAGCAACCAAGACTCCTCATCTTCCTCTGGGGACCAGTCGGGCGCTGGTAGCGCTAGTACCGATGTGGGAAGCGACAACGGTGGGCCAGACGATGGCTTCATGTTACCTCCCTCAATTGAAGATCCGGACGATAGCGGCTATAGTACCGACCACGGACGTTAATATGTCAGGATTGCGAGAGAAGTTTACGGTTTCGTATATCATAGATAGCGCCGCCTTGGTAGCTTCGATGGTATAGGGGAAGTGTATATCATTTATCCCCCCAAATATTATTTTTCTGCTTCCTATCCATTGTATCGTGCACCTGTACTCGAAAGCGACATACGAAAAGGCTTCAGTCTTTGGTTCGTGGATAAAATATTTATTTTTCTTAATTTCCCTTCAGCCGGATTACTAGTTGCCATCTGGGACTACGTACATACGCATCGTATTGAAACGTTAATATATGAACAATATATGAACAGCGGCAACAGCCTGATGCGACACATGCGAACTTGGAAATCGGTTGAAAAGGACTTATGTAAGTGGTTTTCTTGTTGTCCCCTTTACTCTCTACTTGTAGCGATTACCTAATATCTTCTGCCTTGTGCCTTACTTGTGATAATAAGTGAAGATTTAAGTGACATTAAGTGATGAGTGATATCTCATAAATCATACAAGACACCTATGCACCTACCTGGTAGGTCTCTCCTAAGGGGAAGGTGTGGATTAGATAAGCAAACCCAAAGGTTTAGGTGCGGTTACCTAGGGTACGTATCTAGGTACCTATTAAACCGCGTCGCGAATTAAAGTGGACCCGCTCTCCAAGCTCGCGTCACCTTACATCCCAATTTTTTGGGGCAGAGTTTGATACGTTCACGTTCAGCCTTCTTTCATCCCTCTTTTTTTTTCTTAATAGCTTTTCATTTTATCTTCCGTCAATCAACTCTTCATCTGCCATCTTTTCGCCAACGACTTTCGGGTCATCTACGAAGATGGCAGACATCAAGATCGATGGAAAGCTCTTCCAGGAGCGCATTAATCATTTCATTAATGCCTGGAAGGCCGATAAACGCGCTGGAGATACTGTCTTCAGCGGTGTATCCTCCATTCTTATCATGATGGGTAAAGTCGAGGAGAACCCTGAATTCCAGAAGAACAATGCTATGCACGTATGTAATATCTGCAATATTCAATATTCACGTCCCTACAAGTCGGGCGATATTCCGTTTGAAGAGGCTAACTTTTGTTTAGTTTTGGTTGTTAGGCTACGAATTCCCGACTACGCTCATGCTCATCACTACCGACACTCTTTACGTACTGACGACCGCGAAGAAAGGTAGCGACTACTCGAACTTTCTATTATTGCGCGACTAGGCGACTGACTTTTACGTAGCGAAACACTTGGAACAATTGAAGGGTGGCCGATTTCCGATTGAGGTCTTGGTCAGGGGTAAAGATGCGGCCGCAAACGAGAAGCAATTCATCAAGATTGCCGATACCATCAATTCTGCAGGAGTGAGTCATATAGACCCTTTACTACATTTACTACATATTATTCTTCTTCTTAGCTGACTTGATTTGGTAATTAGAAAAAAGTCGGCCTTCTCACCAAAGATAGGTCGAATGGCCCCTTCGTCGACGAGTGGAAAAAAGTCTACGGCGATAAGTGCAAGGACGTCGAAGAGGTCGACATATCCAGTGCCTTATCGACCGCTGCATTCTCTGTTAAAGATGAAACGGAATTGCGCTCCATGCGAGCAGCATCTAAAGCCTGTGTCGCGCTGATGACACCATTCTTTCTGGACCAGATGTCGGACGTCTTGGACCAGGAGAAAAAGGTGAAGCACAGCGCGCTTGCCGATAAGGTTGATAGAAAACTCGACGACGAGAAGTGGTGGAAGACGGTTGAGCTGCCTAACAAACAAAGATTACCTTCAGATTTCGATCCCGCGTCGTTAGATTGGTACTTGGGTCCCGCAGTACAGAGTGGGGGTAAATACGACCTGAAGCTTCAGACAGAGCCTACCGGCGACAACCTTCATCCCGGCGTTATTATCGCTGGCATGGGCCTCCGATACAAGTCATACTGCTCTACCATTGCGCGAACGTACCTTGTTGACCCGAATAAGACGCAAGAAAGTACCTACAAATTCCTCTATTCCGTCCATAACCTGGTTTTGAAGGAGATCAAGGATGGCGCAGTTGCTAAGGACGTTTATAACAAAGCTTTGAGCTACATTAAGTCTAAGAAGCCCGAGTTGGAGAAGCATTTCCTCAAGAATGTCGGAGCAGGTATCGGTATCGAGAGCAAAGATCCTACACTTGTGCTCAGCGGTAAAAACTCGCGAACTTTGAAGGATGGAATGACCTTATGCATAACAACCGGCTTCACTGATGTCGAGAATCCTTCACCCAAGGATAAGCTGAGCAAGACGTATTCCCTGGTCCTTACCGATACCATACGAGTAACGAATAGCGATCCGGTTGTATTTACTGGAGATGCTCCTACCGATCTCGATGCGACCTCGTTTTTCTTCAAAGATGACGAGGAGATGCAACCAACGCCTAAGAAAGAGAAGAAGGACTCCCGCGTGGGTGCTGTGGCTACTAAGAACATTACGAGCACCCGCCTACGGTCTGAGCGAACTACTCAAGTGGATGAGGACCAAGAGAAGAGGCGTCGTGAGCATCAGAAAGAACTCTCTCAGAAGAAACAGAAGGAGGGTTTGGCTAGGTTTGCCGAGTCAACAGGTGGCCAAGACGGCGCGGAGGTGAAGAAGTTCAAGAAATTTGAATCATACAAGAGAGATAATCAGATGCCACTCAAAGTCAAGAATCTCGAGATCTTGGTTGACCAAAAGAACCACACCCTCGTGCTTCCTGTCATGGGACGACCGGTTCCTTTTCACATCCACACCATCAAGAACGTCAGCAAGAACGACGAAGGAGAGTGGTCCTATCTACGTATCAACTTCCTTTCTCCGGGTCAGGGAGTCGGTAGGAAAGATGATCAGCCGTTTGAGGACGCCTCGGCACAGTTCGTTAGGAGCCTGACGTTCCGTTCTCGCGATGGCGATCGATACGAAGAGATTACGGCGCAGATTTCGGCTATGAAGAAGGAGGCCACTAAGAAGGAGCAGGAGAAGAAGGACATGGAAGATGTTGTTGAACAGGAAAAGCTAATCGAAATAAGGAGTAAGTGGATATGTATATGCATTTCGCAATATCTCTATACTAACTAGTAGCTAGATCGACGCCCTCCTGTTATGGACAACGTGTTCATACGTCCTGCGATGGAAGGGAAGCGAGTTCCCGGCAAGGTCGAGATCCATCAGAACGGTATCCGATACCAGTCACCGCTTAATCCTCAGCAGAGGGTTGACGTGCTCTTCTCCAACATTCGCCATCTGTTCTTCCAGCCTTGCGCCCATGAGCTCATTGTGATCATTCACCTGCATCTCAAAGACCCTATCATCATTGGCAACAAGAAGAAGACAAAGGATGTGCAGTTCTACCGAGAAGCAACAGATATCCAGTTTGACGAAACTGGCAATCGAAAACGAAAATATCGCCACGGCGACGAAGATGAGTTCGAGCAAGAGCAAGAAGATCGCCGACACAGGGCTGAGCTTGATCGCCAATTCAAGAGTTTTGCTGACAAAATTGCGGAGGCTGGCAAGAACGAGGGTGTTGAGGTTGACATGCCGCTTAGAGAGCTCGGATTCAACGGCGTCCCGTTCCGAAGCAACGTTACGATCCAGCCGACGACGGATTGTCTTATCCAGATCACGGAGCCGCCCTTCCTAGTTGTCACGCTAGATGACATCGAAGTTGCTCACCTGGAGCGTGTGCAATTTGGGTTGAAGAACTTTGACCTGGTATTTGTGTTTAAGGACTTCACTAGACCACCCGTTCACATCAACACAATTCCTGTCGAGTCGCTGGAGGATGTGAAGGAATGGCTTGATAGCAGCGACATCGCATTTAGCGAAGGTCCTTTGAACCTGAACTGGCCCACGATCATGAAGACGGTCACAGCTGATACCCATCAATTCTTTGTCGACGGGGGATGGTCGTTCTTACAGAATGAGAGCGATGACGATGACGACCAAGAAGAGGAAGAGGAGTCAAACTTTGAGATCGACGAATCCGAGCTCGAAGAAGCTAGCGAGTCCAGCGAGGACGATTCGGAGTACGATAGTAACGCATCCGAAGACGCCAGCGAGGAAGGCTCAGAAGAAGACGACGAAGAGGAGGAAGGCGAGGACTGGGATGAGCTAGAAAAGAAGGCGAAGCGAAAGGATCGAGAGAGTGGTCTTGAAGAGGAAGACCGTAACCGTAATAAGAAGCGACGTCACTAGACTCTTGGCCTAAAATATGCGGATCCTCATTGGAGGGGATGTTTATTTGAAGCGTCGAGAGACTAGTCCTATAGGTGCGATTTCGCAAGGCGAAGGGACCGCCCAATTCGGAGTTGAGGTTGTACGAAATGCCCATTCTTCATTCAGCACATTAATGCGTCGAGCCGCTAGTCGCAGGTTTTGCAATTTTTTATTATTCCGTCGCTTCGGAACGGGGCTATGATAAGCTGAAGGCGAAATTGCGTTTGCTTTTAGTTAATTCTCGGTGGTTGGCTCTTCACAGAGCATATGTAGGCATATGTAGGCTGTATCGTACCGTAATGCAAAATGGATCCCCTGGGTATCGTTGACTTAATTCGTATTATATGTGCTATTAGATGCAAAATGCTTATTTGTTTTAATTACCAGGTGCCGCACTAAAAGATTCGAATAAGTTGAAATAGCATTCCTTCGATAGGTTAGGTATATCCTAATCGAGCACGTTGAATCGTCGATACATGAGTAACTCAATTTTCCATGACAGCACTTTGGTATGTTAATATACTACAATATCTACCTCCTATATATTATACTGACGAACATCCACCACCATAGCTACATACCTGGTAGCTATCTTGAAGGTCTACACGTAATATGTGAGTATCCCACTTAGCAGATTACAACATCTCAACCTTCCCAGACGGCCGGGCCGGGAGCAGTATAGGTAGTCGGAACGGGATAGTAAGACCAGAGCAGACCGGGGTCGCTGGCCTTGTAAGCGCCGGGAAAGGCGACGAGCGGGCCGGGAGTTCCGCTGCCGCCATCTGTTACCTTGACTTGCGCGCACGAGAGGTACCTATTTTTTTTTTTTTATGTTAGTTCATGTCGCGTTAATACGCCGTTTGGTAGTAGGTAGGTAGTTATTTATAAAAGGGAAAGTTGTTTTGTACTTACATTTGGGCACCGCCGACGGACTGTGCCTGGTGGAGGGCTATGGACTCGACGCGCACGAGGTAGTTTCCGCTGGGGACGTTCTTGGGGATCGTCACGTTGACGACTTTCTTGTCTGGGAGTGAGGGCGTTAGCAACCTGGTCTGCGGGATAGGGGGAGGAATAACATTGATTGGTCAGGGACACTCAACTGTAAGCGGGCCAGGTAGCCTCGCTGGACCCTAGGGGCGGGACGGCGGTGATGCTGCCGATCTTGAACCACACGTTGCCCGCGGGCTCCCAGGTGTTGATGTCGGCGCTGTCGGGCACCCTGGCCATGTAGAACTGGACGGGGCCGAAGTGCGTCACGGCGGCGTTGGCGACGAAGCCTAGGACTTGGCCGGCGGCTATGGTGGCGGTGCCGGTGCCAGGGCTGGCTTGGTAGCATCGCATGTCGGGGCTGTCGACGCTGGTCACGCCGCCGTTGCTCTGGAAGTTCTTGGTCTTTCGGATGGTGGTCCACTCTGCGGCTTCTTGCTCGCCGTTGATGACGAGCTTGGAGAAGCGGTCTGTTTGCGGTGTTTAGTTGGTTGCCTCGTCAGGTGCGCTGTCTATGTACTGGGGTGTGGGCTGGGCTTACAGTGGGCTTGGGCAGTGGCTGCCAGCGCCAGGAACGTGATTAGCTTCATCTTTGCTATGGCTGTCTGTCTGTCTGGGTGAGACTTAGGTGGCTTGTCGACTACTTTCGGTACGAAATGTTTAGATCGTGGGAAGTTGGTGAAGACGGGCGCGCTAATATAATATACCCGGCGAGACCGCTGCGATAGGTATGCCACCGGGAACACATTGTCAAATACCGGAGAGCAGGCCATCGCCAAGACAAAGCGCTATTAACTGAGCCAATTACTGTGTATATGTCGCTTCTCCTGATATGAATTCCATGAGCTAGCTAGTCTAATGCTGGGGGGTAATCTGTCATCGTGGTTAAAATACCCGGTTGTAAAGGACAAGGTCAACTCGGCAAGGGGAGTCGGCCAATGGAGTGGTTGTGATATTATCCGGGGATGGCGTAGTTAATGATACTTTCTCTGCTGCTATATGGTAGGTATATGGAGAATCGCGTAGTAGGTAATGCTTACAACTGTGCGAGTTGCGTGCTTGAGAAACATTAGGTAGGTATATATAGATCCTCTTTTGGTATGCAAGACGCCCGTTTGCCCGACATGAGCCTCGTAACGCTCGGTCGTCTGGCTCCTTGGTCGGCTTAGGTTGGGTATGTGGTGTTTTATATCTCGATGTCTACACAGTTAGTTGGCTGATGAGATATAACTGACTTGCCGTATGCGCAGACACACGAGGTTTTTTTTTTTTTTTTTTTTTTTTTTTTTATATATATATATTTTTTTACATATATTCGGGCGATACCAGACGTTAATAATATGGTTAAGAAGATTTATAATTGTATTAGGATATAATTAGCTTGCTCTAAGTTCTAAGTTTGCTATTACGAACAGATATCTGCTTCTATTGATCTTGGGAATGCCAACCTTGCGCTATGCCTTATCCATAATCATAGTAATGAGTCGGCTACGATCGACCTTATGCTTCCATAAATAGAGATTTGAATTATACACCAGTTCAATGGGAAAGAATCCATTTAGATCTTCGCTTTGATCTTTCTTAAGAATTCCCCATCGTCCTCAAAGGGCTTGGCACCTAGCCTATGCCAGGCCCCCGCAGCCATGAGAGCCTCGTTTTTCTCCTTTGCTGGGAATAAGAATTCGACCTTCCCGTCACCGACATTGGAAACTGATTTATCCTACGATACCTAGGTTAGTATTTACGATTATCGTACATATGGAGGGTGTGGCACAGAGTGAACTTCACTTACGAGTCCCAAAGTCAACTTGATTCCACCGTCGAGCCAATGCGGCACATATTTATCCCTGGGCTTCTTGCCTTCTGTACCGGATAGAACATTGAAAGAAACAACCGTAGCCTGGCGCATTGCGGATCTCGAGTTTGGATGTGTGGTGTTGGTCTCAGAGACATCTCCGCAAACATATACGTTAGGTAGGGAGTCATCCTGAATCTGCAGGGTAGGTTTGGTAAGGATATGGCCTGATTCAGATATAGACGTCGGGCTTAGCTCCGAAATCAGCTTGGAGTCGGGCCTTTGACCTGTGCAGTTGACCTTTGGAACTTGTTAGCTCGACGATAAAAGGGGGAATGGTAGGATGACAGACCAGGTAATCGCATGCAATCTCTTTTCCACTTCTTAAGACGGCAATGCCCTTCTCTTTGTCCTCACTAACCACTCTATCTCCAGTAATAAGCTCGATTCCTAGGTCCTTGATACCATCTGTCGCAGCGGCTTGTAACTTCGGCCCGAACCGGTGCATCACAGAGTCCCTTGAATGTACTAAGGTAACCCGTTTCTCTGGGTACTTCGACTTCGCATCCGTAGCTAGCTCAACGCCCGCAGCACCTCCACCCACGACGACCAGATTCTTAGATTCGCGGATCTGCCTCTGCATCTCTCTCATGAGCTCCATTCCTTCATCCTTATCATTGGTTCCAACGCGACTGGGTAGGGTATCAGTGGCACCTGCGCCGGTAGCTACGACTAGGAACTCGTATGGAATTTCCTCGCCGGTCTCAGTCAAACGCACGCTGTCCCGCGAGATGCTAGCGACACGGTCCTTGATCCATGACACCTTGCCTCCGTCGGCGTCGAATGAGCCGCGGGGTAGAAGCCCGCCATAGGGAATGAACGCCTTGTGCTCGTGGCCCTCGGCGACGCAGAATCTTGGAAGTACCCAAGTGAATTGGAAGTGGTCTCGGGGTTCGATGACGATGACACGGTATTCTGAGTTTGGAAGCAGATGCCGCGCGATATTGCTGGCAGCGAAGTAGCCTGCGATAGAGGCGCCTATGATAATTATATTACGGGGCTTCTCTGGGTCCGCGGAGGACGAAGCGGAAGAGAACATAGCATGGCGTAAAAGTTTGAGGCGGAAAGCTAGGTTGTGACGGAGGGTTGAGAGCATCATGGATACGGCGAAGCCGGCGCCATTGATTATTAGCGTTGGTGTCTCCAACATCTCTAATAAATTCTAGGCAACGATGCCTCAAAGTCTGGCTCAAGTCGGAGACGGAGAATCTGATAGGCTGTCCTGCTACTGTAAATCCGAAGGATGAGGGTTCTAAGGAGCAGGGGAATTCATGTGTTCCTTCGTATTAAAGATGCGACTAAATGAGCAGAGGGAAAAAAAGGGAAGAAAGAAAATAAATACAGCAAGCAAGGGAGAACTTAGAGAGTATATAAGTGAAGATAATTCCTCGAGTGATTCAGGGGTCCGATGACTTATATCCTTCCCTCTCGGATCTGATAAGATTAGATCGTTTTCAGCTCGACGACGCTAATTGGCTTCGCTATTTCCTATTGTGGCAATGTGGGCTTTAGACCGAGTCCGAGATCGGCTCGGAGCTCGGATTCGGGGGCTACGGAATGGAGATTTCGGCACCGACGCGTAATGTGAGTCGTGATATTTTAAGGGTAGGGCGAGACCGTGGCTTGTGGTAATCTCGCTTCTTGCCCAAGTACCTAACGTGCAACAAACGTCAGAAGTAGAGACACGTAGGAGAGTATGTCAAAGTACTAGGAATAGAAAAACTCCGTGTCCTTGACAAGTGCTAATAAGCTTTACATTGTAGGCCGTGCCGTCCGGACAGTGTCTAGGACGGTAGCTGTTGCACCGTGCAAGCAACTTATATATAAGTGCTTTTTCTAATATATGGTCTAATATCTAGTCCAGCTAAACTTTTAAGATTGATTCACGTAAAATATCATTCAATAGCAACATCTATCAACTGTATAATGAGCCACTTGTAAATTAATTGTAATAGTCTCCTAGCTACGCGAATGCTAAATGTCAACCTGGATACAATTTGCTACTAGTCTCTTGGCGGAGTCCTGCACCATGTTGTCGTAGGTCTTCGTGATGAGCCAAAGACAATAATGTTTTACACAGTGTAGATTGTACTGTCCCTTCCCCCCCTATTAACGCACTCAGATATTAATATGAGGAGTCCTTGCTCAAGTTCAACAAGTAATACCGTGAGTTATTCGTTCATGGTTTAAAGAGAAAATTCTAAGCTATTTGATAACTATCTCTTCAAGTTATAGCTCGGCATGATGTATCTAGATAGATAATCGTTGATCGAGTTTGAGCCATTAATGTTCGCTGAAATAGTAGGCATTCTACTTAAGGTTAGTATTGCCATACTCTTCCGCACGGAATAAGGCCTAATAAACGTACCTCGCTAATTTTATCTTCCCAGTCCTCATTTATCCAGCTGCGTTCATCCATGAGAACTTCCCGTACCTCCTCAGCTCGCTCCCAGCTCATAGGAAAGTCCTCCACAAAGTCTATAATCATATGGAAAATCTCAACTGGGATTTTCGAAAAGGGGGATATTTTACGTACTTCGGGTGCCCACCAATCTCGTCGCTGTGGTGGAACGACCCCAGTAGACAGTACACGGATGTTGGGATCAACGAGAAACATGGCAAGGATTTTCCTGTGGCCTGGCTTGGTCGGGTCTTCCAGTCGAAACTGTTGTACTTGGTGCTGAAATACGTTAGGGAAGGCAAGTAGGCGCCCGGGCCGCGTGAATACACCTCCGAGCTCCTGGAAAGGTAGATCTTCTAGGTTGTTCACAATCCCCGTCCGAAGCATCAGAGGTGGAAACTCTCCCTGAGATAGTAGCATGTGCAATTTTTTAGTGTCGACGGCCTGTTTGAATGCGAGCCGGCTTTCGCTAATATTCTCGGCATCGTAATAATAGAGCGCAGTGGCGACGATTCTCTCATTGAGAGCTCCTTCGATATGCCACTTGAATGATGAAAATTAGTATTTAATTCTTTAATAGAAATGTCCAGATTTTATAAGGCAATGCCAGCTTGAGGGGAGGCATGGGTGAGGGGAAAAGGAAATTTTGAATACTACATACGCTGCCGCCGTCATACTCGGGATTCTCAGGGGTCAAGTGGATGTTTGCAAGCTTGAATATAACCTGAAGACCATCGGGGAAATCCTTTTTTAGGTCTGGCTTGCCTAATGGGTCTCTTTCGCGAGGGGCATAATCTTTAGGCTCGGGCAAGTAGTAGTCTTCTGTCCAACCTTTGCTCTCGCAGATGATGCGTGGTTTCAGTGCTGGTTTACGGAACAAACACTCTTCCCAAAGGGGAACAGCTGCAGATACGAACCCTTCGAAAACTTCGTACAAGCCCTTGTGGTCCACGGGATGCAGGTTGTTGATGTAGCTTGCAATCCTGGGACCAGTCTCTGTCCACACAACATCGCTAGGTAACCACTGGTTGTTCCCCCAAAGCAAGGGTTCGTAGGTTCTGTCTTGCTCAAAAAATATGGTAGTCTCTCCTTCGCCAATGATAGAAGCGCAGTTTTCAAGTGGAACTTTACCATAGGGTAACACACGTGTGGTGCCGTAGACAAGCGGGAATAGAGATGGGTTTAAGAGGTCAAGAACTTTTCCATCGGACCTGGGATGCCAATCTTTGTCTTTGTTAGGCACATCTTCCAAGGATTTAACTCCGAACCTAAGAGCATCTACTAGCGAAGGCGGTACGATTGTGTCAGACTTGGCAACAGCTAACTCAGCGTCTAACACAGTGACGATGCCAGTCGTTTTCACTTGCTTCGCCTTATCACGGAGCTCTTTGATACACTACGTCATGTCAGCCCGCGTTTTTGTCTTTGATGTATAAGTAGAACTTACGTTTTCAAACATCTTGTCAGATAAATAGACATCCCCGTCGAGGTTTTGATGTGAGACCATGTTTGCTTCCTCTTTCCACTTGGCAACAATTGTCTCGTCAAAAACCTTTTCTTCCCAATTCGGTTTGTCTGAAATCTGGTCGATGAAGCCCATCACTAGTTTTCATCTTGTTACCAACCAACAACTTTCGTTTTACTAGTCGTAAATAAAAAAGGAACTGGATGCAGCTTACTGCGAATCTCACGCAACGCCAAGCCCTCACTCTCGAATGATTTTCCATCCCAAAGGGCATGAAGGAAGTATGAGGCGATCTTGCTGTAGTCCGGCATGTGTTCAACGGGTAAACCGAAGCCAGGAAGGCTAAGCCTCTCGGATGAATTCTGGGAAGGCATATTGAAGCGAGTAGGTCAAATACAATGAATGTAATGATAGAAATGGCGAGAGAGTAGAATTTCAAGTCGATTCTATTTTGTACCACTCGTCGAGTTAAAATGTTAGTTAAAACGTTACCGTCCTCCTTATTACCTAAGGCATCCGGTCGCTGCCTACGAATGCTGTTATTACCCTTGAACAAATTTGTGGGGAGTGAGTACCTAAATTTGCTAGAAACTATAGCCTACCTAGACCTTGAGTGCAGTTGCGATGCACTAACCTGGTATCGAAGGAAGTAACGGTGCGACGGTCATTTTTCGTGAGGCCACGGGAAACAGCAAACAGTGATGCCCGCGCCATCGCTAGGTACCTTAGGTTAATCAACTCAAGCCCCAGTTCTTCGCCGTTACACCAACGGGCCTTGGCGCTTAGCCGCCCGATGCTCCTTCCGTCTTGGCTTCGGCGCCCTAGTATCAACTTGGCAAGCCTTGATCAGACATGGCACCAATGTTGATGAGGAGCGATGGTGCGTTCTGGATCAAGTTGGGGAGAAGCGTGCGGGCCAGGTGTAGCGGAAATAGGGCGTTGAGACTGATATTTTCAATGCTTCTATCTTCTGCTTTATCCTTCAAAGGCACCAAGTTCGGACCAACTGGATTTCCTCCGGCATTGTTTATGAGCATAGTGAGATTGAGACCGTTAAGCATTTGCTTGATGGCCGTGAAGTTTAGTACTGCTGACCCGCCTGGTTCGCCATTCCTAGAAGCCCGTAGGCAATTTACGCATGCCACAGCGTTCGCATCCGCTACAAGAGGGTTGAACGATCTTTGGAGAAATTCGCTCTGAAGCTCGGATGATACCCTAGAGAGCTTTTCATAATTTCGTCCATGCAGTATTACATTAAACCCGTTGATAGCTAACTCCCGAACCAAAGCGAGGCTTATGCCATTAGATGCGCCTGTTACTAGGGCCCAAGGTTGCTCCCCGTCCCGAGACGAATGCGCATATCTAGACAACTTAGAGGAGCGGGTATAAATTCTAATTATAGAAAATGCTTTAATAATCAGAGTAGAGATAGTAAGTAGGCCAATAGTACTGAGTATAGTCGATGAAGTGAAGGGTTGTAAGATATCGGCCATTTTTTATTAGGCTGAGTTGAGAGAGAAGGAATGAAGAAATAAATCTATGTAAGCCACTGTAAATGACATGCTCATTAATAATGGGCATGAATTACCTAAGCTATAGTGGCTGGTATTGTTGAAATATACCACGTATGGGCCACTATTCAGATTTTAGCCCATTCAAGTTGGTCTCCCGCTCCCGCCTATCTCCCTTTTCCTATTCAACAGCAGTCATTTTCACAAGCTACAGATTCCGATTCTGCTAGAGTTATTATTGATCAAACGACGACGTGACGTGAGACACGTCTTTTTAGTAGGTACATCGACATGACTAACACCACTTATCGTACAATAGATCCATCATGCCCATAGTATATATTGGTATCAAACGCATGATATAGGTATAAGTAAAAAGAAGCAATTAAGTATGAAGGGTATATAATAAGTCAACCAAGAAGTCTGCCGAAGTTTAAATGCATCCCCCTTTTAATTTCTTCGTAATCACCCACACTCGCTCTCATTAATCGGAAAGTCAAGGACTGTCTCATATTTTCGCTTTCGCTTTCGTTTTCGTTCATTTGCTTTTTTATCGTAGTTCATCGTTAATCCTTACGACCGTCTGTTGGTCGGAGCCTGCATTTGATGTTGTAACAAGATCATGTAATCTGTTCAGGGATAGTCCGATATGGTTTACCACCACCGCCTCCGACGCGCGGGGGCGCCATAACCCTCGGGCACGTCCTTGGCACCGTGACGGATATCTCGGCGTCTATGCATCCTAGCGCTGCAGCACGTAAAGAAGACTATGAACGTAGCCAGGAAGCTGCAGATGGCAGAGACGAGGATAGTCCAAGACGCGGCACCCCACTCGGCGCGGCTACCGTTACCAGCGCTGTTAACCTCGGATCGGATAATGCTGAACGATACGAAGTCGCAAACAAGCGCGACAAGTGTGACGATAAAGGTGAGCAGCGAGAACAGCGATGCAAGCAGGCTACCGACGACCCCAGCACCGAGTGCTAAAAGGAATGAGATGAAGGCCAGTCCCGTTGCGATCGGGTGCAAGACCATAACGCGCGTCAAGCCTTTAGACGTGTCTGCCGCATAGTCCGAGAAGTCTACATTCTGCACGTTGTTCTGAACAACGGTGACTGGGTCATAGCCGACGTGCGACCGGCTGCAGAAGTCCTGGCCGGAACTAGGTAGCACTCGATGTTAGCAGCGGCAATACATCGTAGGGTTGCTAGAAGCTCAGTAGGAATCGACTTACGCTGTAGCGCCTGTTACGCAGTAGCCGAAGGTACCGAAGGTCACGGCTGGGTGACCTTCTGGTGATGTATTACGATCATCGAGATTGACTCTCAACATCGAAATGCTGTTCACTACAGGAGCTGAGATGTCGGTGATAATCAGCAGCACCGTAGCCGCTAATAGCAGAAACGAGCCGATGTGATGGAAGAACCCTGTCTGCCGCATTTTGACTGAGAACTGCTATGCTTACACACTTATTTGAAAAGTAATATAGGTGAAGTAAGTATACAGTAAATTCGAATTTGTCGATATAGATACAAAATACTTATAACGGGGAGTCACAGCCAAATAGAGAAACACGATACCGGAAAATGGAGGACACAGAGCTGGAACAACCGTAAGTTATATACAAAATGATTTGAGCAAACAATCAGGTTCGTGCTATTCAACTCCTTAATAGGTAATCGATGATGTTCAAGCTAGGTATGAATCGTGGCGATCTGATGCTGGTCACACCCATGAGAACTGGCTTTTATTGATACCTGACGTCGCGACGTCATGTGGTGAAACTGATGATCCCCGTAATCAATCGAAACCAGCAACGGATAATCGGCAAAAATGTGCGAACGAAGAGCAAAGCCCTTTTTGGGTTGTGCCCTCCCATGGGGGATGTGGCCTATGAACACAGCCATAACCGTAGAGCTGGAAACGACGCAATACAAGTTGTGACGTCGTGGCTTTGCAAGTCACAAGGTGGTGCCATGCCTTTACATACAGAGGTTAGTACCTTATAAAAGCAGGGGAAGGTATTCGTAGAATCTTGTGTATGTAGGATTCTTGGTGGGGTGCGGCCAGGGTTCTGGACTGTCTGAATGTCTGGCCTCTGTGCCTTGTTTTGGCTTAAAATGATGACGGCAGCCTGCAGCCGAGATGTACAAACGGCCCCAGGCGAGCCAAAGCCAACGACACGTCATCAACTGCGGTTGGTATATGTCGTACAGATATACATGAACTGGATGGTTCTGGCAATTGGAATTCAAACTGATGTTGGAATTTGATAGTTGAGGTCGACTTTGGGCTTTCGTCTGAATGTATATCGCATATGGTAGAGTATGCGCGTAAGGATCTTGTTCGAACCGTGAATATCTCTGGCGACTATTTTGTAGCTGTCCAAATTCAACTGATCGCATTATGATAAATGATCTAGTCAAGACTCCTAAGGTAAGTTTAAAACATTTGCTGCCTGTAGTTTAATACCTACCTAGGGACGACCTCTTGCAACTCTTGATACGGGCTATTTCTCAGTTGAATGTATCTTCGTTGGCAAGTGGTTTCTCTTGGTCTGAAGAAACATCGTCGGGTGATTCACCGAGCAAGGAGTCGGTATTCGTTCTAAGGTTGGAATAAGTTGACTGGAAATTATCCCACTTCCTAGACGGATTGACGGCGTTAGAAGGTGCATCGCGAGCATGCTCGTTCGCAAATGCAGCTAGACTTTTCATGATGTCCGGTACCCCCTTTGCATTTCGTCGTGCTCTAATACGATCCAAGAAAAATATCTCCTTCGAAGATAGACGTTTTTTCCCGAGAAGAACAGATGCTGCTCCCTCGACGCCCTCGTCGGCAAAACTGACCGAATCGCGCGATAACTGATTGGCAGTGTGCCAGTCCCGCAACGCTGGAGCCATGGGCCCAGATGGTATAGACCTACGCAAGGCGGCTGACACGAATGTCTCTCTAGCGTTATGAGATGGCCATGGCCCGTGGAGAGGGTTCTTCCTAATCGCCTCCTTATGATTGTACGTCTTATTCGCGGCGAACATATGTAGGGTGAAGAGTCTATATGAGACGCCCAGATCAGACAAGGCCGGCGTTTCCCTTGTTAACAACCTAGAGGGCGCATGCGAATGAACAGGAGTAGTTATAGTTCCTCGTATGTCGTACTCTGCACCCCATGAGGAAGAGGAGGGGGAGGATGAAGAGGCAGCGTTCGGATCTTGGTCAATAACGACACGCTGAAAGGGGGAATCGTTGACAAGGGCAGTAGCAGTGCCTGGTTTAGTGGTGACGACGACGAATGAAGAATTATCCTAGTTATAAAATCGTAGTTAGAATATGGATATGCGACTTTATATACCTAGAAACCTAAGGGAAGAAGGTATAGGCCTACTTCGAGCTTTTTGAATGTCTCGACAGTTTCGTGTGTAATTTTTTGGACAGCGCGCAGAACGCCGCGACGCTCCGAGAAGTTGACCGGGGCCGGGACACATTTGAGATAAACCGTCCGAGAACTCAAAGACGTCTGTAAAAGATCCGCGAATGCCGAGGCTCTACTTGACATCTTGGCCTACTGGCAATTCCGCAGTCCGCAGTCCGGATATCTTGATTGATAATAGCTCGACAGCTCGATAGTTCGGTAGTTCGCCCCACGACTCGATTTTGGTGGATTGGTAAGTCCGTCAATTATCGATAAGCTTTCGCTAGCAGCTGGCTTACAGCTGGCTCCTGTACTGATTACGCGATTACGGGCGTTGAATCTAATTGGTCGACTCACACTTGCGTAGCTGCGTAGAAAAGACTTTCCCGTTGTTGCACCTGCTTTTGGTTTCTGACATCGGACCCGGCCGAAATTCTCTGAATTCTACATTTCCGGTATTGTCGTTCGGCCCGATGTGGGGCAAAACATCCCGAATCACGGTTTCTTCGGGATACCTTGTTATGAATTCGAATTCATTCTACATCCGCACGTTAAGAATACGTTTAGTCGTTGAAAATGACGTATAATGAATAACTTGGACCCTAATCGACGAGTATGTACATGTAGTTCTTATATTAACTGATTGAATTACAGTATTCTCTTTCTGGTTGTGGATTGTTGTGATTCGAGATATTAACGTCATAGGTGCAGGTTATATGCATTGAAACATCTGTACGCAGCCCATTCGATGGACATTGCTACGTAGCAGGTAAAACGGACCAGTTGCGTCAATTTTAGCCAAATATAATATACGCGAATTGTTGACTATGCGGCTTACGTGCAGTATTCTTCGTTAATTGAACGTTTTCGCAAATCGTTGACGCTGAGAATGATCTGTAATTAAAGGCCCGAAATTTATTTCTTAGTGACGCCATCGCAGGCAAGATTCTAATCCCCAAGTGTACAGCGGCGACAATAAAAGCTTCCCGTTGCACATATATCATCTGCTATTAACTTTGTATTCATATGACTTAACTGCTTAACTAAAAGCTTAGAGTGGACTTAATATTCGGCTTCCCCCGACCACCATATTTGTCGCCATCTTTACACGATTTCATCATGCCATCTGGTCAGAGGTCACTCGGCGGACGTTTGAGACCTTATAGTAACCCTCAACAACTCTTTAATAGGTTCTCAAACGACGACAATGAGACAGATGAGTACGGCTGCGATAGACTCAACCGCCAACGGCAACGCCTGGGCTTAGACGGAAATTGCACTACTAGCCCTGGGGACACACATCCAGAGAACTTCGTGTGGAGTAGGATACGATTAATGCTCAGAGAACCATTGCTCGAATTTTGGGGCTGCTTCATCATGGTATTGATGGGAAATTCCGTCCTTGCCCAAACCTACCTTAGCAATCAGGAGTATGGGAGTTGGATTAATATTTGCTTCGGGTATGTCGCCCGCTATTATGAATACGGCCTATGAATACGGCCTCCAGCATACTAGCTGATATCGTGCAGTTGGGCGTGCGGTGCTGCTTTTGGTATATACGTTGCAGGTATAGTCACAACCCCTGAGCCAGATCAATAATTTTAGTGGCCTTGCCCCAAATCATATATAGCTGCTTATTCAAAGTCTAGGTGACTCCGGTGCTTATCTGAATCCGGCAGTGACACTTACCAATTGTCTTTTTCGAGGACTGCCACTAAGACGTTTTCCAACATATGCCGCTGCTCAGTTGCTCGGGATGTTCTGTGCTGCGGGCGTGGTATACGCAAACTATATATCCGCATTCGATAACTACGAGGGAAGAGGAATCCGCACCATTCCTCCAAGTAAGACATCTAGCGCCAAGATATTCTGCACATTTCCCGCATCGTTCGTGCCCAAAGCGAGCCAATTCTTTTCTGAATACATCGCCAACTTTGTCGTTATGTTCTGTATATTCGCAATGAGAGACGAGAATGGGGCTCATCTGGTAAGAATATGCTCTTTCGATTGTTATGTTTATTTTGATCTCGACTTACTTGGTTTCCAGAAAGGAGGCGGATGGTTTGTTCTGGCCTTGTTCCTCTTAAATATAGTGATGATAAGTAGCTTTGGCTGGGAGACTGGGTTAAGCTCTTTCTAACTTTCTTGCTTTGCTTCAGCTGATTATTCTTAGGTCACCTATCAACCCAGCCCGCGATTTTACGGGGAGGATATGGCTGACTATCCTCGGCTATGATGGCGCATGGTCTGCCTTTGATGTATACTCTTGGGTTAGTATCCCTTCACGTACACTGAATTATTGATAACTAGAACGTGATTTAGATTCCCGTTGTCGTACCGTTTATTGCTACTATAAGCGGAGCTATTGCGTATGACCTGTTTATATACACTGGGGATAGCCCCATCAACAGCTATGGTTTAGGGCCTAATAATATATTTTCGAAAATTTGTGGAAAGCCAAAGAAGCGGCAAGTGGACGAAGAAGAGAATAGGGGGGCCGATGAATTCGAGGACAACGACAGGTTAAGACCTGCCGAAGAAAGAGGTAGAATTGAAGGAAGCCAGGGAGGGTCGAGGACACAGTCGATCACGAATAAAGATACGGGCTATGATATGCCACAGGACGGCGATCCAGGATCTATGGCTGGTTTTAGCGGATCTAACATCGAATTACAAAACAAGACAAGTAAAAACAAAAGTTACGGCAACACTTAGAAAAACATTGCTAGCGATGGCAATGAGGACGGTAACAAACAGGAATCATTCTCAGACGGAGACTGTTAATGCATCCAGCTGGGCTATTTACTAACCATTTATGTATTAAGAATACCTTTAACCTATCCTTTGGCTTATATATTACATGGAGAGCTTGGAATAGATAGTACTTGTATGTCTAAGATTAAGGAAAGATGATCAACAATCTTAACATCAATAAGCTGAGTTTAAGCTATGCTTCATGTTTCCTGCAGACTTTTCTTTTCTCGCTTGGTCAAAGGGTTCTCTAACGAGTATTAGGAGATTTCCCGCAAAGCAATGTAGTTTTCCTAGTCTGCAAGAGCTGACTTGAACAAGGACCCAGCTGTCGCTGTTAAAATCCCAGCACTGTTTAAAATAATAGGTGCCAAGATGCCCAGCTGCAAATAATACGCTGATCTGGGCATCTAGTGAAATCCTACCTAGGCGTAAACGGTTAAGCGGCCGTAGACATAGAAATCCTAACTCGTGTAAGAAAGCAAACTATTGACTGAGCGAGTTCTGGGAAATTCTGTAGTATGTAGGATATCGGCCGTTCCGTTGAAGAAAAAAAAATGGTAAAACGGCGCAACATTCCTGCTTACTACTCAGAATGACGGATGCAATACCGAGAGAGGAATATGATGTTGTATTGGGATATGCTTTACGCCCAGTTAGACGTTTGATGCTTGAACAGCGATGGATATTGGCCCCTGCATAATTAAAGGCTGCCGTCCCGAACCGCTGGCTCGGGAACAAGGGGGTGGATATTCCGTAAGTAAACGATCATACGTAGCAATTGATGATGACCTTTGGATCTGATGTAAGAATTATCAATCCATAGAATCCGAGCCGCATACTTCATCCTTCTTACGATGGAATCAATTGACAGGTTATAAGATAAGCTTGAGACGATCGGTCAACACAAGGGTCTAACGTCCAAGAGCTCGGGCCATTGCGATTAATTACATAGAGCCAAGACACTGCTGGATCCAGTGAGGAGCTTCATTAAGCAACGTGGTGCGCCATTGTCGCACTGCACTCAAGCTTTACATGTGCCGTATGTATTATGTAGCAGGTAGTTAGCTGCAGCCACTGCCGCTTGATAGGTATTTGTTTTTTTAAACAGCGGCTTGTATCTCATTATGGCTCATTAAGATGGTCGGGTTTCCACGGCTGTGGTGCTGGATCCCGACGAGTTTCTCCAGCGAGTGGTTGACATATGTATCTCCTCGGGTCTTGCTATGATTTCCTAATAGCCTTAGGTAGTTAATATATTTTTGATAATGAAGCTAGCCTAATTCTGCTGCATTTTACGCCCGTCTTACGTGTTTGAATGGGTGAGAGAAGAGAGCTTATTACGCTGGTCATCCATGACCCAGAACACCGGGACGGAAGTCTATTTTGGTGCCAACCACACATGGAATATGTAGGTTGGTTGGTTTAATTATCTTATCCTTGTCTTCTGTATTTGTGACACGTCGTCTCTCTCCATGCTTATGCATGTTGGTGTAAGGGAGTGATGGTCCGTGACGTTGGAGATAGGAGAATTATAACATACCTAACCTAAAATAGTAGGGAATATCTGTTTACCAAAGATCTTCATGTCTTTTATTTAATTATTTAATTATTTAATTCCTTTAAGTTCAACTTAGTATGATTCTTTTGAACCTTGTTATGTTGGCATGACCGGTGATCTTTGATGCAGACCTTGTTTCTCCGGACCAATTCGGAGAGCTTGATATGTCAAGTTGTGAGTGACACTAAATATATTATTACATCCACCACAAGCTGCAGCTGGACATAGTCGGAATCTCATGACATAGGCGTCATCTTTTTCTTTCCTTTTTAAGCTTGCATCATGTCTGGATGTATGGCTTGTTTTTAATGCCTCTTGTTTGGAAATGAAAGTGTACCTAAGGAATACTACCACTTACACAGTAGTATAACACTGTTTGGAATCCTCCTGATCAAAACATGAGGCTTCACAGTTATCGCCGATCGGAGACTGGGAGAAAAGCTCGGATTTTGTCTACATACCTAGGTACCTAGTAGATCCACACGGCAGTTCTTCCAGTTGTTCCATTTCGCCCAGCTCGCCCAGCTTGCCCTCCCTGCCTCCCTTTTCATGCCCCACCTTCGTTCCAGCAGGGCGGGAAAGGCGCCACATCAGACGTTTTTGTATATTTTAATTGGTTCAGAGTTGTGTCCCAAACATTAATGCCCCAAGAACTGGATACTCTCTCCGCTATTGTGCAATGGTTCGCCCACCTTGCGATCTGTGGGCGTAAGGCATGCCATTACCCGAGTACAACGTGGGTTTGCATTTCTCGTATAGGCTACTTTACCGACCCCCAGGTCTCACCTTGTCCCAAGGATCCATTTTTGCACGCTCGTCGAGCTGCCTAAAGTGTGCTAGGCTGATGTATTCGTACCGGCCAAGTGGGATTCGGCAAGTTACCAGTAGGGAGCCAGGGAGCTTACAGGGAGATACTAGTTGGGATGACTGGATGATTTCTGCCGCCGCTTTCTTTACTGTCCCGACTGAGGCTTGGTTTCGCTTTCTAGCGGCATCTTTAATAAACCTAATTATCCCAGGTATTTGGTCACTCGATATGAGGAAGGGTTGCACGTGTATCAATCAAGCTGCAATGATCCAGCGCAGATCACCAGCCAGACCAGAACCACATATATGTATTGTGCCTATTGTACAATGCCGAGTACAGAGAGGTACTGTACCCACGATGGGCAGTACCTATGTACCCCCAAATCCCAAGGGTGTGGTTCATTTCCGTACCGGCTTAAGCTGTTGGACGCCCTTCGCCACCGCTCCGCTGCTACCTACCTCATACATATGTATGTCGGTGGGTGTGTATGGATTTCGATTCTGCGTTCTTTTTGTATCTGGGCACAACCGACGCCATGTTCGTCATACCCAGTCTCTCGGAACAATATATACATAGTATGCTTTTGTTTTAACTTAATTATCCACGAATGTATTTACTCCACGAGTAGGAGTAGTGTATTTGTCCTATAATACGCTATATGTCTAATCCTAGGTAGGTAGGCATTCGGCCACGAGCTAGACACGCAGACACAACACATCGTGGCGTTTCCCTTAGGTCTTACATTAGCGCGTGGACCGGCTTCTTGGTAAATCAAGCTTCGTCGAATCGGTTGAGTCGTGCTTGGGTATCATTTACTAAATCCCAGCGACCCTTTCGCTGGAAATCGGGTCCCCACGTCTTCTCCATCTTCTATCCGCTTCTCTAGTCTCCAGATGTTCCGCCCATCGAAACATGTCCGGGTCTTTCGCTTCCAACTGGAAGATGGACTCCGACATCCCATTAGATGACGATGACCCGTCGCCGTCTCCGGAAACCAAAGTATACCAAAATTCCTCGCCTACCATGTCAATGTCGACAGCGAGTCCAGCCCGTTCAGACGGCGATCGGATAGAATGTCTTGTTCGAAGGATGAGCAAACAAACCTTGGTACGAGAGTCGCTCACTGCATCGGCAATGGAGTCGCCAGGCTGTCAGGCCAATTCCAGCGTACCAATAAGCCCAGAGCCAATGCAAATGGAAAAACAAACGCCGCCACACATATCTGAGCCTCCGAACGAGTTTAGTTATAATCACCTTACCGAACCTCCGAGCGATCAGTACATAGAACAACTAATGCCGCCCCAACACTACGAGAGAATGGCGAATCCACCTGGCGATCCCGTTATGGATGGGAGCTTTAGTTCTGGTATCGTTACGCAAGATAAACAGCAACAGCCCGAGATGAGCATCCATAGTCGTTTTCCAAACCTTCGTAGGCTAGACTTGATGGCGAACATGATCGAGAACGAAGAGCAATGCAACGTACATACACCTCGACTGTCCTCTTCGGCCGACCCAGCGCCGTCCGCCGGTCCCGCCAGTCGTAGGGGTTTGCCAATACCATACGATACCAACACGGTACTAGAGGTCGACGAAGGAATTTGCACGCAGCCTGATGAGCAGGCTCCCAGTGAGATCTTGGGTCTAAGAGATGCTAGCGGTCCGGAAGGCATCAGAAAACTTGGGCATCTCAAATATAGAACATCGCTGGAGACGGCTATGCGGTGTAAGAATATGAGGAAAAGCGCACCGAGGATGCGCAGGAGGCCCAAGACACAACCAAAGGAGACGCAACAGAAGAATTCAACAATAGAACCGGTATCGACGACTCCGACGAGCTCAACGGCGACATGATTTTGGTTTATTTTATTTCCTTTCATGATTTTGGTTTTTGGTTTATCTTCGTCTTATTACATATACCCCAAGGCAGGAGGCAGGCGTTGTTAGGTAGCGGTTGGGTCATGGCGGCAATAGGGAATTGCATCGCATCGGTCAATCGGTTTATGGAAAGGTTGGGCTCGGTATACAGGAGCGTCATCAGCATTCAACTTGGCGTTTAGGGTATGCGGTTGCAAGCCGCTCAAAGGCTGCGTGGGTTTGTGTCGACTACATGAACTGTTTACCTACCTCCTAAGGTGTGATTTAATTACAGGAATGGGTTTGTGTGCAAAATGGTCTGGGATGCCGTTGTATATTTATATACATTCTTGTTTTACGTGTATATACGGAATGATGATAGTGTGTCTGCGGCTTACATATATAACACTTATGAGCTGATCTCAACTTAGGTTGAGCTCATATCTTAGGCAAAGGGCCTATTTAACAGAGCAAATCTCACATGAAGCTCAACACCGATATAAATTAGGCAAGTTACTGCAAGTAAAACCATGTCGATATGATTTATATAGTAAATACCTGCTCTTGTCAAATTTTAATTTTACTCATCTCAGGTATGTTGGCGGCGTAACATGGTGCATATCTTACGTACCGACGTATATAAAATGTGGATACATTTTAAATCAATACAATGACACTTTGCTAAATTTTGGCATACGTTTACACAATGTACGAACAAGGTTGTATGCTGGGGAACAGCTACGTACCTGCTGTATAAGTTAGTAGGTCCAAAATACTAAATTATATTTTACAGTCTTAACTTAAAGAAATATATTCTACTACAATTGAATGGAGTCAACTTATACTTAGACTTTTCTCAGTTATGACTGTTAGGTTGGTGTTTTTCATCATATCACTCAGAACTACGAGTAAAATCAAACAAGTATTTATGGAAGATAAGTAATATTTATACAGCTAAATCATCTTAAATGACCCTATACACACCCATAAGAAATATGTATCTATCGTGAAATCTTTCGTACATTTCTTTCGTAAACAATAACAACTGACTTATATACCCTTGACGCCACAATTCCACCCGATTGGTTCCCTTAACCCTCCAATAGTCGCTGCTTTAGGCCCTGGGCCGCAAGCTTACCGAAGTTCTCCAATGCACCTAGAGACATAATTTCTAGCACGCTGATGGTCGTGCCGAACATTTGGGTCCAGAGACGTCGCAGTTCGACAGCCATGAGAGAGTCAAGTCCGACATCGACCAGACTGACGGAGACATCAACTTCTTCAATAGGCTTAAGCATGAATGAGTAGACGCGCTTGCCAATTTCCAGAGCAAGGAATTCGGCGCTCTCGGGCTTGTCGAGCTCGCTGGGGTTGGCGGTGACGGTGGCGAGGAACTCGCGGAAACCGTCGCCTTCGCCAGAGCCGCTGTCGGCGTTGTCCTCCTTGGGAATGTTGTGGTAGAGACCCATGCGGCGGTCCTTCTTCCAAGCCACGTGGTTGCTAGCGTCCTCCAAGTGAGTGTCGGAGTGAAGACCCATGATGATAGGTGAGGGGCCGCGGTGCAGGATGCCGAGGTGAATGTACTCGAGGACTTCACGCTCAGTAAGGAACTGAAGACCGTTGGAGCGGAGGTTGCGACGAGCCTTGTCGTTACCGACGACGACACCAATGTCGTCGATAGGGCTGACAGCGATGGCAGATGCGGCAAGACCCTGTCCGTTTCGGTACTGGGTGAAAGCCTCCAAGAAAGTGTTGGCAGCGTTGTAGTTAGCCTGACCGGGGACGTTGATGGTAGCGACAATGGAACTGGTGACAACGAAGAAGTCTAGCGATGCATCCTTCAGGGCGTTGTGAAGGTTCCAAGCACCATCCACCTTGGGCGAGAGACCCTCAGTCCACTCTTGGTGTGTCATCTCAGGGAACAGAGCGTCCCGAAGGACCATAGCCAAGTGAATAACACCCTTGACAGGCTTAGGAGATTGCGCGACGGCAGACTTGACGAGCTCGAAGTCTTGGATAGGTCCAGCAACTGGAGTGAGGACGCATCCTTGGCTCTTCAGCTCAGCAATGAATGCCTTGTCCTCTGCGGAACGACCAGCGGATCTGGAGATTGCAGTGATGTAACGAGCACCCCGCTCGGCCATCCACGAGGAGATGGCTTTTCCAAGACCACCGAGACCACCAGTGATAATGTAAGAAGCTTCAGGGTCGAAGCTAAGTTCGCCAGTAGCGCCCTGTCGGATGATTAGTTGCCTGTTCCAGTCTTGAGTATGAGTTAGACTTACATTTTGCGCCTTGCTGGCCACCTCAGAAGAGATAGAGAAAGGTACGTATCGGCCAACGTTGATTGTGCCATTCTCGACCAAGAACTCCCTGTCGGGGAGTAGGGACTGGGAAAGGTCCTCTTCAACAACCTTGTTGAAGACATTGGCGACGTAGCTGGCCAAGTCGGACTCGGCCGGGTCGACCTCCAAGGTGGTTAGGGACAGGTCAAGCTCTGCACGGATGGATCGTAGAAGACCAATGGACAGACCAGACTTGGGGTTCTTGGTGTTCTTCTGCGCAGGGGGGAGTAGCCAGAGCAGCTTTCGCGAGGAGATGGATTCGGCGTTCTTGAGCAGATTCTTGAAGATAGTCCAGTTCTCGGAAGAGATGTCCTCGAAGAATGGCCTCTCAAGGTCAAGAGCGAAGATAACGTTGTGCTCCTTGGCGACGTCTTCCGATAGACCCTTCTTAATAACATCAATGCCATACTTGGACAATCCGTCAGCCAGCTCGGAGGTAAGCTTGCTCTCGCTGTTCTCGGTGACTAAGACGACAGGAGCGTTCTTCTCGCTCGAAGTAGTCTTGGGCTGCGTGATAATGGTCGACCAGTATCGGAATGGTAGCGGTGCGTCGTATACAACGTTGTCTGCGCCTGTGAATCCAGCAGACTTGAGATCTTCATCCCAACGGGCGTTGGAGACGAAGGGCTCCCACTCACGACCATCGGCCTCACCAGACCACCACGACGAGAAGGTTCCGAAGATGAAGTTGGGCGAGCTTCCGATGGTTGCAGGCTCCGAGAGAAGGAGTCGGCCGTCCGGCTTCAGCACCGCGTTCAGGTTCTTCAATGTCTCCTTGAGGTAAGGAGTTGCGTGGACAACATAGGGCGCCAGGATAAGGTCGTATGAGTGAGCCTCAAGACCTTGTGCAAGAGGGTCCTTGCTGACATCGAAGACCTTGTACTCTAGGTTAGGTGCGTTGGCGAAACGCTCACGAGCCTGAGGAAAGAAACCAGGCGAAACGTCACTGTATGTGTAGACCGAGTAAGGAGGGAGCTTGCCCTCTTGGACGACCTGGGATAAGATGGTTTCAGTAGTACCACCTGCTCCGGCACCGATCTCGAGGATTCGAAGAGCGGGTCGAGAATTCGACAATGCGCTGACATATCCGGCGTAGTCGAAGTTGATGGCAGTGTAGACATTGGAGAGGATGTCATTCTCCATCAGGAGCTGTGCAGCATCCACGGAACCAGTGTATAGTCCTTCAATGTTGTCACGGATTTGTCCGATCGCGACGGCATAGGGAGCCCTTGAGGGGATCTTGCTCAGCTGAGCATACTTGTCAGCAATCAGGCTGGCCCTCTCGCTGCTCGATAGGGAAAGGAAGTTAGAGATGTCTCCAAGGACTGGCGACTTGCCGCTAGCGGCAGCTTCAGCCTTAAGAGCGATCCACTTCCCGTACTTCTCGAAGTGGCCGTTGGTAGCTGTCTTGCCCTTGATACGCTCAGCGGAATCCAGGATAGACAGAAGAGTATACTCTTCCAAAAGACGGGTGGCGGCCTCGTCAGAGGGAGGCTTGACGAGAGTAGAAGCCTCATCCCTGAAGTCGAAGTCGGGGCGCCATTCAAGGTAGGCACCGTCGGTGTGGTGCTTAGGACCAGCGTCCTCGTCGGGCAGAAGCGTGAAGCGAAGACCACGGATGCGTAGCAGAGCTTTGCCATCTGCCACACAGTCAACATTCATAGATTCGCCATCAGCCGTGCTCTGGGCCACAGCTCGCATCGATGATGATGCACGGTACACCTCTAGCTCTTCAATCTCAGTAGGCACCTTGAGCTCGGTGTAGTTACGCGGCAGACCCTTGGACCCAGCAATGATGGAAAGCTGCAAGCAAGCATCCATGGTGGTGGGGTGGAAGAGGAACGGTCCCTTCATGATCTCCTCAGTCGTGTTAACCGATGCAGCAGCAGCGTCGGTGGTTGTAGCGGCGGACAAGTCGCTTAGGAGCTGGAACTTGGGGCCATAGTTGAAGCCAACCTTGGCGAAGGTGTCAAACCATCTGGTCGCATCAGCTGTGCGAGGAAGCTCAGCTGGTTGCTCAGCGGCTGGCGCATCACTGTCGATGGCCTTGACTAAACCTTCACAGTGGGTAATCCAGGTCGTTCCGTTGTGAGATGCGATGAAGAACTCAAAGTAGTCAGATCCTGAGATCGGTCGGAGTGAGGTGTAGATCTCCTTTGGCGTCTCGCCTAGAACTAACGCTGTGGTAACTCGAGCGTTCTTGATGCCGTATCCTGTCTGGACTCCGGTGAACTGTCGGATAGCTTCACCCGCAATGCCCACGTAGCCAGCGAAAGGAACAACTGTGTCTTCACGGACCTTGTGGTCGGTGATCCACGGGACGTGGTCAGGCACAAGTATCAATCTCCAAGAGGGGTTAAGAGTGGTGCTTTCAGCGACCTTGCGGCCGAGAAGCTCGTGGTGGCCATACGGACGGAGACGCCACTCCTTGGATATTCTTGGCTCGTACCAGTATGTCTCCTTCAAAGACCAGGGGTATTTGGGAAGGCTTGTAACAACCTGGCCAGATGGGTATAGAGAAGCGAAGTCGACGGTGACGTCTTGCTGGTAAAGCTGTCCTATGGCGGAAAGGAAGGATTGCGTGGAGTTCTTGTTCCTGAGCATGGTCGGGACATACTCGAACTTGGCGTTGCGGCCAGCGCAAATCTCACGGATGGGTCCCTGGAGAGTGGAGTGAGGACCGATTTCGAGGAAAAGAGGGTTCTTAACTTCCTCCGTGATGATCTGGACGGCAGAGTTGAATAGGACAGGGGATGTCAAGTTGTCGACCCAGTATTGCGGTCCAAATTCTTTGGCGTCGGTGATCTTCTTGGCCCTCAGACTGGAGAAGAGAGGGACTTCAAGCGTCTCCCGGTCCTTAGCGAAGTTGGTGAACTCGTCGTTCAAGCATGACTTGTACGCGTCCGACAAGGCCACCATGTGGTGGGAGTGGTAAGCCATCTCCACCTTGAGGGCGCGAGCGAAGGCATCAGGCAGAGCGGCCTTGATGTTAAACAATGCCGTCTGTAGCTGATCGAGGTCACCCGAGATGGTTGTGCTCGAAGGGCTGTTTTCACAAGCGACGACAACTCGCTCAGGGAGGAGCTTTCGTGTCTCTTCGGCACCCAAACCGATGGCAGCCATTCCACCAGGAGTAGTGGACCCCTTCGAAACGTGGCCACGGTACCAAGCAGAAGTAACAGCTTCACGTAGTGTGAGCGCCTCCGCGGCATACGCAGCAGCAATTTCACCACTGGAGTGGCCCACCACGGCCTGCGGGCGGACACCAAGGCGCCTCAGCGCATTAACAATACCAATTTGAACAACAGTGGATAGAGGCTGGGCCAGCTCAGCACGACCCAACTGACTCTCACCGGCGGGCTTGCTCAACTCCTCGATAGCCCTCCATGTGGGCTTGCGATCGCCCAAGCTCTGCAGGATATCATCCATCGCAATCACATCTTCCTTGAATCCGGGGTATGAGTTGATCAGGTCGTAACCCATCTGTGGCCATTGCGCACCCTGTCCGCTGAATACCATGACAACAGTAGGCTTCTTAGCGGGCTTGTTGGTAGGGGGAGCGAAAGTGGCTGCAGCCGCATCAGAGATGACCGAAAATGATCTCCACTTGAAGTGCTCCCTGCGTCGAGCAAGGGTGTATGCAATATCAGGCAGACGATCCGAGTTGTTTGAAACGTATTGCTTGAGGTTCTCAATTCCGGTCTTCAGGGAATCCTGAGAGTTAGCGGAGACAAGAGCAAGCTCGGCTCCGAACCGAGACTTGGTGAAATCCTTGAGGTATTGCTCGGCGGATTCGACGATAACCTAGTCGTTCGTGAGCATAAGTGGAGTTGTATTTATTAGAGGGGCAAACTTACGTGGGCATTGGTACCACCGATACCAAAGGAGTTTACACTGATTCTGTGTGCCTTTCCCTTGGGCCAGGGCATAGGCTTCACAGGAATGGAAATCTTCTTCTCCTCGAATGGAACTATGAGTACCTTTGTTAGAGTAAAGTCTTCAGAGATAGCATAGAGGGGAGAGCTTACTTCTGGGGTTAGGAACCTCGAACTTGATGTTGGGAGGGATAATCTTGTGCTCCAAGGCCAACACAGCCTTCATCAAACTCGAGATACCCGCTGAAGCCTCCGAATGACCAAGGTTAGGCTTGACGGATCCAATGTAGATACCATTGGGTTGGCCGAAGACATTTCCAACGGAGATGGCCTCTACCGGGTCTCCTACCGGGGTTCCGGTTCCGTGACACTGAAGAGACATATTAGTTAGATTGTTACGAAGTAAAGTAGTATCGGTAACGGCAGATCCTTACCTCAACCATAGCAGTCTCAGCCGGGTCCAGACCCGCATCGACATATGCCTTCCTCATCAGTGCCTCTTGCGCCACAATACTGGTAGCGAATAAACCAGTGCTTTGGCCATCCTGGTTGACACCAGTGTTCCGGATGACTGCTCTGATTGGGTTGCCGTCTCGGATGGCATCAGATAGCGGCTTGATGTAGATAGCGTTCACTGCTTCACCACGTCCATACCCATCAGCACGTGCGTCGAAGGTCTTGCACGAACCCTCAGGGGACATAATTCCCTCCTGTGTCATGGAAGCGGTAGTTATGGGTGTCATGTTCAAGTTGGATCCAGACACAATTGCGGCATTGCAGTCACGGTTCTGAACGGCTCGAACCGCATTGTGAAGCGCAATCATGGAGGAAGAACATGCTGTCTTGATGACAAAGGCAGGGCCACGAAGATCATACTCGAAGGCAACCCGATTCGCCAGCATCGGGTCAAGATGACCTGTAAGAACGTAACCAGTAGGGTGCATTTCTTCTTTGGATTGTGTCTGTAACCAATCCTCAGAGAATGTACCAACGAAAAAGCCCGTAAGACTACCCCGGTAGTCAGTTACACCCGCACTCTCCAGACACTCACGGACAACGAGTAGGAGTAGACGTTGTTGCGGGTCAGCCTTCTCTAGTTCGTTCCTGGTCATTGTGAAAAGACCAGCGTCAAAGGCAGCCAGGTCGTCTTCCAGGAAGTAGGCATGATCCTGATAGACGGTGTTCGTCTTGCCCATATCGCTGTTGAATCCCTTAATGTTGTAACGGGAGATAGGTACTGGGGACCTTTGGTCCTTGCCATTGTACAATACATCCCAATAGTCTTCAGGAGTCTTGACGCCGCCTGGAAGGCGCATGGCCATTCCGCAGATGGCGATGGGCTCGATGTAGCGTCCTGTTGGTTGACTCATTGTGTCGGTGTTGTCGATCTGAAAGGGAATTCGACAAGTTGTTTGTTAGAAGTGAATGAAGACAGTGATTCAAAGTAAGGCCTGAGGTATATCGGTCCGCTCGTCCTGTGCTATAGGGCGGATTCTGTTGGAAGTGAAGTGAATGAAGACGATGATTCAAAATAGAAAACCTGAGTATAACGAGTCCTCTCGACCTTTTTATAATCAAGACTGACTGAAACGTCTGCCTAGATGCCTTCCTTCCTTGCGATATCGCGTCATGTTGCGAGGCTGAAGATGATAGCACTTACACGGATAACTTCGTGATAGGTCCATCCTTCGTGCATATCGACAGGGGAAAGCAGCCCACGTTTTGGAAAACGTGAACTGTGGCGATAAGGTCCAGAAGACCCGCACGATCCCATCCTTTCAACAAGTCGTTATGGTTGAGCCAGGTTCAGACGTGATGTCAGAATCGGCAACAAGATATCCCATCATCCCGAAGCTTAGCTATAGCTGCAGGTACTTTTGTCGTTAAGTCTGATTGGAGGAGCTAATGATTACATTCCTGAAAGAGTATAAACTAAGTCTTAGTTGAGCCTTGATGTGCTGATATAAATGGGTCATGGATCTTACAGGCATGGTGGGCATTTCGGGATAATTACTTATCTACAGCAGCGTTCATATCTCCGAATCGACAAGCTATAGCTTATTAAGAAACTTCATTCATAATGGTGAAAATAGTAAGCTCGATGGTAACATCGCCTATTCGGGTGACCAGGTAGTTAATTCCTACTAGTTATGCGAGTTAAATCGAAAATTCCTCCCTTACATACTTGTTCTATGACTTTCTACTAGTTACGAGGTTATTAACTAATGGTATTACGGTAAATTAAATTATATTTGCATACTTTATGTAGGTAATCTCAAGGTTACAATTGTGAAACTAGCTTGATAGGTAAACTATTTCCTGTGTAGCTGCTAAGCTTATGTCATATTTGGGCTCATACACTAGAAATATTATATGTATACCTAACTTTGCGAGTAAAACATCTCGGATGGTCAGCCGCTTTTGCTGACTTTCCTTTCACATGTCTGATCGCCAAGTCAAGCTGTGTGTAATCAATTTTCTTAGCCTCAACGGTTATCAGACCACCTTCACCTCATCAAGAACAGCATACTAGTATAGCTTCGTACTCGGGTAGGTTAGTATAGTAGTGTATGAAATCGGTAGGGTTGTAAGGATCGAACGGGACTGCATTCTAATTATTCCGAATAGTGCCACCGACGTACATTGCATGATTACTTGATACATACCTCGTTAACGTCTAGACGCCCAATCCGTATCTGCAGAATCAAACCCCGTCTGCCTTACAGGATTCCTATGAGGACTATTTTCCTAGTCGATATCCAGTATCACGTCGAGAGCTTGTTCCTGTTCCTGTAGTGTCTTATCCTAAATGGCAAATGCCGGTCACCCGAGGGTCACCAAATGTGACAGTGATCGTAATATGTTTCGCAAATCTCTGTTTCGCAATATTGTGCCACATCCTTCCCGAAGCTTATCCTTCCCAAAGCTTATATTGCGATCCTTGTTCTGATTCACGATTAAGCAGACGCGGCTTTTGCCTCCCTGTCTTCATCCTCCGGTTCGTCCATGCGGGTGTCATCCGGCCACGGTCTCGGCTCGCAACCGGGGTCTTTTGAGAGTCTGGTGTCTCTCACATTAGTGCGCCCGCCGCCCTGGCTTGCTATTCCGTATTGTGGATTTTAAGCCTCTCTTTAAACTTAGCCACTTACGTGCCCAAACGGATCGGATTCGCAAGCACCCAGGATCACTTTTCGACTCGGCAAACCTATTGGATCTTGGCCAGCCCTGCTATCATCAAACTCGAGCACGTTGATTAGCTCGATCCTAGATACTGTGACTCCTTCCCGTTGGTCCGTCCGCGGTAGGGGTACGCCATGCCGGCGCCCCCCCACGACTCTCCAAGCGCCAACACGAGATGGAAAGCTTGACACATTTGCTAGTTACGTGGCTAACTTGATATGATACCCGGTATTTTGCATTCAAAGGACGAGCATCCCGGTTTTTATAGTGCTTACGCCCAGCTCACTTGAATGCAAATCGGAATACGGATCGGGCCGGGGCGGTTAGGATTCTCCTATAGTATAGCACAATACTTAGCAGAGTATATCGTTAAATAAAATATTTAGTTAGTTATTGCGTATATTATCTTAACTTTACACATTAAAGCTGTTGCTGACGCGGAGTTATAGGCTTGAATCTCTGATTTTGTTGTTGTTGTTGTTATATGAAAGGTACTGGGATAAATAACGACTCCACAGTTTTCGGGGTTTGAAATCAGCCTCAATTACGTTTATAACTTTTCTTAAGCTGGGAGGGATCATTTGAAGTAGACTCCTTTGGGTACAGGGATATGGATACTACCTTTTGATACTACCCTGCATTGTCAGACATGATCCTACGCTACCAAAACACCTGCATTATCGTCAAGTTGCGGTCAGTGCTGTACACTAGTGTATAATCCACATCTTGGTTTCGTGACGAAGGTCTCATCCTTAGACGGCTTCCTATGCGTCGCATTCGCATCATGCTTCCAGCAACAGGAGGGATGATAGACCGGCATGCTGCCGTCTTCCCCTCCTCGAGTATTTTAAAAGCCCTTATCTATCAGAACATCAGGTCAGAAGAAAACCAACTACCACACTTCATTCCGACGCAAAGATGACTCGTGTACTTCTCACTGGTGGATCTGGCTTTATCGCAGCTCATATTCTAGAGAGTCTGCTAGAGCATGGCTACTCTGTTGTGACTACTGTTCGATCCGCACAGAAAGGTCAGCAAATCCTAGACTCTCACAAGCAATACGGCAAAGATAAACTTGACTTCGTCGTCGTCGAAGATATCGAGAAGCCTGGAGGTATGTTACTTCTTTACTTCTTCCCCGGATAAATATTGTGGGCAATATACTGATATAGTACCGATAGCCTTCGATTCGGCTGTGGTATCAGACCCACCGTTCGACGCAGCTGTTCATTGCGCCAGCCCGTACCACTTCAACGCCAAAACACGTGATGAGATCCATCAACTCATCAGCACAGCTATTAATGGTACAACTGGTATTCTCAAGGCCATCAAGGCCCACGCTCCCACGGTGAAGCGGGTGGTTATCACTTCTTCATACGCGGCTATGGTCGACTACGGCAAGCCGTTGACACATGTCTACAGCGAAGTAGACTGGAACCCAATCACTGAGGAGCAGGCTTATTCAAGTGCCCCATTCGCTTACCTCGCAAGTAAGACCTTCTCCGAGAAGGCAGCTTGGGATTTCGTGAAGGATGAAAAGCCAGGTTTCACCCTCACCACTATCAACCCACCTATGGTCTATGGCCCTGTCATCCACGCACTTTCCTCCCTCGACTCGATTAACACGAGCAATGCTCGGTTCGTGAGCCTACTCAGAGGTAGCCCCACAACTCCTTGCCCCCCCACAGTCAACTATCTTTTTGTGGACGTGCGAGACCTGGCTTTGGCACACGTCAGAGCTTTGGAGAAACCAGAGGCAGCAGGCCAGCGTTTCCTAGTTACTGCAGGAAACTACAGTAATGCTGAAGCCGCCCAGATTATCGGCGAAGAATACCCCGAGTACAAGGATAGGATGCCAGTTGGGGAGGCCTTGAAGCCTGGAGAGAGACCCGCTACGGGAGTGAATGGGTACGACAACAGAAAGAGTATTGAGGTTCTTGGCATGAAGTACAGGACATTCAAGGAATCTGTTGTGGGTGTTGTGGATAGCATCAAGGGGCTGCTGTAAGATTACATAGTATACACTAGTATTCTGCAACGAACTTATGTAGCCTGGATGTTCTAGAATCTACATATGCTGTAACTAGCATATTTTTGATGCGACCATCTTTTTATGTCTTACCTAGTTCGAAATAGTCAAGGATCTCTCTGATAACAATCTGCATATAAAAACGTGCTAACATTAGTGTAGATCGGGGTTTAGTACTAGTAATAATAGGTAGTCCGTAGTTAACTAACTAGTTTAAAACCAAACTTCGTATAGTATACGGATGAGGTAACCCGATAGGGTTGAAGTTAAGGGATTACGTGACTTACGTAGATTATTTGATTTGTCATTTAACCTGCACTTAATAACCCTGTTTGGATTCGGTGGGACCTTACGGCTAGCTGCATTGTACCTAGATCCCTGCTAGCCTTATAGCAAGACCCCGACAACCTTCGGGTATTACAGAACGGTACTAGCGTATAGAAAATGTATGTAATGATACCTAGGTAACAAAATAATAGAGAAGGAAACTTACATATCCGCTGGACTGGCATAAAACAGCAAACCCACTATTTTCAGTATTGATACATCAAGATTGGCTAAAGGATATAGACTGGTTGCGTTGAACTTACGTTAGGTACTCTACCGATTATAAAGGGTTTGCTGTTTTATGCCAGTCAAGCAGATAAACAATTTCTTTAGTACCTAATACAATATAGAAGATGCAACTATGAGATAATATATTATAAAACAGCATTGTTTTACTAATCGTGATATGTAAAACAATTCATCTGTGAAGTAGTTCGAGTGTCATGGTTTTACCCTCATTATGTACAGCAGTGGCACAGCAGGGTCTCGGAAGCATAGGTAAGCTTCACGAAAAGGATTCGACTCCTCCAGACAACTTATCTCATATGTAAGGACCTAAACAGGGGCTAAAAAGTTGACCCATAAAGCTAAGCCTCGCTACCAGCCAGTGTTTTCCGATCTGATTCGGAAAGTAGCTTGAGTGGCTAGTTTTTATGGTTGATCTTAAGCATAGACCATAATCTTGAAATACTGGAAACGAGTAAGACGAAGGATTGATCCGAGATACTTCCGGACGGGTAATCTTCGTACACAATCCGAAGTTTTTATAAGCAATCACTACCTAGGTACTGTATACTTCTAATGATTTCCCAAGACGAATAAGCTACTATACGTTCCATATCTAAATTTGATTGGCTGAGATTGCTATACTATTCCTAAAGTGGTATATTTTGAGTCCTTTTGAAGTTTTGAGTTGTTAACATAAGTGGCTCTGCACTATAGCTTAAGTACCTATCTCATGTGTAGTTCGCATTAGAGGACACAAGACGAAGCATCGCCCTTTACATAGCACTCTGTTCTAATTCAACAAATCCCAATTTCGAATTTGCGACATAAAAATTACGCTCTTCTGACAATTAAGAACATGACTCCTTCCATAATATGCATTAACTACTACCTACCAGGTAGGTAGTTGACTTTTCATATACAAGGTACTACCTAGGTACCTAGGTAAACTAAAATCCAACCAATTTAAATTATACTATGCCGCCTTATATGCATGACCCTCTGTCCTAAGCCTCATTATGCTCTAGTTGGATATATGTCGCTTTAACGTAATCAAATAAATATTCCTTAACTCTTCCCCACGTCCACGTCTCCGTCTTTAATAAGGACTGGCCGAAATGTCCCTCAAATATCTAATCTATGTAGATCTGAATATATCCTTATTTCTTGACCAGAAGTCCAGGACCTACTAATCTAATACGCGAGAGAATAATGGCCGCACCACCCTACGAACGTTAGCCACCTGCAAGTAGTTATTTCGTTGGTGTTGTTAGATATACTTACCACAAGTAGCGAGACACCACAGAAGATCTTGAGACCAGAATAGGCGCCGTCCTGGGCAGTCACAATAGCTCCAGCGATAGGGCTGCCGAATAGGGCACCAAATGAGGAGAATGCATACAATGTGCCAACTCGGAAGCCCAACTTCTGGATATCAGATATCGAGGCTACTAATGCGGGGATGATGGCTAGCGTTAATCCCGAAGCGAATCCGTACAACACCGCATAGACGATAATTGGAGCAACTGAGGCCGCCGGTAGCCACAGAGCAAGGGTGATGATTCCAGAGAAAAGCGTGAAGATAATGCAGACGTTGAAAACGCCGTATACGTCTCCAAGATGGGCTGGGAAGATTCTTCCAAAAATACTTGCCGCATTAATGATTGGAACGAGATAGTTCGCGAGGTCGGCCGACATGCCTGTTTCCTTCGCCTCAACAATAATGAAGTTGAATGGGAGGAAAGCACCGAAGTAGACGAAGAAGGAACCGACGGCGAGAAGTAGGAACGGCAACTCGGTGAATGGAACAAAGTATTCCTTAATAGTGAATGGCTTTCGGACAGGGGGGAGACGAGACTTGATCGCGATGTTGCCAAAGATTAGAAGTCCAAGGATCAGGAAGGCAACAATACGCATTGCCCATCCAAAGCCGACCTCGACAATCAAGTGTTGGACCATAATTGGAAGCACTACACCGCCAAGACTAGATCCAGAGACCATAATACCGAATGCTAGCGCTCGGTGTTTCTTGAACCAAGTTCCGGCCGCAGCAATTGCTGAGCACTGTTAGCCACAGGTTTCACCCTCGCGGTTTTACATAAGGATAGTTACTCACTAGGGTAAAACAGAAAACTAGTTCCGATTCCACTGCATATGGCCTGGGCAAGGAAGAATTGATAGTACTCTTTAGATAGCGAGATCATCATCATTCCCAAAACGTGCAGAATGGATCCAAAAAGCAGTGGCCATCGTGGACCATAGTTATCAGCTACTTTGCCAGAAATTAAACCCTGTGAAAATGATTAGCAATAGAGCAAACGAAAAAGGCGTACTGTCATGGTCCCACAAGGAAGAAGAGCATGAATGATTCTACTGCCGGTATCCATGCTACGTCGCTAGGCGTATACGCTGAGAGTTGGTTGGCTTGATAATAGTCCTGGAAAACACCAATACCTATTGATCTTAGTCAGCGAAATGTTGTATTAGTTATTAGGAGGTAGTCTCCATAAGCATTGGCACCCTACAATTCACCCAACCAAAACTGGAGAAAACTGTACAAAATCCACCAGCAATGCAGAACCATGCCTCGAACCCTCCATCTGGGAACGCGTTTGGATCAGGGCCAGAGGGAGGCGTGTTCTCAGCTTGCTCTGACGACGGATCCGAAGTATATCCATTCTCGGGTGATCCGTTCTCGAACTTTTCTGATTTACGATCGCTCGAGGAGTCGTGGACAGTCGGGGCCTGAGACTCAATATCCGCGTTAGACTTCATCTTGACCAGCTATTGACAAGCGAAGGTAAAGGGAAGAGCTGAGGAAGTTAATTGTCGACAAAGTGTGGAAATTCAAGAGTGACTCCTTTCTCATGTACTTATAAGCGGTAAATGATTAGAAATGTAGTATATTCTGACACCGCTTTAGTCCTCATTTGGAAGCATCTTTCGTCGAAAGAGTACTTGGCGCAGATAAGTATGCTAATCCCTATACGGCACCATCTTTCGTTGGAAAAGCTTGGCGCAATCAAGAGCCGCCTGGGCGCTGTAAGTGTGCGGCAAATGTGTGGACCTATTATAGAATATTAGGTACATAGGTACATCTAAAACAAATACGGCAGATCAATCGATAACATTATGTCCGAAACGGATGAGATTAGGTAAACTCAATCTATACCTAAGTACTATTCCCGCATAGTTACAGATAGTATTAAACTGCCTCTCATGTATTAATCCTCAATTAAATACTGATAGATAGAAATAACCCACGCAACCGTTACACATATAAACAGGCTTAATAGGTATACACACATATGCGACACAAATGAATTGGAAATAGAGTTTATGAATTGCCACAACGTGGCATGACAGGGTCTATAAACCGTAATTACCGTGCCGCAATTATGGCGTCGTGTAACAGTTTTATCAATTCCCAGTGGCACTTGGTGGGACTTCTGACCCCTGTACGCGTCCCGACGCCGTCAGATTATTAAAGTACTGACAGCTTGCGGGAAGGGCTGATTATCGAAAGGTCAGATCCTGCATTGCAATTTAGATCCGTACATGGATGTACCTAGGCTGGTACCTGGGTACTTAATGCAGTACCGGCGCCACTAGCCAGTTCTTGGGTCTTACGTCCAACCACATAAAACAGCCAATCTCTTTAGAACAGTCGGCCTAATTATTTACCCAGCCTTACCCGGTGAGGGGCCTCTTAAATCTTCAAAGCAGTTATTCTTCAACCCCCGCCTCTCACTATCATACCACCACGATAACACGACACGCCAACCATCGTATGTATGCATCTACCAACAATTGATCTGTACATCTCAACTCTTCGCAGATTAATGCTTCAAGAGCGCAGCAATGGCCGTTAACTGCATGGCCTATTTATCATCTGATGCCTTAGTTATCTATTTATGTACATTACCTATTCATCGTGACTTCGTGCCTTATGAGATCTGCGCAATCTAGATTAGCCTAGCCGATTACCACATTTGGACGCATGTTGCGCCCTCGTCTATAAGTGGTTCCGATTCCAACTATCGAATAATCTTACCGCTTCTAACTTATCAAAAAAAAAAAAAATTTCTTGGGAAAACTGAAGAAGTTTCCAGATTCTCTAGGCGAGGAAAAACCGGTCAATGGTGGGATGTCACAGCAATATACATATACGCGAGCCTATAGGAATTACAGCGCTCCACGGTGTCTAAAAGAGGTCACTCAAGGTTAATTATAGGCTTATTACATAATCACCTAAGTTGGTTAGGTACATACATATTTGGGTACTTTGGTTCCGTAATAGGTTCCATTTTCAATTGTCTCTAATGCCCCGCAAGTAAATGGCCCATTGATAAAAGCGGTGCATTATCTTATCTTACGGCATCATAAGGCGATGACTGACCAGAAACATTTACGCGCATGGCGAAGTTCATTGCGAAGGCCGAGATGAAAAATACAGATTACAAATAAGCACCATGTCCTACTTCGTAGTGTAGATTAAAGAGGATTGGCTTACTAACTGGTATAGGAAATGGAATATACATACCTAAACTAAACTCACTCACATGAAAATAAATAGTCACGCCTTACAAGTCCAATAAAAGCGAACAATATATAACGTATAAATAAGAAGGATTGATCTATGATATTATATAAGGATACTTTCTACAGAAAACTAAGACTTGCTAAGTAAGTCAGACATTATAAGCCGTCATCATCAGCATACATATCCCGAGTCTTAAGCGATAGCATTCCGCGGAACTCTCCTAAACAAAGCGGTTTGCATGTAGTCTGAATACTACCTACCTGCTCCTGACAATACTCTGCAAGCCTTGTCCATGTTCTTGTCTAAGACACTCGTCATACACCTCAATACTACGGAAAGTCAGAGGGTAATGATATTGTTATAAAAGACAGCAGCTTATGTGAGCGCAATACAACAACAAAGACTGCAATCCCGAAGGATCCTTGTGTCGATCCTTTTTTTCGTTAATGATGGTCATATTGAACGAATCTGAGAGGCGCTTGGCCGAGTCCCTTAGAGACAGTGACTCTTGGTCGTTACACAAGAGTTACTTACACCGCTTAACTATATTATGACTTAGGTATTAATAAATCGAGATACTTGAAGGGGAATTCTTGTAGCCAACCAATAGTGAACTAGAACTCATCTATCATACAAGTTTTCTTATTTTGTTGTGTCATAAGATTTGTTACCTACTATTTAAGCAACTTCTTCAAGTCCTTGTAATGACGGCAGTTATTAAGTAAGTTGGCTGCTAATACAAAAATAACTCCAACTGTATATATCTTAATACTAGAGACTGTATTCGAATTTGCATAACAATGGGGATATGCAAAAGGTTAATTAAGTAGACGTAGCGTGATGCATGCGCTTTTAAACGAGTAATATACCTCTTTCCCGAAACCTTGATTTAATAGGTAGTGAGTCTGGTGGTAACCTATGCTAGAGTCGTTCATATCTAGGAATAAAGGGGAAGCTTAACTTATACAGCTACACATTCCAAACTAAATGGTTTATACTATATCCAGAAACAGTTCCTCGGTTAACTAGTCCTTTTAAGACTTAAACATCCAAATGTGCCTATTAACTATGTAAGATATAAAACTTATTTTCTATGAATATATAATATAAATTTGTCAAGGTTGTAACTATAATACTTGTAAACCACTTACATTATATGAAAATCTAAGTTGAAAATGATTAGTATAACTACCCAAGTCGCGACTTAGTTAGGTTACTATAATGCCCGTCGAGTTGAAGGCCTCTAGGGTTTTGGAAGGCATCAAAAAGCATTATGTTTGATGACTTAGGTACTTAATACTTTTCTAGGTTGGTAATGTATTGTGATTCGATCCTTATACTAACAGTTCAATTCACTTGCGTTTTTACCTCAAGAATTTATATACTTTTTCAACCACTTTTATAAGCCAAGATTCTTCGGTGTCGCTTGCATCTCTCTTAAGGGTATACTAGTGCTAATTCGATGAATCACAATTTTTGTACAAAGTAAAACTGGGTGAGATTCCACTCAAGCCCTATCTTGACCAGCCACCCAACGGCTCAGCAATGTCCGCAAATGTCATCATCGACAGTCCCCAACGTGTATTGGGACCTTCCATCATGTGCATGTTCTGTATCCACAACCATTCCCGCTCGTGGCCCGGATGGAGCCGAAAATACTGTCGAGCGCTCCAGGATGGATAGGTTGTTGCGTGGCCACCATATGTTCCCATTTCTATTCGATGGAAATACTCCATTGACTGACACACGTAACGCGCCATCCTTGTCCCCTCGCTTTGAATATCTTGAATCGAACGGCCAGTACCCGCATTGGATAACGGAGCGTTCTGCTTTGAAGATTCCGATGGGCTTGCTACGTCTATCACCGTGGCATCAGCTTGAGACAGAAGATCCTGGAGATCAATCTGCCGGCCTAGCCTCGCTTGGACAAGGTTATATATTTGAATAACAGTGCTGTATAGCTGAGTACCGACCGACCAGCACATGACGACAGGGACTGCGACGCCGAGTGATTCGAACTCAAAGCAGAACGGGAAGATCTTGTTTGAAGGGTCGGCATCGGCCGGATTCACTGCGCGACTTGGTACAGACCAGGATCGGGGAGTTGGTGAAGCTTTCCAGAACGCATCGTGCCAGGATTCTACAGACTCCACCATGGCTAATATTGACTGCGTAACTGCTGCCGATTCTTTTAGAAGAACACTCTGGTCGCTAATCGAAGGGAGGGCAACTGCTCGTTCAAGAATGCCGGGGAAGTCGGCAATCATCCTATAAACCTCGTCAAGAGCCACGGTTAAACCGGACTCAGTTACAATTTGTCGCCATATATCGTTTTCGAGAATTTGTGCTTGCCTCTTCGTCAGAGCTTCCAAAGTCTGCCAGATAGTTAGAAGAGAAACTGGAAGTCTTCCTTCCTTATACTTACGCAGACAATCCTCATACGCGAAAACAGATGCCGCCATGCTGGAGTACTCTTCATTCCCGGGTCACGCAATCGAAGAATCTCTGCAATACCTCGTGCGTGGACACTCCAACCATTTTCTGCAGGACATACAAAGAGCTATAATATTTGTCAGCAACGCTGTGATTAAGAAGGAAGTGTAGTATTAAGAGATATGTTAGATCATATCTAAGCTCGAAGACCAGTCTTGCTTGGGTGCTTCGAGATATCCTCTATACGTACTTCACATGTCGATAGTACCACTATAGTTGCCAATGTTTCCTCTCGAAACCTCTTTTCCGAGTCGGCTAAATCGGAGTAAAGATGTTGCAGGGCGGTGTTATACTGATCAAGGCATTGATATAATGAAGGGCCACCTGTGCCAGTAACATGAAGCTGGGCGAGACAGAATGCGAAGAGGGCAGTATCGAGAGATTCGCTAGGCTCGTTTAGATCTGTTACATGGTAGACCCATGAAAAGCTCCCCTCACTACATGTAGATACCGACTGCTTTGGGAGGTACATAGCTTCTAGTAGCTCAACAGCGTACATTCGAAACTCCCGGCAATTGTGCGAAGACTCCGAGAACAATTTGTGCAAGGTTGCTTCTGCTTTTGGATTAGGTGCAGCGCGTTTCGGCACCTCCTGCGCTCTGAGCTCCGACAGTACTGACATCGCAGTGGTCGACGGACATGAAGGAGTCCGGTTGACAAAGATCAGATCTCGACCATAACCAGTACATTGTCGTTTTGATTTGATGCACTTCAAACAAAAGGGTCGCGTCATATCACACTACCAGGAGATGGTGTCAGCGAAGTCTACCAAGGTAAATGCTAACATGGAAGTTAACCAGAATGATATAGATTAGAAGTTCATCCCTGGAATATCAAAGTATCCGGATCGTCACTCGGTTTGATTACGTCATGTGGTATGAATCGCGTACCTTCAATCGCTTCAGTCTGCAGGTGTTGCAAGCCTGCGACTTCCCTGCGACGCCAACCATTTTGAGCTTGGTAATCCAATAGAGATAGAGTATAAGAGTATAGTTGATATAGGGGCTTAAGAATCGCGTAATTGTTTAGATAAGACGTGTTGTTTTATTTTGACACTATTCCGAGTGGATGATGAGGTGGTTTCTATTTCTATGCGCAATATGCGGGACCCAAACTTTGAGGTTTTGACTCCACATAACAGGTACCTAACTACCTCTAAAACTTAGTTGCCATAAGCTTGGTTAGTGTTAAGGTTAAACCGGCAAGAGCCGAACTGCATGTGACGGGAGCTAAATAAGGCTGAACCTTAATCCGCCCAGAAGCACTAAGCTAAATAAAGACTAGTGTCTACATTAGTGTCTATGTCCACGTAAGTTTATCCCTTTTTTAAGTAGTCCCTCGAAATGCATAAGCGGTATGCATTACAACGCGTTTTTGCATTAAACGATAGAGATATTGGAGCTCGGGACAGGGAACCCACGCGTCTACATGGACCGGCTCGGCTCGGTGTACGGAAGTATACGGAAATGTAAATTATGAAGGGCAGTTTTTCGATGGTAGTGATGACCGCTATTTGAAAACTGAGCTCCCTTGGTATCCGTAATAAAGAATCCTCATGATTGTAGTGAGTTCAAGACGAGAGGCCCTAATGATATTTGAAAGCTATATTTTTCATCCCTTGAAATGATGTCACACCGGAACCCGCTCCGCTCGAATCAACTTAGGTTTTTGCTCCCTAGTTACTTTAATCTTTATTAGAATTTAGATGTCGAGATCATGGATTTCTTACCGGACTAGGGTTACCTACTAAGTAAGTAATGGGATCATCTTTTTGGAATCGCGCAAAGCCCCCTGATCTCATCGAAAGAGGCCAATTAAGAGTAGAGACGAAATAAAATACCTAGTGATGGTTAGGCGATAGTTTTACTGCGGAGGACAGAGTTGACAGTGGCCTCTATTATGAGCGCTTTGTTGGATGAGGGACATGAACTTCCTTTGTATCAATAGCACTAACTATAGGGTTTTAAGAGTCTTTACCTATATCATAGCCAATATGTATCTGACCACCGACGGTTATTGAGAAGCTCATATAAGGCTCTCATGGCATACAATTCTCCAAGTTAGTTTTATGGCCTTTGGTAGGATGAGAGCCTATAGGTTGTTATAACGAGATAATCGTAACATATTCGGCGACATCACTGGTAATGACTGCTGTAGGAAGCATACATAGGACTCTCGGTTGGCATCAATAACGTTGATCGTGGCGACGATAATAGAGACGGTGTGGTGCGGACGAAGCGTTCGTGGCGTATTTCTCATTGTAGGTATCCATAGTTACTATACAAAGGGCTTTATGATAACACCTTTGTCCTTAGCAGGTATCATCATATCCAACGTCGAAAGTCTGGTCGACCCCCGCACTTTTCGCACGTGGCCAGCATGGGGGCAATGATACTGGTGAACCCTTTGGATAGAGATAGCTATATGCTTTAGGGGGTGACGTAAAAATCTGAATATAATCTTTCGTCAGAATACATACCAGTATTGAATTTTAGCGTAGGGTTTGGTTAGATACCTACCTATCCTTTAGGATAAAATGCCTAGAGATGAGGCAAGATGAAATATTAGTCTGGGAGCTTATTGCTAGGTTTTCTTAACACAGAGCTGAATATAAGTTTACTATAGCGGATAAATCTGAGGTTTCCATATGTAGGAAGCTTTCTTGATAGTGAAGGTAGGTAGTTACGGTTGTACATAGGTTAGTTAGAGGCACCTAAGACAATCTAGTATTAGTCATGTTACTTGGTGGTCTGTGCAGGTTACTGCATTGTTTTCGGAAATCCGCTTGTCCCTCAACATGTGTCGGCTTTGTGTTAAAAGAATACCTTCTCATTTGGACTATGAATAGAAAACTTCATTAAAAAAAACAAAGAATGAATGTTCAAACACTTTCTAGACGATGCAGAGGTAAATTGAAAATTAGAAACGAAACAACTTTCTAAATGTTTACGAGTGCTAATGTGTAATGTGTATTAGTAGTAGTTGAGTTGAGGTTATTATCGGCATCTTGAATGTCTGAGATTTCAGCCGCATTGCTCAAATTGCCCCTGATCAATCAATTACGCGCTTCTGTGGCGCTTCTTCAACGGTCGGGTCGGCCTTCTCCGGACCAGTGGGGAGGTGAGCCAAGAGAGAGGTTTTAGATGGTTGACGATGCCTTTTTTGGCATGACCTACTCGTTCCTCGATGAGATGAACTTACATTCCAACGACTCTTTGTGTTAGCCCCACCCGCGGAAGTATTTTCTCTCGATGAACTTGAGCTTCATTATAACTATTCATCGATCAACAACGGCCATGGTTACTTTCTTTGAGAGCTTCTCTTTGTTGCTCTACTTTGCGCGATGGGACGTAGTGGTGTGTATAGGAACCCCCCAAGTGGGGGTGCTTCGTTGTCTTTTGAAGGGATTGAGAGATGTGGACGATGCTGCTCATCTTTAAAGGACCCTCCCCCATGGAATGGGTTGCCTACGGCTTGGATTCACTTGATGCTTCATACACATTCCTTCATACCATTCACCTAGTTTTCACTTGTTGTTTTTGATGCCGGGGATCATCACCATTTAGCCTCAGCAGCCTTATCGTGGCTTACATTATTTGCATACCTGTCGTTGCTGTGCCAGACTTCTCATGTTTTGTTGACTTCCATATCTCGAGATACAAGGGCACCGGTTGTGCCGTCGAACCTCTTTCTTGAGAAAGCTTTTCACGTTTTTTTCAAGCTCCAAGCAACAACAGCTCTATTCTTCCGTGTGAATACCCAATTTTGGAGCTGCGCTCCCCGCCTTTCGACGTTATGGCCTTCACGGCAGTGCACTATCCGACGGACAAAGACCAAAGCCAAGCACCTTATTGGCCCGAGAATGAGGAGCTGGGGGTGGCAAGCGACAACAACTTCTTTGAACAGTTTCTTGCCTTTGATTCTTCAGAACCCTCGGCTCTAGGTGGTGGCAATGATTTACTCGCGAATCCGCCCAGCCCGTCTATCCTACTCGAGAACATTGATCTTGACCTGTCCAATTCGTCGTCCACCGACCAGGACACGCAATCTGGACAGTCTCGAAGCGAAACATCTGGTTCATCTATTTCGCTAGACTTTTCCTCGATACCATCTTCGGAACAAAGCAAGTCGGTACCGTTAGAGCTCGCTGCCCCTCTCATATCGGATCCTATCTTGTCCAACGGTTCGATTTCAGATTCAGAACTGCTTCGCTTAGAGGGCATCTCTAGACTCTCCCTAGAGTCACCTAAAGGAAATGCTACGGCACCTCAAGGTTCACCTCTCGCAAACCAAGGTTCCCTAAGCCCACGTAAGCACAATCGCGTTTTGAACTCGGTCTGCTCCGCATTACGCCGAGCGACACATTGGTCGAAGCCACATAAGCCTCAAAGACCCCCGATGGAAGTAAGCACGGCAATAATGGGAGATTCATTAAAGGCGGACGATAGTGCCTGTTACGACCTCCCAGTGGACTTTGATCTTAGCGGATTAGGTGATGTCAAACTGGAAGAAACGTCCATTTCGAATACTTTACCCCTATCGCCGCCGCTCACTGGTCGGATACCTGCCGATCATAATTCGGACGATATAATGAACTTCGTAAGCGGTCATTTCGATGACCCATTCTGCGATGATGTGCTGGCTCCGGCTGCTACTATCGACTCCGCAGGTAAGGGACACGAAATCGACTTGACCACTCCGATGGCAACCCCGGCGCTGGACGACGATATCTTCTATCAACAGACACTTGATCTTGATCTAATGGGTTCAAATGGAACCTCACTCCACCAGCAGAAGTCACAGCCTAAACTGCGGAGCACAAGCTCGGCAGAGTGGCCGATGGAAGGCATTCTTAGCAACGATAGCCAGAACGACATTTGGCCTACGCCGTCCTCTCCAAGCGCAGGACCGGCGTACGTTTCCGACAGCAGGGGTAGTATGTCAAGTCCGGGGTGGTGGGATACGCCACAGCAGGCCAATGGTCACCGGCAGCACGGCGGTCGTAGCCATAGCCATAGCCATAGCAGCGGCTCAATGCATAACAACGTATCACTCAACCTCTCAATGCATAATCAGCAGGCGGAGCTTCCATACGAGTACAGCACCGGCGCGGATATATCGGGACTCATGATTCACATGCCGCAACCCCGAGCGCCACAAGCAGCAGTGCTAAGTTCGAATATGAACGACTCGCTCATAATGCCCTCTCCATCATCTGCCTACTATCATCATCCTCCTCCTCATTCTGGCGGCCGTCGACATTCTTCAAGCTCATCACAGTACCATCCCGGGACCCATAGCGAGCATCGCCGACCACGACCTCGCGCCCCCTCCTCTGGTGCCCGTCATTACGGTAGCAGTAGCCACTACGGAGGCCCGATGACTTCGCCACGCAAGGTATCCTCATCAGCAGCATGTTATACACTGCGTGAAGAATCGATGTCGCCGACGCCTCTCCCGCGCCAACGGACCTCCTCCTCATCTTCAAGCTCCTCTCTAGCTCTGCGCAAGCAACGGTCCTGGAGCCGGCAACACCGTAAGAGTGGCGAACCACGCACGCCCAGCAGTGGCCGCGTGCGGTCATCGTCCTGTCGGTCGGCGGGCTACGAGCATAGCGGCGGCGGTGGCGGCGGAAGCTTATCTATTGAGTTTTGCAACTACACGCCGAGCGACAAGAAGGTGCTAATGAATGGCGTGGCGCCGAGCGGGTCCAGTAAGACCAAAGCGCGGCGCGAGCGCGAGGCCCAAGAGAAAAATGAAAAGTACGTGGAGGCGATTCGTGCCGCGGGCGTCGACGTGGAAAAGTTGCGTCAGAACGGTTTCCTCTTCACCAAGTAACCTTTGAGCTGATTTACATTCGTGCTAGTTGGATGCCTGTCTAATAAGGAGTTTGAGAGAAACATAATAAGGGAGGTCGCCATGTAGACCCTGGCGGACTTGGTCGGCTAGGATTGTTTACTCTTTACTTCGCTGCTTTCTTGTGCTTGTATGTGTGGTCACACTTTGACTAGTCCGGAAGCAAGCGGGTAGGTATGTGGAAAGGAGTTGGGTTCGGGCAGAAGACATGGTTGAATAGGAGGTACTTACCTCCTATCTGTTGAAGGGTACTAATAGCGATGAAGTCCCCGTCGTGTATGAATGCAAATATATCGTCGCCCCCTCCCCCTATAGTGGAGACCCCCTATTATCCCCCACCTCCTATTTACCTAATGTATAGCGGCTATTTGGGCTGCGGATATTTTGTGTTAAGCTATTAAGTTGAACAAACTGGGTTATCATTCGTAATTAATTATGTGTATTCGGTGTGAAAATATGTAAGATGGAACATGGTATGATCAAGATGAGATTTCTATGTTATGTAAGAGGTACCTAATACAACGTATGAAGAATATACCATTGATAATATAGCAATTGGACTGCAAAATTGCTAGGGATATCTGGTAACTTTATAAAAGGCACCTAGGTAACTAATATTGCATCTTTACTAGGATCACTTGATAATGATGGTAAGATTTAACGTTGGTAATTCGAATTGTTTTAGAGCTAGAGTTAATATACGAGCCTCCCGCCAAAGCAGGACAGTACCTAATTTTAAGTAAGTTGGATAAGTGATTGAAAGATCATCTCCTAACCAAGAGTAATAGAGGAGGTTCCGTTGCTTGTAACAGATCCACTAGTGTATCCTTCTGTCGCGAGAATCACTGTACGGTTGAAAGTATTAGTACTAATACCATGAAAGAAATGTGAATCTCATCAGAAGCAGGATATTCTCACTGTAGTCATGACCTCCCAGGTTAAGGCCGAGTTTAGACCATTGATCAAAGTGCTTTCCCGTATTAATGGTTCCACCGACTCTTTGCTCGGTGCGGACAGACCAATACTGCTGAAAGGTTGTCGTTCCGATGATGGAAGGCTTATTCACACGAGTGCTAGTGTATACTTCGTACGTTCCCTCGTCGATGGTGAAGTTCCCCTTGGAAGTCCAAGGCTCATTAGGGAGAAGATCTCCATGGGCATCCAGGATGTAATACTCGATTAGTGGGTTGCGAGTCCAACCGTATACGGCCAAGTAGCTCGGACCCTTGGGCTCGTATGTGCCGGAGTATGTGACGGCTCTGGAGGATTATGTTAGTATAGGTGCCTCAATTTCTATGACATATCTGTTGGAGCCTTCGACTATCAGTAAAGTACTTACCTGTTGCCGCCTGGGCTCCATCCCTTTCCACAGACGAAGCCGCTTGAGCCACCACTGCTTTGCCAAGTTACGCTGTACGAACTACCGGCACCGTTGTTGCATCGAAACGTGCCGCCACCCTCCGACCAGGAAGACCAGAAGTAACCACCTTGCCGAGTCTGGATGGCATTGCTGTTACTTCCATGGAAGAGGTCTCCGATTTGAGGGAGGAATCCCGAGGGCGCTGTGAAGGCCCCCGGAATTAAGGCAGCAGCTGTGAGAAGAAAGGATGGCAGCATGGTGATAAATTTGGTACGGTTGAGGATCTCATCGTCTCCACCATATGAGATGACGGCTTGCTGCTTATATACTTCTCATTACGGGAAGCCTTCCTTGCTTTCTGCATTCATACAGGGGATCATGTTTAGCCTGAAAACCTCGTGGGCTTCTGGGATTAGTCTCGGGTAAGACTGCTCAACTAAATTGATTTGCCGCACCTTATTACCAGGACCAATTGGGAATTTCCTCTGCGAGCTTAGTATGAGGAACCGAAACTGATCTCTTTATGGCCCACATGACTCCCCACAGTCAACTGCCAGATCTAGCCCCGGATAATCGGAATAGACCTGGGGTACAGGGTTCGAGACCATGTAGACAATACCGCTTTCTCCAGATTAATATCCATGGCTCCTCAATCAATCCGGGGCAAAGCTATTTGACTAGTTGGCAGATTAATATAGCCGGTGAGCTATGGTGTATGCTCAGATGTCACGCAAGACCACATTAAGCGCCTCAAAACGATTTCCAAGAATACCTGTACCTAAGTTGGGGGCAGGAAAGCTGAACACAACTTAACATCCTAGTATCGACAAGAATACTATATTAAAGCTACTATACGACACTGATACTTACTGTGGCTTTCCTTGTAGTGGTAAAGTACAGTAGTTAGTAAGTTGTTGGGACTAAGACGTGAATGGTAGGCAGTAAATGGGGCTATGAGATGATCAAATTCATATTGACTATTGCCCCCTTAACTTACGGGGTAGATAGTCCGTCGCTGAGGGGGGGTGGAATTCGGCAACGCGATATCACTTACGGGTTCTAGGCTATCTACCAACATATACACCATTTCATGAGTGGCGTCATGCCGGACAGCGGATAAAATAAACTAGGTACTTCTCATATGAAGTAATTACTAGTGAAGGTTGTGATTTAATATAGGTACCTAGGAGGTACCTAGGTATGCATTCCAGGAACCTGGTCTGGTTGGCCAAATACATAAATTTAAGAACTAGTAAATACCTATCTTCATTGTCGAGACAAGACTGGTGCCCATGAGATACCACATATGCTACAAATGTTCAATTAAACTTGGTATCAGTCTTGAAATCTTTAGGCTCTAATATATTTATGTTGCTTATGTGATATGGAAGACTGCGGAGGTGTGTCCTGGAGACGGTCTGATAACCTTTGTGTGGCTAAAGACGCTCTATAATATTAAATAGCCATTCTGAAATGGTGTTCCGGAAATGCTATGTTACTGAAAATGTTGGAATACTAACGCTGTGAATGAGATGAATCCGTCATAGATGCTGACATATATCCAAAGCCCTTCAATGAATAGGATGTTTCTTCATCCTAATTCCGAGACCCCCGCTATACCCCCGCTATTATACTTGAAAATACTAATAACTTTCCAGCTAGTTGTAACTTACAGTAAGTACGCAAACCTCGATATGCTCCAATTAGGGGCAAGAGTAATATAGAGCCAATAAGGAAATGTACGTGGAGTGTTTCGTTTAGCGTCGTAACTTCAGCAATAGCCGTTTGAAACCCCTTGTCTTGGATTCTTTCTGCGGCACGGAAACTGGCGTCATTCTGTGCTCTGATACTTCAGACTCCCGATCTATCCATCTCACCGGCTCTATCGGCCGTGCCATCTTCAGTTGGTAATAATACAATTCTTCCTCTACTGCAGTAAACATGTGGTAAGTGTTACTGTAGGGCTGTCTACCCGGGATGGTAGTTAGGCGCGGTCGCGATTGTAACTCATCAGGGACTCGCTCGATTAAAAAGCCTGAAGATTGTTCGATACATAGTGTCGGCTTAAGTGACAGGAGTAGGGTATCCGCTCTCTGTTCTTTGTCGCTAACATAGAGGCGCAACCCACAATGAACTGCAAGGTTAAAGAAATATTCATGGGGTGGAATGGTCTCAAAACTATTTTCGCCGTCAAAGAGTTTAGAAAGTGCTTCGTTGAAGGAATAAGTTGTCATGCCCCTCGCTCCCAAATAGCTGATGAGTGATTCGTTTATCTGATCTAGCTGTTGCGTTTCTGATATACCGAGGGACACCTCTATCTCGCGAGCGTAATAAATAGAAGCCAGGTACCAATTTCGCAGGTAAGGCTTCAGATATACCCTTGGGAGTAGGTGGATTAAGGATTCGAACTGTCTAGCATTGGTCTCAAAAAGTGTCGTTATGGGACTGAAACCTACTCCGGCGGCCTCAACGAGATTTTCATGGATCCGCGGCTGACTGATAAAGTCTATAACCGTACGATGCAGGAAGCTAGCGGTGAAGTTGAACATAATGGGATCCTTTGGTCGCTCGTTGATTTGTATTAAATCCTTGCATTGCGCGATTAACTGTCTTTTCTTTGTCGTTATCACTTCCAGCTCTGTCTCGCTCACCGCTGGCCATTCCAAGAGGAATGACTCCGGATCGAAAGGTAGTCCTTCTTCACGGTCAAGAAAGTAGAAGGAAATGAGTGTGATAGGAGTCCGAGCATGGGCCAACACCAGAAACACTCGGGCTGTTCGGGTTTTGTAGAAATCGTCAATAGAAGCCAGTATTCGGTCGAAAAAGTCTTCTAATCGCCGAGGCAAGTCATCCAGTCTGCGGTGTAAGTCTTTCATACTGTCTGCATTAATAAGGCCTCTAATCATGGATTTTACGACTAGATAAACCCATAGAAACACCCCCTGGGCTCTTGTAGTGATGTTGTCTACAAGACCCCGGGCAGCATCTTCGTCCCGGATGCTCAGTTGCTTGAATCGAGAATGAGATTCTAGATGATCACGAACGTACGTCTCGATATCAGACATCGTTAGATCCTGTAGATATAACTTCCAGGGACTATCTTGGAAAGCGTCGATGAAGTCAACCCAGGGACGGCTAGCAACGCATAGCTTGATGTTCCGCACCTTACCAAGGGACTTGATTATTTCTAGCAGCGAATCATGCTCCCCGCTATATTCATCTAGGCCGTCGATGAAGATGAACAGACAGTCCGGGCTTATAACTGATGGGAGTAAAATCAACGCGTCAAGAAGCTCCTTCGTTGTCCACCTAAGCCCTCTAGAGACTTCCCAATAACGTAGTGGCCTTTCATATTTCTCAGGAAATACCTGAGAAACTATATTCGGGCACTCGAGCAAAACCTGAAAAAGCAATGTGCGAAGTAGCCCTTCTTGGGACTGCTGCATCGGAGTGCCCGCGCTCCAGAAGAAATGGCACGCGACGTAGAGTTTTCGACTCCCAGCCCAGGTTCTGAGTCGAGCAGATAGTCGGGGATGTTCGCGGATGTATTTCATTAGTGTTGATTTTCCGGAGCCAGCTTTTCCAGTTATCCAATATATGGGAGCGTCTTCCGTGGTAAGCCAAGACTTCAGATTAGCAACGTCGCCATCAAAAACCCATTTATAAGTATTTTTGTGTGCATCTTGAATAGCGTTTCGACGCTCTTCAATCTGGTCAAACTCGAGGCTGTTGATGATCCTCTGAGTTTTCTGGAAGTCTAGAATCTGGGGATACCAAGACTTAAAACCTCTTACAAGCTCTCCGAGCTGCTTCGAGGTACCTCTCCAGACTTTCTCGTCCCCTTCATCGAGAGACTCGGTAAATGTGAGACTGTCTATCTTCTCGGTGAGCTCTCCTAACTGGGCTTCAATGCGATTTTTATAAGCATGATTGCTCTCAGTATATCCATTTAAGTTGTGCCTTATCTGCTCTTGGTGATCCCTATTCTGATAAGCCGTCTGTTATTGAGTTTCAATAAGGCCAAACTCACAGGAGTTTTAAGCTGATATGTAGCGTAATCTCGCTTCGGAAAGCTGCGAGTCGACTGCTTAATGAATCCAGTTCGTCTTTCATTCTTAACTCCTTTAAGGTCGCAAATAAGCGCTCGGAGCGCCTCCGTTTGGACCTTCGAGCCTTGATACTGTCAAACTTTTGCTGGATCTCGTCTGCTATGCGTTTTCCGTCCTCTGCTAGTATCTTGAGTTTCGGGTCGTTTTCAACAATATCTGAGTCTAATCGCTGTATCATCGGAACCGCGCCGACGAATTCCTGGACTATTCTTTCAAGGTCTGCATTTTCAGCCAACAGGCTTTGTTGCTTAGTGGAAAGATATACTGTTTTTTCAATGGTCTGTCCAGCGATAACGACGAACTGCGCAATATTAGCGGCCAGGCCAAACGCTGCTAATGCTTCCATATTGATATTGAGAAAATATTGAGAAAATATTAATAATTATCTCATCTGTGAGAAGTTACATCTATAATGATGATAGTAAACGAACGTAAGGCTACGTGACGATGAGAAGCTGAAATAGGTACCCCGCTTATAATCATACGTGCCCAGTGCTATAGATTTGCTGTCACCCATTCACTCTTATTCGCGGATTACGGCATAGCCACCACCATAATTTAGTAGCAAGTAGCTGTCGCGAAGCCTCATGCTCGTCATGACCGAAAAGAAAACAAGACTGCCTTAGGGCTTAAGTATTAGTTTAAGCGCTGCCAGTAAATTTGAATTAGGTGCCATCCACATAGAAACACGATCGCGGAGAGAAAACAGGAATCGGAAATATGGTTGGATTCTTCGTTTTCCAGTCCTATCACTTGCGGTTCTATAGGTATTAAAATATCTTGTCTTGATTCTCTACCTACCTCATAACAATACTAAATTAACCGAACACTTTTCCAATCTAGACCGCTCTCGTCGAAGAAATTAGGATAGGCAGCATCTAAATAAGGATGCTGTTCGAGTACAAGGGCGCCAACCCGAGTCGCCGTGTTCTCGTCTAACCACTCTACGACTAAGAGAAACCTCTCGTGCGTAAAACCGTTATTCCCCCAGAAATCCCCAATCAGAAGACATGTCCAGGTACCATCATCTAAGCGATCGAGGAACTCCCTCGGCGTATTCGTGGGCTTTGCTATCCGATCGGGCACGCCGTGTCTATCGATGGTCCACAAGGCCCAGTCGTTAGGATCGGCAACAACTGGATCGCTTTCTACTAGCGAACCTTCGTTATCCTCGTCGTCATCTTCGTTATCGTTCTGAGTCTCACCGTTATGGCTACCGTCGTGCCGAGATTCACCCTTACCATTATCGCTGTTTCCATCTTCATTATCATCATGCTCACTACTATTGTCGCTGTCATCCTCTGCATCGCCTGCCTCCTCTTCGCTCCCTTTACTTGAGCCAACTACACGGCCGTCACCAGGCTCTCTGACGTTAAACTGGAAAAGTGACGACGGGACCACCCTGGCTTCGAAGCAGATAGAAAGGGGTGGTGCAATACCGTAGTCTGCAGAACGGTCTTGCGCTAAGTACTCCGAAACGGGACGGAGCTGGTCCGTTGAATATCGGACGCCCACATTACGCCATTTAGGGAAGCACTCGTCCCTGCTTTTAAGTATCCAAGCGCCCATCCACGCAACAGATCCCGCCCAGCCAGCCCAAGTCCACGAGGGGAAATCTGGTCTGCGCCTGGGAGCACTGTCCCCTTTATGATGCCAGCAGAAAGCTATGGAGAAGTACTTATCAATGAGCTCGGTATCGTCTGCTGACAGCACATACGGGAGACCGACGAGGTGAAGAGTAGCAGGCTCGAGTTTACTTAGCACCCGTGCAATTCCTGCGAAAGCATTTAGCGAATCTGAGTCGTGGCTTAGCGTGCGTGCCGTATACCGCTGAACCAAGTGGCACCATTCTCTGATTCGAATTGCAACGAGGTAATCCCCATTTGATTTCTCAGTGCCTTCCTCACTAACGCTTGGGGGGATATCCGGTCTGTCGGAGATAGTATTCCCCAAAGACTTGAACAAACGGTTACGCGCAGACTTCATACTTGATAAGTCGATGTTCTCCGGGTTCGGGATGAATTCGAGACCGCCTACCGACTCCATCCAAGTTGCGCAATGGCATTCAAAGTACGCCTGATGCTCAGTAAACACAAGACGCCGATTAGCTAGCAATCCTTCTTGAAACGTCCAGCCTCTTGTCCACCATCGAGAGTGCTCTTGTACGTGCCAGCGGGGGTCAGGGCCGGTAGTAAAGATCGTGGAGGACTCGAGTTGAACAATTTCTTGTTGTAAGCGAGGCGTAGATCCAACTCCCGGCAAACCGTAGCGTTCGTCGGAGCCAGCCGCAGTGATAATGACCAGCTCCGCTCCACGGTAGATCGCATCCATATGCGAAATGTGAAAAGCCTTTTGTCCTGCATTACTTTGATCGATACAATAGCGGTCTATCCAAAGATATCGTAATCCGAGCTGCTTTACTACTGTAGCGGCGTCTTTAACGGAGTTAGGAACAGAAGAGGAAAAGCGTGAAGACAAAGATTCATGGCTGGTGTCTAGAGGTTCCTCTGGTTTCTCTTCCAGTCTCCAGAGGTAGCTCAGGGCCACCCATCGCATGCCTGGTTCTGCCTTCACCATAGTCCAAGTCTCGCAATCGATTAATTCCATTCCCGGCACAATCTCCACTACACTATAACATTGCTGCGCATGATGATCCCTGCAGAATTCTAACCAGAGACGAGCCCGTCGATAATCAAATCGCTGAGGAACTACTTGGGGTCTAAACAGACCCGGCTTAGGATGTTCCGCAAAGCAGAATACATATCCCGCTTCGCCCCGGCCGCACTCCCTCGAATGGTCCCCAAAGCTAGCAAAGAAGCCAGCAGGAAGGGTAATGAGGATATGACAGTCTTGATCTGGTCTTGGTTTCCTAAATCCCCAGGGAACATTTCTCGATGAAGCGAACGCGTATAACTCAAACCTGTCGATGGAATCTTGACCGGCCTGCGTGTCGGGGTCCGACCACGCGCCGTGATACCAGCATATTGTAGAACGCAGAATGCGGCAAAGTCTACAGTCGGTATTTAGCGAGCGCACATACCGCGAAGCATCCGTGTCGAGCAGAACACCGCACTTCCGGCCTATGGCCTCGCGGAGGTGGACCGGGGGTACCGCCAAAGCTTTGCTGAAATCTATGGCCTTGCACTTGTCGCAGATAAATCCTCCTTCGGTGCTCAGGGGTGCTGGAGCAATTGAAGCTTGATAACTCTCGGCCATGGCCCAAATTTTCTCGACAACAATAACATGAATATGAATTTGTAGAAGTATGATTTTATAATGGCCAGCTTACTCTTATTATCGACGAGCGTTGGTTGTTATTCATTAAGCGAACCTGTTGGATTGTCAGCTTCAGTTCGACCTTGACAGGGATCACACGAGCGGGGAATAATAATAGGTACTGGTCGCTCATAAAAGAGCTTCAGTTATTAGAGCTAAGCTTGGCTTTAAACAATATTTTATAGGAGATTAAAGCACAAAGCTATCAATTAAGTCACATTGGGTGTTTGTGCATTTACGATCAGTGCTTCGATATTCATTCTTTAGGCGGGTATTAATATAATATCCCTTAATATCCCTGTAGGTACCTATACACCTTGGTTCTTCCCAAGCATATTAATCAACCCCCCGTACCCTTATCTACCCAGGAAAGGGGATTGCCATATTCAACTAGAATCACAAGTAAAACATGCTATTCTCTAACTTCGGATGGATCTTCACATCCTGCTGTGACGGTCCGGTACCCGCACCAGCTCCACTGGTACTCCCCGCTACTGAAGGCGCCGCTGAGTTGCTCGGGGAATCAAACACATTATGTAGATAGTTCCGAGCGCGCTCGCATAGGATGTCGGCGTAGTACGCAGGCGTGCAGTAACTCACAGCCTTGGTAGCACGACCAAACACGTAGCACATGCTTTGTGTTAATTCCTGCAACTCATCGGCCACATTCTTCGTAGCACCTGGCGTTTTGGACTTACCACCCGTGGCGCCATATCGCTGACGAAAGATCTCATCAAGCACGACGAAATAATGCCCCGGCCGCGCTGTCCCCTGGAGCGCCGTGTGTGCTTGTAAGAAGAAGTCCCAACTACGGGCCTCGGTTACGCCGCGGTCTACGACAGTCCCAGACTTGGTGTTGCCCGAGCGGTCTGCGTCAGCTTCTTTAGTTGGGTAAAATCGGGTGTGATGACGTTTGCCAACTACAACCACGGTTAGACGTGGAAGTCCCTTTTTCTGGTCAGGGGGCGGATACGCCTCTACACATGCAGCACGTAGTAGCGGTAACTCCTCGTCGAGGACCTTCTGATATTGCCCTTCGGAGACACCGTCGCGATATACCAGAATGTTCTCTGGAAGTGTTGCGTGTTTTCCCTTCTCACGCCATAGACGGAGGCGTGACTTGAGCATGTCTTTGAGGTCTTTCACCATCTCTTCTCGACCCTTCTGGATACGCAGCATGCCAGGCCATTGTCCGAGCTTGTTGTCGATGCTGGCTACCATACCAGCGACGCTTGGCGCTATCTTGCTTGAACCTGGGGATGGATGGGTCACATCGATACCGACTACCATGGTCTTGTTTTCGCCAATTATTCCCAGGTTAGCAGGAGTGATAACCTGGTTGTCGCCACCCAGTTTTAGGTTGACTTTTAGGGCCAGGTTGCGGAAGTATTGATCTTGCCCCTGGGGCTTAGCAATCTTGCTGCCGACACTACAGATGGTATGAATACCATACTTGACGTCGCCGAGCTGTTTGATGCGGTAGTATAGAGGAATAGGGGTCGCTGGTAGAATGATAAAAAGAAGGGTTAACGACGATGCTGCTTGTTTCATGAAGTTTTCAAGCCCGGGATCATCGGTATCTCTTAAAGTAACCGATTTTGCCGCTAGTGGTGGCCTTGCGTTAATTCCAGTGTCCAATAGCACCAAATGAAGCTTATTAACAAGGTTATTTAGACTATCGGACGTGAATGTCTGCGCCCTCGGGTATCCAGGCAGGTCGACATACAAACAGGACCATTTGTCCAATACCGTGCCAGTATGGAACTTGAGGCTCGCGGAGTTACGGGGCACCATGTTCCAGCTACCAGCCATCATTTGGGCTTGTTGATTTTGTCTGTAGACAACTCTCGGCCCCTGGAGAACACGACCGTGGACGGTAACAAGGTCGGAAGATACAGAAATGCCGTATTTCTCCTACGAGAAATACCCTGGTTAATATATCAACAATAGATGGATATACCAGCGACTTACCAGTAGAGGGTTTGCATCGGGAGACAGTCCCGCAGTCTGTCGGCCCTTTCTGACAATAGATAAAGCGTTATCTACAGGTTTACGAACGGCAAACCGAATCATATTCTGGGTCTCGTTCGGATCAAGTTTGGTTTTAGCTGGCTGTCCTGGTACAACATAGCAGACTTGGGCGGGTAGGTACGAGGGATTTTCCCTAGTACCGACATTGACAACTGGTAGGTTCGGGTTGTCTACACGAATTCCATGTGCTATGCAATTGTCAGCGGTGAATGACTTGTCTACTTCAAACGGCTGGTAACTTACTCGAATGGAAATGATCGAACACGGAGATATACTTTCCGCCAGTCGCGCCAGGCTTACCCTGAGGCTTCGGTGCCTTCCCACCTTTCTTCTTGCCTGTGGGTGTAGCGTCAGACGACGGCTTCGAGGAAGGGTTTTCATCAAGCCAAAACTGCACATCCTTTGCTCCGGCTCCGAACGCCTTCACAATAGGAGGGTGAGGGCTATTGTAACCATCATTCCTGTTGGCAAGACCACAGATCGATTTGATTCGTTCAATAACCTTGCCGGACTTGTTTTTCCTTTCCTTCAGATGGGTACTCTTGACTCTTATCTTCAGGAAGTCGTTTAACTTGAATAGGCCTCTTTGAGACCCGAATTTCATAATGAGCTGGTCCAGCGGACCCTCAGGATAGAAGGCACCATGGCTCACATTGACGTTCACAAGGATTCGAGCTGTCGCTGCACGAACACTAGCGAAGAAGCCGCGCATAGCTACCAGACAACTACCGAGATCATAGGTATCGGATTTCTCGCTTAAAGAGAAAGTCTTGGAGGAACCGATTGTAGCAAGGTTCCCAGAGGATTTAGCGTAATGATTGAGGAAAATATTGAGTCCTTGAATTGTGGGTTGCTTCTCATTATACTGAGCTGAGAAGTTGGTGGACGTGAGAAAGTCGGTTAACGCAGAAATCGACAGGACGTTAGTAAATTGCATCTTGACAGTATACTGTGGAGCACCATCACGAGGATCATCTTCGTCTTCTCCTCGATATGTCACCACTATGTCCTGATCGTCAAACTTCTGTCGGGAAATGAGGGTCGACTTGAAGTCTGTGACTATATCGTTCTTGAAAGGTGACAACTGGGGTGTTTCGAGTACTAAGCGGATTACTTGTGCTTTCTTCCTACCCGCGACAACGGGCTTTATTTCTGATATGTCGTAACGGTAAAGTACCAGTTTGGGCGAAGCTGTGAGGGCGAAGTAGTTTGCCCATAGTACAACACCCGATCCCTTGGTGCCATAGTTGGGCCGAGAAGGGAAATTATCAGCAAGGCTGAGATTTGAGAGGTTGATGGATGCTTTGCTAGCTTGAATAGCGTCCTCGACTCTTGTCACATTCTGATCTGGTACTGGGATTCCATTTGAACCACTTTATACATATGAGTATGCCGTACACTTCTAGAAGAAGTAGAGTCACTTACGGATATACAGGGAGACCCGAGGCACCGGAACCACCACCACCGCCGCCGCCGCCTCGACCGCCTTGGTATGAACCTCCACCACCTTGGAACGAACCACCACCTCCTCCTCCTCCTCTACCACCGCCGCCACGGCCTCCTTGAAATGGGCCACCTCGACCGTAGGATCCACCTCCACCTCCACCTCTACCTCTACCGCCTCCGCCACCTCTGTCACCTCTGCCACGGCCAGACATAATAGGTGGTGGTATTTACTAGGTATGATAACACAGGTAGATAGGCAAGGTACAATTGATGAAGAGGAGAAAGTTGAAAGGAACAAAAAAAGTTGTCTGGGGTACCTTGGGCAATTATTATTATTAGAATTAGGAATTTAGGATTACAATTGGGAATGTTAGGTATTATTAAGGCAAATAGTGCTCGTTTGTTCTTGCCAGGCTTACTTTTTGCCATGTAACTATGATGTAGCTACCTATGCAAGTGGTCGAGGGGTTACACAGCATAGGGAGTACGCTAACCCACTGAAAATTTCATAATATGATATATGACATAACGCTGGAAGTGCTTGGTATAAGTACCTACCTACTAAACAGCTATGTCAATCTTAAACTAATCCCACAATAATGAGATAAAAGATAATTAATATTGATAGGTTAACTTATTGCCGTGAATTTCAATGAAAAAAATACATAATACATAATACATAATACCCAGATGTGAAATATTTAGAGCGATACGGCTGTCCATGTCCATGTAGCACGTGATTATAAGCCCTTGCTGGCATCGTCCCATCAATGTTACCTGGTACCTAAATGCATAAGGTTACGGCTCTAAAACCCAACATACATGTACCTTAAATATGTACCTTAAGGTATCTAACCGAACCTACCAAACCTATGGAACCTACCAAATACATACTCAGGATTATTAGAACCAACTCAGCCTACAACTCAGCCTGCCTCTTGAGCCAACTCTATCCTCCTAATCAGCATCGCATTGGTCCTCTAAGAATCCTCTCTGCTGCACGTCGCTCGAATCTGTCTCAGACTTTTGAATGTAACGATTCTAGATTCTTCTCCCATATCTTTCGGCTAAGGGCAAATCGGAAGCGGTCAACCCTAAACATCCTCTCCAGCACAATCGTCTTCACCCGCACCACAGCCTCCCGTGAAAATGTACCTCTCTGCCAGTCATACGAGCAAAGCACTGCTCGCTGCATTCCCCCTTCTTGTCCACATACTATAAGAGCGGTGGGCGGTCGCACTGCATAAAACACCGTCGCTGTACGCGTGTATGTATCGATCAGCGTAAACGGCCTCTCTTCCCCATTGGTGTAATTCGTCTTGTTTCTATTTGTGAGATTCGATGCAGGGGTGCTGTCTTTTGGCGGGAGAGCCTCGCACTCATCGTCCGCCGAGAGTTTGTGTTGCGATAACGTGCTTCCCGCGACACTCCACTTCAACCGTCCCTGGTTCAAGCCGAAGAGGTTACGCTCAACCCAGCCTAGGTTGGCTGGGACACCCTCAATACCAATGAACGTGGCCTGCGTAGACCAGAACTCGCCGCGGTAGAGCTCAAAGATCATGTATGGAGCAAGAAAGAAGACAATTGCTCCTGGCACGAGAAAGATAATTCCTATTGCAAGGATGGCCTGCCCGCCCGCTTCCAAGTGCCGGCCCGCTCCCAAGTCTTCTAAACTGACGCCGATGTAAGATAATGACTGGAACTGTGAAAGCATAGAGGCGACAATTGCTACCATCAAGATACCGCCAAACAGGTAGGCTGGCATTGTGCGAAGCACTACCTTCGCGAAGGCACGAGCCATCGTTGGTCTCTTGAAGAAGGCAACTTGATCCATACGATCCCACTGAATCGAGGCTCCAACCGCGCCATCTAGTGTAACGGCCTGGTCGTCGACAATACCGGCTACTTGGCATCGCGGTTCGATATCCCAGAGCCGTACTCCAAAAGCGTCTTCAATTTCGTACCACGGGGCATTTCGACGGAGTGGCTGCATGCATATGAGCCGTTCTAGGAGTGCATCATTGACGTTAGCTAGGGATAACCTGGCGAATGCCTCGAAGCTGGAATCTTTGTCGTTAGTTATTGGTCTCCGGCGCAGAAGCCCCATGAGAGCATATGCGATATCACCCTCCCTAAACTTCTGCGTATTCCGTTCCGCTAGACATTCCAGACCAATGCTGACTAGTTCTAAAGGAGATAAATGAATTGTTGATTCGAAATGGTCAACAAGCTCCCTCACACGATCGGCGTCTTTCCACACGGCCCGAGATGGAAAGTCGCGTTTGGCTAACTCTTCAGGCGGCCCAGGTTTGCCGTAAAAGTGCAACTTGATCCGGAACTCAGATGGACATAGTAAAATTTCTGGGAGGGTCCAGAGACGATCCCCATATGCCTGTAGCCACTTTATCGTGATGGTCTCACTGTATGTCTCTGGTGCGCCTTGAATTTTACTTTCGAGGGAGGGTCCGACGAGGATAACCATCGAATGTGCCGCTCGCACAATGTCGCAAATTCGATACACATCGTCGCTCTTACTGTTGGCTGTATTCTCTCCAGTAGCGTCTGACTGAGTGTCAATATCACGAATACACTCAAAGTCTACCCAGAAAGCTACCCTGTTCGCTGAACGGGCGGCCTCGACTCCTTTTTTTAATAAAGCTTGTCGGTCTCTCTTTGCTATTAGTACGAGGTCCTCTCTTTGCTCTTCGGAAAGTCCCGTCCATCTAGTCGGATCGTAGATCTCTCCTTCGGAATCTACGCAGAACTGATGACGCGTATACGAAAGAAATACGAAGCCATTATATGCGTGCTCTCCATGATCTCTAATCCAATCTGAGACCTTGCGGATCTTGAATTCGGCGCCGCTCCCTTCATGGCCTTCTGTCACAAAGCACAAATACCTAGGGCCGAAGTGTCGGGGTAGCAATCCGTCACTATCATCGTTGGTTGTGGCGGGTCTTCCGTATGCGGCCGTTATAGGGCGGGAGATTGCTCTTGCTTCTATGTCTCTAGGTTTATGCTGGACCTTCTCTTCTTCGGATTCATCCTCGTTCTGCCCCTCGTAGCGGTTCCGTGATACCCTCGGGTAACGCCAGTCCCGATAATGGATAGGGTCATAGAATCCCTGATTTTTGAATTGACCTTCGAGGTTCTGTGGTATGATGAGCTGCGAGATTGTTAACACGAATCCAAGGTCTGTTAAAATGTGGTGCTTCGAGCCTTACCAGCAATGCTAGGATGAGGCAGCATGGGAACCAAACAAGAAAAAGTACAAAATCGGTCCCATCCGCAGACATATCTCGTTTCTCTGTACTTCCATCTTTATACCTGAAAGAATACATCCAGCCAACTAGTCTCATGATAACCGGAATGCGCCGTGCCGATTCTCCTTTAAAGCCCCAGTTTCTACCCCCAGTGGGCACATGGCTATAGCCAACTGTGTTCTCAACGCCCTGCACAGTCAATGGCTCCAATTTTCCATCCTTTGGGCGTAAGAAATGCTCTTGAACATCATACTTGTCTTTGATTAGCTTATATCTTCCCAAAGCATCCTTGTGGCGTAGAGTCTTGGTCAACATATTGCAAAGGTTATTTGCAGCTCGTGGGTTTGAGGACACCTGAGACCTGCTTTGGAATATGGATCTCAAATATTTACATTCGTGGAGTCTGTTAACTGATTATCTTAATACAGAAAACATAGAAGATGAAGGCATTCTATTTTGAAAAGATTGGTTTAATTTTTATTCGGGTTGAACATTCAACCAGTTGGCAGACTCAGGGGTTAAAATAAGCAAATTTGCAGTTACATACAGCATACAGACATACTCTGATACTTGGATATATCATACAGACGTCATTCGCCTCTCATGCCAAAACAGGATTGGGTTTAAGGACGGTTTCATAGCCCCAACTAATATCCTACTATGAATGCACGCTCCTACGGAGCTGAATACTTGAAATATACTATCAGACCTCAACTGCGAAGCCTGAGCATGGTTAGAACATCCTTCGTGCACACTAATAGGACAGTAGTGCGATAACAATGCACATTTCTAACCAATACAATCAATCCAACACGCGCTGGATAAATGGTACACTCGATTACATTATAGCTGCCTATTCACAATGCTACCACATATGGCCCCCAACCTAATGTGACCAGTCATGAACACCGACAGGACACGGCTATTCTTACCTGTGATGGCTGACCGAAATTGGCTTACACAAGGCTACCGCAAATATATTAATTTGCGTGGATGGCACTTTATCGCATGTCACATAAGCAGCCACCATTATGCTCAGGCGATTTTCTCGAGTACCCAAGAAATTACATGGCTGCTAAGTCGCCCCATGCCTCGAAAGAAGACGCTTCATGAGGTATAGTCTTATACTTCAAACAAGTCCTTAATTTCATAGCTAGCCTCGGTGAGAAGATCTAGAACAACGCCTATTTGATTGTACGACGGGCCTTTACACATCAAATGCAGAGATACGTTCACGTTGTTTAGTGATATGTGATATATATTAGAGGTAAAGGCATTTCACTGACACTTAATACCTACTTGTTTATCGTAAAATACATGTATAAAGTTCTATATATAGACGTAAAGGAGTGAAGATATGTTGTTCTAGCTCGAAGGGTTTATTAAATTAATATATTATATTCCTTGAAAACTGCCTAGATCCTCCTCTGTCCTATCCGGTCCTATGTTTCTGACAAAAACTAGCTAAATTCTCAGCTGTGGCGACTTAGGTAAAGCTCCTAGACTAATGCCGATGTGATGGTCCAATCGGACCTTTTCTCAGTCGCTGGGGCGGTTGGTAAATGTATGAAACGAAACTGTTTACAGCTGAATTGTACGCTGGAGAGTAGCTTAACTTGTCGCTGATGGTCATGATAGATTTAACACTGATACTAATATTAGTGCTGGCATTCTAGCAGCTATTATAGGGTATGATATGGAGATATGGAGATATGGAGATATGAAGGTGCTACAACGAACATGATAATAGTGAGGAAACTGGCCCATATGATGAGCCGCATCTCGCGAGTCCAGTCGATATTATTCAATCCAAGAATGGCTATTAAGACCATAGTGCACTGACTTCTAGGTATTTTAGTGTTTGGTGATATTATAGGTCAGGTAGGTATGCTGAGTAGGTAGGTTGTAATACGGAACTCCAATGTGAATTCTGCGGGGCTGTTTGTCGGAATACATTAATTGGATTAAAGTGTATTAGGTATTAGGTACTTTGGCCCAGTGCATTGTCTCTTATGTATTGTATGTACTTAACCGTCGTAGTATCATTTTCGATTACCCCTGAATCCTTGGGGATCCCGACGCACCATTAATCAAGGTCGTAATACCCGTATAACTATAACTTTAAGAGAAAAGAAATAAGAAGCAGCAGCTAACGACATGAGAAAGTTAAATAGTAAGTACCTACTTAGGTATTCAACCTAGCATTACTTCCATATAGGTAGTGATAACCTGCCAATGTAGGTTGGGAGGTACACAAATCTTTCAGGAACAACAAACTACCTACCTAAACCAAATCATCAAATACCCGTTTTCGCATGAATACCTTTCCATCAATTGAATCCAGCAAGTAATTAAGAGATATATTTGAGGAACATATCAAGTCTTTAAGCCCTATCACCAAATTCGATCACACCTGAGGCATAATGCCGAGAAGAAAGCCAAGAAGGAAGCATAAGAGTAAAAAAGGCAAAGCAAGTACAGCTAAAGAAGACGCATCCGAAGAAGCTATATCTATAGAAAATAGATCCACCGGAGATGCATCCAATGAAGAGGAACCTAAAGAAAGCGAACCAAAAGAAAACGAACTCAAAGAAAATGAACCCAAAGAAAATGAACCCAAAGAAAACGAACCTGATGAATGGACATCGGCTACAAAGAAACGTATTGACGCCCTAGTTTCTCTAAATGTCCTTAGCGATAAGATGCTTGAATTATCCTTACAGGAATTTTCCAAAAAACCACAACCCAATGGATTCTACAATAGATGGAAGCTTACTCTTCGATGGGGATTTTGTGCCGCACCATTCTGTCTGGAGCGGGAGGGATTGCTGGTGTGCAACGCTTGCAAAGCTGCGGCCTACTGTTGCAGGGACCATCAAATTAAAAGCTATCACCTTCACAAGGAGGGTTGTCTTAACATAAAAAATGCGCTGGAGGCCATGGCCGAGGAGGAGGCAAAGCTACGGGCACATCCGGGCGACGACCGCTTACCTGCCAACCCCTTTGAGACTGTCCGGGGTCGATTCTCGTTATACGAAGCCACATCCCCCTACCTAGATCGTCGCTGTGAGGTCATAGATGCGTTATCGGAGGTTCACGACGGCATAGCCGTAGAGGCTATGTTATACCATTGTCTCGAAGTGTTGAAGCTGGACAATATGGACCAGCGCGGTGTACGGAGCTAGGTGCCAGGACTCTATCTACGCTTAGGAAGGGACCAAGATGCTTACAACTTTTTAAGATGGTATACCGTCCCTTATCAGGAGGGCTTTGACTGGTCAAATATTTCTGCCCAACAATTTCCTGGCTTCCACGACGAGGACGTTTTCGAGAGCGTTAATGTCTTTCTCAACAACCCGATCATTCTAAGCCACCTTATTTTCATGACGCAGTTGAAATGCAAAATCTTTATAGATCTTCGTATGTTACAATATAAAGCCGAGAAACATGGTAGCCCCTCTGCCAGTTACGAGACTAAGATGGGGTGGGTGCGCGAATGTGCTATTAGCGATATACTATATAGACGACGAGACATCGTGGAACGGGATGGCTGGGGTGACCTCATCAAAGCCCTAGCTTCACAGGTCCCCAAATTACATACGCAAGTTAAAAAGCGCAACCCACAGTACTGGCCTGCACTGAAGGACCCTGAAAAATGGTTTGCTACCCCTCCGGAAGACGAATATAATCCAGGCCCATCGGAAGAGACTGCTACCGAATTTAGGCTGACATGGAACTCGTAGAATGAGTGTCCTTATGTCCTTACTGCAGCATTCTGCAGTACTTGAATTCCCTACCGTATTCCCCCACCGCTAGACGGTACCGCGTCTAGAGCTGAAGCGTTTACAACCTGCGATATTACGTTGAGCTGTTGGAGATTACGACACAAACAAGCTTCTTTTCCTATCCTTGCTCTCTTTCGGGGATTATAGAGCGAGATATTTGAACTGCAGAAGGGCACTCGGGCTGTCGGTAGATGTACGAGATACTGGTTAGAAAAGAATAAGCGACTCGTTAGCGGTTAGGAATGAAATAGAGGCAGGAGGTTAAACGGAGTGTCATTACAAAAAAAAGAGACTAGCGGAAATGAATATAGCTATGATAGATATTAACAAGAACAGTGTCCACTAGTCTACCTAAGTTATTTACCTTCCTATCATGACCTACACCGTACTTGTTAAACCCCTTGCTTCTCGTACTAAGTATATCATAAAACATCCCCGCATCTTAACTATTATTAACCACACGTTTAAACCTCCATCGTAGGTACACATATGAAATACTACCCGTACTGGTCGTTTTCTTTCATCCCTGATCGGTGGTGATAATCTTGGGTATCATATCTGTATTTACTAGCGTAAGGAAGCTTGTACTAATGTCGTGTATGTTGACTCCTGTTAGATACCTATGAGTTATATCGGGCTTTGGCCTGAGTGATAGTACTCAAAATACTCATCAGCTAACGGGACCTTACCTATTCCGGTCTATGTTATCTCCTGAAATATTTAAGGCTCCGGTCTTACCTACATATGCACAACACCCTTGGTATATCACAGCTACGGCCGATAAGTCCGGCCGGCTATGAACTACCATTTGATCTACCAACATGCATGCATGAATTAGTCCACATTGTATCAGGCTACATGGTATGATTATTATCAAGGTCCATCCGCCATAGAGGCATCATCGAAACTATCAGGAGAATACATAGAATCCTGTCAAAAGCATTACTTGTATTTAAATCCCGTCCAAGATCATACATATAACTATATTTTTCCATTTTGATGTTAGAGTCGTGAGTAATCGCCTACTGATAGGTACGGGGACACGCCGGACCATTATCATTAGGACATCTCGAAAATAGGGGCAAAATAGGGGTAAAAAGGCAATACATCAAAAAGCCACAGAAAGTGATTCAGTCAAATATAGATTAATCTATATATGTAGTAATTGTTTATCTACCTTATCAACAATCCATAAATAGAATAACGATATTATCAAGATCATCCTTGAACTATAACTACTCCGCCAAAACAACAATCTTCTTCGCCGAAACGCCCTTCTTCACAACATCCAACCCCTCCTGAATCCCCTCCAGCCCCCTAGTCCTCACAACCTCCGGCCTAGGCGCAGCCTTATACGTCCCTAGCCTAAGCGCCTCCTCCAGAAACCCACCGAAGAGCTGAGAAGTAGTATCGTAATAGATACCCCTCCCATCCTCCCCGCCAAACACGAATTTGGCTTCGACACCCTCCGGCACCGCCCCCTCCGGAACAACATTCGCGCACGCGACGAACGGCTTCTGCCGCAAGCGGTGCGAGACCTGGCAGCACGGCGCGACTGCGTCGCCCGTCATGCCCGCGGCTTGGAAGATCCCCGCGCAGACACCTTTATTATCTAGCTCAGTCACGAGATCGTCAACGACCGTCGCGCTGTTATAGTCAAACACCTTATCCGCGCCCAGGCCAAGCACATAATCAAAGTTCCGCGGCGAGCACGTAGCGAGGACTTCGAACCCCGCCGCTCTCGCTAACTGTATCGCGTTGCTGCCGACGGCGGAAGCGCCGCCCCAGATCAGGACCGATTTCCCGGTTCTCGGGGCGCTGCCGGAAGCTGCTTTGGGAGGTGGGAGAGCGAGATACTTGGATCCGAAGAGCGCGTGGCCGGCTGTAGCCAAGCAGAGCGGGAACACGGCGGCTTCGGCGAAAGACAGCGAGTCTGGGATCTTAACAGCCAGAGCGTGGTCCAGCACCACGTAGTCCTGGAACGCGCCGTTTCCGGGTTTACCCATAGCCGATGCGCCCATCGCATAGCCGAGGACGCGGTCGCCGACTTTGAAGCGCTGGGAGTGAGGTCCCGGGCCCACGCGCTCGACGGTTCCCGCGATATCCTGGCCTGGAATCAGGGGGTACTTGAAGAAGGGGAGGGGGTGGTCCTGGATAAAGGCGTCGACGGGGTTTAGACCCCAGGCGCGGACTTTTACGAAGATTTCGTCTTCGACGAGAGTGGAGGGGATTGGGGCCTCGCGGATGGTACCCGGGACGCCAGTTTTGTCTTGCCAGAAGGAGCGGTTGGTGGTTGTAGACATTGTTATGAGTTGGCGTTGAGATATCGAGGTAAAGTCAAAATTGTTATTTAAATAATATAGAGATGCAACGAAAGACACGCAAGCGTCACGTAGAACACGATATACAATCTAGCTAAAGGGGAAAGCAGCCCGTTAATATACTCAGCGTCAATAGCCTGTTAGACGCCATAGTGTATTTTCTCCCAAAAGTCTCCATATAGGGGGGCAAACGGCCAACATGGTCGTCTAGGGTCGTTTACACACTTGGAGTTTAGAACGATCGGAACGGAATGGGGTAGACTGATTCTCAAGGTCCGGATCGTAGGTAAAATATGCTCAACTTGTTTCCGAGAACGACTTGTCACACGCACAATACGGATTTAACCGGCTATAAAGTATCACGATAGGGACATAGCACTTCGTACATCGAGGACTGCAGTGTCTTCGGTAAACATTTAGGATCTGCAGTAACCTTAGTAGGCAATAATGGAACTCGGGGTTCGTATGGATGAGTCCCAGGAGTAACAAACCGCGAGATTCACATGGACCCGGGAAAGTGTCGTAGTTCATCCAGGGGTTGCCGCGGTGCGTGGGAACTAATTTGAATACGCTTGTCTCCGATATATCCTCCTGGACGACGGACTCGCAGATAAGATGTCCGTTCCATCCTCTATCACCGGAGTAGTTTCATGGACAAGGTAATTTAATTAGGTAGGTAGGTAGGTATGGATCTATCATTAATAGGGAGGGATCATAAACACGGACGATGGTCTCTTAGATCTTTTAGTGAACTAGCTAATCACCATTCAAAACATTAATTTCACGTAATTTTAACTCTCGATTCACAACACCCAACTCGACCACTAAAACGCGGGTATAATGGTATAATTCAACACAATAAAGTACGCTCGATTTAGCTCAGAATATCACTCACGTCTTTGGTATCTCTCGCTCAACAGCCCCATAACCAACCAAAATCCGGTCCAATCAAACCGACCTGCCGCCGTGTCGGCCGCAATATTTGCTATACCCTGATACCGTGCTTTTATGTCAAGCTCCCCGAAGAAACATAAAGTGACCCCCATTGATCCTTTTCCTCCATCCTTCTCTATAGAAGATGAGATTGGCTCATGATGTAATAATACCAAATTCCGAACGCCTGTGAAGGGGTAATTACTATATCTAGATTGCGGCGATCCAGCAGCCGCATATTATTAACCGTGCATTCATTCAGTCATGAATTTAGCTTCTGAAATCAACTCAAATGGCGACAGGTTATTGCCGCTTTAAAATGACTAATACGCTTTTAAAACGTCTCGGATTCTTGGCTGATAACGCTTGAAGGACTGGCTATCGTGCCAAATGTATCTACCAAAACAGTTAGAGGGATAAATTTTTGGCTATGGGAATACCGCGGGGAGTGCTTACCTCGTTTGCGTCGCCTCTCCTCTCCGTCGTCGCTACCGCGGCTAGGGGTCATAGCCCTAGGTCCGCTAGGTCTTCGAGCCGGAACTCCTAGAGCTCCGCTTAGGTTCTTGTTCTCTGGCTTCGGACTGCTAGAGTGATAACTTCCGGCGTGCGTGGCCGTAGCTGTGCCATAGCCGCTTTCGACGCTATGGAATGGCAAAGGACTGCCGTGCTTGTTTTGAAGCTTATTTACCCTGTCGTGCTGGGCGGGGGATGACCTATCCAGTGGCTCTTTTGGAGGTCGCGGCGGTCCTAGAGGACTGGGCGATGGCATCTCTTGCTGCCAGTTGTAGTCATCTCCATGACCAGAATTCAGGGCACTGCTGTCGCTATACCGATTGGTACTGTGCATAGGCAGCCTGTGGAGAGAGGTGGCTGAGCCAGCCCAGTCGGCTGACCCCGGAGACATCGCATTGTCATAATCTTGTGCCGAGGTCTCCAACGCGGTTCTGAATCGCTCTGTCTGCCCTTGTCGTGGCTGTGGGTGTTGTAGGTTTAATGAATTGCGATGAACCCTGTATTTAGGATCCTCAGGAGTAGAGTAAGCAGCAGGCTCGAGATGAGCATATGTAGCCGGTTGAGGTTGCTGCATATCGGTTGTGTTAGGTAGGTTCTCGCCCACAGATCGGGGGCGGAGATCTTGTTCCGAAAAGCCCGAGTGTAGCTTATCCCCTTCATATACGTTCTGAGTTTGGAATTGATCGTAATTGGCCAAGTCCGAGCCAGATCGAGACGGAGGATGTCGGAGAAAGTCCTCGGGGGGATCGTGCTTCTTAGAAGCCCCACTGCTACGGAATACTCTTCCTATACTTGATGTCGTCGTCTCAGACCACCGTGAGATTTTGGGGAAGAGACTGGACGAGCCCCGCGATTTATGCTTCTTGCTCTCTTCGGTTCGAGGTGTGTTCTCGTTGCTCATCGAATAATTGTGCGCCTGAGCAGTCTGAGGTGGCGTTCCAAGAGGCACTGAACCACCCCTAGATCTTTCGGAGCTGGGCGAGAGCATTCCTCCGTGCATCTCATATTGGCTTGGCGGCGGCATGGAGTGGTCATTGTACTCGCCCTCGTCCTCAGGTACAGTGCTGATACGGTGGTCTGAAAACTTTCGCTCGCTGGCTAATCTGTTGGACGTCCCGCGAGACTGGGGGATCGATAGGTGTCCCGACTGGCTTGCATGGCTAGCTGTCGAGGTGCCGGCATGGCCTTCGGGCTCGTAGCCTCGATCTTGCTCATACTGAACATCTGGTTGGATGCCCTCGATCGACTGAGCACGCGTGCTTGTGCCTACGGGGCCAGCGGTCTGGTGCTTGAGGACGTTAACATCGTCAAGTAGTTGGTTGAGCAAATCCTCAATTCTGGTTAAATCATTAGCACCCTTAGAACTGAGCCCTTGAAGTGCACGTCGGAGGATATTGCGCTTCTTAGTGTTCACGTCCTCTGTACCGGCCTGGGAACCTCCTTGGATTGATCGCGCACTACTGCCGGGGAAAGGTCGGGGTCCGCCTATGTGGCGTTTGACTGTCTTCTCTGTATCCTCTTTGACCTCGTCAACGACTCGATCCGCGTTATCTACTAACATCCTCTTGAGGTCTTCGAAGGAGTTCCGCATTTCAGCTGCTGACCGGACTAGGGTAACAAGTATCTCAGTATCTCGCGCACTTCGTTGCGCATCGCGAACCATAAGCTGCATACTATTAGCAAAATTTCTGGCATGTTGGAATCATACATACGTGTTCCATCAAAGCAATGATGTCTTTCGATTGGATCCTGTCAATTCCAGTTCCAGTAGAGGGGTCGTAAAGCGGTGTGCCCATTGCTTGAGATAGGCCCGCAAGCTGCCTCGCGTCTTTAGGCGCGTAAAACGGATCTTCAGCTTCACCATTCAGCAATCCCATATCCTTACCCTGCATGTTAGATGCGTCGCGGATGTCGTTCGGCGCTGCGGAGATGTAGCCCTCGTCAGCGCCAGGGATTCCTGGACTGCCCGTGTTGAAGCCACCGCGGTAAGCGTCTGCTCCAAAACCAGTCCCGCCAAGCATGTTCCCATCCAGGCCAGGAAGATTGGCAATCGGACTGGTTCCCTCATAAGGGTTTGTGACTAGGGTATCGCGTTTGCGGTCACAAGATGTCCTCTGCCACTCGTCATCCGGGTCCTGGCTAGGCTGCCGGCTATGCGAAGTAGCCAGAGCCCCTGCGGTTGCCAGGGTAGCTGCTGCTGCTGCTACGTCGGCCATTCCAAGATCGTGGCTGTTATCTGGCCTGTTTGCCTTGGGCGTTACAGCACGATCATAGGCATATGATCTTTCGTGAGTTGGTGTTGACTGTTCTGGCCAATGTTCTCTAGTTCCGTCTTGGGATCCACCAAGTGGCCCCTCTACAATAGAGGAGGCTTGATCGTCGACATATCCGATCTCCGGCATAGGATCGTTGAAATCTGGAATGCCGCTAGCACCCATCTTTGGATTCTCATAATCTGAAAGTCGATCGACGCTATGACGCGGAGTAGCGTTAGGACGATAACCATCCTTAGCTCGTTCTTTAAAGGACTGGTTTTGCGCGCCACCCCTACCAGCAAATTCCTTGTTCTCAGCAGGGTTCTGTTGGCCCTCATTTTGTTGCTTAAGGGCAAGAGCTCGCTGAAGGGCACCGCTCGTGATGGCGCTCTCAGAAGCAGTAGGTGAGTTGCGATAGTTAGATCGAGCAACTTTTTGGCCGTACTCGTTGAGGTCGTATTCTACAAATTCCCTGGAAGCAGTCGAAGGGTCACGTTCCTGGGATGCGGTCGGCGATTGGTCATGTTGCTGCTCGACTGTTTCGTGACGGTTCTCTGGCGAACGCTTAATTGGGCTTATTCCCCTCGATCTTGCGGCCTCATCATAAGAAATTTGGGAGTCGCGGTAGTCTTGTCTAAAACCCGTAGATCCGCTCATGAGAGAAGGATCGAGCTGTGAACCCTCGACCAGTGATGCTACAGCAGATTCAGGGGGGAAGTTCTGGTGCACTACCTCAGCATTTCCTCCGATAGCATGAACTGCCTGTCCCGAAGTCACCCGGTCCAGTTCGCTATCCTCAGTGTATGTGGGGTTTCTATAGCCTACGCCTGAGCTCATCAGGCTACTAGCTTCATCAACAAACTCGCGGCCTCGAAGATTACTCGGGACCGAACTAGGTGAGTGAAGATCACGGTCATACAGCGACTTCTCGGGAGACGAGAGTTCGCTCGCGGTATGTATAGTTCTAGAATCCAGTCGCCCATGGATATCGCTTTCTCCCTCTGTAAACCCTGATACGCTCTGAATTGGACTTAAGCCACGCCGTTCCTGTTGGTATGGAACATAACGTAAAGGAGCCGGAACATCCTGTGACCCATAGAAAGATTGTATGGGTGACGACTCATCATCATACAGACCAGGCTCTGAGAGTTGACTGTTTTCGTCGTATTCGTCATCGTATCGGTTCCCGTATTCTTCATTCTTGTATTCCTCCTGGTAGTCGGCATTGCCTTTGCGAGGGAGGGCTTTGAGATCACCATGGGAGACGTTGGCGTGGTGTGCACCTAAACCCTGGATGTTGTGGGTAGGAGACCTCGACGGCGAAGGCGTCTCCTGGATGGGCTCGACTGAGGCGATACCTCTCGTGGCCTCCCTACCTGGGGTCATCTCTTCACTAGCAGAGTGAGGTCGATCTGTCTCCGCCGATAATATCGACGTTCGCGTCATATCGGATGCATTAATTTCGCTTTGGAGAGGCATGGGTGGCACTACCTTGTGCTCTGCTTCTTCATAACCATCTCCGTATCTCTCATCAACATCGTGTTTAGGATTTTCCGCGCGTCTCCTCCGCCGCTGTCTCTTTTCATCACCTCTAGACCGGAGTGCAGCACCGGAAACTGCAGCGCCCAGGGCGGCATCGGTAAGCTTATCATGGTCACGACGTGGTGTAAGCTCTTCATCTGGTATATCTTCTAGAACAGAGACTTCTTCAATACTACTCTGAGGCGATAAATCGTTTCTCGCTTCTCTATCGCGCCGTTCCTTCGACTTTGTCGATTGGGCTGTGTCAGCAGACTTCCTTCTGTTTGGAACAGAGATCTCCTCGCGAGACACCGAGGTGAGACTCGAAAGCGACTCCCGATCTTTGGGCCTCCGGGAGTCGCGTTGGCTCCTCTCTCTCTTGATAGCATCTAACTCCGGTAAAATGAGGCGTCGGATGGCGTCCTCTACGGTTTCGAGAAGTTTCGGATTATTAATTGAAACCTTGGAGGAATGTGTATCATATGAACGGTGGCTGGATGTTATTTGCGACGAGAGCATGCTCGAATCAGCAACTGAGACCATGGATTCCTTATTACTCCCTTTAGATCTACGTCTCTCGTTTTCTTTGTCGCCAGAGCTGCCTACTCTACTCTTCGACTTATGTCTTCGCTCAGGTTTGCTCGCTTTCTCGACAGCTTTTTGCATAACACTCCGGTCATGACTGGCGCTCCTGACCTTACGGTGTGACTTTTCCGAAAGGACAGACTCATTCCTCAACGGACTTTTTGCACGTTTCTCATTTTGTGTGAGTGAATTACCGCCTGAGTTACCGTCTAGAAAACTGTCGGAGGGAATGGCCGAGATATCGGACATGTTAGGTGGTGGATACGAAATCTTGCTATCAGCAGCAGGAATGAGCGGGCTTGATACTTTTCGCCGCCGATGATGACTTCTCGGTTCTATCTCGACCTCAATCGGGTTCCGGGAGACATTGGACTCTTCAGTCGCCGATGCGTAGGAGTGTAAACTCCTTACTTCTTCTGGGTCCGTCATGTCTAGTTCGCTCCGAGTAATATTCGAGCTTGCGGTTGGTTTCCTCGAAACGGACCTCTTTCTCGTACTCTTAGTCTCGGTGATCTGAATATGATCGTTTCTGCCCCGAGTCTTTGAGGGAGTCAGACGGACACGGACGCTCGGCTTGCGCTCAGAGAGGCCCGAACCGACAGTACTACTAGTTTTCCCGCCTTCGAAATATTCGATGAGCAGCGAAGTCTGTGAGCGATTCGGCTTATGGGTGCGGGTTTTGATGGTAACAGGTGTTCCGTCGTCGGGGAGTGAGTAATGTGATCTGTCGTCGTCGGCAGGTCTGGAAACATCGGAGGGTGCAAGTTCGGTAGGTGTAGTAAGGGACTCGGTCTCGGTCGGGGCGGGTAACGGGGGAACACTGCTGGTGTCTACACTCACTCCCATTTTGCTGCCCGAGAATGCGACCAGTTGTCAAAGTATGCGGCCACGCCTCTGGTTTATTGGCCGCTTCCCCCTTTAACCAATCCTCTCCTTGCTGCGTTGTGTTTACCCCAGCTACTGGTCAAGCGGTGAACGGTAAACAGTTGCGGTCGAGAGAAAGCTGGATGCGGACAGGGATCCGCGACTAGAAAGAGCCGACGTTTTGCGCAAACATTGGCCAAAGTATAGGAGGCGAAAAGACACCGTGGGATCTATGTATAATGTGAAGGTCAATATAGGGTTACCCAGTGGTGAGTGGTCTATACAACGGGATCATACGAAAATCGAGGATGACGATAGGAATGATGATAACAATTGGCTAATAATGTCGCAGAGAATAAATATTACGAATAGATAAATATTCGATTGCAAGGCAAAGATAATAACATGAAAATGAAAATAAAATAAAATTGCAAAAAAAAGGTCGAAAATAGTTTTTGACGTTTTTGGTTGTTAACAGTAAGAGATGGGGATGGTATAGGGATGGGGATGGGGGACGAAATAGAGACGGAAAAAAAAAAACAAAAGCTTCAGATCTTCTGTCGAATCCCAGCCCCCTCAATTGCGCTCGAATTGGCGGCACAATCGAAACCCTGCAACTATGCGAATACGCGCGCAGAGGAATAATAACCCATGTCGAAATACAACCAAAACGAAAGAATTGATAGATTTTAGATTTTATGAGACAGCTCGATACATACTTTCGAAGGACGTCAGAAACATGCGACGTAAATATTGTTCTGGAAGTTGAATACCCAGACCCAGATGTAGGTGTATTATCTTGTTTCCCCTTTTATGGATTCTCGTCCGGTGCAGCAGATATAAATGTGCTGGTTGGCCGGCGAGAATATGCCTCTCTTTCTTGCAGGACGATGCGTGCGACCCTTCTCCCGTCCAATACAATCGATTATATACTGGACGTGTTTTTCCGATGCCACCAGGACTATCGTCAGACAGGTGCAGGCCTCGAGGCTCCCTCCTCGATTTAGCGGTAGAGAGTTACGAGTCGTGGGGTGGAGGGAGAAATGGGTGATAATGGGCTTATGAGGCTTTGTTATTGCTCAAGAAAAAAAAAAAGAGCTGGCAAGTACATAGGAGTGGTTGCGTGGTGGACCACCTAGTATACACTAACCTAGGAGCTTGAGAGAGCGGGGGCTCTGCTAGGGAAACTTGCTGGGGTGGGAGTTTGATGCGTTGGCTTTGCTTGAGGAAACTGGCCAATAAAATTACAGAAGACGGGTAAGAGACGGGGGTCACGATAGAAGCTGACAGGCACTGTCCGGCTACAAATGACATGGGATGACAAGGGAGGTCGGGGGCGGAACTGCCCTAACAGATTGGAGTTTGTTAGTGTACTGCTTCTCCTTCCCCTCAGCCCCTCTAACGTCGACCTGTATTGTACCTCCTCCTCAATACAGATTTGCACCTGCAATCTTCCGTCAAATGATATAACATGTTAACATTATTCGTCCATCGCAATTAATTATATCAAGGTTTGATACGACCTTCTGCTTTTTATTCATCAAGATCTAATTCAACCAACATTAGTTATTCTTGTCCTAAGTACCTCTTATCTCGGTATAATTTCATGTTGATAAACCAGCTTGACCGATGGCGCTTAGTTTTCTTAATATCTTCATCACAATACCCACTCGTTAATAATAAGAGGTTGGAATATTTAACAGGTAGCCATCTACCAGCGACCCGGCTCCGTTTGTATCCCAACTTATTCTTCCCATCTTCTATATATTATTATTTACATCCGTCGACCTAAGCAGTTTAGTCAAGTCCAATGGAACGGACATGGTCCCGCAAAGTGGCTCTTGCGCCCCTTTGGCCGGGTGACGATCTGGTTTTACTACGGCACGATGATGTGCACCCCACCTTGGATCCGGTTCCGCCTGGACTACAACTTGGTCAACACCCTCGGCACACTGGGTCTTAATCGTATCCACTATGACTGATTAGTGATAAGTCGAGTTACCGAAAGTAGACAAATTCGGTTCATCAAGCTGCTAAAAAGCTGGCGCTCCATAGTCCATCCTGTTTTTTCTCCCGATATGGGATCATGATCACATCGTGCTTCGCAGCGTCCCTATGTACCTAACCTAACATACATATGTACAGAGAGCCCTATGTTGAATCCTCACCGACCTTCTTTTACATATATCTCAATCCTACGTTTAACTTACCCACTACTAAGCCGAAAAAGGGCCATGATACTGCCCATTGGGATAATATATAGACCTGAACTTGGAGCTAATCACGGCGCAAGATGCATAATCACGCTGCCATCGGATCTGTGTCTAAAGGCATGTAATACTACTTGAGTTTTCGGTACCTATAATCGTGCATACATCCTTGGGGTCTACCTGACTGTCTTGCATCTGTCCCGTCGCCGCCTTGCGGAATAATTCTGTATAAAAACCCCAATGGTTCGGAATAAGGCAACAAGGCAGCTATTGCATTCGAGTTTAATATAATTACGGTAATCTAGACTTCAAATAGCGGGATTCAACATCGCCACACCCATTCTACCTATCATCATTGATATCCGTACGTCTACATATACGGTATAAACCGGTAGATGTGGCAAATAACTGCGTATGTATTTTCTCCCTCTACTCTATTCCTATGTAGGTTCTTACTATTGCCGCACATTGGGTGATTGGCGACCTCTCGGATTACACCGTTATTAGTTACGCCTCCGGTGTTCTTCAAATGCGCAATCCAAAGCCACACTCTTCCGCACTATTACTTTAAGTGGTTGCATTAAAGCAAACATGTCATAATACCTTGAGAGATAGTAGATACCTAGGTAGGTAAGCATACACGTACAACTAGAACGAGTTACGATGACTCTTGAACCATCTGTGCCACCCACCCAACCATCCTACCGAGCGTCTTACGATATGCATGTAGCCTTTCACTTCGGTATGCAAGGAACGACGTTGAAGTAGATAACATTATGTTGATCGAAATAGATATATAAAGTGAAAATGAGAGAATTTCTTTTTACAAGGACAAGCCCGCCCCGTTCAAATATTCCCGCGCCCCTGCGTCAAACCGGCTTCTCGCCCCGATTCTGCATGTACCAAAACAATCTATTTGGGGGCTACATTTCGAGACATTCTCGAGGCTGAACTTTGGCTGGCTCATCTCACACGTATGGTAACACGGAACATGCGGGTAACCGCGTACACATCACGCAGGTCTCCCGTTTGGGTATTCCGGGAGTCGGGAAGGTCTACACACGTACATAACTGAGAACCACATAAACGATATGGGAAAACGTAGAGTTGAAGTCTAAATAAATACCTATAAATTTGATAGCAACGATATTACCAGGACGCATGGAATTAGAATCTGATAACCAACGCGTGTAGAAGAATATCCATAAAATTTTGATTGTTCGAACCAAAGAAACCGAATCGTGTGAAAGAATTACGTTAGAGAAGTCTAAGTCTTCCCGCGAAGAGAAATGATCCTTCCGCCGGATGTCTTATAATGTTTAATCAGAAACACTCTTCGCGGCTCTCTTCCCGTGGCCAGACTTCAATGCTGATTTGGACGGAGATATCCTGTCCTTTGGTGGTGACGAGAGGTACTCAGTTTTAGCGCCGCTCAGCAAATCTCTTACCACCGAGTTATTGAGGTAATGATTGGCGAGACCACCTCCGAGAATTGACTTGAGCATTTCTAACCGGGCCGACAAAGACCAGCTATCGATGGTGATGCTGATGTTCTGGATTCGGAATTTTTGCCGATAACCGTACTCCCGATAGTCGTCATTGAAGTCTGCCCGGTTGCCTCCTGTGTGTGGATTGCTTGAAAAGCGGCGCGCAGTCGAGTATCCTGGGCCCTTTCCGTGTTCAAGGGAGGTCACTATACTGTTAAAACTGCTGTGAAGCTGCCTTCTATCCCTCTTAGATATCGCCTTCGAGGACTCTCGAGTGAGGGCATTCAATCGTCGAAGGAGTCCATCCTGATCAAAGCGCAAGTTCCAGGTCTCACCGCTCTCTTCCTCGTATTCACGCGCAGCCTCCATAACCAAAGCAATATTCGACCCAGCAGCGACTTGGACATCTACGTCGCTGCTTTCGAGCTGTTCCGTAAAGACTTCCAGAGCCTGCGTACTTTGCTCTTCGAGATCGTCAAGGCCGCTAGCAACAAATCCCCACGTATTTAGTGCTGCGGCAACAACTGGCCCATTGTCACCAGCTTCTACAATGTAGCCATCGCTTTCAATGATCTCGATGAGAAACTCTAAAAGTTCTTCGGCTTCGGTTTCTGACCCTCCGCCGCACATTGTAGAGATTCCCATTGCCTTAATAGCAGCTACTTTAATCAACTCCTCATTATCGTCATAATTTGTATCCTGAGAGAGACTCTTCAATGTTGGGAAGACTCGATCATGAATGCTCTCGTCCCCAGTCGTAAGGATGGTTATCATAAGAGCTTTTAGCGCCCACAAAACTCCATGGGAAGTTCTGCGGCCACGTATAGTCTTTAGTAGCATAGGAATAAGCTCATTCATCTGCGCATTTATTTCCTCGGCGTCAGGATGATGTCGAAGTAGTTCCGTATATGCCGTTAGCTTTTCCTCGCGGTCTTGGCCTCCGTCACGCTTTTGATCTAGCAAATCCACGATGCGATTGTGCAAGATTTCCGCCGGCGGCGTTGAACCTAATTCCTCGCCATCCTCTGAGTTGATAATAGAACTAGCTAGGCTCTCGTTGTATTCATTATCGCTCGAATCTTCCTCCTCTGACGCCTGGCGACTCGCAGCTCGCGAGGCAGCGCGCGAACTGGCAGGTGAAGCTTGTGCTGATTGTTGTCGCGAGCGCGCCTTTCTAGAGACAGTCTTGCCGCTCTCAAAGATCTTCTTGCGCAAATCATGCATTTCGACTGTGTGCTCGGTGGAAATGTTGCGCTAATACAGTGGTGTTGTTGCGGGTGGGTTGGTGGCCCGTATTTATAGAGCGGTAGAGCTCGTATCAAGTCTTGAATCCTCTTGTGTGCGAACGATGAAACGACGGGTTTGTTTTCGACTTGAATTCCATGAGGATGGTTTGAGAACCGCTACTATGTGTTACTTGTAGACTTTGTGGAAAGCCTTTGTGTAGATAGTCGCGAAAGGTGTATTGTATGATTCTGTTCTGGTTGTTCTGGTAGTTCAGTGTAACAGACAAACAATAAAGGACTTGTTCTAATAAATAACCGTACGGGAATGGGGCGGTGAATTAAAAATTTCACCGGCGCACCAGGGTTTTGAACAAAATGACAAAAATACGTGTAGGTGCTTAAACGAATTATAGTGGCGAGATGGATGGGAAAGGAAAAGAAAATCGAATTTCTTATTTAAGCAGACACAAGAGCTTTGCGCAGCGAAATTAAGTAGAAAAGTACATAGAAAGGGCGCGTCATCTGAAATGAAAAGCAATAACTCTAAAAAAACCAAGACAACAATTCGTCATCTGAACAGTCCACAGTCGCGGGGTCTTAATGTTCCCCAGCCGCCTAATTGATTTACCGCCACTAAGAAGCTATGAAGTAACGATTAGTACCCATTTGACTATTTGGTAGGGCTGTTCATATACAATAAGGCATGCAATACTTTTACGCTACTTACCCCGGCACGTGCCTATACAATTAACCTACAAGGTAGAGCAAGGGTGTTTCGGGATACTTCGGACATTGTTAGAGCCGGGCAGTTTGAACTTGCTTCTTGTACAGGAATAACACTGAACATTTGTCGCCATCCTAGCCAGGCAATAACGGCCAAGTCCAATAAATAGATTAAGCTATTCGCATTTTCAAACTCTCCTTAGAGGTATCTTAGTACCTCTACCTATTATATGTAAATTCCAATTGTATGCTACCTTAGTTAGGTACCTAAAGGTATCTGTTCAAGCCGCGCACCAACCTAGCCTACCTGTGATAGCATACGATATGCATACACTTTCCAATACCTATCTTAGCTTAACCCCGCCATCCCACTAATGGATGTTAGTCCACCGGCCCCACTAGCTCAGCTCGTAATCCTTGCAACCTCTTTCGTACCAGCATGTACGTCAGACAAGGGCTTTCATACACAATCGAGGGGTACCTTTCGCATTGTATGTTGTTTCAGTTGGATATTGTGTACGGTTGTTAGGTAAGCAAAAAAAAAAGGCGCAAAGGAGCAAATATATAGTATTAATTATGTTCTATATGATCCTCATAAAGATTAAGGTATTGTAAAGAATCTCAGCCTTAATTCGTATATTGCAGTACGTAGATGTAATAGATGGAGGGTGGGGGGAGACACAGCTGATAAGACACTTATCAGGCTACCTACCGCGCTATTAGGCAGCCAGAGCCCCGCTCTAACTCGTCCATGAAGCCCATGTAGGTAGGCTACTAACTTAGGCATGTACATCATAGCTCCTCCTCCTCCTCCGTCTATATACACTAGGCCCTATCTCTTTAGATAAACTATATATTTGGTTGAGAATATCATCATCGCATCAGAAACTAGAATAGTAATATTCTACTAAATCATATAAGTAAGAAGGTAAATACCTAGGTACCGATACTTTACTTACACGTGCAGAGGTAAGTTTTTAGCTTCCATCTTAAAGTCTGTATTGTACAATACATAGCGCTTGCTTGCTTATTACATGCCCCGCCCAACCGCACCTACCCATAGGCATTTCCCCAAGTAACTCTTGAGTATTGGATGTAGGAGCTACCTACCAACCAGGTTCTACCTTTTGCACTTTCAACCTTTTATAGGTACCAAGTGGGCGAACGCTCGTTCGTTATTACCTACTTCTAAGGCAGCGCACCGACACACACCATTCTGACACACTTCCCCCTCCTACTCGCTCTTCTTATCATATCCCATTCCATCCACTGCTACTCTCGCTGCAGCTCTCAACGCAACTACCCGACATCAAATTCCGCCATCTCGGTTCGTCTACTTAGAAAAATAGAATCTTCTAATAGACCCTTCTATTAATGAGCTTATATTCCTTAGGATTGCAACAATTCCTATTGCATTCCTGAAATCCTCGGGTATCATTTTGATACTCAAGGTTTGGGGATAGATATTCCACCGTGAAGTTCCACCGTGAGGTAGTGAGTCCGAGCAAAATGGCGACCACATTGGCGACCCCATATCACCTCAGCCGAAACGACGATGAAGGTAAGACGGTAACCCGCAGCCCCAACTCCAAAATGGTCGAGTGTATCTTGATTGACCTATTCGTATAAATAGTCATTATCGTCACACTGGTTTGCCGACCTCACGATTCTCATGTGTCCGCCTTCCCCAAACGTCAGTTTATCCTCAGCAGCCAGAACCCATCTATCCGAATCGGCAGAGCCTCTAAGGTTCCTACAAAGGGTTTCGTTGCCTCTGTAGATAACGCATGGTTTGATAGTCCTGTCATGTCACGGAATCATGCAGAACTCGCCCTCGACCTTGACAGCATCCCCAAGGTAAGCTTACCCGAGCAGCCTCTCCTGCAAACCTGGCCCCCGCGTTGCTCACGCTGATTGTATTATCAAGTCTGTAATCATCAAAGATATCGGGTCACTTCACGGCACTTTCCATATACCCGGCGACGGAGTCGGGAAAGAGATGAGACTCGAACAACAGCGGCCTGTTAGGCTGTCAAACGGGGACTCCCTCCGTTTTGGAACCGACATCTTCAGGGCCAAGGAAACATTTCCCCCCTATTCCGTCGAGTTTTATATGGTAGGACAGGAACATGAGCCGTAAGTTTGCCATTGCATTGGCTTTTGCTTAATACTAACTCCTCATATAGGTGTAGTCAGGATATACCGACTACCAATCAGTCTCCCAACCGAACCTTTACTGTTCCAGACGACGATCTCGATGATGAAGACGATGACGATGACAGCGTGGTAGAGACATGCATGCCACCCTTGCGGAAAACCAATGTCCAACGTGGCCTATCTATTGATCTGACCCAATATGATGACTCAGATGAGGACCAGAACGTTGCTTCCAGTGCTACAGCCCTGAACCACTTCAACTCGGATATTATAGATCTAACATCAGAGCCCGATGTACATTCGGATCACGAATTCCGTGCCAGGAGTCCTAGCCATTCTTCCGCATCCTCCGCAGTAGATGCATCAGCCATGCCGGCACTAGTAGCTGCATTTGCCCCTCGTAATTCAGAGTCGCTGGCAGAGATGGATCAGTCCGAGAAGCCTACGGCTTTTGATGTTGAGCCCGATACATCCTCCGACCACGACCATAGCTTCCCTCACGATGAAGAAACGAGTAGCGAGGATATCCACTTGACTGATTCCGAAGACGATTCAATTATTATCAGAGAGGGCGATATGAGTAGCATGGACGAAGATTCCGACGATGATGATTCGCCTACTTCTGTATTTAACAATGACGTGGTCCGATCTGATAGCTGGGGGAGTGACAACGAAAGTAAGTCAATCAATTTTCGTTATATATTTTCGAATTATTCCACTGACGTTTCCTGCCCAGGTATCTTGCCATACTCAGAGTCAGATGATGATAGTTCCTCATCGGATGATGAGATGATGGATCCATTGTCGGGCTCGAGCTCACCAGCGCCCAGCTCGTCTCCATTCTCATCGCCTAACCCGCCGCTCCCGAATGGGTTACCCAGCACAGATACCTTTGCCGAATCATCCAATACAGAGGGCCCCTTTGTGGCTCCATATTTGTTTACCGCCTCTGAGCAACAAGGGGCATCGGTTGTTCAACCGAGAGAACCAAGTCCATCTGATGCTGCTATGTTTAAGAGTCATCCTGTACTTGACCGAACTGCAAGCATTTCTAGGGCACATGCTTTAGGCGAGAAATCGGGCAAGCACGCATTCTTCGCGGCTAGGGAGAGTAATCGAACGAATCATTTGGACTGGCACTCCCCACCACCTGTCTCTTCCATCCGAGAAACTTTGGGAGCTGATGTCGATCAGCATGTTACTGGTGTTGAATCCGATCATGCTTCTCACGCAGCTTTACCAGTTATTCAAGTTGTCGATGACCAAAAGGGTTCAACAGGGGCGGCTGCCGACGTCGACGATGCGCCCGAACCCACGTCCCACGGTCCCACGAACATCCTCAGTGAAGAGCCAATACCGGATTCCACATGGCAGCCATGGTCAATATCTGGGGAGCGATTCATCAACCATCCTCGAATTGAGGAGCTCCCTTGTCCGAATTCCGAACGGGCTCAAAGTCCTGAACTTGATATGACTAGCGCATATACTTTTCAACTAAGCAAGATAGCCAGTGAGAGCAGTTCTAGCCTTGCAAGCAAACCCAGGCGCGTCGAGATTCAAGATCTACTTACACAGGAACCAAATGGGGATAAAGACGACACAAATGATAAAACTCTTCTTCCGCCCGTTTTTAGCACGACATTTACTGCTCTACCGCCAACTGGTGCAGCCGTACCGGAACCTAACCTGAAGCGTTCATTCGAAGATGCCTTTAGCAATGATGAGGATGCAGCTGAATCGAATGAAGTATACTTCCCTCGGAAGGATGACAGATCTAAGTCTACGTCTTCAGGCAAGCAGACTCAGAATGGCTCAGTGACCAACGTTGAGTCGAACAAGGCTACTGCTACCGAGACCCCTGAACAAAGCGGCATTGAAGCCCAGCCCGCTTCTGTCCCCGCACGGCCAGACAACATTCAGCCGTCGAAGCGACGCCGCTTTGTCCAGGCAGCAGCCTATGTCGCTCTCGGCGGTGCGGCTGCATTCACTTACATGGTCTCTACCGCACCTGTCCTCTAAACCATATTAAGAAATGGGTAATTTGTCGTCTATGTCTGTACACATTTCTCACTTTACAGGCTCCCATAGGCGATATCTTACGAGGTTCAAGTTGCGGCTTAGAGCTGCAAGTATTCTTAGTCATAAACATATTATGAAGGGTGTAGATGAAACCGGAAGCGGCGTTGCGGTTCTTTGTTTAGGTGGATTAAGCTTAGCACATTGCGTTGCATTTGTATGGTTGTTCGCAAAGGGCGAGTTGGGAGATGTCCAGGGAAGGTGAATGGAATGGGCACATTGGCTTCCCGAGGTTAGGATAGGCTACGATTTGGCTTGGCGTTTTCTCTTTCTTTAACTATCGCGGCAGATTCTCGCCCAGTTTCACTGAACGTCGGCTCGTGTAAACTATCAATACGTTTGATTTTAATAATCCGTCTATGGCATTCGTATGGATGGATTTATCAATGACTACTTTCGTTCTCGCATGTTTAATGTGGCCGCTAATGATATATCTCAACTCGCTACGAAATGTGCATCTTCAGATCCTCAGACCCAAAATATCTTAGAAGTCTCAAATCCACGACCAATACAGTAGAGTGCCTAGATGGCTGTATCAGTGATATAAATCAATTATCGTACATTTAAGGTAATACTATATCCGCCAACTGATTCAGGGCCGTGGTTTAAGATACTTCGGCAATATCTAATGAATTAGAGCCAACCGACCGTCAAGGTTGACGATGATAATTAGGTAGATATATTTTTACATTCAGAACTTAAGAACGACTACGGCCGTCTTTCTAGAGCTCGTTGCTTCGGGACAAGACTATTGTGTTAGTGCCCTATTTCTAATTTTTCTTCGTATTAGGTTCTCTCTTATATTCTCTATCCCCGAAATGGGAGACCACCGAGTTCTGCCGTCCATATACCCTAGTTCTATGATGGAAAACACAAGTATAACAAATCCGAGTAATGGAATTGAAAGCGCAAAGTACACCCAAAACAGTGAGTTTCCTGGAAGGTAACTAATATGTCAGGTTTTTTTCAAGTTAGCTACTGGAACTTGCCCATTGAAGTTCTACGGTTTCTCTACAGGAGTAGGAATGCATCCGTAAGGTATAATAGGATGATGTTACTTACTGCTCGACGTTAGTCATAAGCTAGAGTATTAGAGCATGGAACTTTGTACGTACCGAATCTGCCATGCTGAAGATAGAAGCTGTGAAGGACAATGGGAGGAATATGATACCTAGGACCGTGAGGGCCTTAACACTTCTGGCTTCGCGGCCTGCTCGCTCTGCCTCCTGAAGCGATAGTTCTCCTGTCTTAAAAGAGACGCGGTTGCCTGCAAGGCTAGCTAAGGTGTTTATAGCACTGCCTAACTCATTTACACGTTTCTCTATTTGATGGTAGCGTTGCAATAGGTGCTGGAAATCGGCGGCGCTGTCAGTCCAGCTCTCAATACGGCTTGTATCAGGGGATCGTGTAAGTTGAACACCAAGCTGTAGCATAGCTCCTTCTAGATCATCTTGGTACTCGGCAACCCGACGCTTCCATGACTGGACATCGCTCCAGATTTCTTCGGCCGTAGCGACGCCAAAAGGTGTCAGATCACGTCTCCTTGACAGATGCCACAATACGAACTCGGTGTTAGACTGTAGGAATTCGGCTAACTTGAGGAAGTGGCTGGCGATAATCTTCTCAACGAAGATACGCAGGGATTTAGGATGAGTGAGGTCTAATGTATCGGAGTGCATTCGCAGATAGAATAATAAATCCTCTACTAAGGAGGTCCTAGGAGGTCCGGACCGTGCCTTTATCTGATTTGATAGGGGCATGAAATCCATATACCCAGAGTTAAAATGACTCGTTACAACATCAAACCCCGACCGCCCGGTATGGTCTGTTAGAATCCGGCGGATGGGGGGGTCACATATAATGAGGCCTGGCATCATCAGCAAGTTAGCTTTATCCCGAGAAATGGGGAAATACATACATTTCCAGCCACCGGAGTCCGTGGTTCTGCTCCAAAAGGTACACTTACGCCTACTAATCCCGACTTTCGACATCTCGCCCATAAGCCTCGTCACAGCGACATGTCTCCCGGATGTGTCGCAGAGGCAGCGGAAACCGGTTGGCCGTTGCGAAAGAACTAGCGGCTCATGATATTTAAGCGAGACATGGTCTCTCCCGCATATTGCGGATGGTAAGAACGGAAGACCTCCGTTTTCTCCCGTCTGCCGGTCGCCAAGAGGTGTTAATCTCTCATGGTCTACAAATATAGAAGGGTGGAGCTGAAAGTGGTCACCGAGAACGTGGACGAAATCCCTGGAGAGCCCTTCGAGTAGGTATACGGAGCGCGACGAATGGCCGGCCAATGCTGTATCCTGCTCGAGGCTAGCCGCAAGGGTAGAGGCGTCCGTATACTCGGTAGGAAGACTAACGGACCCATCCGGGCCGAACTGAAGTGCAAGAACCCGGACCTTGGCCCGACACCACGGCTTCCAAACCTTTGCTGGCGGTGGCGGTTTATTTATGATGGACCTTCTTATCCGTGGATCGCTCGCGCATAGTGATTTAATTAACTCTTCATAGCTCTCTCCTGTCATCTTGTCGTATGAGCCCGCATCTCTTCTCGATTGTTGTGGGTACCTAAGGTAACTAGGTAATCAAGGGAGCAACAGCCAAGTTAGACATGGGCCTATCATTGCGATAAGACGAGACTGTTGGCACCTAACAATTATAAATGGCGTAGCATATATGTGGGCTATCAGCATCGTTGCGAATCACTAACAAGGATATAAGCCGGAAATATATCCCCTTTTCTATTTATACCCCGCAAAGAGCGCTGCAAAGTTACCAACACGTCCAGAATTCCATTAAAGTAAACATCATACTGGCTGCGCTTCTCAAAGGTATCGCTTTATATAGCTCATAAGCAATGTGTTTATCGCACTTAGAGAAAAGTGGAACGATATTATCCCTTAGTAAATGAGAATTAGTGAGCATGAAGTCACTGTTTTGTCGATCACATGCGAAAACAAATATGTACCTAGGTATGTCAAGTCACCAACATTCAGCCTCAGTCTTTAATTGTTACCTCAACAATTATAAACTGAGTCATACACTCAAATTTTCACTTACATTTGATGGAGTAGATTAAACTTGTATTTATATTTACCGTATCCAATGCCTATCCCGTTGATATGCCGCCTACATCAAATCGGCCGAGTGGTGGGGCTACGCCGGTGCCGGCGGGAAATAGTGGGCAGACTAGCCGCAGACAGCCGGCTTACATGGCCCGTCTATCTAAAGGTCCGGATCGGTTATATTACCTCATGAAGGACATAGCCTAATTTTTAGCATATCTCAGATTTATGCAGTGTATCCTCGTATTATAGTAAGAGAAGGATAATAGACCTTGTCCATCCGCAACTAGCCAGCTTCTTCGCGAGTTACACGAATGCCCTAGGCCATGTGTCTACCACGCCCATGGCACTTAATGAACAGGGGAATGCTATGAAAGTGCTCGTGATTGAAAACTTGAGCAACCAAAATATAGAGACTGATACCTAGACGAAATACCAATCAAGGGTTTTTATTACTTGTTTAATACGTTTCCTGCCAAGAAACCTGTCGGCTGTCTGTCCAAACCTCAGGACGTATTCGGCGTCGGGCGTCAAAAATATGTCGAGGATGCCATGTCCGGAAAGCACACTCCCTTCTTAAAAGTGCAGTCAATATACAAGCCGCGTGATATATCCTGAGTAAGCGTCACTTCCTGCATTGTTTCGTTGTATAATCAGCTCCCGGAGATAGATTAGCACTACATGTATATCTCTATGAAATATGTCCCCTAGTTCAATCTCTCTTAATGCGGGTGTTCGTGATTGGCGTGGATACCTAGGTTTAGCTTAGTTTGTTATCGGTGGTTGGCTTTGGTGATAGGTAAGTATACCTACTTTTTATTGACATATTCATGAGTATCTTGTGTTACGGATCGTGATTTAAACGGAAGATCGTGTCTGTGCAAGGTGATACGAGCCTAATAACAACAACACATGAAGAGGATATTGTTATGATGGATTGATGGGTATAAGAATCTAGGAGTTATGTACCATACCGAGAGATTGGCCGGGGGTTCAACCCATCGAAAGGCCATCAGTATGAATTGTGTTACGTATATTTTATTAGACCTCATCCATAGATGAATATTTCAATTGACCATTTCCTATTGTAAGCCTCTCTATGGTTACGCCGCGCTGAACTTGGCGCCAGTAAACGCCTTAAGTAACCTCTACAACTAATGTCGTAGTACAAAGGTAACAGGTACCTACTTCGTAGCATGTATTGCTCAACCTACTGACCAATAATAGAATCTGTTTAGTTGATTTTTCTGCTCTAATACTAGGTAAGAGTAGCACAGGTGGTATGACTCCAGCAAGGAAGAAAAGCCAAGAGCCAGGATAGGATCCGATATGCGGAAGCGGGTGCGAATAATCTTGATCTGAGACTATATTCACTATGCTAAGTCTTCTTACACCCGTATGGACCCCTGGAGACACTCCGAGTTTCGAAGCACGAGAGATACGGTATGTTCCGAGTATAGGCGCTTCTGCGTTAGTTACCACTAGTTCCGAAGCCACGAACGAGTGATATTGAATGTGCTTGAGATAGATCAGCGGTAAGAGTTGTAACGAATTCTGACTCGGGTACTTCCAGCCTTAGGGGAAATTAATCTCTGACGGGTAACTGCAGATGTATTACGCATGGCCAAGCTAACAAGAGATAGGACTCGGATATAATATTTACCAAAATACGAGTAGGTGTATGATGGCATTATATATGAGAAAAGAAAGATCACAGAATTAAAGAAAAACAATGGGATACTTTATATAGATTTTGGCAATATATTTGACAGATGAACGATTAAAAGCATCTAGAAGTGTCAATAGAAGACTAGGGTATACTATAGGGTCACCGGATGCACGCTGCAGTGTTATATGAATGCGATAAGATCGCGTCTAGGGCTCGATCAAATCATCGGACGAATACTACTATTTTTGGCATAACCTGCCTGTTTATCGACGTCACATCTACATTAGCGGATCGGGATATCCGACACGTCATTTTGAATATACTGTATGCAAGATAAGTCCCATACATAAGAGCGCGGGCCGAGATCTGCCTCGCAATGACCTGCACACCCGAGGAAACCCGGCACGACATAGATATCCACGTAGAGATCGCGTCAAAAACTGTAATCCTCGGAGAATCGGCAATGCCCATGAACTACAATATCCGGGGTCTTGGAAGTACAAGCCTCATCGGTAAAATACGTGGCTATCCCGGGTTTGCGGGGAGAACAAGTTGTCAGCTGTGGCCCGGATACCCGCAGGTATATAATACTACATCGGATCAGTAAGCTATCTGTCTATATGTCAGGGTAAATTACGAGGCGTTTACCTAATTTGAAACAACGTTTGATAGAGTTCTATTGATTCCGATGGTCTGGATCTCTAGTAGTGACAAGCGGAAAAGGGGTTGAGGTATGACAGCGGAAGCTTCTATTAGTTCCCTGTTAAGGATCAGGCAACAGGCAGAGAATGTTCCACGTATGGTTAAAAGAAGAGACCCTCGGTTCGCCAAGATTCAAAATCTTGTGTTACGGTCGGGCCTTAAAGTTATGATACAGAGAGTATTACAAGTCCAAACTGTTGAGCATGCCAATACAGGAACTATCATATGATTGGAGGCTGAGTAGATAGAAGGATCAAATCAAATAATAGGATTTCCTTTATTCATTGTTTCTCAAGGGCAACCGGGTAGAGCCATGGCTATGTCCTGTCATCGGACCCTTTCCTACCCGCCGTCCTTATGGCCAGTTCGAAGGCGCCATCCGGTAGGACCAGTGAGAGTGAACGAGGCGGTGAGTCTCTGGGCTTGAAGAAATCCTTGCCCATAACCAAGCTGTTGGATCTTATAATGGCGTAATGGTGGCTTTGAAGGGTTCCATAAATGTTGCCAGAAACACCTTCCATAACCTTGAGGAAAAGGGGTTGGCGATCATCCACTCAGACATACACACGAGAAGACCATAACCAACACAAAACTAACAAACTCAAACAATTCGATAATGGCGCAGAAAGCGGATGACACATACGGATACTATACCGGCGCATATTCTTTCGACGAGGACCGAGCCATATACGGTCTCGGCCCGAACCGTGACATGCCTTCCCTCTGCCCCAACTGTAAAGGCAACCCAAGAGAGTACGTCAAGTCTGCTACTATTAAAATGAATTGAAAGAGGGTTTAACTTATTGATCTAGTCGAATTAATTGTGCTCAGTGTGGCGCCACTGGGATGCTAGGTGTTCCAGGCATCAGCGCAGCTAGCGGCCAGCGAGACAGAAACCACACGACCTCGTCTGGAGGATCCAGCTCAGGACGCGGGAGCTCCAGAGGGGGATCTTCTATATGCCGAGACTCTAAGAGATAGACATACCGGCCGGAGAATTTTAGAAGGACTCAAAGTCACACTACCCACCCTACCGTTACCTCCATCGCTGGAAAATCGGCTGTATCTGTTCCCATAAGCTGGAGAGCTACCTGGAGTTTTCCTTGCTTTGGCTAGTATATGATTTAGAGAGGAATGATTCTGTCTGTTGCTGGGAAGCTATTCGCGACTTAATTAAGGAGACGATGGGTATATGGATGGAACTGGTTTCCACATCCGAGTCTGAGAATACTTTCATATTATCTAACAAATCGATGCTCTTTTATACTGTATTGATGAATTATAGGAGGAAGCACATTTTATCTAATATTTCCTCTAACTAAGCATTTATATTAATGAACTTGTTTAAGGTTCCTCGGTAATCTGATGGGTATTATTGTGACTTTTAGGACTAAAATTGGCCTGACTGGTGTGCTTTGTTAGTTGAGCATTGGCGAATTAACACCTGAGATTGATTTATAGTGACGCTTTGAATAAATGACTATGCTTTTAAACAAGCAACATCACGGTCTGGTATATTCTAAAGAAATTCATGAACCCCTATTTCATTAGGGGTACTTCGTACTTTGTAACTTCCCTATTTATTGCATAAATCAGCTAGCGTTAATTCCTTACCTCCTGAAGTTACATATCTTATCGATAAAGCTAATAATACTGTCAGCATTGACATCAGCTTCCTTCCGCGAACTTATCGTAACCTTTTACACATGATTCGATATCAACTTGGAATAGGATATTTAATTCACCAATCTTGTTATACTTTCGGCTGGCCTATGGCTTTGATGGGCCGCTGCTGAAGCCGTAATGTCTGTTATTCTTTGTACCGGTAGGCCCAATTCCCACCCCACCGCCAATGTTCTGCAGCTCATCTGTCGATTAATATAGCTGGGTACGATCACACAATCAGGTATGCGACTACGGCCTGGCCTGGCCTGGCCAGCAAGATCGAGATCGAGATTGAGATCCCATAATTGCATTGATAACTAACTAACTATCCGTATTCGAAAACATAAAGGTTCTGGGAGGCGTTATCAGGAATCTGCTCGCGAACAATTCAACATCCGGATTCGCAGGTTAATCGACTATGCATCTCGCCGGACAAGCGGTTCCTGGCAGCGGCCGGTCACCATACGGTTAAGCTCTACGATATCAAGTCGACGAATCCGAACCCCCTACTTACCTTCGAAGGCCACACGGGAAACGTGACGGGAGTCGCGTTCCACTGCGAGGGGAAATGGATGGTGACGAGTTCTGAAGACGGCACCGTCAAGATATGGGAGACGCGCTCCGGCACTATCCAGCGCAGCTACAACCACGGTTCTGCGGTGAACGATGTCGTTATACACCCCAATCAGGGCGAGATCATAAGCTGCGACCGGAGCGGAAGCGTCAGGGTTTGGGATCTTGCTGAGAACAACTGCTCTCATCAACTCATTCCCGAGGAAGATGTCTCCGTTTCCAGCGTTACCGTCGCGAGCGATGGATCTCTCCTCTGCGCTGCTAACAATGCCGTATGCCACTCTACTTCTACGCCCCATGTACCCCTACTTTATACCTTATACCTTATACCTTCTCATGCTGATAACACCATATCTAGGGCAACGTCTTCGTCTGGCAACTAATCCAAACCTACGAGCGCACGAATCTCCTCCCCGTAACCCACTTCTCCGCCCATAAAGAGTATATCACGCGAATTCTCCTCTCCCCCGACGTCAAAAAGCTCGCAACCTGCTCGGCAGACCACACGGCCAAGATCTGGGAAGTCACCAACGTGACGGGCACGTCGTCCGACGAGTCCTCTTCGTCATCCCTCTCCAACGCTCCCGCGAACGGCATCAACGGCCACGACAAGCCCAATGGCAGCAGCGGAGACGCCGCGGCCGGAGAGCCTAGACCGTATCCCCTAGAGGCGACGCTCACGGGCCACCAGCGCTGGGTCTGGGATTGCGCGTTTAGCGCGGATTCGGCGTATTTGGTTACGGCGTGCTCGGACCACTACGCGCGGTTGTGGGAGCTGCATAGTCAACAGGTTATTCGCCAGTATAACGGCCACCACCGCGGCGCGGTCTGCGTAGCTCTTAACGATTACTCCGAGGCGCGGTGATTTGTAAGTCGCGTGTCGGCAGATGAATGGGGACGCGTGTCATAGGCGCAGAAATGCCGAAGAGACATACGTAAAGAGAAGGTGGAGGTGGTGGACGTGGTTCTTGGTACGAGCCTGCTTTTCTATATACCTAGGTATCCTCTGGCGTTGGAGTTTTACATGGGGCTCCTGCGGTTGGTTCTGTTATGCAGTTTTATTTTGATTTCTACCTATTCGTGTCTGCTTGGTACGATATAATTCTATTCTGTGACTTGTTTTAAATACCAACGGGATGTTCTGAATCAAGTACCATCAGGCGGTATATGTTAAGAATGGCAGCAGTTGGGCGATTTGGCCACATACATACCTAGGTATGCTGCTTGATCCTCATAGTCCTATCTTCGTGACTTATACCGCTTGGATTTATTTATGTGGGATTGGCGGGTAGGAGCTGGCCTCTGAGCAGCTATGCCTGTGATTTATATATAAGGTAAGGTATTTATTATGTCTATCGCCACTATTGGTATTAGAGCTTAGATTCGGCAATGATCACTTATTGCCTGGTATGCTGGAAAGCAATCAACCCTCGGATATCTAAGTCCGAGCCCATAATCCGTACACCAAAACGCCTTGCAATGTCCTTGCCCTTCCATCTGAACCAAACATTGCTTTTCCTTATCTACATCCTAGCAAAACACTACCACCCGTCTCCCCATCCGTCGTCGTCATCTGTTTCCTTCGGTTTCGTGTCAATCTTCTTCGCCACTACCTTCGCTGCTGGCCTGGATGTGAGGGGCTTCTTGGTGGCAGCGGGGGTAGATGCTTTGCCATTTGTCTTGGTGAGACCTTTCGGAAGGGGCTTGCTCCCGCCACCAGGACCACTCTTCTTTGCCTGTGCCGCTAGCCATCCCGCAAAGTCGGGCTCCGAGCCGTCATCAAACGGCTTTGGTGACGCTGCCGGCTCTTTCTTCGCGGGCTTTGTCGGCTCGCTGGACGCATCGAAAAATGCGTTGCCGTCATCATCCATGTCACCCATATCACCCCAAGCATCGCCTGCGTCATCGTCTACTGGTTCGGGATCCTTGAAATAAGCCTCGGCCGCAGAAGTAGACGTGTTTCGTGACAGAGGCGGGGAGGGCGATGGAGACCTAACAGGCTGGCGGTGAAATGCGGAAGCCGGGACTGTTGTTGGCAGGAAACGTCTGTTAGGGTCGGGATCGGTGTATGTAACCCGGGCATTCATGTATGTCGCAGTTTGCATGTCGCCGGAGGCAGCCGACAACTTGTTGGTAAAGGATGAAATTGCCCACCCGGCCCAAGAAGATGCCTCACTCGGCTGCGGCGTACTCATTCGCGGACCGGCACCTTCGGTTGTCTGAGGCGGTGGTTGGACCGTATCAGGCATACCGTCTGCAGCCTTGCGAACCCTCTGTAAGTAAATTTCCAACGTCTTGTTGGCTTGATCTCGGACAAGTTTTTCCTTGTCGAGTAAGGATGGGCATATGGCCGGTAAAAGTCGTACCGCGCAGTCCTCTTCGGTGAAATATTCACTTGTGGCTGCAAGGGCTAGGAGCGCGGCATTTCGAGCATGTACAAAGGGGTCTCGAAGCGATCGAGTAAATGCAGCGAGTAGAACCTTGGTTCGTGATGAAGCCCCAAGATTCTTGGCGATCTTGCCTAAGCAAATTGTAGTGTTCGTCCGAATACCAGGCTGCTCATCGTTAGCCGTCTTGGCGAGTTGTTTTAGCAATTCGCCGTTGATCGTCCGGTCTGATAGCTTAGATATGACGACGAGAACGGATTTTAGTGTCTGTTCTCGCACCACGGGTGCCACGTCCGCGAAACCAGATACCATGTTTGGGAAAATCTTATCATTGACCACCTTTTGGGATAGTCTGTCAATCATAACCGGTAGATTATCCAAGAGACAAACTCGTATGGCCCTGTCGGGATTGCCGAATAGTCTGACAACAACCGGCTGGACTCGAGATTCAAAATCCTCATTTGATAGCTTTGTAGATATCTTCATGACAACACCGAACGCTTTTGGCCCGCCTCCACCGAATTCAACCGACTTGAGTAGTTCTGGTAATACCTTCATCTTAAAGAACTCCTCTGGAAAATCGTCTGTAAGTTGGTCAAGATCATCTAAGAATTGTTCCTTCTCGGTTTCGGATTTGATACCGAGATTATCTATTCCCTCGGTCAACTTGATTAAAGGTGAGTCGAAGAAACCGCCAGATCGCCGCCCTTGCTCTAGGAATGCTCCCACTGTAATTCTGGCCTTGGGGTTCGCATTGACAAGCCTCTTGTAACCCGCATGCATACTGGGCGGAATATTCTTAGTCTGTCCTGCTTGATCCGCGCCCATGAAATCCCCATTAAACACCTCAAATATAGTAGTGCCAAAGTTATAAGCGTCGACGGCCGAATGGGGGCTCTTCTTGAGCGCATCCCAACCCGAGCGCGCGAGCTCTGGTGGTGTGTATCTTGCGGCATCCGGCACTAGACTTCCGTACTTATATACTACGGCATCGTCATCCTTGACATTACTCAATACCTCGAAACCACCTAGTTTCCATTCGCCACTCTCGGATGTGTATATCGATGCGACCCGGAGGCTGGCATGGACAGAGGAACCCTCGTCGTTAATGAACTTGACGGTGCGCGCAATGCTGTACAAACCCCATTTGATAGTCTCGGGACTTAAGCTCTTTCTCTTAACGTGCCACCTCAGAGGTACTACCCTTTCAGTTGCGATATATATGTAGGAATCTGTCTCGACGGTGTCTAGGACCTTAATAACACCTGGATGCCGCATCGTGCGCAGCTTCTTGACGGCATTCTTCGCGAGGGGGAGTCGCGCTTTATTGGAGGGTATATCGAAAGCAAATATGCTGCAATTGGATCCATCGGCTCGTCTCGTACCATTATACAGTGTCCAGATGGAGGCGTCTATATCAACCTTGTCGCCAAAGGAGTAGGGGAAAGGCGGCCCCTGGGAGATGGCGGAGGCGACAGCGGATTTGAGGAAATCCATAGTACTATTTAATTTATTTCATGCGAAGGAGGAGAAAATAGCAGGCCAATAAGACAGCTGAGGATAAAGGTAACTCGGACGATATGACGGTTCACATGGGTCGTGGATCTAGGATTTGTAAAAGGGTTGGTTGTGAATTAGGTACAAGGAGATGCATGTTAAGTTAACATTGTTAACAATAGATATTTTGGTTAAAGTTATTTTGGTAAAGTGTCCCCTATCTCGATGATGGATGGCGCGCTTAGTGGGTCTGTAGACGGCCCCGCACTAATCCCGACCTAGTTTAGCGTAGCTTGTAGTAGCCGCTATCGCGTCAGGAGCTCAAGTTAAATTTACGTGAAATCTGAAAGACAAAAAAAGACTCCACTCAACATACACCTATGTACCTATATATGAAAGTGGTATAGGAATAGATAATCGTGATTTGATTATGATTATATTTCTCATTCATGAGAATGATTTATTAGGTTAATTAACTATTATACTTATTATTTCGAGGCTATCTTGAATCCTCCTGTCCTCTCATTCCAGAAACCGTCAGGGTCAACTTCAGATTGGACGGTCTGAGCCAACTGCAACTTTTCGGGCCTCAACCTGCCAAAGTAATCCTGTGGGTAGAAACAGTCGTTCATAAAGAGCGGCAGGTACACATCAGATGGGAGTAAGCCACTCTGCTGGTATCCCTCAACAATACTCTGGAAACCACCATATGTAGCGCGCATCGCTATGTCAACCTGATCATAGTCTGACTTGGAAAAGAAGCTGTAGTCCAGCTCGACAATGATACGGTCGTGGTCATCATCTAAATCTAGCATATCCCCACCCTTGGACTTGGCAAGTGTTGCTACTCCTCTTGGCATGGGTTGGAAGGCGATACTAGCAACGAGTCCTGGGACAAATTTGGTCGTGTCGCTAACATTCACCCAGTGGTCGTATATGGCTTGCATGACTTCGGGGCCATCCTCTTCGCTAGGCAATGGAATAGTTTCTGTTCCAATGGTATAGACACTGCCCTTCAGGACGGACCAGTTGTTTCCGCTGAGGAGGTCAGCATATCTCCGTGTCTTGCAGGTGTTGATGTTAGGCCCGATAGCGAGGAAGCTATCGAATACGCCTTGCGGTGGCTCTGGTCCGTTGTAATAAAGGAAAAGGATCCAGATGTCGAGCAGTGTGCTCAGAGTTCTTTCGGACGTTACGATTATGCCAGCCTTCTTGTCGGGGTAGTTTTCGGTAAAATTACGAACCGCAGCTAGGATAGCTGCATTATTCTCGGGTGTGGCATCGAATTCAAGGTTGCCACCCCATACATCGCCCTGAGGGTATGCTTGAAGCAGATACGACGTCACAATTCCGAAGTTATTTCCACCCCCTTTAAGAGCCATCCAGAGGTCGGGATTGTTGGTCTCGCTAGCAGTAACGATTGATGAATTTGCTAACACCACCGTATATTCGAGGATCGAGTTAGAGGCCCAGCCATATTCGGTACTCATAAAGCTCAACCCGTCTAGACTCTGTTAGTATTCTAGTTGCGGTAAAAGGTTCTTCAGTCTCTCTTACTTCCTAGCAGATAACCTCCAACTCCTACATTCCCGATACGACCACCAATGACAGTATAGCCTGTAGCGTCCAGTTGTTCGCCAACTTCATCCCATCGGTTGCCGGGGCCAACCCTGACGGTCTCGGAGTCAGCGTCAAAGATGACCTCGTTAAGCCTCTTAGTCGAAATTAATGGCCCTCCGTCAACACTGGCAAAATAGTTGTTGGGATTATGTCCTCCCGATTTGATGGCGAAGGTCTCGTTGTTTTTGTGGAGAATTGATACGATAGCAGCGACTTCCTCCGACGTTTCCGGCTCGAGGATGCATGTCGGCTTAAGGTCACCGGAAAACGTGGACCAGTATTGAGTCTGCTCCTTGCTGTAGTCCAGCGTTAACGACTTGAGTATATTGATGGAGGTTTGAGCTTCGACCGTCTGGCAAGTGTCTTGGGCAGCAACGGACGTCGCAAAGGCAACAGCCCATATCATGAATCTATTTAGAGTCATGTATGCCATATTGGACCCTATTTCCACCGTGTAGGTACTTGAAGGTGTCGAGGTTTGCCGGAGGCCTGCAGATACGACCGAGACTCCTCGCGACAGCTAAAGCTCTATAGTTAAACGCAGGAACTATAAGACTCTTATCTACGGCTGCCCGGCATTCTTACCCCTCTAGAGCCCCCAGGCTATACTACATTCCGAAGGGTATAGCATGTTAGCGTGTGATAGTCACGAAATTGCAAGCGGCGCTGAAATTGCAAGCAACGTATAGTTGCAGGAATATAGCCAATCTCGCTATTTCTAAATAAGATCCGAATACGATAACTACGTTTTGAATACATACGGGCCCGCACACCCTGGATAGGGGGGACTGTCATAGGTATTCATGGGGCTTCCCTAGGCTCAGGGTGGGTACATCGTGTAGGGGAAGGGATGTATGCATGTAAAGTGAGACCAAGATCCGGGAACGAGCCGTTGCAGTCCCGGGGTTGATGGATCTCGTTTTCGCTCGGAGACTTCGGGGTTATGCAACTAACAGATATCCGATCCGCTCGGGTCGCCAAGATACTTTCTAGCTCACTAGCCCACGAAGCTAGTAACGAGCTGACTTCCAGAATGGTCAAAAACGGGGGGGCTGATCACTATTTTCTGCCGACGCGTGAATTCAGGGCTGCACTCAAACCCCTTGCTTCCCCTTGTCACCATACGTCAGCTGTTCCTACGCCCCGCTGGAAATCGCACGATCCTTTTTGACTTGGGCGCAGAATACAAGCCCAAGCGGAAGTTACCGTCATGTATAATAGAACAAAGCTATTATCACATGATAGGTTTTGACTGCTGCGCGCGGCCAAACTACCGGAAGAAGGAATATATCTCCTCCTTTGCAGCAGAACTGCCGAGCATCGAGCATGATCGGGGAATATATACGGGAAAGGCGGCATACATAGTAACCGCACGTTACATCAAGCAAACCTGACGTCTCCAGAATCTTGGAAAAGGACACTTGAATAAACACGATGAGGTCGCAGAATGGTACTTATTTCGGTATGCACAGATTGGAGTAGGAATTCGTAGCTTATTATTGGATGATGGTCTTGCTACCTCCTTATCGGAGGGCTATAATATGTTCACTTATTATTCTAACAGTTCTAACAGTAGTAATGTAGGCATTTCAAGACTTATTATCTCATTTCACAGTGAAAGCTCCGCAAAGAGTAAGGAACAAAAAGGCAATTATACAACCAATTTATACAACAACAACCGTGCTCACCAGCGAAACGTGTAAGTCGTCTATTTTTAGCTTCACCCGTCTATCCCGAGGTCCAAGTTCTCCTAACCCGCCGTTGGTCTTTCGCTTAAAATAAGCTTAGTTCGGGGAGATACGGGAGATACTTCCCAAGATCCGAAGTCGACCTATCAAATTAAAACTTACGTACTCATCAGCTTGACACTCATGCGCGGATAACCTTTGTACCCTCAGCTGGCTCCAGGATTAGCCATTGGCAGTCTATGTTTTCCTTCGTAAACCTGCTTATGATTTTCTCGGCAATCTGCTCGAAGTTGCTAGTAGCCAACGCTAGTATTGTAGGTCCTGCGCCCGATAGGCACACTCCTAACAACCCTTCTTGAGTGCTTGGCGACATAGACTCGACGATCTCGCCTAACCCGGGGATCAATGTTTGTCTGTACTGCTGATGCAACTTGTCTTGCATGGCGAGATAGATGAGATCCGGATCCGGAGGCGATTGCCCTAAAGCAACAGGCAGCAACGCTATTCTCTGTAGGTTGAAGGTCTGAAATGTGGTCAGTATGTCTATGGGGTGGGTGTCTTAGACAAAGACTTATGACTTACAACATCCTGTCGTGGGTACTCTTTCGGGAGTACCTCTCGTGCCTTGGCTGTAGGTACCTGGAAATTGGGCACAATGGCGATAGCCTTGATCTCCTTGGACCAGGGGAACTTGATATGGTGGCCAATACCGTGCGGCGGTTCCGGCGGTCGCTCGCCCGTGTCAAGACCACCCGCAGGCGCAGGAAGTACTTCACTAAGTGGGATCTCAACACGCGCAACGTCCTCGGGCGTCAACGGCTTTAGGTACGTCCCTACAAATCCACCAAACAGAGCAGCACCCACGTTGTCAGGGTGGCGCTCTAAGGCGAGGCAAAAGTAGGTTAGCTTCCTGCATGCTACAACATTCAACAGCAACCTGAAAGGAGAAGGGCATTCAGGCAGAAGATTAGCACCTGAAAATATCAGGTGTTAAGAGGAAGGCGAGTTATACCGATCATGAGACAGAAGTCAAAAAGCCGATCGTTAGTTAGATGATGCAGGCCTCCAACTTCCTTGCCTAGCATTACGCCTGCAACAACGGCGGCGCCAGAAGAGCCAAGACCACGACCCAATGGGATGGGGTTGACGATGTGCACGTGAGTCTCAACAGGGAACGCTCGCTGGTCATGGCACCGCAGAACATACAATGCAACTCGAGTGATTAGATTTGCGGATGGATCTAGTGGTACATCATCAGAATCTTCGCCTTGACCTTCATACGTGATACGACAGTTAAGCGGCTCTTGAGACGAAGACTTGGTGCGATCGATGGTGACGCGCAGCTCAAGATAGATAGACAAGGCCAGGCCGATAACATCGAAACCGGGTCCGATGTTTGCCGACGAGCACGGCGTCCGAATCGTGAAGGATTCCATGCTCGTTCCGTTTTAAAAGAAGGGATCTGCGTATGAGTGTGATTTCGGGGTACCGAGACGACGAATTGTTCGGCGGACTTTTGAGAAAATGTCCGTGACCTAAAATTAGAATCGTCCGATAAGGTAAAGGGACTTTTGAAAAATAAAGGATTGCAGGATCAATTAGGTAAGTAGGAAGTAGGTAATCTATCCGGAAATATTCAATGTTATTTCATTGAATCTATTCCATAAGAAACTAAACTCAATGAGTCTGGTCTCGCAATCTTATTGCTGACCGAGTTGGAAATTTTCAACTTTGTGCCAAGATTAGCCCCGATGACGGAGCTTGTGGTAGTGTAACCCGGATGGTGGTCCGGCTGGCACAGGGCGATTTCCAAAAGTGCAATTCCGCGATGGATCTACCTACCCACCGTGGGGTAGCTGCCCTAACGAGGCGGCTTGAAGCTTTATGATTGGCTGATATTTGAACGATACCTACCTATGGTATGTACCTTCCATTTCCACGTTATGTACTGCTACTGCTGTACGGATTCGTACTTTAGGTCGTTTATTATTCATTCTTAATTTTTATTCTCACTTTTACATATCCCATCTAATCTAACTCATGTCTAAGGATCAACATATACACAAAAATCATCGTGCAGATCATCGTACTCAGTCTAATACGAAGCACGACTAAATAAATTACCTAATATATGACGGTAGCCTATTGCCAAGGAGTACAAATGAGGAGCCTAAACCCATCCGCCTCTCAACTTACCAGCCGAAAGACTCAGTGTGCAACGTAATGATCTTGGCATCGCCAACAAGAACCTTCTTCTGAGCAGCCGACGCCGCATTTGCTAGATCCGTCCTTAAACTCTCTGGCCCGCAACCTTAGGTCAAGTTAACTGCGTCAGCGTATATCCTAACGGCTCGTCGTTGGGAGTGAGACTTACCAAGAATAAACGACCGTTGCGCCGTAACCAGAGTAGGAAGCAGAGCAGGCAAGTAAGGACGTTGGTTATGCACTTGTCCTAGCTTCGGGCTTACCGTCGTCGTACTATTCTCGTTCGGCTTGCTACTGATTACTCCACTATCGGAGTTTTTATCGGATTCTATGCTTGACGCCGCCGCCGTGCCTGAGTCTGTCACGAAAAAGTCCACTTGGACCAGATCCGTATGAGCAGTGACGAGGGGTTCTAATTCTTCCGTTATCCACTGCATTTGGCTGGCGTATCGAATCATCCACACAAGGTGGATACTCTTGGTCATTGAAGTACCTTCAGTGATGCGCCTAGCCGTATATTGAATCCAAGGAAGACATGCGGAAATTCCACTACCTCCAGCGACGAAAATTAGCGATTCGTATAGCGCGGGTACGTCCTCAATAAGTCCACCGTACGGGCCATCAACATGGACGGAAATAGAACGGCTATGATTTTCCGCATCGTCATGGTTTGTGACGGATTTAAGTAAATCAAGAGTCAGTCCATGATGTGCACGGACATAAAAGATCATGTCTTGGGTTTCTGAATCTACTTTCACTCCCGGAGTATGAGCTTTAGGTAAGTTTGCGATCGTGAAAGGGTGGTTTTGTAGCCACGATAGGTGGGGTACCCGCAGCCAGCAGTGCTGACCAGGTCGCCATTGGAAGTCCAGGGGCGCGAGGACAGTCACCTTCGTCATACCGCCCGGTAATTCTTCAAGCTTTGCTGGGAACCCTTGGAACCAATTTCGGAAGATGCTGAACGTCTGCCACTTGTAGAAGAGGCGCACTAAACACGACGCGAGCCATATTGCAAGCGTCGAATACAGATACACCCACGAGTCCTTCTCCTGCTTCGAATGCCAGAATAGCAGACCGAGATACACTATGTACATGGGTATATGCAGTCGGTAGAAAAAGTTGTAGAACCGGTGGCGAATCCATGGAACGGATAATACGACAATTCCTACAAGTATACCCAGTGGCGGAGTTCCTGTATACTGTTCGGTATTTCGTGTCAGTTTTCACGGCATGCATACGGCAAAGAACCCCAAGGGACGGGAAATCACATACCTCCATACCACCAGGTTTATAATACTGTTTCCGGAGAGCGGCAGGTCCACCCTCTTTCAGGGGTTGGACGATGAATGGCACCGTATGAACAACGCTCAGGAACAGGCACATGTATGATACCCAGCGGTGGAAAATATTCAGCTTCTCGTGGCTGATACCGGTGAGCATCGTGATAAAGTTGACCTTACCGGCAAGGGCAACAATGATGGGTGTCAAAGCCTGCGCCATCAACCCAGTTCGGACAGCTAAAGGAGGAGATCCATAGCCTCGTCGACCTCGATAGTAAGGGTGAATTAGGAAAGTCATTAGGAGGAGGAACAGCGACGTCACGGCAATGAAGACAAACGCTCCGAGGGAAGGAAATCCGAAATAATCTGCCACACGGCCTTTGAGGTGTCGGTAGTTAACCGCGCGGAAGAGAGCGAGTACTTTACGAGCCGGCGTTAATTTTTCAGACCTAGGAACCCCTTTCCGAGCTCTACGATTCCGATTCAAACGATAGGCATAGACAAACATAGCAACGCCAATCGCCGCCAAATAATACCAAGTCGTGTAATGTCCATATTCATACTGGTGATCGTACGACACCGCTGCCTGCGAAGCCTTGTGGGCAGCCGCAAAAGCATCGCAAGCATCGCTATTACACCGCGGGTCAGAAAGAGGAAGGCTAGTGATATTTTCCGAGGTAGGGCTATCGCCCATAGACATGGACATCGACTTTGCCGTCATCTTGATGATCCTTCTGGAGGCGAACGAGCCTACAATGCTGATGAAGGATATAATGAAAGTTCTACGCAATAATATGCTGTGCCTTCTGTGATGACTAGTTCATTTTGTATATGGGTTTGGTTGCTAATCCATGCGGAATCATTTGGGCTGGTGTGGTGCCGGGTAATTAAGGCAAAATATATGTGAGCAAGTATTGGGAACCCAATTACCGTGCGGCCAAACTATTCGTAACACACCACGAAGCTATACTAAATTAAGAGAGATGGAAGAAGACAGCACAGCATCCTTAAGGACGTTAAACTCGGGCTTGACTTACATGGTACACTGGTGACGGCATGGGGCTCACCGTTACGCATACGAATATGCGCGATGGAGTTTAAAGACTTACACAAGACTTAGTAGAAAGCGATATAACCTTATCGACACTGCGAAGAACATAGGCCGGGTATAATACCATTGGAACAGCGAACATCAAGACCCTCAAGGTGTACTATACACTTTGGGTATACATTAAGCAGTAAAAGCGCACTGTGGTAGTCAAAGTTGGATATTTCTTAAACGCCTAAAGGCATACGAGCTACAAACCAACTCAAACGTGCTCACTCCTATTTTAAACCCCTGTCCTTGTCATTCTGCCGGCTCCGCATGGCACGCTCGCTCGAGGCGGCAGCTGAACAACCCGCCTGTCACTATCTAATTAGGCATAAAATTTAGATGGCCCTTGGTTTTATATACGTATTGAAGATGCAATAAAGTATACCAAGCTTTTTTTATGGACGGCTATCCCCCAGGTTCGCTGTTGGGATATATTGCGGATCCAGGTGTCCGGGATTCTTGTCCCGTCCTCTATGCGACGCAACGGGCGACAAGTTAAGATTTCCGTCCAACCTCTGGTAATGTCGGAACTAAACTTTCGCATTGGCTTATAGCGTATACTAATTATAAAGACAGCTGGGTAGATATGTTATTAATGAACGTCGATATATTGTCAATGATTATTGTGACCATGCCATCTTCGCAGAAACAACAATTATCGTAGCGACAACACCTTCGGACTTGATAATGGATATGAGCGCCACTTCGACGGCGGAAGGCAATGCCTGCAAGACATCAATATGCTCACCGTGTTTTAATAATAAATAACCTGAGACTTAATAAGAACAGATGCTTTGGGATTGGTACACTATCGACTCCTGTATCCTCGCGCGCTCATGGCATAATACCACTCCCGGTATGTTCGCCGGGTCTTGCGTCGGCATTGTTCTGTTTACAATGACCTTGGATCTCTTACGCCGCACTGCGAAGGAGTACGATAGATATCTCGTTCGAAAACACGCTTCAGCCGCCATGGCCGCGTCTACGGCTCCTCCTAAAGATGGCAGCGATGAGAGTACGATGGAAAGCCCGACATCTACCCACCAAGGCGCATTGCAAATAAATAGATTCAGGCCAACGATGTGCGAGCAGACGATTAGAGCGTTGTTTCACATGGTCCAGTTTGCGGTGGCGTATTTCATTATGTTGTACGTTCTTGTCCCGTGTCGCGCTCCAGCGGAGAGTTCCGTATTTACACCTGGTGAATCCAAGGATACTTCATGTCCAGACAGCTAACTTAGATGATAGACTCGCAATGTATTATAACGGCTACGTCATCATGTCCATCTTCGTCAGCGCTTATATTGGCGCATTTATCTTCCGCTGGGAACCTTTGGGTGAAGGGTATGCTATTTCATGATTTCTTTCCGAATATTATTACTAATAGGTTCTCTTCGAAGATGTGGTGTGACGAGTACAAGTAAGGAACCGACCGTGTGTTGTGGATAGTGTTACTATTCAGGTCTTTGTGGCACGCTGGTAGGTATATCATTATATCATTTTCGTGATACGGGGGGTTTGCGGGAGTCGTAGGATGAAGATCGGTTGGGTACGGTAATAGAAGGGTAGGTATTTAAGGGGTTTGATAGACTGGAATCATATTTCTTCGTTGTAAAGCGGCTTTACTGTAGGGAATAGTTGGGAATCGCTTAATTTTGGAATAAAAGTCTGTATAATAACACAATTAACCTTTGCAATAAAGATTTAATTATAGGGGTTACTTATGTACAAGTGTTCTTTACCCATATGTTAGTAAGCTATCTCACCTAGTTACTTTTCAAGCTATAGTTGTTTCTTAGGTTGAATAGATATTTGAGTTCCGGTTTAAGAAGCTTGCCTCAGTAGTATCTTCGAATATCTGTGTGAATTAAGGAGAGAACATGTACTTAATACTCACCCAGTGAAGATGAACCTTTATGACAGTTAAGGGGGCATATCCGTTAGGATCCCAGACGATGCCACGAGGATAAAGGATATTTTCAATATGTGTAATAACTAACCTCTACTATCCAAATGTGAAGTTGCTTCTACGATTTTCATACACACGGATTTAGGTTTAGCGATAATAGCTTGACTGTTTCAGTCCAGCCCAAGAAAACGAATTTACCAAAGCACGGGATATGTGGATTAAATTAGTCTACCTATATCCTTCTCAATAGATAACTGATATCCCGAATTGCTCCAGTAATGAAAAAAGCAACGCGTAATGCTGATCTAGAAGTCCCTAGCGAGAGGGATACGACTCTTTCGAGTCAAATCAGGATAGAGCTAACCCAACATCTTTGGCCAAGCAGAGCCTGTCCAAGAGATGTACATAGCCCCAAATGCCAGTTTTCATTTTCCACCGCTCTTATTACTTCTTGAGCAAATCAAGGGCGTCTTTTGCTGCTTGCTTACTAGCATCGGGTGCCTTTGAGGGATCTGAACCGCCGCCAACCAGGGGCGCTGGGTAGTTTGTAGGCTCCTTGATCTTCGGAAAATCTCCTACCACCTGGGATTTATCGTTGCTGGACATTGTGGATATGTTGGAAGGAGTATCACGCTATTGTGAGGTAATGATAGAGATGGTGTTGATGGTGATGGTGATGATGATATATATATCTGTACGTTTCACTAATGGTTTGGTGGATATATATATATATATATGGTGGTGATGGTCGAGGTGATGGTCGAGGTGATGGTCGAGGTGTCTGGCTGATAGAAACCTAATGGCAACGGCTTAGGTTTAAATAGTCTAGCATTCCTATCAAGGCTCCTGGATTGTCACGATATCTTTAAGTAAGGCCCTAGTCACAGCTGCGTATTCACTACAAAGGGTATTCACTACAAAAGGTATGAGTTGCTGTTTTAGATATATCTCACAGGTGTGATAAACCTATACTTAGGTACGTTAAGGTATGTGCTGGTTGAGTCTTAATTTTAGATAAACAGTAGCAACATGAGTCAAGGTGGTGAAACAAATAATACTGAAGTGTTCGTCAGGAAGGCTTGGAGTCCTTCCCCTGAGTAAGTGTAGATACTAGGCTTAGATTGATAACTGTAGAATAAATGACTAGATACACAAGGAGATCCTCCCTTCTTATATTCACTCTACCTTCCATAAATTCTGAGTGAATGATTGAATCATTGATCGCGAATTCATGATCCAATGATCCATTGAATCATTGAATCGTGAATCCCATATTCATCATTCACTGATTCATTTCTTAGCTTCACGTGACATCCACTACGTGAGCCTCTCCTCGCTGTAGGAAGTCCGTAACAACAGGCACAGTGAATAATATAGTAGTGAGTGATCGAGCAAGTGATACAGTTAGGCAAACCGCATCGTAGTTGTATCCCTAAAAACTACGGGTTCCAGGCCATGACCTCCACGTACGGGAATTTCTCGTACCCCTTTCCACTCACGAATGTATAATCCCAAGGTCCCTGCTTGCTGTCCTTTGCCAGCTTGATAAACTCTGCAGCATGGCCGGCACCACTCAAGTCAGTGGTTACGTACGAACCATCAGCGTGCCTCTCGTCGAGATAGTAGAATCTATAGAATGCCTTGTAAGTTATCCGGTCACAAGGTACCTGGTCGGCAGTCTATTGAATTAAAATTAATTCACTTACTTATACGGTTTGCCATCATACTCGACCAGCGCTAGGTTCTGGATCATATGTGCGGTAGCACCTTTTTGAACTGTAATAGAGTTAATAGCGACTCATTGAAATATTCTAAGTAAATAGATCGATATAACTTACCAGCAAAGGTCATGAAGCCCGGAATAGCGGTGGTATTTAAGCCATTACCAACGAACAGAAACGAGCCTCCACTAGGGCCCAGACCAGAAGGGCCAAGTTTCTCGAAGCTCTTAACCGCTTCCCGTGCTGCATAATAAGGGGAAATGGTATTTATATTCAGGCCCTTTTGGAACCCGTCTAGTTCCGTATCAAACGGATTTTCCGGGGGACTGACATGACCAGCGGCAGCTAGGAATATGTCAATATAGGGGCCAACTACGGTAGAGGAAGAGGCGGCGGACTAATATAAATAACAACACTGGGTGCGCCAAGGTCGGTGGTCACTTTCTCAAACAGAGTCGGCACTGTCTCTGGCTTCGAAGCATCAAATGCATAGTACCGATACTTGGAATCAAGCTTCTGAGTCCTAGATGCCACGGCAACCTGGTATCCTGCGGCTGAGAAGGTTTCGGCTGCAGCCTTACCGGTGTTGAGACCGGCCCCGATGATTAGAACAGTTGGCATGGTGAATGTAGAAAAATGTATAGCAAGTACCTAGGTATGGTGTTGTATGAAGATGAGATTCTGGTGAAGTGATCTTTATGAAAAGAATTCATCACGAAGGTTATATATACTATACTTACCGGCCAAATTTGTCGACTGAAACGTCCGTGGCGGGCGGATATGTGATTTAGCGCCACGGCGACTTTGGCCGACCACAGTGACATTTTGCCTATGTGTTACAAATCTCATCGCCCGGCAGACGCCCAAAATATTTCTTGGCAAAACTAAGTTGATTTATGTGTCTAACTACTGACCGATGTAGGTATACCTCCTAAGTTTGTTGAAAACGCTCTCATGCGTATGCTCTAATCCGATACTAATAACTCCGTGAACGCTTACTTCAGCTTGCTACTTTCTTAGCGATGACGATACCTTCTCTGGTTTCTTCTTCGTAGAACACGACATCTTTGACTTCCATGCCCACTTCAGCCAGCAGTTGCTTCCAGTGTGTCTCGGTCCTCGCTTCGGCGTTGAGCATTGCGAGCATCGTCAAGTCTAATTGTGTCTCGTATCTGTGAGCACCGCGATCTGGCAGTATAATCTCGTCAATGAGCAGTAGAGAGTCTTGATCCATAGCATCTCGGACGTAACTGAGGATCGACCGAGAGTATCTGTCAGGCCAGTCTTGACGTGGGGGGACAATTTGTTAGCTGACCGTATACTATAAAAGGGGTACCTCCTAAGGGGCTAGAGACTTACTTCGTAAAACACTTCTGAGATAATACGATGCCGCACCTACGTTAAATAATTAGCTAAGCCATCATATCCCCTAGGAGTGGTTTCTATGAATGATAGGTAACCTACCCTTCACGGGCTGGCCCTCGAGGAAGTTAACACCCAGTTTTTCAATACCAGGTTCAAGTTCCGCGTTGGCTACCACCTCTTCTAGATCCTCTAAGATGATTGTCCCTTTGAGATCTGGTACTCGCTTCTTGAAAGCCTGATTCTCGTATTAGTTCAATTCTAGTTATCTATTGAGATATGTAGACTTGCCTTGCATTGATGACCAATACCGCCGCCGATATCCACGAAGGATACCCCTTTCTCTTCACTAATTCCTTTCCGGGAGGTTACTTTCTTGAACGCGTCGGTGATTTCGTTTATGACCTCTGGGCGATCGAGCCATGTCCTCACGCCTGTCCGGTGGGAACCCATAAAGACGTTGAAATGCTTGCCATTTTCCGGGCGGGTCTTTAACCAGTCGAAGAAGGTAGGTTCCTCGGGGCTCACCCTATTCCCAAGCGCGAAAGCTGTATCGCTTTTTGCATCGGGAGGGTTATATGCGTGAAGCCGGAGAAAGGCGGGAAGATTGACCATAGAAACAAAGCAGTTGTCAACCCTAGGTAGTTAAGTAAGAAGTCAAGATTAGCTGCTTATTGTGGCGTTTGGGTTACATAAATGGAGGGTACGAATAGCTTACATAGATGCGACCCCTGCGCTCTGTCCGGTTCCTGATAGGTTATTGCCAAAATGGCTTGCAGCCCAAAGTCCAATATCAACTTCACGGATCATGCTCAGAGAAGCTAGATATCTTAAGATGCGAGCCAATAATTTCCTATCTGGATTTTTACCCGACTTCTCAGCAAGCTCTTCCGTTGTTAAGGGCCTAGGCGATTGCTTGAGGATATTGAAGATGTTGAGATCTACAGCAATCCGAGCTGTGGGGGTTTCAAGAGCCTTTGGTTAAGATTGTTAGTCACAAGGCGGTATCGGTATTATTGGTATAATCCGCGTGGTTTTAGAAAATAGGAGTAGCTTTATGATTCACGAGGAATAAGCGGGCTCACATTGTATAGAATCCGTTGGCAAGCTTCCTCGGGTGTTTCTAATTCGGGGACGATTTTCTGAATCGCTAGGAGGAGTCTTTTTCGGAGGTGACCCTCTGATAGAATACTTGGGGTTATACTAGAGGGGTCAGAGGCTAACTTCTCAAGGAATACCACAGTTGATTCTAAGGAAGCCGTCATATTGAGCGTGAATCTTTCTTCAGATTTGAGTTATTGTTAGTGAAGACTTTGTAGTCCGTGGCTACCTAAAGGCAAAACGAGGCTATCTCCACTTCTTGGTGCTTTCCTGAATAGATATCCAGAAGTTACGGATGATAGATAACTCCTAAGGGGGTTCTTATAAGGCAGGGACGACATATAAATTATCAATCTTGCTACTACATATCGTCTGATTCCTCGGCACGGCTAATGAGTATACGCACCGGCCGGAATCTCGCGCATTTCGCGCCGATACCTTGATAGAAGTCGTCGGCACCGAGGGTATTTCAAAATGTGCTTAGCCCTCGTGAAAGCCGGGGTAATCAGTAAGCGTTCCATGGTTGGGCATTCCTTGGGAACGGTTCTAGGGGGTTAGTGGGGCCAGAGGAATCGGTAGACTGATCATGACGAGACGCGGCGGCATCCTAACATACAGGTACCTATGCATAAAGGAGCCTCACTACTCGCCGTGGCCGTTTATGCTACCATGCATCTCGCAGTATGGAAAGCACATGTGACAACCTAAGCGAGTGTTGGTTACGTATGGTTATATCAAGGGTACATTCTTACTGCATGGAGCCTTGACAAATTGGCTCACTAAGACGGTAGCTAAATACTGCCAACTGCCGGATATTGCAGGAGAGGATACGGTAGATCCAGTGGGAGGGTTCGCTTTGGCTGGGATTATGTAGATCATCAAATCAAAATTTACAATGTGTACCCAGGTACGAGGTAGGTAGTTACCTCTCATTCAGATATCAAACCCTTTGATAAAACGACAACGATTACCATAACGCGGGTTCTAGTCTATATCTCTAAATAAAGGTATTCTCGAGAACAAACTGACGGTCCTTGTGTAAGTATTTAGAGATGATTACCTATAGCACTATAGCTATAGTATCTATCTTCTGGGTTTGATATGCTTAGGTTAGTTATGGTGAGGTTAGTTATGGTGTAATAGACTTAAACACTTTGGTACGTACCTTTAACTATACACTCCGTCTTGTCGTTTGGTTGCGTTACTCAATATGGTTATCCTTCTTGTAAACACCAGGGTACTCAAACTGGCCCGAAGAAATGAACCGATCCGATGATAAGATTTCTTCAACCGTCCTCAACTTCATTATTAATCTCATTTTATACACCTTGCTTAAGTGACCTTAAAAATACACATTGCTTTCGATATAACTATTAAGTCTTAAGGGTAGGTACCTATCCCAAGTACGTATTACTCTAAGTGAGTGTGAATTGTACCGCTCGACTTTCATTACACCCAAATAGTGGAACAACATGATGAAGAATAAAGCCATGCTTAGTAAAACTTCCCTAATGTATATATCCCTTTACTACAGTTAATACAATATCATCCGTTAGGAGAGTTTGAGTAGACGATTCAAAAGATATAAACTCGAATTAAGTACCCAACGACTAAATAAGAGAGTATCCCTTCCAGGACTAAATTTTCACCATCGCATTTTATATTCTAATGGTGGCATTGAACTGCATCCAACTGCAGTAACCCACCCCACTTAGTTGCCAATTTCGGATGTTCATGGCTCTTAACGCTCCCGTCGCCGAGACTTGAACTTCTCATTCGGTAATACTGTGTGCGTGATCGACGTCCCGTTCGCATTTTATAGTCTAAAATTCTCCGTCTCCCAACCGAATCAGGTCAACTATAGTTGGTAAGCTGTTTCGGCGAAATGCCGGTCTGGGGGCTCGGTCCCGAAGAGTTGCGTTATCGGAAAATTTGCAGGAGGATGACCACATACAGGACTATAAGCCAAGACTGATACTGCACTACGATACCAAATGTACTTGAATCCTCTTCGAGGATCGAAGCGGGAATGCAACGCATATATGCGCCAAGAGTATCGTTAACCTGGTTGCATGTAGAATTTGACGAATGGTTGTACGGTCGTGTGGTTATACATTGGGTACCTAACCCAGATACCTGCAAGCACACGCTCTTAATTCATGCCGCCCTATTATCATATCATGTAAGAATTGCTCCACCAGTCATCTTGACCTGTATATATTAAATGTTAAGCTTCGACATAGGATGCGGTATCATGATTCAAGCTCAGCGTTGTCCCCACAGCAAAGCTGCGATGAACGGAATTATGAACAATAGGTGGTCTTTTTATTATTTAAGTGCGGGGTTTCCCTGATCTACCTACGTAAACAAACGCGTGTTTCAATGCGGTCAACCTGCAAAGGCGGACGTTCTTCCGCGGGCAAACTGTGCCCCGGACATAGGTAGAGGTACCTCTTATTGGATAAGTTCTAAGTAATATTATCAGAACGTAAAACATCTTAACCGCATCTAAAAGTTTCAATTAAATACCTATAAATAGCAAGAACAGTCAATGGCTCCTATCTGACAGTAATATAATATTATATACACAAAACGCTGTTACCAATATTGTAGAGAGAAGAACCTCACTAATACTAGGAGGTAGTTGTCGTTATACTTTTGCCGTCCCGAACTATCAGAGACTATCCACAACGATTATATTTCACGGCGCGTTTAACTAGTTCCGGGCTCCTAAAACGATATACGATCATCATATTCAACAAATTATGGTAGTATTGTATTAGACGATACGCATTTTTGCACCGGAGCTTATTCCTGCTTATATCACGCGCCACGGCGATTGAAGACCTCTGTAAGCCCCTGTAAAAGTCTGATACGCCGATAATCCCCCTCAAGAAGTTAACACGGGACCGAGGGGTAATGGATTAAGAAGCTATAAGAATGTTTTCCGCCGAACTTTGCATTGGGTTTGTGGATCCCAAGCCGAATATCAATCTTACTTACCACCTTTAAGACAGTCACTACGCTTACATTTCAATCCAATATTCATAAAAACGAAAGCTCATTTGTTCCTATATTCCATACGTACTTTTTAGGTAGGCTATTGTCGTGTTCAGCTCCTACTCGTACGGATAGGAGATTGTGTTAGACGTTCCGGTCTAAAGTATTTAGTTCAGCTATATGGTGGTGTATGAACTTGACTATATAAAGGTATCAACGGATTATCAATTGCTTGAGATAGCCACGTGGTAGTAAACTATAACCTAAGCTTAGTGTCAGGATTCTAGATGAGACATCTAGGACAAAGAACATGTATGTATACGAGCTGTGGCTCGCCAGATAGGTTAGAGTTCCTCGCGGAACAACAAAGCTTTTTCCATGCTGTTTGGTTCCACCTCGTGACACTTAGCAAGGCTACCTAACTAACGGATATTATTAATGCCCTCATTCAGGGGTTAGCCAATGGCTCCCTAAGTACAGAATAGCTATTAATATTATATTTACAGATATCAATACCTGGTTTGGTAATATCGATACAGTAACTGAGTGTAATATAGCGATTCTACTAGCCGCTGTTAAAGCTATTAGAATTCTAGTTAAGACATTTAGAATAAGGACACTATTAATATGTATAAGGGTATAAGTGGGTCAGGGATAGTTACAGGGTAGATCTGCTATATAAGGGGCGAGTAGCGCTCTCGTAAAACGGTAGAAAGGCAGGCGTCACTGGTTCACCACTATCTACCATGACCTTCACTTTGTATATGACAATAATCAAGGGTATAAACCGTGACAGCTTTATAGTATAACAATCAGCGGGACTAAGGCCTGGTGCATTTTGTATAAGAATCCCCATGTTGTTAGCCTTTTCGTTTGCCAGGAATTTCATTAAAACCGAAACTACATCATATAAGGTGAGTAGGATAACTATACCTCAAAGCGAGCTTACTACAAGCAAACCGAGCCTTAAATAACTACATTCGTTGCGGATAACGGCTGCGAAAGTGGCTTGGTTAACAGAAACTTTTCATGAACGAAGGAGAAAACCTGAATTTTGTCACATATAAGGCGTAATTGCTAGTTATGAATTACGGCGTCGTTTTTGCGATAATATGATTACACAAAACTTTCATTGTAATAGACTTAAGTTCTTAGCTTTTGAAAGCTTCTGTCTCTCAGGGGTCAAATTATTCGTCAAAGTGTTGACCCCTATTTATGTCCCTAAGACATACGGTCGGCTTTATTGGTCAAGTAATCTAAATCTACTGTGCGAGAACTGATAGCTGTATATGTGGGTAGTACGAAGCCTCTGTGAGACATGGCGTAGTGTTGGGCGCGTACGATAAACTCTTAGATTTAGCAGCTTAAGGGCTCCAAAAAGCGGTCAGCTTTAAGATCTGTTCAGATCTAATAGATTTCGCATATTATAGCATCTTCTTATTATATTGCTATTCTATAGAAAGCTATTCGATATTGAAACTGAAGTATCAGTGGCTTATACCTACTTATAATTGTTACATACAACCGTCATATACCCATGCCTAAGCAAGAATTCTATGAGATTTACCCCTCAGGGTGGGAATCTGACCCTTTGGATGAGCGCTTTAAGCTATCCACGCTAGACTATGTCAGTGCCCAAGTTTTCACTGCCTACGCAGTTTTCTTCAAGCTCGCAGATGTCAATAAACCTAAGGCCATCTCCACACTTAAACGTGGCCTTGAAGTCACGTTGAGCCAATGTCGTCAGCTATGTGGCGTGATCGAAGAACATCCTGACGGTGGGCTTTGTTTCCACAAGAAACGGGATAGTACGGTACAATTCCACGTTCAGTGGCTTGACGACCCCGAGGATAATTCTAAATACCCTTCCTTCGATGAGCTCGAGAAGCGACACTTCGTTTCTCAGGCACTGGGCGACATGAAAACCTGGTGTGTGGATCCAATGACATATGGCGAGAAGCCTGAGGTAACGTGACCCTTCTCTGTAGACCTTTCTTTATAAATTGGCATACTACTTCTTAGTTTATAGTTTGCTCACAGTCGGTAACTCTAGGCCCAGCCGAAAAACCACCCCAAGGTAGCTGCATTCAAGGCAAACTTCATCCCAGGTGGCTTGGTACTAGTTATGCATCACCACCATTACGCCAATGATGTTATGGGATGGGCCGGGGAACTGCACCAACTTGCCGAGAACTGCGCGGCCCTTTGGAAATCGCAAGAAACCCCAAAGCTCCCGCCATGGGATTCGGCATGCCTTGACCTTTCGAGAGTTACTAAACCTGACCCGCCAGAAGATCAGCGCATCAACGGACCCACGACTCCTCCCTTGCGGCATCCTGACCATAGGGCGGGACAGTGGCTACTCTTTCACCTCCCAAAGAGCAAGTCGGAAGAGTTGAAGAAATTAGCAAGTCCAGAAGACAATAGTTATTGGATCTCGAGCTATGATGCCTATATGGCCTATATCTGGCGCATGTTGTCTAAACATAGGGCTAAGTTATTTAAGGCGGACCCTAAACAAAAGCTCGAATGGGGTGAAGCTGTTGATATGCGTAGGAGGTTCCATGATCCACCAGTGCCGGAACGAATTCAGGGGAATATAGTTTTGGGAACATCAAGCGATCGGAGCCCTATCCCACGTCTTACTACAGAAGAGGTCATATCTGAGGCACCCCTTTCGAAGCTGGCTTGGTAATTCTAATTTTTCGTCTATATTTATCTGACATATTCCTCTCTGGAAATAAAAGAACCCCGCTAATGCTAGCACGCTTCCCTCCAGGTATATACGCCAACTCACCAACAGCATTACTCAAGATAGCTTAGACGTTATGCTCACGACCATCGCACCGATCCGCGACAAAACTTCGTTGTTCTATCGCGTCGATAGCTTGCCGCCGATGAGTAACTTCACGAGCGATTGGAGAAGGACGAATGTTCCCGACGCGGACTTTGGTTTTGCCAAGCCGCATGTTTTCCGCTTCCCCTTCGACACTGTCACAGCTGGTCTGTCAATTGTACAACCAGTAAGGACGGTGGACCCCCCCTCTGGGGAGGATGAAGGAAACGAGTTCTTGGTCAGCTTCGAAAAGGAAATATCCAAGGATTTAATTGAAGACCCCGAATGGAATAAGTATTTTGAGTTCAGGGGCGTTGAGTACCAAGAGAGTGGATAAAATCAGGGCCATCGCCAGGGTCCTGATCGGATATATCTATGCCTCAGGTAGAGCATATTCACGTCTAGGGGTAATTAAACTGTGTATCCTTTATTATGATCTAAGGCAATCATACTTTATATTTTTCATAACATGAAGTTAACTTCTATTGTGGTATCTCCATCGCAATTCACCCCTATTTCGTAAATGTAACCGACCATAGTGCCAATATATAAGTTCAATGCTGATACTTATATTCCGGTACCCTATCTGAGAAGTCAACTGGTTCCGTAACCGTATCCTCCCGAATCTGCCCCTTAAGTGACTCGCGATTATAGTAGATGTGCCTGAGGACCCACCACAAACAGAACGAAATACATATCGCACCAAGACTCCATGCGTGGCCCAGAGTAAAAGCCGGAGCCATCGTCTGTGGGTATATCTGACCCGAGATGATTCCACCTAGATTTCCTAAAGCCAAAGCAAGTCCAACTGAGGCGGCTCGCTTACCATCTGGTGCGGTATTGGTGGAGAGCCAAGCTACATTTGCACCGCCCATAGTCCATGCGCAAGTTGCGATGAGGAAGCATGCGAAATACTTGACCCCGACGGAAAGATGGCTACCGCCAAGAAGCATAGAATACCCTACCGCTCCAAGCGGTGCGCAAATGATACACGCTAGAAACCGCCTCGAGAAACGATCGGACAAGTATCCGCATACACCATAGACGACGGAGCCCCAAGCAAAGACGGGGATGCTGAGGTACTGAGACTGTTCGACACTGAAATTGAAGCCAAACCGCAGGATAATTGGCAGGAAGACGCTAAAACCGTATAATATCGTGAGACACATAACCTGGATGATGGCATGTACCCAAGTCTTCACGTCCTTGAGAGCCATCATAAACTCGATACGGGTGTAGTGTCCTTTTCCTCCGCTATATGCTTCGGTGATTTCCGCTCGCTTTCGCATCACAGCTCGGTCGTCCTCGTTAAGGAAGTATGCTGTGGTATAAGATGATGGGATAATGAAGTAGCAAACGGCGGCAACAGCGACGGTTACTGAGCCTTCGATGATATATAACCTGGCAATTCATCTTTAGTATAAGACCACACGTTTAATTCAATTATGGCTTACCATCTCCATCCCGGATATCCAGCTGCTCCATTCATGAATAAAATGCCGTAGGCGATCAACCCACTGAACGCACTCGAAATAGCCGAAGCGACTGGACATACATATTAGCTTACGCACTGCTAACTGAAGAATATCTTTACTCTAGTGACAACATACTAAAGAGATAGCTGATTCTTAATCCGATTTCGTCTCTCTTGTACCAATTTGCCAACATAAGAGTCAAGCTGGGCATCAAGAATCCTTCGAACATTCCCATCAACAAGCGGCACGCAACGAGATCCCCGAAATTCTTGGCGAACCCATTTCCCAAGCAGCAAAGTCCCCAGCACGCCGCAGCGGCCGGGATTACGCGATTGAAGCCCACACGTTTCACGATCAGCGCGGCTGGGAACTCGGACAGAATGTATAGCGGGTAAAATAGCGATACGGCAGTATTAAGCTGCGTGCCCACAAGATTCAGGTCGGCAATCATGCCCTGCGTCGCAGCAAATCCAATGTTGCCTCTATCCAAGAAAGATATAAGTTGCAGTACGACGAGGATCGGACAGACGTAAAGGTCGAGCTTCGCGACGACACGAGCCTCGCGCTTCTTGAATTCGGCATCCTCAGCAAGCGTCGCCGTTTCGACCTCTCGAGCCTGCGAACCAAGCTCCGGCTTCGCGGGCAGATCCTCGGACTCGCGGTGGACACTCATGGTGTAGAATTTCGATAATTGATGGACTTGACGGAGAACCGTTGACGGAGTTAATTTTCGACATAAAGGGAATACTTCGCTATATACCATACGTAAAAGGAATCAAGCTACCCCGACGTCCCATCTTGTCCGGTCGGCAGTAAATTTTATTCCATAGTCTGTCGGCATTTCCCCAATCCAACCTTCGCGGCGCACCAAGGTTGTATATACGACCCAATGTCTATGCCCCTGAAACTCGCTAAAAGCGACGATTTTAACATTCTAATAAAACTTACGTGTAGACGATAAGACGCGGCGATGTGTTCTATCTACCTGTTTTCCAAAACTATTTCCAATTAACATGATATTATCCTATTAGTTTGCACAGATAGGTCATGTTATTTATCGCCGAGGGACAGCAATATGGCGTTGTCTCCTATTCATGAAGCATCAAACCCGTCTAGCTACGAATCCCGACCCCGCAGACAAGCCAAGGCGCTTCCCCCAACGTTATGATATCCAAGCGATGCCAATAGGGACTAGTTCCTGGGTTCCCCATGCTTGGCAGTATAACGAGCTAGGTTAGGCAGCTGAACTTGAGTCCCCACGGGGATGGTAATCATGCCTACCACTAACTATTGTTCGTCCTAGGATACGATCTACAGATTCAAACACCCTCCCCATATCCCCATATCTGAGGGACCTCATGCCATATACGGGGCTAAGAAATACCACAAATGCAGCCTCTAGATGTAAACGTTTTTCATTCGGATATCTAAACGATTGACATTAGAGCGAGTGCCTCTTCTCTTAGCGCTATCAGCTCTCGCAATGCTTCATTAAAACCAAAACCCAACCCAACAGTGCAGGCCGATCGCATCAAGCCACCATACCAAATTCATGTAGTTAATATCGAAACCGCCATCGCCCTCTTTATAGGTTCTGTTTGGCGAATTCGTAAAACTTTTTTGCGTCTAGTTTTATATCGGAAAGCGTCAGTATCATTTGGTTGAGTACCACAGTCCATTTGTCACCCTTCTCAATTGGTGGCAGGTCACTGAATGCAGATGCGGCTCTTATAAGTGCTTCTTCGGTATGAAATAGCTCAAATACAAGATTCCGGATAGACTGTCGAGCGCTTTCGTACTTGGCCTCTTTAGAGGTAGTCTTTATATTTCTGCTCTTTTGCGAAGCTAGTGGGGCTCGTGAACTCGAATCTGATGTCTCACTCATGTACGTCGACGTTGAATCCTCACAAGTTGCATTTTTTGGATTACCCTTGTGAACCTCCCGTTGAGGCATTTTTATAAAGGGGTGCTTTGGCTGTGTAAATTTGATATCCTCTAATGTTACACTTGATTCATTCGAATCATCACTTGACCTAGAAGAATTAAATATTTCAGCAACATGAGTAGAAATAGCAATATATAACCAACTAACTCTGTATCAGATTCAAATAGCCCATCCTCTTTCATTTTATCGGCGGTTCTCTTCAGTTTTCTCATAACCTTTTCCTTGATCAAGCTGTAGACACTCTCTCCATATTTAGTTCTTATATCATCATACCCGTGAAGATCAAGCTCGAAAAGCAACGGTTCGATATCGACGTCTTTGTAATCAGGGCCGATAGCCTTCAAGAATTTTATGAAGACACTATTCTGGCGATTATCCCACGAGAACCGTACACTCGAAACTAAATTTACGGCTTTTGTCGTTCCCCACACGAGTGAATAAGGTGTACGAACCGAAGCAATATTTGGTTTCCCGAAAGGGAAGGCATCGGGGCATGGCATGATTATAGGTTTCCTTCCGTTGGAATTTTTTCAATGGGAGTATTCGGGTTTGATAAATATGATGATGATAAGTATTAAATTTCCTGGTATTGAAAAATTGAGAAGGTAACCCCTTTTATACCGAAACCAGACCCGAATAAGTGACTTAGAAATGACATTATAGAATACGCAAGATAATCTATCTGTTAATATTTCTTGTCGTTAGTTCTAGAACTGATATGGACGAATTATAAGACTCTTCTCAATAGCAAGGCATAGAAACAAGCCATTATACGAGCAGTCACGTTTGGATCTAGGCAAGCTATGCTAAAACCTACTATCATAAACAAAGACCAGAAATATTCATAGAATAATTTAAAAATTACTATACATACCTAAGTTAGTCGCCTCCGGAACCAAAGCTGTTTTCAAGACTTTTCTTTCTAGAATGTGATAACTACAAGACAACGACTTAATAGAACCTGCATGTAAATAACCAATCTAGGTGTCTATGGAGGTGGACTAGCTTGATAAATGCATATAATTGTTTAGAGGAAGAACGAGTAAAGATGGCCAATCAAAGAAGTCAAAATGAGAGCTGATTAATGAGTCTTACGGGAGACCGTGCGTGCTGTAAGAGAACAGAACGAATAAGAATAATAGAAGCCTAGAATAAATGATCCACATTCATTTTATCCCCCCCCCATGTTTCAGTCTTCTTTCAGCTTTCTTACGTAGATGTTCAAGTTACAACTACAATGACAACCCAAGGCTACCATTGGCTGTTATCCAAAGATCTAAGCCCTACCTAAGTCCTAAGTTATCAAATCAAACTATCAAACCCCAGATGGCACCCCGCGCAATTAGATCCAAGGTAAAATCGGGTTGTCAAACCTGCAAGTGAGTTCCAATAGTTTCAAATCAAGCCATTTACTATGTAATTACCTACTTAGCCGCGTTGTTAACTCTATCGAAGAACTCGAAAAGTCAAATGCGACGAAGGCAAACCCGTATGTTTCCGATGTTATTCTACAGGTCGCGTCTGCGAAGGCTACGGAGTATGGGGCGGAGGTGGTAATCATTACGGCCGCCGTCCCATCGGCTCTGGTCGCAAAAGCTTGACGTGCTTCTACACGCCAACGCTGGTAAAAGCGGTGAACAAAGAGGAGACCCGGTATCTCGAGTGGTTTACATACCGAAGTGTCTTGAAGCTTCCCGGGGTTTTCAGTTTTGAATTCTGGGACAAGCTCATATTCCAAGCCGCTTCAAGCGAGCCAGCCGTCTTGCATTCTATCCTCGCCCTGAGCTCGGCCCATAGGACGGAAGGACTTTGTTTCGATACCTCGCTAGACGTCGCTCCGGATAAGCAGGAACATTTTACGTTGGAACACTATACCAAAGCAATAACCCATCTCCAGCCACATTTCACCTCTAGAAGCAACCAGTCAATTCGTGTTGCACTCATTACATGTCTCATGTTCGTCGTAATGGAATATCTCCGAGGTCATTTCAAGACTGGCTACAATCATCTCCAAAACGGGTTGAAACTTCTAAACGAATTTCAAGCCCGCTCAAGCGCAATAGATAGTTACAGTCTGTTCCAGGAACCGTGTTGCGATTCGGCAGATGCCTGGATCATCCAAGCCTTCATTAGGCTTGACGTGCAGGCAAAGTTCCAGAGTAAAGGGTCACAGTTCTTGAACATTACCCAGGAGGATTGCTCGTCGGATATTCCGGCCACCCCGCTGAAATTCCAATCTCCCAATCAAGCAAGACAGCATCTTGACCGAATACTCAGTCAGATATTCTATTTAAGCCACGAATGTCGTCACCAGGTGCGGCCTTTGGATAAATTAGACCCGCAGAGTCTTCCTTCTAGACAGCAGCGCCTCAGAGCCAAGCTTGATTCGTGGTATGACGCATTTAAAGAATCCAAGGCAAGCCTCGTACCAAGTAAAATCGGACACAGTACCGTAGCCTACATAATCTTACGAATATATTATATGATCGCCGAGATCATGGTCGATACTTGTATCCGGCCGGAAGACCAGATGAGATACGATACGCATACGAAATCATTTAAGATCATCATGGACCAGCTCAATTACATCCGGAGTCTTTCGCTCTCCCCACCATTAGCCACAGTATTTCATTTTTCGGATACGTCCAGCTCGATAACCGATCTAGGCGCTATCCCCGCGCTTTATTATATAGCTCTCAAATGCCGGGTACGCAGTATTAGGCGCGACACCATCGGTTTCTTACTCACGACAACTCATAAGGAAGGGATCTGGTGTTCGCACCTAGCAGCACGAATAATAGAAGAAGTGATAAATATTGAAGAGGGCGACTTCTACGCTGATTCTAATACGGCTAAAGCAGTACTTCCCGAGTCGCATCGACTACACGATATCGAAGTACAACTACCTGACGGCTATGATGGAACGGCCGTACTTCAGTGTAAACGGAGATTCGACGATTCTAACTGGGAGGTGATTACTAGAGAACTCGTATACGATACGAAGACTCAACGCTGGGTAAGTAAATTTGAAAGATGATGAAATTCAATTGCTGGCCAATGAAAATATTTATTTTTCCATTTATCCGGGATAGATATGGGCTCGGTGGACTTGTGATATGTTATATCAATGCGACCCAAAGCCACAACCCAGTTTATATTCGTGCTTTATTTATGCGCTTCTCGACCATGTGACAACCTATCCTAATCCTCTTCATCATAATACCCTTCCCGCATGGCAACTCTCCACCGGGTGTCTTGCTTAAAGAGGTCTACCCCTCATTTCTCGACCAAGCAAGTTTCCGAATACAAACAGCTTTCATAATGACTACGATCGATTCAACCTCAGTCGCCCGAGGTTAGATCACGGCCACGCAATCATACTTGCCTATATTAGACGCATTCCTCATTGACACACGATAATGTTACGAGCGATGGGTACCTACGGGCCAGATCTAGACCACGAACGCGGCAGTCGTCCAGATTTGGTTACCTCCGGAACCTCCCGTTCCATCGCGCGCGGTACACAACCTAAGAAGCTTCTTCAATGGTCTTGGTCTAAGTCTCTACATGACCCCTGCCGCAAATCACTTTAGTTTGGTAACCAATTAGGGGCAATGAACCGACAAGCTATCACTCATGGTGTCATTTTCTTATATCAAGCCGTTATTATAGGCTCTATTATAGAGCAGTTTGTCAGCGTACGAACACATGCGCCATGCGCCGAGAGGGGCAATACGCAAGATTAAGTTGACGGATCTCGCCGTTATTAAAGGCACGGGAGGGTATCAGCGGTAGAAAATCAAGGAAAGATGCTACCATGTTCGTGGGTTTTGACACATGCAAAATGGTGCGAGTCTTAAGCGAATGCCCCCGACATGATGCCCTACCATCAAGTGATCTTATAAGGTAGGTCCACCTGATTAGCAATCGCTTATGTACCTGTTATAGCATTAGAGTATTAATATCAGCTGTGGAAGCGAACGTATGGCTCGCGGCAACACAACGGGGGCACAACGGGGGCGGCTTTACTATTTCGAGTAAGTCTTTGACAGCTATCATGATCTAGAACAGACTCCATCTAAGTATATATGAGCGTATGGATGACTTGATTATTCATTGACGAGCTTCCCCTCCTCACACTCTAGTTAGTAAATATCCTTAGCATCGCTAAACAACCATGAAATTCACAGTTTACGCAGCTTTCTGCGCTCTCGTCGCTACCACCGCGGCTGTCTCGCAAGACATCTCTGGCTCGGGGCAGATTTACGTCATTAACAGCACCAGCTTCCAGAATGCCTCTCCCGCCGATAGTATCGGGTGTCTAAACGTGAGGGGGGGCTTCTCCGAGTCGGACTGCGCGACCTTCACCAGGCTCGACACTTATCCCAATACTCTTTCTACTAGCGCCGGCAACTGCACGTTCAGAGACTCTACGCAGCCGGCCAACACGGACAGCGTGTACGGCTCGAGTTCATACTCCTACACTTGTCGGGAAGACTACCAAGCCTCATCTGCGGATTCTCTGTATACCATAAATGTTCGTTATACCCCTACTATGTATCCCACACGCTTAACACGCACACTAACGTTACTAGGGATTCAACTACCCATTCCTGTGCCACGGGGATATTAACTGCTTCTATGACGTCAAGACTATCCCTAGAGATAATACCTCTGTCTCACCCGTCTGGGAGTATGTATGGGGATCTCAGCAGACGGGGATTCCCAAGGGACATACTCAAGTGATGTGGTACTGGAAGAAGATTTAGTCCGGAGTCCTTACTACGTCGGGCAGTTTAAATTGGTAGCCAAGAAATACGAGGATTACATCATGCAGCTATCCTGGATATTTAACTCGGAGTCGGGTTAGGAATTGACTTCTTTTTTAAGATGGTGTTGAGTTGGCAAAAGCGTGTGTTTAATGGCCTCGTCTTCCTTTTAATGGTGAATCGTTCACAAACATCTTAGCCGCATTCTATCTTGATTTTCAGACTACATTCACTTTACGAGTTGACACTCCGTAATAGCAGTAAGAAACCAGATAGAATAGTTAAAGCATATTTGTCGCACAATATAAGGCGTAATTGCTTGTTAGCGATTACGGCGTCGTTTTTTAGCTTCGACAATATTGAATTTGAAGGTATCTATAAGATTTCATGAAACTACAGGTACCTAGCTTTAAAAGTACAGGTTTACAGGTCAGACTCCTAGATTGCCTGGCCCTTGGCTTAGGTACCTAGTTTTCACTTATGTTAGAATCTCCAATGATAAGAGCACCTCATTGTCACCCCGAATTGTCATGGACGTAGAGTATATAGAGTGTAATTCATTACTAGCACATTCGAAGATAAGTATTCGATACTCATCCTATTAACCCTTACTTAACTACCTAGCGAATAACCCCCTCATCCTCAGTTCAACTTCGACTCATCTTATCTCATCTCCTCTCTCAACTTCCCCTCGGAATCCTAAAAATCGGATACTCATCCCCCACCTGCACCGGCACAAGATTAAACCGCACATACGAATCAACATTCTCCGGCTCGAGCGCAACAAACGCCAGCGCGGCGTTCTTCTGCCTGGTACTAACCCTGAAGCTTCCCGGCGGAAGCACAAGCTCCCCCTTCGGCACGGGCTTCGTCGCCACCGTGACTTGTACCGCGCCCTCGTAGTACCCCCTTGCGACTGATGCCGATGTGATCGTGAGCGCTTCGGCCGGGCCGCGGTATCCATCTTTTAGGGTCTCGACGGCGACGCCGGAGTCGCGTAGGCGGGATGCTAGTTCGGACCATGTCCGTGGGATTAGGTATGCTTCGGGACGGGCGCGTGTTTGGTTTGCGGTTGTGGGTGTTGTGCTGAGGAAAGTCACGGGGACTTGAGTGAGCTGCCCGTTGGTGCGGTTGATGAATGTGATGTTACGGTTCGTCGGGTTAGGGTAGTCTGTTAGTACGATAGGATCATCGCTATGGATGAACTTGTCAATGGCACTCTCGACCTGTCAACACCAGTTAGTGTCGAGATTACCTCGATTTGCCCCTGAATATACTTCAACTTTAACAACTATTGGAAAAAGAAAACTCACCGTCTGATAAACCTCCTCGAAATTCTCCACCGCAATATCCAAAATCCCCCCAACCATACTCAGCGCCGTAGCAACCCTCCTCTGAAAATGCTGATCCGCAAGCCTAATCCCCCTGACTTCGCACAGAATCGTCACGCTCTGCGCCAGCGCGTAATTATTCCTCCCGCTCTTCGCATCGCTCCCCGCCTCGTCGAGCACGATATCCGATCCCGCGGACGCCCCCGTGAAATACGGTTCCCAACGGAATCCCTTCTGCACCAGACGCTTCCCGACGCCTGCCGAGAAGAGCACCTCCGAGATGTTCCGAATGTCGGGGTGAGTGTTGAGATTCTTACCCGCGGCGATCAGCGCGTCCATCCCGTGCTTGTATATCCCGCCGCTGCCGGAGGGTCGGGTCCCCGTGAACTCGTGCATGTCGACCGTGATGTGCGGCGCAAAGGAACTAAGGAGACGTTTATGCCCCCTGGATATTTCTCGGAAAAGCTTCGTATGCTCGCGATTCGGATCCAAGTTGCTTGCCAGAGCGCGCTGGAAGTATGCAACTCCGTCTGGGTTATACCGAGGTAGTAATGTGATATCCAGACGCTCAAGCAGGCGTTCCCTCCAGCTGTCATCTGCGTCCAGCTTACCCAGTAACGCAAGTACTGCTTGGTCTCCCGCAGGCTCATTTCCATGCACACCACCCTGAATCCAGACTCGGAGTTTTGGCTGCTTAGTTCCCTGCGAGGATGGACTTGAGAGGACCACGTAGGGGAACGCACGCCCTTCCTCGGAGGTGAAGTCTGCAACCTTATATTGCACCCAGTCATTCCGCTCCGCTATCGAGCGAAGAAATAGGTCTACTTGTTCGTTGGTATAAGTAACGGTTATATGGGAAATATGCGAACGCCTATAAAGGCTTCTGTCCTTACGTACCAAGTGTCGCATCATCAGTCGGGCCATCTGTACCATTAGCGAACCCCGGCAAGACGCTCCCTGGGTCCGCAAAGGCCGGTGAGAACAGCGTCTCGTTAGTGTTAGGAAAATTTGCTGCTACAAGTTCCTCATCTTTCTCGACCGGGGCGTGGTTCTCGCCGTAGTTGACTGCAGCAACGAAAGGACTACATAAAAACAAGAGCGTCTGGAACAGTGTCCGGCGCTTGGGCGCCAAAAGACTCATTTAAATGAGCGTTTATAGTGCTTAGAGAGTAAGTCTTTCAATTAACAACACGTGAAATCGCCTGGTTAACGCAGGATACGAGCCAATGATTCATACCGATGGGTGGTTAAGAGTAGTTAGCAAGCCTATGCCTTTCAAACTCACATACCAGCTATATCATTTCAAAAAGTAAATGCTATTTTATATGCAAGTGCGTGACCACTCATAGACTCATAGGATAGCGCCCGTCCCGCCATTCTGTGCCTGTAATGGCGTCAGGTACCATGCGGATAGAGTTATAATTCAGCATAGCGCAAGTGAAAACACATCCTATAACGTAGTATCGATTGACATAGAATAGTGATGCCAAGGAAACGTAGTAATTCTCCTGGCTCAGTAAGGCAGGTCAAGTATTCTCATGTGGGGGATGGGAGGGGAAGCCTCAAAAGTGCAACAACAGTATTCTTTAGTCCTTATTTTCAGCACTCATAATAGAGACAGCCCCAAATGGAAATCTAGCTAAGCTAATAGAACCCGACTTGTTAACTTTAAATACTAAAACGAGACCCTGTCCTCACTTGTTGCTAAACTCCTCATATGCATTCACAATTACCGCCTCATAAACCATGCTTCGTCTCCCCGAGCCTTATTCATATTATCACCGCCGTTATACGTTATCATCAATCTGTTATATCACAACCGCGGGATGAACGTCATTTACACAATACCATGCACGTAACACATCCAGGAGGCAGCAAGGTCCATCGTGAACCTTGCTACTGCATTGACTTTTCGTTATGTAAACCACCCCTCTTTCCACGCCGATACCTCTATGCAGATATTTCCCTAAGACCGTAGAACAAACAGAAACTAGAAAAAAAAAAAAGAAAAAGAAAAAACCACCGTAGAAGCAGAACCCCTTAAAATGCTCCCCGAGATGCAAAGGCTTCTTTCTTTCCTTCTATAAAAGTAGAAGAAACAAATGCGATATTTTCATCATTTCCATAAACCTCGTATACGGCTCTTCGTTAGACTTCGACGGGCTGGTATTGACCCGTATAAAGCCACTTATGTACTTTTAAGTATCTAAGTCATCAATTGATGAGGCGATATTATGCGCTCTATTTCTGCTTCCCCTCACTCGGCGCCCGGCTTCTCTTTGGTCTTCCTGACCCAGACACAGATGAGGAAGTTGAAGAAACGCTTCCCGTGCGCATACCATTAGATTCCGGCGGCGAAGCCCTCCTTGTAGATCGAGTAAAGTCATCTGTAGTGCTTCCAATATTTTCTTTGTTCGATATAATGCCTTCGCTCCGAGAACCGATTCCAGAAGCGCTAAGGCTAGGCCGTGGCGCGTACAAGCCCGCGTTTCTTGGCAATCTACTCTTGCCACCGGAAGAACCACTACCAGCTTGAATATCACTCAGTCTACGAGGAGAACTGATAGGGATACCCGAAATGCCGTCTTTGCTCCTAGGACGGTATGCAAGAGGATCACGTTCTTGAGCTAGTGATACACCCGAGCGCTTAGGACTCGATGCTACTTCGATAAATGCGCTGGATTGGGACTGACGAGACGCATGTGTTGGTGTAAGCGGTACCGAGGAAGAGGAATGGAGGGATGGAGGCGTATATATGCGCCTCCCAGACCGTACACGATTTGATCCGGTTGATGCTGTTGAGGCAGATAGGGGTGGCGCGAGTTGATCCGAATTAGGATCTATGTGGGAAACCACGAGATCGGATGCTAGGTTTCGCACAAGCACGGCAGAGTCCTTCTCGGCCAGGATTTTGATTGATTCAAGTAAGTGTCGGAGCTGTTTATCTTTCAAGTTTGTAAAGTAATCGGTTTCTCGTGCCTCTAGTATATTCCGAACAAGACGAAGAAGATTCAGGCGTACGACGGCTTTCTTTTGCGAGAGTTTTTGTTCAATCCCGGCGTACATCTCTGATTTGCCCAACGACGCGGCTAAAGATGGTGACAATCGGAGGAGCTTCAATAAAGGTTCTAAAAGATTAGGATCAAAAGCATTCGTCTTTTGGGTATTAAAGCAGGATAGAATCGCCTCGGGAAATTGGCAGTTCAGGAGGTGGCCTTCAACTTTTGCCGTCTCTTCTTGCAACCTTTGAACTCGTTAGCACGTTCCCAGCATTTACTCAAATCCGAAAGTTGCCTACCAAACATAAATAGCATCCAATGCCGTGACCTGCCAGTATTGATCTGATATGAGCGAGACATAGAAGTCAAGGCCTTTGTTTTGCCATAAGAACCGCCGCCCCTTACTTCCCGAATGGGCCATATCGCATAGGATCGGCAACGCAAATTCCTTCGGGGGCCGATCTGTTTTCATAATCTTCAATAATAAGGGGATTATTCCATTTACAGCGGCGTATTCTTGACGGTCCTTGCTTAAGCGACAGAGATTGAACATCGTATTGAGCACTTGATTAGAGATCTCGCGGAAATGGGGATGTCCTCTTTTCATACTACCACTGAGTAACTCAATGAGAAAGTCAATGGCGTCCGCTGAATGGAGAGCATCGAGGGTTGTTGAGAGCATAGATAGGTTCTTAATGAACTTTAGCATCGTAATTTGATGCGCAGGTGTCATGCGTCGAAGATCCTTCAAAACGCCTGGTTGTATGTCAGCTTAAACCACCAGTATTGACTCGGAGAGGCTTACTCTTCAACACTTGCCGGTCAGCCACCATCTCTTTGACGAAGTTCTCGGCTTGAGAGAACAAGTAGAATATATTGACGATACGTCCTTCAATTAGTTCCGTTAGTTCGTTCTCGACGTCTTCGTCAAGAACGCGGTGGAGTACAAGGGCTAACGGGTCGAGGATTTTGCTTCTCGAAAATATTCGGCAAAAGTCGTTTTTCGGAGTAGGACCCTGGGAAAAGTGTCAATAGAAAGTTATGTATCACAAGGTTGACGGTAACAAACTTGAAGCTCGAAGACGTTCCAAACACCGTTCACACCGATAAGTACCAAGTCTCTCGCGCTATCGTAATCCTCATCTAAGAATTCGACAAGGACGTTGAGACCACCAGCGCTAACAAACATCTGCAGTGTAAGGGTGGATGTTTGGTACATCTGTCTTACAAACGCTGCAGCTTCTAACCGAATCTCGTTCGAGTACTGCCGAGCTGCAAACTTAGTGATGATCGGGATCCCGCCAACGAAACATAGGTTCTCTTGAAGTTCTACGTCATCCAGGATAATCTAGCAAATAGTCAGTCAAAGGAAACGTCGCACATAAATCCTAGGTATACGCACCGTGTTGACAACTTGCAATAATTGTAGGATCAATTGCTGTCTGCTCTTCATGGTACAGAGGTCAAGAATCTCGAGAATTGGTAGTAATCCGTGAGCGCTGATAATTAGGGTTTTAACTTCAGTATTATTTTCCCAAAGTAATCCCAGCTAGAGTTGAGTGTTAGCGGCCAAACTATAGATCAAATGGAAGGTCAATATCAGATACTAACCAGATCCATTGAAAGTTCGAGTAACTTGTCCTCGCCCTCGGTCGTCTTAAGAGAGCGGACAAGCTCTTCGATCTTTTCAGCGAGTCTGGCGTGGCGGTCACGCGCAATATTGGCTTCCAAGTCCATCTCATCCCAATCTGGATCCATAGACGCGAATGGATCGTCCTCGTCCTCGTCGTCACCTAACCAAGAGTTGTTGGAAAGTCGGGATAATACCATAAGATTACCGTCCTCGGAACCTTTATCACTTTCCTCCTTCTCGGTCAAGTTGTCAGCAAGGCCAAATATATCAGAGAAGTCTTCGTCTTCTTCGTCCTCCGCAAACTTTTGGATTTCAATAGATGATTTAGACCTTTGAAACGGTCGGTCGGGAAGAGCCGAAGGTCGCGCTGAAGCTGGCCTCCTTATGCTACTCGCCACGGGCGACTGCATAGACCGCGGCAAACTGGTGAGATCTGAGGGGTGAAATAATTGGGGAGCATCAGGCTGCAACATTTGGTGAGCGATGGGGTAGAATGGGATGGCTATGACTGAATACATATACGTACCTTCTTGGATAGGCCTAATCGTTGGTTGAAGACACTTTCGTTGTCGTCAAAGATATCCGAATAGTCCTCCGTCGTCTGTTCTCTGTATAATACATCGGGTCGGGAGGGTAGTTCGAATTTGTTGCCAAGCTGACTTTTAGGTTGGGACTTCTGCCTTTGATGATGACCACTTCCTGTTCGCTTGCGAGGGGATGATTTCGGTGGCTGCGGTTTTGATTCTGCTATCTTCTCGAACTTCTCCGGGAACTTCCAATTGGGACGAATCGTCCTCTCCTGCGGATCCTCTTCTTGAACTGATTGTAACTTATGTATCGTTGTTAGAAGGTCCCCATCAAAATCATTCTCCCAAGTAGTAGAAAAATCGCGCGAATTGTCAATAGATGCGAAAGCTTTTAGACGGTCAGCCGAAAGCATACCACCGAAGTGGTCCTGAGGTTTGACATGGGGGAGCTTTAGGGCACTGGGTGAGATTGCAGTCGCAAAATCGTCATCCCAGTTATCATCATCTGAAGAAAGTGTTAGTTACGACGTAGCCTAATATATTTACTGAACTATGCATAAATACGTACCCGCAAGTTCAGGAGAACGGAAATCCTCGGCAGTGGGTCTTGGTTTTAATACAAAAGGCGCCTTTGCTGGAGTGGGCACATTCGATCTAGGTTGCTCTTGGGATGAGAATCGTGAAGTTTGAAGGCCGTGGTGAAAAGGAAAAGCTGAATCGGACCCTGCTGAAACTCTGAGATTGGTTTCGGAAGAGGTGAGGGCTTTATTCCACTGCTTGACTTCTTCGACGGCTTGACTGAAATTTCCTGGGGCTTTGGCTACAGGCGCATCACTCCGCCGACAACCTACAATCCAATTGTGCTTCAGTAATTTCCTTGCGGAAACACGTAAATTGGGATCCTTCTGGAAGCATTGAATTAGAAAATCACGCGCAGCCTAATCCACAGTCAGTCTCAACTCTTAAGAATATAAGGCCAATACTGGCAGGACTACAGACCGAAGATACGCCCTCGGGGAGTGGTGGGTGGTCATCGTTAACAATGGCAAACAGAGCAGGCATGGCTTGCAGATGGTGATATGGAGGTTTACCGGATAATAGCTCAATAACGGTGCAACCCAAACTCCAGATATCAGACGCCGGCGTGGCACCGGATAGCTCAATTATCTCAGGAGCCATCCAGTATGGCGTTCCCACTACTTGAGCCTCCTTATCGGGTCCGGCGACTGTGCTGGTAGAGACACCAAAGTCTGCGAGCTTTACCTTACCATCCTTGGTCGTCAGGATGTTAGCTCCCTTGATATCTCTATGTATCACACCTTGATCATGTAGATACTGAAGACCTTGAAGAACCTGGGTCATATAAACCCCAACTAGATTCTCCGGGAATTTCCCGTACGCCTTGCATATCGAATGCAAAGATCCATTCTCGCAATATCTGGCATCCGGTCAGCATCCGAAACACCATACTGCATCTAGGAAGGTAACCTACTCTAATATAATATTGAGACAGTCCGCCGATTTGACAAACCCAATGTACTTGACAATATTGTCATGCTAGAAATTGTGAGTATACGGGGTAGAGTCATAAAACCTACCGTCCGAGAATAGGGGTCACTTACGTTTAAGTTTTTTAAGAGGTCGATTTCAGCCTTCATCACATCAGCTCAGCTCAACCCCTATTAAATGCATATTTTCATGATGCCGACATACCTCGATCATTCGAAGCTCGCTCTTTGGCAAATTCACCAATTTGATTTGCTTTACAGCAACAGCTTCGCCAGTACCCCAATGGATTGCCTTGTATACGGAGCCGAATGCTCCCTTGCCTAGACATTCTCCTAGTCGCTATAACGAACCCAGTCAGTCTGATATGAAGCACGTGCAACCCTACTGTTGAGGTATAGACGATGCACGTACGTAGTCTCTTAACCCCGGATCTTGTAAAGCTGCCTCGCGTCTACTAGCCTCCTTTCTCGGGGTATTGGGAGTCCTATCATGTCTGCTTGCTATTACGGCAGCCTTCCCGTTTGCAGGACTGTAACGTCGGTCGCTCGAGGAGGAACCATTGGAGGGGTGAGGGGCGTGTCCGGAGCTAGGCGCCATGACCAGGCGGTCTACAGGTTATTTCCCCTCTAGTTGACTTAAGAAGAACCGCCCGTCGAGATCTATCGAGAGAGGAAAGTGTTAAGAGGTGGCACACGTCGTCGGCGGTGCAGACCCAAGTTGTTTTTCACATTCCAGCTAAACACTATGTTCTCCCACCAACGTTAGGACGATATACTCTTGAAGCACGGACCCGTCGATCGTTAGGCAAGTATCGGACTCGGCAGCAGTCGAACTAATATTTACTTAAAAGGGAGAGGGTGGTCGGATCAGGTCAGGTCAAGTTGGACTAGACCAGGTCGAGGTCGGGGGTGTTTAACTAGGGCTGAGGAAGCTTCGTTGCCATGAAATTCCCCAAAATTTGGATTCCCAAATGTGGGGGAGGAAGAGAAGTGCATGTGTTGTATTTGTGGTATTTGTGTGGGAAAGAATTTAGGCGCCCAATGATAGCTTCAGGTTGCTTTTCCTTTGCTGTTCCTGGAATGTTTCAAGAGGCTCCAGCTTAATTGGCTAAGCGCTATAAAGGATAGCTCAATACTGGTCTAGTACTGATTTAGTACCGATTTGGTACTGGTTTGGTGCTAATAAATTGATTATTGTGCCTTCCGGGATAAGGTGCATTCAGGCACAGCTGGAAGAGCCACTTTACTGGTCCGGCGGGGAATTAGAATGAGCGGCTACTGCAGGTTGCCATGAGACAAAAAACCCCAGTACATACCTAAACGGAATATGTGACGCCAGCTCGGCCACTAACCACGTGTGGTATCAACTATTACACCCAAGTAGGTAGGACTGCTAGTAAGAAAAGTGTGTAATACAACATAGAGAACAAACATAACACACGTAGGTAGGTTAGGAGGTACCTAACATAAGCCGTATATAAACTGTATAGCTTCCGGAAAAACATCAAATTCTCCAGTCATGCGTACAATGTAGTGAACGATAGAATCACTCTCATAGTTCATGGGCTACGTATAAGCTGCCACAATGGAACCCTTACTCCCATATTGTGACAAGCTTGGTTACAACCTAGTTATAACTCCTTCGTTCCCCTTGCCTTCCTTGGTCTCAATGGACATATAACACCTTCATACAAGTATAATACAACGCCAATCATATAACTTCAGGCTGGCCCGGCTCGAGTAGAGTCCATCGATATCCTCGCGCCATAACGCATATCCTTTTTTTTTCCTGCAACGCCAAAAGTCCAGGTCAAAAATGACAACACAATGCAAACCCCTAAAACCCCTAGTTTCTCATTCTTTCGCTAACCGGGACCGCGCATCGTTCTGGAAAACTCCTAACCATCCCTTTGTCCTTTTCAAATTTTAAAGGGGCCATCCTAACGACATCGAACGACTGAGGCCAGCCTGTTCCCACCATTCATCTGGAATATCCTGTCTAGATGCAAGCCCGCTGACAATGCGATGCATACCCGAAAGCCATTCGGGATCGTCAGATGAAATTCCTATACCGGAGATTGTGTCAGCAGCAACTGCTGCATATGATCGCCTCCCATGAGGTGTCGGTTGCCTAGAACGGTCCGTACCTTGGACATCAGAACCACTACCTTCGGTAGTGGTTTCTGGCTCGCCGACAGGGTCGCAAGGGGGTTCGATCTCCTCGGTCGGACTGGTAATGGAGGTTCGAGATGAAGGAACAGTAGGATTTAGAGACGCTATAGTCGAAGCCGTAGTAGAGGCAAACGAGGAACCAACACTAGGTGGGTGAGGGTCGACGGTCAAAGTCGACTGTAGGACAGACCAAACCCCATCCCCTTCCGGGCTTAGACTGCGGTCTCGATCACCCAATCCATCAACATACCTAACCCGGTGTGCTCGACGTCGATCAGCACCAGATCGGCGTCTACGGTCGCTCATCTCTTGCAATGCTGTATGAATGTGTTGATCCATGCTCGAACCAGGTGGATCAAGAACATTAGCAAGATTAGCGGGTGCGCGGTCCCGAGTCGATTCAATCTCTCTATGTTCTTCTCTGAGATGTCCATAGTGATCTATAACCTGACGTAATCTCGTTGTGGGCGAGATTCGTCGAGAACGGGTTCGAAAGCGATATTCCCTGCGTGGAGAATGCCGCCAGTCATCAGAATCGGTTGGAGATGTATCATTATCACCTCCGTTAGAGCGAAGGTTTCGAGTAGATTGAGTATTTCCGAATCGACTAGAATTAGGGGCATCATCTTCCTCAAGAACAGGGAGTTCATCGTTATCATCATCTTCTTCTTGAGAAGCATCACCTCCCCGAGTAAGATGAGGAGCATAGACAAGGCGACCAGAGCGGCTAGAGCGCAAGAAATTAGCTACGTTGGTAGGAATCTCAGAATCCGGGGCGCGTAGTTCCTGTGGTGCGGCGACAACGCGAAAGGGGTTAGAGACACTCTCAGGAATAGCAACTGGGCCACTGAAGTGGAGGTTCAATTCGTCTTCGGCACTATTGTCTTGCTGCGACATGAGTATGCCAAGACGCTGAGCTCGATATTCACGTGCTCGATTGCGTCGGGCAATGCGGTCATCGGTTCTGGCCCTAGCGGCACGACGCGGTGAAGTTGAACGGCGAATTGGAGATCGGCCAGTTGCGGGATCAGCAGAGGATTTCGGTGCTGTTTTTGCGCGAGAGCCAGACTCGTCAGGCTCAACCCATAATCTAATAGTGAAAGAGTTAGCGATAAATGCGATAGTTGTAGTTTATGCATACAAACATACAAAACATAGGTACGAATAAAGAAAAGAGAGGTAGCAATATAATACAGATAGGTAATAAAAACGTCATAGGCGTTGTTTGTGATAATCCAAGTATGCGTAGGTGAAGGTGAACGCGTTGCGACAATAAACTTACGGTAGACCCATTTTTGATATTAGCTGATGCGCGTGTGGCAGCAGGCAAGTAAGTCAACAGGCAAATCAGGACAGGATAAACCTGAGTTGTGGACGAGGCTGATGAGCAACTAAACGAACGTGGTAAACGAACGTAGTAGATGTAAAAGGGTATTGAAAGGCGGAAATAAAAAGGTAGAAACACTGTCGCGTCGTCAGCGACGAGTGTATGGCGTGTAGAAAATTGATCGGAAAGTTGATGGGAAATCAAAAACGGGGAATTGATAGAATATGAATGATGCGCAACAATGCACAATGTTGAGAAACGTCGATTGCAACGGGGATTGCAATGGGGACGTGCAAGGTGCAAGGTTAACTTTCACTTGCTCCGTGGGGTCGACGGGATTGACTTGTTCTGTGGAGTGAAAACAAAAAGATGACTGGGAAAGTTGAAAAGAATGCCCGGGTTGTCTTTGGTTGTCAAGAGACGGGAGATGCGACAGGTTGCTCTCCGACCCTTAAGTGGACGGTGCGTTTGTGCGTGCATTAGTGCGTTAGTTCATGCGAGCAATCTAGACCTAGGTAGGTTAAGTACTGCACTAACTCTATTTTCGTGTATATGTACGTATGTACATACATACGTAGTCTCATTCAGATATGTACCGTAGGTATATCTCTACGCTACCTAACGAACCTTAATCCCTGCTATCGATACCAATTAACACGCCAAGCATTGAAGTATCTACGGAAGTCCCCATCAAAAGTTTTGTCCGTATGTACCACCTGACAGCTTTTGTTACAGCTGTTTAAAACCTGACACCATATGGCAGCCAAGATTATGAATATATATAAACATTTACCTTTTACAACATATTCAATCTTAGCTTCAATATGCCAATTTAAATATTGAAATTAGATCTTTTACAAGGTCAATAAATGCTTTATACGCCCTTATAATTTTTATTATTTAAAACAAGATTGCGAGTTATTATGTGTAAGTGAAAATAGTGTAATATGGATAGTATATGCCTACAGCTGTTGCCAAGCCCTGTCAAAGCTGGTCAAAGCTGACAGGGGATGGCCTATGGACAAAACTTTTGATGGGGACTTCCGTACAATAACAAAAGTATCAAAATCGACAGGCTGAGACCTGCCCATTCTGTTGCGCCGTCAACTTCTCGGTCATCATTCTCACCATATATACAATACTACGGCACATGACTCATATCTCAAAGTGTTTTTAACCCGTAACAGATATTATAGATCTTAAGGATATGTTAGGTGATTTATTTCGCCCAAGGCTTTTTTACACTTGATCTAATTACACATGCCAAGCCAACCTCTATCTCGTCAACATCCAGCATCATGGTGAACCTTGGGTTAGCACGAATCAGTGCTCTACTCAAGCAGACCCCACAGACATGGAAAGCCATTCATGTTGCTGGAACAAATGGCAAGGGTTCGATATGCGCATACCTAACTGCCATGTTGCGCGCCAATCAGATCTCATGTGGTAGATTTACCTCGCCTCATCTCATAGACCCCCGGGATTGTATTACTATTAATGATAGCATCGTGTCTGAGAGCAAGTTCAAGCACTTCGAAGATTTGGTCAAGAGAAGAAACACAGAGCAGAAGATTGGCGCTAGCGAGTTCGAGCTCCTCACGGCCACAGCCTTTGAGATATTCGAATCTGAGAAGGTCGAGTTTGGCATAATCGAAGTAGGGTTAGGCGGAACTCTTGACGCTACAAACGTGTTAAAACACAAGTGTGTCACCGTCATTTCCAAGATAGGTCTCGACCACCAATCGTTTCTGGGTAATACTATCGAGGAGATTGCTCGTCAAAAGGCAGGCATCATGAGGGAAGATGTCCCTTGTGTTGTTGATGGCAGCAATTCGAAGTCTGTTCTAGATGCTCTACAGAAGCATGCCGAAGAGACAGGTAGCAGCATTATTTTCGCGGATGCCGAATCCAATGAGCTCGTGAACAAGTTACGAGATACCCTCGAACCACATCAACGACAAAATCTGGCATGTGTATATGAAGCCTTCAGACTCGCATTTCCGCAACATGCTATCTCTATAGATAGCCTCGTTTCTGCTGCACGGAATGTTGTATGGCCAGGCAGATTGCAGTGGGTGAGCCTTGAAAAGATCACAAACAGAAAGGGTAATATTTTACTTGATGGGGCTCACAATCCTCAGTCCGCGGAAGCACTCTCCGGTTTTGTTCAAAAACACCTACGGTCCCAAAACAAACCGGTCACCTGGGTACTCGCTGCTACCCGAGGAAAAGACATATCGGAAATGCTGAAACTGATACTACGCGACGGTGATTCCATAGCAGCAGTCGAGTTCGGCCCTGTTGACCAGATGCCATGGGTCCAGCCTACAAGCTCGACAGATCTGCTTGACACCGCGAGCAAATGTGGTGTTGCAATTTCGTCACAGTTCGACGCATCTACAAATGTACGCTCGGCCCTCGAGTGGGCAAGTCAGACCGCGAACGAAGGACCGCTTGTTATTGCAGGAAGTCTCTATCTAGTGTCTGACATATTCAAGCAGCTCAGGTCCATTGGACTGTAGAAGTGCCTATAATATCCGGAAATCAATATTCACATCATAAAACCGGGATAATCTCTCGTCAACTTCCAGCTTATCCCAAAGTCGATGCGCCAATGCGGCAAATCAAGCAAATATGATGAATAATGTAACTCAAGAATTGCTCCCTCGATTAAACTCTAGAACATTTATGTGGATAGACAGGTCCAGGATAATATCTATGCGAAACTTACAATGATCTCGTTAGAGACGTTGTAAACTACAGTTCGTTAGGTACCTAGTCAAGCTACAATTAAGAATGGAGATGATTAACTCTTCCTAACTCTTAGATTATTTACCGGCTAGTAAAAAATTGGAAAATCCAGCCCTGTCTAAGGGACGGTTCAGGACATTTACCGTCCTTGATGCATACACTAACCGGGGCGATCGAGTGTCCGATAGTAACTCCTAAAGCAAGTTCCACGATACATTTTACGGTGAGTTAAAGCGAGATCTTATAATTGCATATCATGTATGCACATAGGCAGCCAGTCACCCATCAAGACACCAAATCCCGACGCCATCTTTCTCGACTGTAGCTCGAATAACAAACGCACAGTCACCATAAGCCACGCGATGTCCCCCAAACAGCCCAAACATTTAATCATCGTATGCTGCCATGGAATCTGGCTTGGTGGTCCCGCACGAGGCCATGACGAAAATGAATGGCTCATCGCCGAATTTCAAAAAGGCGAAACACCAACTTTCATCGAGCATATCAAGGCCGGACTGCAGGCCTTGAAAGAGAACCAGAACTCCGTCTTAACGTTTTCCGGGTGAGGTTATTTCGAATTACTTAGTCTAAGTACGGCCATCCTATGAGTCTCAAAAACTCTTAATTTGGCGTAAACGTTTTATCGCATCAGTCTTACCCAGGGGGTTGTATTTCTCAACTATGTTGATCTTGTTGGGCCCAAGGGGAAAGGCGAATCTAATGCTGACTCCGTATTTCTTTAGCGGGCCCACGCGAAAAGAAACACACATATCCGAAGCTAGCAGTTATATGAATCTAGCTATCGCCAATGGTTTCTTTGGGATTCTCACCGAAGATGAAACTGTAGACCGGCTACACAGCGAAGAGCGAGCGTTGGATTCTTATTACAACGTCTTATTCTCTCTCACCAAATTCTGGTCTGGCTACGGAACGTGGCCTGCGACAATGACCATAGTTAGCCACGCTTTTAAACGTGAGCGTCTGGTCGACTGCCATTGCGGTGCTATTGGATTTCCACTGGACCGAACTAATTTCGTCGGCGTGGATCCGCCTGGTATGGTCGATGGAACAAATGAAGCTGCTATCAAAGGTATCGTTGAAGCAATTACCCAGTGGAAAGAGGACCCTCATGGAAAAGGTGAGCTTCTGGCTGGTAAGCGCAGGAAAAGAAACCCATGGGGCGTACCCCAAACACTCTTCCTTAACGAAGACGATCGGATTCGCAGTGGCGTACAGTCAGCTTCAAGCAAAGAGGGGGAGGAGTGTCTCCTCGAAGGAGTTGCCCATCCATGGTCTCAACATCTGAGCACTTGAGTTGCAAGGCCAACTTACATCCACGACTTAACCCAATCTTAGAAGGGTGATTTTCCTACTTATTAGCTAAAGCTACGCTATCAAGAATAAACCGTACGGCATCACTTCTCATTTCAGCGCTAAATTCGTGGCCGGCAGTCGGATAAACATTGTTCTCTACATAAACTCCGCCGTCTTTATACCAGCTATTGGTCGCAGTCTTGAAGAATCGGATGAATGGTTCACCCATGCTATATGGCACGAGTTTATCCGCCCCTCCGGAAAGAATTTGGAATCTCTTCCCTGAAACTCTAGACTCGAGCAGAGGACGCAGTCTTTGCTGTTCTTCCGCTGTAGTAGGCAGCGTAATTTCATCGGTCCCGAACAAGATGCCCTTGGGGTCATATTTCTTGCAGGCGTTTACCAGGGCCTCTGGAAAGTCCTTGCTGCCGATGAAAGAAGCACCGTAATCTGACTCGTTAAAGGTCTGGAGCTGCGATAGTCGCGCACGATCTTTTAAGAGGACTGTCGATGGTCAGTATCGATGTCACGATACTTACCTCACCTTCCGGCGAATATCCCGTTTCCCTTTTATCGGAGCGGAGTTGAGGTTCACTTACCCATATAATCGGGGCATCCGATCACTATAACTCCCGCTGTAACTCGAGGGTCTGCGAACAAAAGCTGCCACGCGCTGTGGCCCCCTAAGCTGATACCAAGAACCATATTGTGGTCAATACGCCTTCTCCCGCCGTTACTTAGTATATGAGCATCACCGCCGAAAAGGTGGCTCTCAAGTAGATCCATCAGATTTATCGTGTCCACGACGGTACCCGTGACGAAGCCAAACATATCTTGGGCGCTACATAAACACGGGAGTTAGCGAACCTCGACCCAAAGTTCCCACATGATTCCAAGTAGTAAAAACAAATGATACTGCCGAAATCATGTCTAGTTTCCTGGTGTCACGTACTGAGTCTCATTCCCGTCAACCCAGGACCCATTCGCTCGCTTATCAACGAGTCGCGAACCGTGATTTCTTTGGTCAAGCGCGACGGCGATTAATCCGCGCGCAGGCTCTGCTTTCTCGTGGTAAGCGGAGAGAACTCGGTTTGCGAAAGGAGCCATATCCTCCTTTTTTCGCAGTCGTCCGTGGTGCAGCCATAGACACGACACCTTGACCGCAGCTGCGGGCAGTTCCGTTAACCCGTAGACATCGATTTGCAGTCCCGAGACCGTTAATGTAACGCGCGAGACACTCGGGGCGACGCCCGGGGCCGGGTTACTTGTCTCGGCCATTGCTTCGAATTACTACGGGATTGAGACTGGCCGCGGTAAAGGCGGTTGAGAAGTAAACATGTAGTAAACTAATAAACGACGGGTGTCTCCATTTTTAATACTGTTTATTTCATGAGGGAGTTTATGTAGCTAATGATGGCAGCTTTACTATCGACGCGTCGGATCCGAATTTGTCCATTTAATCCCCGAAGGCGTAATCACACGCTGAACGGCATCATAATTAAACCGAGACATCAGATATTTACACTTAAGTACCTCGTATTATCGGCCTCCTAGGTCTTATCTGATATATCCTAAGGTAAGGTACGGTACGGTATTTACATTTTGAATGGCTATTTTAACAATCTAGCCTTAGGTACTTAGTTAACGGACCCGATCGTCCACTTTTCGTGATTATTGCCAACAGGCCATTACCCCAGTGGACCTTTTGACACCAGGACTCACAGCCTCAGCTCTTCCTCCTCCAGCGCATCGATCAGCGTCTGCCACTTAGCCCACTCGGCATCGCCACCGGGGATGCCGCCGAACAAGGGCAATCGCGTGCCGTCGGGATCACCTAGCTTGCGCAGCCTGCTAATAGCTTCTTTGATGCCAACGGTACCAAACTTGGCGACCAGCTCCTCCACAGCACTGATCTTGAACTGCAGGAGGCGGCGCTGGCGGACCTCGTCGTCCGTGGGTTGGCTCTTCACCGACAGATCGTATAGGCGCACCACGCTCTTGGGGAAGAATCCCGCACAGCCGTCGATAGCACCCGCGGCACCAATGGTCACGACTGGGAGCAATTGCTGACCGAGTCCCGTGAAAGTAGCGAATTTGGAGTGGTCGATGGAGGGGTTGGATGCGATTTGCGTGTGATATGATACGTCGCCGTGCGAGAGCTTGCAGCCAACAATGTTGGGATGCTTAGACAGGGTTTCGAACGTAGCCGGGACGACCTTGACGTTGTTTGAGACGCCTGGGTAGTGGTATCTGTATACCCGACGCCCCCTCTATTAGTATCCATACCCCCCGACGCTTGTCGATTATAGCAATAGCCGAGGGAAGAAAACTCACATTAAGATGGGTATAGGGCTCCGGTCAGCCACGGCAGTAAACCACCTGATGATACCCTCCTGCGTGCTGGCTCCGGCGAAGTATCCCGGGACCAGAGTGAGACCGTACTGCGCGCCGGCTTCCTCGGCGCCCTTCAGCTGCTCGACCGTCTCTTCGACGTTTTGCGTCGCAGTGCCGGCGATGATGGGGTAGTCCTTGAAGCCCTCGTTCTCGAACGCTTTCCTGACACCGGACAAGACCTCGAAGCGCTCCTTGTTCGTGAGATGTATCGCTTCTCCCGTACTACCCAGAATCACCAATCCCCTGATTCCCGATCGCGCCAGATACAGCGAGTGCGTAATCTGCGTGGCAACGTCGACCGGTGCCGCGACGGGGTCGTAGTTGGCCGCCTTCTTGCTCACGAAGAAGGTCGGCACGGGGACGTATATTCCATGTGGGGGAGGGGTAGCCATTTTTGTGGATTTGAGCTTTGCGTATGCCGAGCGAGTCTTTGTCGTTTCTTCGCTAGTTAGGTAGTTATAACTGTTATAACTACCTAGGTAATCACACTTTGAGATTTTTCTTAGTTAGTTGCTTTGACTTCTTCACGTAAGCTTTCTTGGTACTTTTCTTATTAAACTATCACGGCAGACAGTCACTCCTATAAATTAGACGAACGACGCGGGGTCGAGTTAGCATTGTCAGGACGCGCCGGTAGTTCGGTAGAGTCTATAGCGATCGGCTTTTTCGGGCGAGCGAATGGGGGTTCGAGTATAGCTTTAGAGCCCCCTTTCTAGTCTCTCGTCATCCGTAGGCCGACTAGTGTCATTGGATATAATTGGCTGTGACAATACGGGGTAGTCTATACCTGCGAACCTATCATTGCTTTACACCTCTCCGATATCTCGAATAGTCTTAGTTATGTTATTCTCCCGGGGCCATTTCTTAACGGAATGAATATCTGCTGTTTTATGCTGTCTGCCTGGCCTAAAGCTGATAATTCCACTAATACCCCCTGCTAGTTCTTACAGCGAGGGCTGACTTAACATCCCACCATCTCCATCCCGAACCTCAAACTTTTCACCTATGAGGATAGTTTTTCTATTTACTTGATATACCGAGGGAGAAATGATCGCCTCCTTCAAGGCCTAGACTGTTGATCCCAAAGCCGTAGGGCGTTTTCAATTTTAGCCCCCAATACAAAATTTATAGGGTCATAGCTTTTGCTCAGATGTGAGAAATTAGGCATCCTTTTAGTTATTAAACAAGAGTATTTCAAGGTTAAATACTTCTATTCTACTTCTTGAGAAGTTTCTTACTTGTTTTCATATCATTCATCTCTTTGAGAGTAATCTTGACACCATAACTACCAGAGGTATTGGTGATATTGGACAGGTCATTGTTAAGTTACAAATTCCGAGTTTCTCTGTAAACACGTTTTAACCAATCATTTACGCGTATTCCATACCATCACAAACACGGTATCAAGATGTATAAGTTACCCGTCAAAACATCCTACGAATCCAATGATATCCCCATCCCGGATGACTTCCTAAAGTCGGAGCCGCACGATGCGCAGCCAATCACTTTCAAAAAGATAGACTTCGCCGATACCGTGCTGACGGAGTATAAGGGTCTGTACGCTGTGGTGCTAGAACATGTTCTCAGCCCGTCTGAATGCGCAAAGCTCATCGAGCTGGCCGAAGCCAGTGTGTCTCCCAAGAATAAAAACAAGATAAACGGGTCTCCCTGGGCACCTGCGCTCGTCAATGTTGGCGACGGATACGAGACTGAGGTGTTAGAGTATCGCAACAGCGATCGCATCATCTGGGACCAGCAGGACATCGTCAACCGTCTCTGGGCACGTCTAGAGCAAGTCCCGGAGATCAAAGACACGCTTCTGACATCCGAGCTGCCGAAGGGAACGGTGTGGGATTTCCAGCGCCTCAACAAGCGCATGCGCTTTCTGAAGTACGGCCAGGGCCAGTTTTTCAGGCCGCATTGCGACTCTCCTTACGGCGAGACCGGAGAAGATGGGAAGTCGGTGCGCACGCATCATACCTTACACCTATACCTGAACGACTCGAAGCAGGAGGTTGGAGACGCGGCTGATCTAGTTGGCGGTGCGACGTCTTTTCTATCGTCTAACGGAAAGCGGAAAGTTGATGTCAACCCTAAAGCTGGTCGGGTCCTGATCTTTCAGCACCGGAGGCTGTATCATGCGGGGGATGATGTCTTGGATGGGATCAAGTACACGATGAGGACGGATATCATGTATTCTATTCGGGATGCGGCGATTGTGAATAGTAGTTAAGACCCTGTCACATCCTCCACTTACTCCCGAGATGTTGTGTCTATAGTCAATGACAATCGATACTTGAGAATTTATTATATTCCATCTAGTCGGATATCTCTCTATTTAATTTATCTCGATGTCTACATTGCTAGGGCATTAGCTAGTGCTAGAGCGTTCAGATGATGATAACTTACGCAATAGTCGTGAATAAAAAAAGTGTTGGTTTTATCTTCTCAAACTTGTCATCCGAGTGCTGTCCGACGGTTTTCGTTCCCCAATGATTAAATTCGAGAATGACATAGTAAAAAAAAAAACCAAAAAAAACCCATAAGAAGAAATCCTCAGAAGAAAAGGGGAAAAAAAAAAAAAAAAAAAAAAAAAGAAAAAAAAAAAAGTCCGCTGTTGAACCGCCCCTCCAATCCTTCAAACTGTGGTGTGTTCTCACAAATATGTGGTGTTCTCACAAATATGGGATGGCAGTTCAGGGCTTAGTTACAACATGGCAAACCCGCTTTCCGTGGTTTGCGCTTCCGGTAATGGAAAGATGAACTTTACCATTAGACCATCAGCTGCACGTAGTGGGTTGCTTGTTTTGCGGTGAAGGACCATCTGTTGTTCAGATATATGAAGCCTCCAGCTGTAAACCTGAGTCACTAGGTAACCGGTAACCTCGCAGTCCCACCCGGCGAGAGTGCCAACAACACGAATGACACTGGCACGCCATATCACGACCATATCTCCTTGATAGACCGAATCACCTTGCAATTCGCCTTGTGTCCTAATTCGCTCCAGCCCTGGACCTGACAAGCCTTGCTGCAGTACGCGACAACGCCACATCCCGTACATCGCATTAACAGATGCTCTGCTCCCTCCTCCTCCTCCTCCTCCTGCTCCTTGCCGCACGCCGCACACCTCTTCCCCCGTCCGGCCCCTTCAATTCCATCTAGAACCGCCCCTATTTCAAAAACCTGTTCCAAGCCAGCGGGCAAGATTTTAACACCAGCCCCTTCCCCCGGCGGCACGCGGACGATAGGCTTTTTCCCCTCGCCGCGGTCCGTGCGCGTCGCGCGCGGCACAACTAACGTGTGGCCTTTCCGGAAGCGCACCCCGCCTTGCCCGAGACCGCGATGGTCGCCGTCTTCGAAGGTGACGGCGAATTCTGCTCCGCTCCTGTCCCGGACGATCGCCGTGGGCTTCGTGATCGTCATGTCTTCCTTGATCTGCGCTAGCAGGAACCAGTCTGCCGTTGGCGCGGGAGGAGTTGATGAAGATGGCAGTTCGTTGAACGATGGGAAGATAGCTGGGTCGGCGAATAAAGGCATTTTGATCTTACGGGTATATCTACTACCTCTTATTTCGATCAATTTCTGTTTATTCTTATTTTCTATGAAGGGATGAAAGGCGGAAGATAGGGTCTTTTGGGTTCGTGCTTTAATTGGTCTGGCGCCATGGGCATTGATCCACTAAGGCATTTACCGACGTATAAGGAGGTATAGTTATACATATTAGGAGTGATATATACCTTGATACAGATATTAACTACCAATATCGTTATACTTCATTACATTTGTTTTCCTTATATTACCTAGGTACGAAATCAGGGGGAAATTATTCTCCATTCTTGAAATACTTAACTGTTTTTCGAAGATTGAAACCCCGAGCCTTTGAATTTGGTTTCCTTTTATGGACCCTGTAGAGCCCAGGCATGGCTTGAGGCGTCTATGTACAACCCAGTTATCATCAATATTCCCGATTACTTGCTCGGCGGGGATTGGCTCGTCATGTAGGACACATGCAAGTTGGGTAGTAGTATCTCTTAGAATGCGTAATAGCATAGCCTCACAGCTGAATTACTCCAGTCCTATTACTTTTTCCTCCCTTATATAGCTCACAGTAACGCCTTTTTTTGTTTCCATTAGAATATCAGTCAACAGCATTAGCCGGTTTTACGTTGGAAATGTCGTCAGGAAGCTCAGTTAGTTTTGCTTTCCAAGCGGATGTCGCCAATACCGGCTCTTTACTTCACCTACTCACGGGTAGAGCCCTCAAAGCTTTGAGCGACGGCGGGGTCGACTTCTACTCTGTGGTTGTCGCTGTCACTCTCGGAAAAGGCTTCGAGATCCGTAGCTCCTTAGGAAACACTGTCCCCGCACATGTCAAGTCTAAGCGTGGTATCCAATCGGTTTTATCGAAAGTCTTGAGCATTGGATGGGGCCAACCAGGGCTTGCGGTCGCGATGACGCAGACTAAAGCAGGCGTGAATGCCCTGGTATTGATTGATGCTCTTGCCTATGGCTCTACCGACTACCAAGCTGCCGAGTGCTTTTCAAGCCTCCTCTCACTACGAGGCTGCGAAGCTGACAATTTGCCAAATGTCGACGTGCTGAAAAATATGATCGGCTATCTCTCCCCCTTTCTTCTCGACTTGGGCTTTTCAAGAGTTGTCGCACATATTACAACAACGGCCACCCGTGCTATAAACTTGAACCGTCCCAGAAATTCTGAATATCTTGAGCGCCTTGAAAGAGCTGGGGACGCGCCAACTGTCGCAGGCGCTATAAGTCAATTAATGTTGACCTCAGGAAGGAAGGAGAGTAGTTATATGCCTACGCGGTACGCCCTATACCCTGCTTATAATAGGGGTGATTATTTTACTTCGCTAACTCTACTCTTTCAAGCATGAGAGGCGCTTGGCTTTCGGCATTTGCAAGTCATGTACTTGGAATGGCAGTCGAGTTACGTCTCTATAATGTCATCATATGGGAAAGTGCGGGAAGCAACGGAACCGCTATTTTTGAACTGGGGGAATATCAAGCCGACGGCCTCCAATTCCAGGTCATTATAGGCCTGGGGGTTACAATAACCGAATTACCAGAGACCGAAGACGAGTGTTCGATGCTTGATAGCTGCCTCCCGATCGGTACGGCTTTTGGATCACTGATTGATCGCGAGCCAGACATTGACGTATTGCTCGAGCAAGACATTCGCCGAGCGATATACCGGCTATGCTTGGAAAAGCTGAAGTCGGGCCTAGAAGAGTATTATATTAAGACACGATTCCGACTTCACGGATATTTCAAATATTTTGAGGCACTCAAGGAAACGCTCAATGCCTTCGGATTCGAGAATACTATTTTTGATTCCGTCGATAATCAAGCATCTATAGAGGAGATCCCAGATGCTATAGATGGCATAAAGGCACTAGGCCTTAAGGCATACGATAGGTTGAAAAGCGCCTGTGGGATCCATGGAGATAGCACTCCAAACATCAAAACATATCCGCGCACAGGTAGATGTTTTCTATTATGTGGATATGTTAACCGCTTAATTGTTGGGTTTGCGTCTTGTGCAATACGTCTGTAAGTCGACACACACCTGTGACAAATCCCCTTTCTCGGACCTTACCCCAAATATATTTTTCTTATACCCGGGATACTTCCATTCATCGAGAAGATTTTAGACAGTTTTAGAAATCATCGTTTGATCAGTGTTTGGTTTATAAACTAACCATCGGCTGCCTGTTATATAGAATGCGTTGTCAGTTTGATGCCAGTCAACTCACCATTCGCTCAGACGTTCTTCTAAAATTTCCTGACGATATCAAATGTGTATCTTACGGCCCTGAGATACCTAAAGAAGATGACCTGAGTGTTTTACTCAATTTAGTAGACAACACCAAACTGGGCGGAGAGCAAGAACTGTCTCGCCACGAAATCCTGGGATATTCAGGTAAAAGCTTTACGGTTTGCTATACCTGTATACTGGGCTACGACTGTTTCGATAACCGGGGTCGCTTCTTAACTCTGCTACCTGGTCGTGCGTCTGTGGAAGGTGCATTTAGGTCCACAATAGTAGAATATCCCAGCCGCGGTATACATGCACAACTTTCAGATGTTCCCGTTTCGACTCTACTCGCACCTGGGCTAACTCTCACGCCACACCATGCTCCCTCAGGAATCAATACCTTCATGGAGGTATCCTTTAACGAAAGAAATATTTTATTGTCCTTCAAAATCGGACGCGAGAAGGCTTCGGCGGGGATTATATCCATTTCTGAATGCTTCCAACATATAACGCAAGTACGTATTATGAATTGCCCGCATGAGCCTACATCGGAATTCCAGGTGCAAAAAGATCATAATTTAGCAGTTCTTGGATTCGGAGCTGGACTCGGAGCCTTCAACAGCAAGACACGCCGAAATCAGAATACCATACGGTTGATAGGCTTGCGCGGCAACAAGCTTGAACAGGTCCTTACACTTGGTATGCTCGGGTCCAATGATCCTTACAATCCGAGTTCCTTTTTCTACGATCCAGGGTGTATTCTTCAACTTGGGGCATGTCTGAAATGCTGCATTGCGACTGCAGAGGATAGGGGTAGCAAGATCATAATAATGGGTGGGTAAGCATTGGTTTAGTGTGGTGATATTCTCTAGATATATGCACCACTATATCGAACTTACCTACCAATCATTTTCCACAATTCTGGACCTTAGACTATTAAGCCCCCAAGAAGATAACTAGGTACCTACGTATGAGGTAATACGGAAGGCAATATACTATTATGGTCAGCATACATAGCAAACCAGCTTACCCTAAATTCGCGAGGTCGCGGAAGAAGATCTCGAGGATCGTAGATCCTCTATGGGCGAATTTCCCTGGGAGATAATTTTGTGACTAAGGTTCAAAGTGGTCAGGCACTCGACAGCTACGATTCCTTATAACAAAATAAAATATAAGACAACTATGGGCGCCAGGAAGTTTGAAATAAAGCAGCCCTAATTAATACACATGTACTTACTATAACATGTTTCTCTAAGGGGACTTTAGTCCACGTAGAGCTTAAAACCTGATCATATCTATACACAGCTTTTAGTATTTAAAGGTGATAAAAAGTGGTTTATTAGATAGGTAAAAACCTAGGATATGGACGCTGAATAATAGATGAAGATATACACTATATAAAGGATAACCTGTATTCGATTGCGTATCAGCTCAAGTTACAAAAACGGAGGGGGTTCAGCTTTAAAGCCTCAAAGTACGATCTTTAAACATCAACATCTCTATTTATCATCTCTATTTATAAATCACTCGACATACTAACAATGGTAAAACCTGCTGATAATATTGTATAGTCGGGCACACTTGGCTACATCCGTGAGAATGTAAATAAGTAAATGGAGTTTAATACCGAATCTAAAGCTAGGACAATGATTAAACATCACAATAATCATAAGAGTCCACCGTTTATAAGACTCTAAAACACTTAAGGTATCTAGGTACTTAACACGGCCTACCACACCCAGGATGCACTATAATTGGCTTCCTAGCACCATCCCAACCGCTCCAATTTTCCCCTTTCATCAGCTCATCCACCTTCAAATCTTATAAACGATCTTCTTCCCAGTAACCCGTCCCTGTCGCAGATCATCCAGCCCCTCGAGGATACGGTCCAGGCCGCCCTCGCGAATATCCGCCGGGTGCGGCTTAACCTTGCCCTGAGCCAGCAGCTCCCCGGCCAGCTTCCAGAACTTGGTGCCGAACTCGAGGTCGGCGGGGTTCGCAGTGAACTCGTGGCCCAGCTTGACGAACGTCTCGCCCGTCGCCGTGTACGCCAGGGTCTGGAGCTTGGCGACGTCGTCGCGGGGGAACTTCTCGACCGTCAGCAGCGAGCTGTACTTGCCGCCCTTGGAACTGAGCGCCTGCGCCGAGATCTCGGGCGCCGAGCCCTCCGCGATGCAGTCGAACACGTACTCCAAGCCGTCGTTGGTGAAGGCGCGGATGTCCGCGCCCACGGTCGGCGACTTGTAGTCGAAAGTCGCGTCTGCGCCCAGGCTCTTCAGGAGATCGAAGTTGTGGGGCGAGGACGTCGTGATGACCTGCAGACCGGATAATTTCGCGAACTGGATTGCCAGGGTTCCAGTTGCAGTGCTACCTCCGTAGATCAGAACCGGGAAGGGCTTCTTGGCCGGCTCGGTGGGCCAGGGGAGGCCTAGCGATTGGTAGAGCCCTTGGCCGACCGTGGTGATGCCCACACCTAGCGTCGACGCCTGTTCCAGGGTGATGTTGTCGGGGACCTTGGTGGCAAGAGCTGCTTTCGCTACGATGTGCTCGGCGAAGGCACCGTCTTCTGCGTTGCTCGAATTGGCGCCCGAGACGAAGCCGGCGATCTTGTCGCCAACTTTGAAATTTGTGACGTCGGGTCCTAGTTCCTCGACGATGCCCGAGTAGTCACAACCAACTAGGCTGCCAGCAATTCCAACGCCGTCAATGTGCTTCCAGTCGGTAGGGTTTAGAGCAACAGCCACCGTCTTAACCTTGACGTAGCCGGGGCGCACTTTGGGAATAGGTGCGTCGGTTACGACCTTGCCGACGTTTCCCTCCTGGATAATAAGAGCTTTCTGAGTTGCAGCCATTTTTATGCGATTGGTATTCTAGTGTTAGTATTAGTGTAGAGTATCGTGTGTCGTGTGTTGTGTGTTAGATGTCGAGTATGTAGTGTTGAGTGGTTTGGATGGTGTGATATAGTTTGCGACGGCTGTTCTTAAGTATTCTATTCTGTTCTGTTCTTAAGTACCTAATGCAGTATGCGATATGTTGAGAAGCCGTCCACATTTGTGTGATGATCACGTCTCGAACCCCTCCACCCCTCCTCTCCTTCGCCTATGACAAAGCTATCGCGATATACTCGACCATGTAACGACATCCGCAGCCGTGACCAATCAAATTTGGATTGGCATTTACGCAGTCTTTGGCTATTTTAGGAGATAATGTTATGTCCGACCTCATTAGTAACAGGGATAATATATTGCCGATTACAAATAATATCGTCTATTCCCGATAGGTAGTCTTGTTGGTGTAAGTGGCTATCCACTTAGCTCGAGTCGTGATAATCGGGCAGCAAGTTGATTATACAAAATACCTAGGTTAGGTAATGAAGAATTACCGGTGCATCAGTTAATTAATCACCATCATGCAGGAGAATCCTACGAGCCTCATGCAAGATGCAGTTCTAGCGAATGAAATGATCTACATTTTCTTCAGTGCTGACTATGGATATGCTAGTTAGTGTATTTGAATGGAGTATATTTCAACTACTCCTAGACGTAATAAGCCTTTGGCTCGAATTGAAATCTCCTGATATTCGTGGTGATATTGGTTATTCTTGATGATATTTCTTAAATTCTTAATTCTTAATTCTAAAGCGGAGTTGAACGGATTTAGTATTATCCGTATCCAATATTAGTTGAACTGAGACCAAATAGGCGTTTCCAATCGCCAGTTACTACATACTACCTATACCAAATAAAAACTATAATACTAAGAAAAGCATGATCATCGATGCGAAATCGGGTAGACTACCCTTGATCATGCTGATATCACATATGCTGACATATCAAATAGAGCTTCAATATAGCACCAACTGCGCCAACTGCGCCGCAGCAACCTTGGCAGACTAGAAGATTTCAGGTAACAAAACGAACCAACACGCCTCAACCATGAATAATCACATATAGCACACCGACTACTCTAGGTACGTCCGACGAGCTAAAAGGTCATCAACTTCCAATTACTAAGTATGTAGAATCGGCGATAATACACTTCATCCTTAAGATTGATTATCAAGCCGTAGACCTAGGGGTGTCAGGACTCAGGATTCTAGACGAGACGTTTGGAATAACTAAAGGATTTTTTAAGTATAGCTGTAGATTCTCACAGTAGCTTAGAGTTCCTTGCAGAGCAACAAAGTTGTTTCCTTGCTTCTTGCTCCACCTCACGACGAGGGCGCTTTCAAGTTGTTATAGTACGTTCTCTCCTAGTTATTGGAAAAATACCATCCATCTTTTCGACTAGAAGATTGGCTCCGACTTAATTATAAAGCCAATAGATACTCCCAACTTTGAAGTTTCGGCAGTGAGTGCTCTATCACATGAGGATAGTATAATCCTGAGAGCCTCTGATTAATACATGAAAACTCAATCCTAAATAGCCGTGGTCTGAAAGGAGGTATAAGAAGCACCGCATCTAATAATTTTTGCTGGACAACATTTTGAAGTAAATCTCGACCAATATTCCCTCTTATGATAACTCGATCGTGGCTGGCGGCTTGCTTGTCGTGTTGTAGAATACACAACTTATGCCATCGACTTCGTTAACAATCCGCGTGGATACATTCAGGAGGAAGTCCATATCGAACTTGTAAGCCTCGGCACTCATGAAGTCCTTAGTCGTAACTGCACGCAGCAAACAGAGGTATCCTTCGTAGCGCTTATCACCCTTTTGGAGTATTAATAAAGGGAATAGGATGGGAAATAAAGTGTAGAGTTACTCACCATGACTCCTACAGCCTTGTTTGTGTCAAGGCCAGCATAAGCTTGGCTGATTTCGTTGTAGATACCTGCTTCCCTAATCATGCTGATGAAGATCTTGAGTAGTGTTAGTATCTATAAGCCCCACAGCGAACAGGGCATATATATCTGAACTTACGTTGTCTGCCTTCCTTGCAATCTCAACTCGCTCCGGGGTGACCTCACCGAGAATTCGGATAGCAATGCCAGGGCCAGGGAACGGCTAGAACAAGCGTGTAAGCAATTATTCAGGTGAACTAGTTTCTAGAGCGACCTACATGTCTCATGACGAGTTCTTCGTTGATACCTAACTCACGGCCTAGGGCTCTAACTTCACTGTTTTTCTAGTGTTAATATCTCACCAAACCTGTTTGCGACTATTATATAATCGGAACTGCGTTCAGGGCACTTACTCTTTAAATAACTCCCTAAAAGGCTGAAATTCATTAGCCGATGTTTATATTCAGCAAAAGAATATCTTACCTCAATGAGTTTGAGACCTTGACCATCCATCATTCGTTGTGGCAGACCACCAACATTGTGATGCGTCTAATTTAAAGTCAATTTTGAACTCCTAATTAGGTAAAATTATTAGTAGGACGTACCTTGATAGTCGCCGAAGGACCCTTAAAGGAGATCGATTCAATGACATCCTGCATAGGGGAAAGTGTTAGAAATCAAACTCATTGGCTGCTCGGCACGCATTGCAAGTATTCTTACGGGGTATAGAGTGCCTTGGAGAAACCATTCAACTTTTCCGGCGTTTGGTGTGTTCTCTGCGGCCTTCTCGATCTTAATTGCCTGCTCCTCGAAAATATCGATGAAAGTGTTGCCGATGATCTTTCTCTTTTGTTCCGGATCTAATACGCCCTTCAATTTGGAAAGGAAGATTTGCGAGGCATCTATAACCGTCAAGTTGATGCCAAGATGCTCGCCAAGCGCTTCTTTCACCAGCTGGCATTCGTTGAGACGCATCACACCATTGTCCACGAGTACAGCGTGAAACCTATCGCCAATTGCTAGTTTCACTATAGAGGTGTTGTTAGCGATCTAAATCCTAATAAAATTGGCAAGAAGAAGGTGATACGCCACAATCTTCTCATTTATAATAAACATAAGAAATAGTATGGTATTAACTTACTTAACTTCGCAGCAACTGTCGAGTCCACACCACCTGAGACAGCGCCGATCACCTGGCCGTTACCTACGAGTTTGCGGATTCGAGCAACCTCCTTGTCGAGGAAGTCCGTCATCGTCCAGTTTTGGTTAACACCGCAAATGCCGACTGCAAAGTTTTTGAGAAGCTCGGTACCACGAGGGGTATGTGTAACTTCAGGATGAAACTGTATACCAAAGATCGGCTTGCTCTCATGTGCGATACTAGCGTAAGGAGAATTTTGAGTGGTGGCGATGGTGACGAAGCCATCCGGGAGGTGACTCAATTTATCACCGTGGCTCATCCAGCTGCCATTTGTTAGTAGGCCTCTTCATCTATTTTATAGACGCCCGTTGAAAGCCAATGGGTAATATACTCACACTCTCATGCCTGCATCTCCGTACAAGCCTTCGTACAATCGGTCAACTTGACTGTTGTGGTGCTGTGGTATGAGATCCTAATTGATCATGAGTATTAGAAGGTTCAATTTAACAGTCGAAAGGCCTAAGGGAGCTGTACCGCTTGTCCATATTCCCTCTTGGTTCCGGCAACGACATTGTCTTTGCTCGAGTTCCAAGCAATCTCTTGAAGACCGTAACATATACCTAGGATGGGGACTCCGAGATCGATAAAGGCTGAGTCAACATGAGGCGCATCCTTGTCATAAACTGAAAATGGTCCACCAGATAGGATAATTCCCTTGGGCTTCCAGCTTAAATCTGAGAGCTTCGTAGTGCAACTATTTGGGATATTATTATTAGCCTTATAGGGTTCGGATATTTACTCATTATCTTTTTATTTTTCGGTTTTAAATTAAAAAAAAAAAAATCCAGATCACTCACGGAAGCATCTCGCTGTAGACGTTCAGTTCTCGTAGTCGTCGAGTGATAAGATGCGTGAACTGGGACCCGAAGTCCAGCACCAGGATAGTGTCGTAGGCATTATGAGGAGACTCAGCCTGCTCAATCTCGACCGACATCTTGTTTATTTGATATTATACGAAAGAAAGGACCTGTCGCCGAATTCTGGTATGATCTTGGTTTGGCTTGCGACGCTGAGGTAAGTATTTGTTCGACTAATACTTGAAAAAAATGGTCGCGCGGAGGGGTTTAATTTTCTTATCTTTCTTATCATTCCTAAACTGGTTTAGTGAGGGGTAACTAAATTATTATCTTTCCGAGTACTTGGTACTATGTACATATAAATTGTTTGCATGTGTTGCCAAGTTCCACGTGATCTCAGCTCAATAAAAGGTAAATAAAATATCTCAGTACACGGTTGAAGATATTTAGAATTTGTTATACGACTACCTAAATCAGGAACAGATTTCTCTATTTTTGAGGTCCTCCCTTAATATCTACGACAATCTCAAGAATTCAGCTTCATTACCTAAATAAACGTCCATTTCATCCTTGGCATGATTACACATGTCCAAGCTACCCCTGAGAGAGGAGCTTTCCTAGCATTATACCTAAATCACCTTGGCTGAAGGTGATTTGTGGTCCAAAATTAAGTAACAAAGACAAAAAGCCAATTCCTATCCCACGGGAGAACGCTCATTAATAACCGTTCCGAACGCCTCATACCCTTATGGTCGTGCTACATATCTGCCCTTCCATCCTAGACGCCGCCATACATGCCCTACTTGAATGAGGTCCTCGAAGTGCCATCGTAGTCATCGGTCGGTCCCCAAAATGATATTGGGGGCGAGTTTATGTCGTGTTAGTTCGCAATCGCGATGGTAGATAATATCCTTCATACTCCAATACTCATCCACCCAAACGTCCCAACTGCGGAAGCTAGAACCAGGGCGGTTAGAATACCAGCACCCGCTCTATCTCCTGTCGTTATTGGCGCTGGCGTGTGGGTAAACGAGTCACTTCCCGCTCCGGCATTCGGATCTCCTTCGCTCGTACCACCGGTTTCCATCGTCACTGGCGGTTTAGCCTTCCCGACTAACAGAGACGAGACAGCTCCCAGAACATTCATTGTCTGGCCCGCACCGACGCTATTATCGAATGTACCACTTGCCCACCCGAACCCGCAGGTCTTTCCGTCTGGCGGGCCAGTACACTGATTTACGGCAGCCTGGGCTGAGTCCTTTAGAACCGGTAGGACTTTCTCGGCCGTGAATGGGGCGATCTGTGTCATAGTCGTCATCCATCGGTGTAGGTAACCCTTGAAGCTCAACATATCCGTCGTGCAGGTCATGTGCTCTTCACATGCAATCTCATAGGCGACATTGTTTTTGAAGAAGTCGCGAATTGTTGCATCTAAGAGTCCACTGAGTCGCTGTTCCCATTTCGAGTCTCCACCGGTCTAGAGATATGTTAGTATTCGTATTAAAAGGGAAGGGTAGGGTATGCGGATAATTCCTACATAATTGTACATATGCGCCGCCCCTAATAGGTAGACCGCGTTATTGTATGAGAATTGGGCCTTGTTGATATCGGTACAGTTGGTTTCAACGTGAGCGCCATCGTATATCTTGTAGTCGCTGTCCATCAAGCCAACACTCTGGACCCAGTCCCAGGTTTTCTCTGCCCAATCGGCGTATGTTTCGTTATTTAGATAACGTGCCAAGCGGGCGCCAAGGTTGAAGAAGCAGCCATTGGCGATGCCTAAATCGGTATTAGTCTTGTACAAAGTTGAAGCATTTATTTATCTTACTGTTCTTGTAGTCATATCCATTGTTCGCGAATGGGATTTGCCATCGCAAACCACCACCACAGGTATCATCATGGCGACTAGGGTCGGCTTGAGTATTAAAAACTGCTTGGGCTAGATATAGCCACTGAGGTTGATCTGAAGGAGGGTCGGGGAAATTGAGCTCAGCCGCTAGCATGGCAGACATGCCCCAAAATCCCTGATCATCATTGCCGAGCGAGGCGGTAACGTTGGGGGGCATATAGTCTTTATTCGGACCAACCTGCCAAAGCATGGCTTGGGTAACTACGTCGTTGTAGGTGGTGTCGCCAGTGTAATGCCAATAATCGATCATTGCTCCCCAAAGCGCACCGCCTTCCCACCAGTAGTAATCACCTGCCGGAGGAGGGCCTGGGAGGATGCCGGGTGTTTGTCCGGATTCGTTCCCGTGGTAGTATGTCATGACATTTTGAGCGAGAGACTTAGATGTTGATATGATGTCGTCTGTGGGAGGAGATATTAGAATTATAGCTTACAAGATTATGTCATTTGCGATATATGACGAAAGGCAAAGTAATAGTTAAACATACCATCAGAATCTATCTTGTAAGTTTGCGCGGATACGATATTTCTTGTTAATAGTAGCGCGACCGGGACCGCGTGCGAAACGAAAGGCGCCATGATGCTAATAGTTGCGAGATTTAACATTCGTGAAAAAGTTAACGAGTGACAGAATTAGGCGATGAGAAAGACAATGGTCGCAGCTAAGACCGCGATTTCTTCAATATCAATCCGTCGTATTGCATGGGGTTATAGATCAAGGCGACTTTGTGATTGTTACGACAAATACCGTTCTCCTTCTCTGTACGAGGACAGATTTGGAGAGATAGTACATTAGAGTTTCGGACAAGAATGGAGATGTAGAGGAAGAAATCCGAATTGGTTCCTGGTGTAATGTTAGGTTAGGTACATCCAATGTGTACAGCTGTGTGCAACATTGGATGCACCCGACCCGGCAGGGTGATGTAATGTATTCACCGTGCAAATACTGTAACCATAATATGTGTCGCAATGCACCTTCCATATCAACTTGCTACTGCTATCTAAATTCAACCAACTGTAATCCGTATATTGGTTCTCACTCTCCGTCAAAGGCATGTTTAGCACTGTGGGGTCTGGGGGAGACTCACGAGGTAAGAGCGTTGGATGGTAATGACGACTCTGTGGTCCACAGCCAAGGAAGACCCGCATGATCACCCTTGCTAATTCCCCCAGCGTCTGCCGCTACTATTTGGTCTGGTGCCCCTGGTTCCCCTGGTTCCAAGAAATACAAGCTTTTTCACTCAAAATCCTTTCATCGATCGGTAGCCGTCTTGGCAAAACGCAACCTAATCAATCTAGAATCCAAACACCCCACGCGAAGTTATTGTCTCCATATTCAAGATACAATATTAGTAAACTGTCTTTTTGCTATGTTCAGCGGGTCCGGAAACATTTACGGCCATAAATTCGATAGAACTGAAAAGAAATCATTCTGGAGGTGACCATCGAGGATGCCCATCCAGCCCCTTATTATAATATGGCTCACCTAACAGTAATGTTATCATACTGTGATAAATACGGTATAGATCGGCATGATGATCCTTTATTTATGAGAGGCCGATGTGTACGAATATGATCGGTAAACCGGCATATGTGTGAGACAATAAGGTTTGAACTCAACAGCTTTAGGATAAAGAACTTGGTTCCCGATAATGACTTTTAAGCGCGACTACATACAATAGAATTTTCACTAGTTATGGAAAGCTTTTACTCTGGTCCCCCCAGGTGGTACCTACCCGTCCCTTTCCGAGTTTCAATATGCTCGAAGCTTCCACAACGGCCGTTTCAGTAACTCAGAGGCACAGCTCACTCGGTGGCTGGTATGTAGAAGCTTAGAATGCAAGCGCGTAACCCACGTGCGCGCCACATAGCGAGAGTCTATTTTTAGTCAGCTGCTTGGAATGTTTATGAGTGAAGTAGGTTAGCCTCGTGGAGGTTTTGCTGGTCTCTACATATGTGATGCTAGCGTAAGTGAATCTACAACTTTAATAAATGGAAGAGTCACTTGAGATTCTCAAGAGAATTTCAATGAGTAAACATTTTACACACACGATATTATATTTTTCAGATTCATCATTATAGGAATATTATAAATCTCTATGTTCACCTTTATACAGTTGCATTATCAGAAATATGAAGGTCCGGTCGAAACTCTTACACATACCTATTTAACCTAGATCTTTAGCACTGTATTTTATGGCGCATCTTCTTATCGCAGACTACTCTAAGAGCCAATAGTGCTCCGCCCTCTAGACTTATTAGTAACCCCAGCTTTATAAACCTCAAATAATACAGTGCAGCTATTTCATTCACACATTATTCTATATGCGAAGACTTTGGGCTAAGTCTTTATATAATGCGATGCGGAGAGAAGATAGCCACTGCAGGAATCGAATAAGCTAATGGTTATTTTTATACACCTCAAATATTTTATATTTAAACACATATACCTAGGGAATGACATCACAGTAGACATACGCTAAGCTACGGCATAAAAGGATGACTGTAATGTGACTTGGGGGCTAAAGAGTTCATGATAGTCAGCCCAGAACCGAATTACTGGAATTCCGATCAAACAATATGTGCAACCATCTAATAGACCATCTACGGAATAATAGTTTCACATTTTGGTATCTCAATTTCAAATCACGCCTATTCGCGCCGCGACTCTTAAAAATACTCAGTAAAATCATTGATTTTGATTGTTTCAAGACTTTAAAGGTGTAGGTATAGGTAAGCTAATATGTGTAACTCCATGTCATGTAAGCAGTTATGTCTATCAAGCCCGAAGGATTCGATTTTCGTTCAACGCAGTCCTTGGCGCGGGAGCGTCAATTCTACTGGCTGGAAAATATACGGATTTCAGCTTGATGCCTGCAGTATGTATGTGATCGCACTACTTGCTTGCGCATTAGGATCCAGCTCGACATGTTTCGGTAGGGTTGCATAGGCCCCCAACTGTCGTATAAGCCTCGCCCCCTTAGTATAAAAGTATTAACTAGCCCACGTCTATTGAGATTACCCTCATGTTTCCTAGTATCCGACGTTCCCTGTTATATCGCCTGGTTCTTGTCATAGAACTAGATATAACCCTATATTACTATCTTCCAATGTGGTATGTTTGAATTTCAGTAGCTGTATGGCGTTCATCTATTATGCGAATTTGATTATCTACTTCGCCAGACTACGCCAAGCGTTATTGCATTGTAAATAGTTCAAGACCTTATAGCGACAATCTGCGGCAACAAGCCGGAGCATCTGACCATGGAGGTCGTGGGTTCAGTCGCGTCCATCGCGCAGTTAATAGAGATCACAGCCAAAGTCTTCCACTATTGCGTCACAGTAATTGGCGCCTCAAAAATGATCGACGAGCTTGGACGCACGTCAAGTATGATGTTGCAGCTGCTTTATGAGGTGAAGCGGCAGGTCGACGGGGACGCTTCCGCAGCTCGTAGCCGCCCTTTAGGACCCGATGACCTTATTCGAGAGCTACAAGAATGTATGATCGACCTATCACGTCAGTTTGAAAAAACGAGCTCCAAAGGTTTCATGCAAAAAATACGATTCGCTCATATGGAGAAGGATATACAGAAGACTGTCGAGAAGGCATCCCGTATGAATGGCTTTCTTAACTCCTGGCTTACACTGGACATCAAGCAGACAACTAAGGCCATTGACGATGGTGTCAAAGCACTTAATAACCACGCGGAAGAAGAGATGATGAATGGTAAAATTGATCGCATCGTAGAGCACTATGCCCCTATTAGTTTCTCCGAGAAACATGGCAACGTCGTTCAACAGAGGCAGGACGGGACCGGACAATGGTTCCTCGAGTCGGTGGAGTTCCAAGACTGGATGCAATCTTTCGGGGGGACCATGTGGTGTTCAGGGGCACCGGGAGCCGGAAAGACAGTCATGGCCTCAATAGCTATCGAATATCTCAGAGAAAAAGTGCGCGAGAGAGGAGATGACCGTCTTGCATTTCTCTACTGCGACTATCGCCAACGCCAAGATCAGAAAGCGTCGATGATGCTTGGTAACCTTTGGGCACAGCTTTTCCGACAGCGAGGCCCTTCCGCTACAGAGGTCGAGCAACTATTTGGAGAAATATTATCCCGCTTCGACTTTAAGCCAACTAGGACTCAGATAACCAACATGGTCAGAGACGAATTGACAAATGGTACGCCAGGGAAGACATACATAGTTGTTGACGCCCTTGACGAATGCGCAGATGAGAATGAAAGAAATGCCTTCATTGATAGCCTGCGCAGTCTACAGCCTTTGGTTAACATATTAGTTACATCCCGGACTACACACTTTGACAATGCAGGATTTACTGATGTACAGGCTTTTCGCTTTATACCTACCAACGAAGACATGAGTACTTATATAAACGCACGGATACGAGAATCGAAGAAAATGTCCGGTTATATACAACGGAAACCGGAGCTGGAGGAGAATATTCGACGCCTAGTTATCGAGAGGGCAAATGGAATGTAGGTTGTAACTGAATACTGTCTGTCATATTCCACTCGATGATCGGATACTGACTACGCCGTGTAGGTTCCTCCTATGCAGAATGCACTTGGACTCATTGAGTAGAGCGATCACTCTCAAAGACCTGAAAAGGGAGCTGAGTCGTATCCCAGAAGGTGAAAACGTAATCAAAGATACCTACGACCAAGCCATGGAACGAATTCGAGACCAGGGCCTGAACATAGAGAAATTTGCTCTGCAAGTTATTAGATGGGTTTGTTTCGCAAGACGTCCGCTTAGACTTGCAGAGATTCTATGCGCCTTATCTATCAGCCCGGAAGATACCGAACTCGATGAAGATGCAATTGGAGAAGAGAGCGATATCACCAACTACTGTGCTGGGCTTGTAGTTGTGGAGGGCGAGAGTAAGACCGTGAGATTCGTTCATTACACCACGCAGGAGTACTTCAACTCGCTAAAGGATGCACGAAATTTCGCCCATAGCCACGGAGAAATAGCTTTAACCTGTATCTCTTTCCTTGGGCTCGACGACATAACCCTGTCAGCTAACGGCCCGTTGGCCCAGATCTGGTCCCCGCAGGACGAGGCACCATTCTTCGCATACGCGGCTATACATTTTGGATATCACTACGTCCAGGAGTCAAATCTCCCGGATCCGGAAAAGTCTGATTACCTAGAAGATACCACGGAGTTGTTACTGAGCTTTCTTAAACGTCCAGAACATGTTCAACGCGCAACTACGTCGATACTTAAGAATATAGGCGGTAGGATCTCTGTCATTTTTAACGACCCTAATCTTGGGGATGAGATGCCTGTTAGGGGTACGACGATGGATTTAGCCGCATTCTTCAACGTGATTAAGAAAGAATCCGACAATCGCCCGTTTGGTGTAACGATAGAATGGCTGTTAAAGAATACGTCCGGAGCAGCGGATTATGAGAGAACGCGTTTCGGTAACTCTCTCCATTGGGCATGCCTTAACAATTCAGTTGAATCGATCAAGGTGCTTTTGGAAAGCCCGGACATCGAATTAGATGCGAACGCATCTGCTGGACACGGCGTGGGTTGGCCAACAGCAATGGTTTCTGTCGCTTATGCATCTCTCGGCACTCTTCAGGCCCTTTTAGATCATGGGATCGATATCTATAAGAAGTCCGCACAAGAATGGTGCACGACGCTACTAGAGGAAGCCATATGGTGGGCCCATGCTGTGAAGGGGTCTGATAAAACGATACTGATAGAGGCAATAATGCAGAAGGATCCGCTTGGCCAACTGCTACTCTCACGAGATGTTTACTTCAGCACGGCACTCATAGAAGCAGTGCGTACGGCGGACTTCACCGTGTTTGAGTGTATCATGAAGCATCATAGCAGGATCCAAGTAATCGGTAGAAGGAATGAAGCAATCCTCACTAGCGATTTCCATAGGAGAACAGCGCTGCATTGGGCTGTAGCTGATTCTTCTCTGGCATTTAAAAGTTCTGATGGAGGTGCGAACTCAGGTATCCTTCGAATACTCGAGACGCTTTTGGACAGTCCATATGCCGGCCTCCTCCTTAAATGGCGTGATCGAAAAGGCGACACGCCGTTCGAGGCAGCTATTCGCCGGAATAATATCCAAGCTGTCGATGCTATCCTCAAGAAGCACAATGAGCACGAATTCCCCGATTTTTATCCATCCCAGCTAGTATCAGGACTGAACCTTGCTGCTCGGGTTTCTAATTCCCCTATAATCGACCTTCTGCTAAGCAGAATGGACGATAACCTTCTACAAAACCCTGGCGTTGATAGCGTATTGCACTATGCTGCTGGTGGGAGCAGACCTGAAAATACAGAATTCCTGTTGCAAAAGCTCAAACATCTGTATCTCTACGGCTCTCCGGGATCTGGGGGTAATCGGCCTGTTCACTACGCAGCAGCAAGCGGCAATATCGACGCAGTGATAGCTCTGTCGAGACAGAAAGGATTCAATATTGATTGTCAAAATGACCAAGGGCAGACTGCATTACACCTAGCCGTGCATGGAAACTTAATTGACGTATGTTCAAGTCTCCTGAAGGCCAACGCGAGTATCAACGTCAAAGACCTCAACGGCTTCACCCCGCTCGACATTGCTATCAAGAAACGCTTCGCAGAAGCCGTACGTATCATGGCCCAACGCCCAATAACGGAGATTAGCGGCCTCGAGGACAAAGACATCGCCTGGATACGGCAACAACCTTGGGGGAATGCTCTGATTCACGAGCCTACTGGCTCCTCGGACTTGGCGGCAGACCCCGAGAAATGGCCGAGAGAAGAGGAAGACATTATAACGGCAGCGTTATGTCTACAAAGGAAGCTTAGGCGACAAATAGGGACATCCAAATACACCCACGTATCAGCTTACCTCATATCCCGCATCCTTGATCTAGCAGAGTATTGGGTCAAGTCTACTAGCATCCGAGTTAGTATCGAAAGGGGCGGCGAGGTAAGGAGATGGGGCGACCCCTTAACACCCTACATCACCAGCAAAGCCATCAACAGCCTGTCGTCCCGACCCGTCCGGCGCATCGTATTCGAGATCACAAGCCACGATCAAGGCTACTGTTCCGACCCAAGTAGAGGCGAGAGCTGGACCTGGTTCACGGCCGACGTCCACCGGCGCGGGAATACCTTTTCGCAGGACCTAGCCAGCCCACAGGATCAAGGCACCACGAATAGGGAGATCTACCTCGCGCACAACCGCGGCGCAAATATACAGTGGCATACCCATACGCTATCCTGGAATCTCGGAGATCTCACGGGGGCGGATGCCGAGCGCGGCTCTTGGATCAAGGCTTTAGCATCGGGGGATCGGATTCTCGTCTTACCGCACGCTCGGTATCCGGGCTGGGAGAATTGGGTGCGCCGTGTGAGGATCGATGTGTACACTACGTGTCTAAGGAGTAGCGGGAAAGGGTGGTTAGAATAGGAGAACGAGCTCGCCTAGTAAATTAAGGACCTTTAGTGCGGCGTCGTGCCATAGACTTGAGCAGCCCCGCGGATTTAAAGGGGTTAGATGCATACGGAAGCAAAGAGGGACTGTTGTACATTGTGTGCTACTATAGGCTAACGTCTTAAAGCCGTGTATGGTGAGGACATATGGGATATTGTGAGTTAAAACACCCCGGTATCCACGGGTCTAGGCGCAACGCTCGGGAGGATTGGGGATGGGACGAATCAAGATGTAATATATAGTATACTGATTGCCTGGTAAGCATAATAATGATTTCCAATTTACGGTGGGCAATATCACGCAGCGGGAGGGAGCATCCCAAATATCGTTAAGGGACCGGAGTTGTACGAAGCCTGGTGTACGAAGCCTGGGTTAGGTACGTGTAAATGGCAATGTCAACATAGCTGGGTTCGGTATACCTATAGTGCTGATGACTGTATAATAATAAGAAACGAGGGAGAAGCAAGATATAATAAGCCAATCAATAGCCTTTTTAAATATAGTTATTCTAACTTTTTATACTTGACACCCTTTTCTTCAGGTTAGGTAACAGTTATTTTTCAGAGCGTCTTATCTTTTTAATAAATAACTCATCTTAAACCAATAATCTACCTAATGTTAAACTTGTACTGCTTACTTCGTATACTAGGTGGTACGTAATCTGTCTGAAGTGGCACGCCTTATACCTTTTTTCTTTTTTTACGGTACCTGGCATAAGCAAAATGTCGTGTACTCACCGCAATCTCATCTGCAATGTCGATCGATTTCGGGATATTTAACCCTACATTATTTTGTTCAGTTTCTCCTCATATTTCTTACAACCTTATTCATTATTACCATTCCAACAATAAGAGGATAGGTCATCAAGTAAAACCGCCAAGATGGCCTTAGCCTACAATCATTTGAAGCTGCTCAATGCCGCTATCGACACCACGCCCCTCATTGATAATCACGCTCATCCGCTACTCACCGCCGAGAACGTGAGTAAGCACTATTTATTGTCTATTGCTACCGAAGCCAGCGGGGCCGCTCTCCGCGACTCTAAGAAAAGCCTTGCTCATATTCGGGCCGTGAAACACCTATCCGGCGTTCTTGGCTGCGAGCAGACATGGGAAGCTGTCGAAGCTGCCGTCGAGCGGAAACGACTCGAATCGCGCGACGCTTGGATTAAGCGCTGCCTTGACGGCATCGAGACTATCTTAATCGATGACGGACTAGATGTACAGGGCCAAGCTGAGACTTATTCGTGGCATAGCCAATTTACCAGGAGTAAATGCAAGCGCATCGTTAGGATTGAGACGGTAGCAGCGGATGTCATAGCTAAGAGCTTCATTGCGCACCATGAGAACCATCCTGCTACGAGCTGCTGTATATCACAATTCGAAACTCTGGTGGCCACGGAGCTTTCGCTACTTGCTGCGGATCCCGATGTTGTCGCTTTCAAGTCCATCGTCTGTTATCGAACTGGGCTAGACTTTTCTTCTTCAAAGAGCGACATAGACATGGAAGATGCGGAAGACGCTCTGATGGACATATTAAGCGCGGGAGTGACGCCTGGGACGCCCGTTTCTGGATTCTCGTTGCGGAAGAGAATAGCGCACTCGTCCCTAAACAGCCTGATCGTCCATGCTGCCGCTGACGTCGCTCAAGAACACGGGAAACCAATCCAATTTCACACCGGTCTCGGCGACAACGACATTAAATTAACCAAGTCGTCGCCGTCTCATCTACAAGCTTTCATCGAAGAGTATCCCGCGCTCCAGATCGTACTGCTCCACGCAGGCTATCCTTGGACAAGAGAGACGGCGTACCTGGCAGCCATGTATCCGCATGTCTATGCTGATATCGGTGAGGTATTCCCCTGCATCAGCCGTAAGGGCCAGGAAAGCGTCCTGAGAGAAATGCTGGAAGTATGCCCGTGGTCTAAGATCCTCTGCAGCACGGACGGACACGGGTTCCCAGAGATGTACTTGACCGCGACGACTCAGCTCCGCTCTGTTCTAAAGACGGTAAGTATTTTTGCGGATTAACCCTACTTACTATCTTGCTAATAAGATCTAGGTATTAGGAGACTTGGTTCAGACTCGGCAACTTGATGAAAAGCAAGCCGTACAGCTCGTTCAAGATATCCTGTTTTCCAATTCCAAGAAGCTTTACAAACTTGAGACGGAATCTACTCTCCCCAGTCTCGCACAATTATCAACCGTCTCGGCTACCAACTGGAGTAACCAGACAATTATCCAGCAACTTCAGAGCATGAATGCCAAGTATCTACGCGTCTACTGGCACGACTACACTTCCAGCAACAAGTGCCGGCTTATCCCAATCAAGCAGGTGTTCAAGACGCTGTCGAGCGGTAAACCCCTGACACTATCTCTTGCCAAAGCTAGTTTCGGGATGACGCAGATCGACGTGTTGATTCCCCAAGCATCGGCAACCGGTATGTACACAGCCCATCCAGATTGGTCGAGTCTGAAATCTGGCCCCGTCGACGGCCATGTCAGCTGTTATGCATACTTCACAGAGCTGGACGGCTCGGAGGCGATATTATGCCCGAGAACGATCCTGCGTAACGTGGTCAAGAAAGCAGCAGACGAAGGATTAAACTTCCTCCTCGGTTTCGAGGTCGAGTTCCTCGTCATGGAACGCGGTCCGGCTGGCTCCCGCTTAGGCCAATTTCGAACACTACGTAGTGACGGTCACAGCTGGTCGGTAGCGAGGGCATTCGCTGATTGGGGCCGCGAGGGAAGCTTTGCCACAGCTATTGACGAGATCCTGGATAGTCTGGACGCAGCAGGCATCGAGATTGACCAGTTCCATGCCGAGAGCGCACCAGGCCAATTCGAGCTTGTGTTGTCGCCGTTGCCACCGCTAGAAGCCTGCGATAGCGTGCTCCATGCGCGCCAGATCCTCGAATCCGTCTCGGCGCGCCACGGGTTCCGAGTAACGCTCCACCCTAAGCCGTTCCCTACAAAATGCGGGTCAGCCTCGCACATGCACATGTCTATCTCTTCTCCCGGAGGCGACCGGCCGGAGGTCTACGAGTCGTTCTATGCCGGCATCCTTGAACATTTCCGTGCTATCATCGCCTTCACGAACGGCAACATAACAAGTTACGAGCGCATGGTGGACAGTGCCTGGGCCGGCGGACGATGGATCGCCTGGGGCACGCAAAACAAAGAGTTGCCACTGCGTAAGATCGAGGGCAGCCACTGGGAACTTAAAGTCCTCGACGGCTTAGCAAACCCGTACTTCGCCGCCGCGGCGCTTTTAACCGCCGGCACGGACGGTGTCCGGAGAAAGGCATCGCTGACCTGGAAAGACTGCGCAGGGGATCCCGCCCGCTTTACTACGGAAGAGAGGGCCGATTTGGGTATCGAGAAGATGTTCCCGGCGGACTTGCGGGAGGCTCTGCAGGCGCTCCATTCGGACGATAGTCTCGGCCTTGATCCCGAGTTTGTGCAGCGGTATATTCATGTTAAGGAGGCTGAGCTGGCGATGCTAGAGCCTATGACGCCTGAGGATCGGCGCGAGTGGATCATGGAGAGATATTGAGAGTAAAAGTAATAGTAATAATAATAGGATCTAATAGAGTAGAGCATTAGAGTATCAGTCTACGTATAGATCATATACCCAACACATGGCTTCGGATATCTTGACCGTAGAAGGTCATGTTGACCAGACGGAACACAGGTAAAGGGAGACAATTCCTCGTTTCACGACTTATATGCAGCAACGCCATGACATGGTCCGAGTATTACTACCTATCACATAGAAGACTTAAACCACACTTTACGGATCCGCACATAAGACGGAATATATATCCATCAATTCCGGACAATCTAATCAAACGTAATCTTCTTACCCTGGGGCTTAACAACAGCACCGGTAAGATACGTCGCCACGCCCGCATCTCCATACTTAGGCTTCGCAGGCTTCTCGCTCTTCTCCCCAAACGCAGTCCCATCCTTCTTCTTCCCATCCGCACTCGCATCTCCATCTGTCCTCCGCGCCGGTCTATGTTCCCTCTCCCTCTTCTCACCTTGCGGCCTCTCTCTTCCGCCTTCCCTCTTCCCCGCCCCCTGAGGATCCCGATCCTTACCAAACCTCTTCTTATACCTCGCCTGATCATCCTCCGCCAACTCGATCTTCAGCTCGCGCCCTCGAAGACGATTGACCCACCACTTGCGCATCTTGAACTTCTTCTCCTCCTGCTGCGCATCTCCGTCCCCGTCAGCTTTTTCATCCGCATCCCGGAAATCTTCCTCCGTTTCGATTTCTTCTTTGATCTTGATGAATCCCTTTACCGCCCACCCCGCTGCTTCTGGCTCCTTGAACTTGACCCATCCGAACCCCTTACACTTCCCGCTGTCCTCGAATGTTGCGACCTTGACCCATTCGATGTCGCCGCACTTGTCGAAGTGTGCGCGTAGATCATCTTCGGTTGTTTGGAAGGAGAGGTTTCCGACGTAGATTTTACGGCTGGTAGGGGTTTTCTCTGCTGCTGTCTGGCTGCCATTTGTTGTAGTAGCGCCGGTGGTAGCAGCAGTTCCATTCTCAGCTTCCTTCTTTGGTCGTCCCTCGTACGAGTTGGAGTTTTTAATCAAGACTTTTCGACCGCTTAGTTCGGTCTCTGTTAGAGCCATAGCGGCGACGGATGCAGATTCCACGTTGAAGTCCACGTATGCGAAGCCCTTGTTTTGAGTCTTTGGCGTATCCTCGTTGTTTCCGTATCTCCTATCCCCGTTATATTTACTCGTCGGCATGTTGACTCTCGTGATGTTCTCCTCTTTTATCATACCGCCCGAACTTTCCACCAGCCATTTGAACAATTCCACTCTCGTCAAGGTAAAGGGCAAGTTTCCTATCCATATGCCGTGTTCAGAGCGCTCGGATTTCTTATCCCCCTTCCCGCCTTTGGATGCACCCTTTGGTATAGGTAACCCATCTTCCGACTCGGCTTCGTCGTCGCTCTTGGGCTTTTCGGGGAGCGGTTTGCCTTTCTTGAGAAGTCGCTTCGCTTTTTTTGACGGCGGCTCCGGTAGCGACAAGTCTACCTCAATCTCGTCGACTTGCGACTTGCGCTTTCTGGAATCTTTGGTCTCTGGCGCGGCATGTTGCTCAGCCTCGGCTATGACTGTGGTGGCCATTATGGTTCTGAGAGTTCTGAGACTTCCGAATTGAGTTTATTTTTATTTTCCGTATTATTGTTGGAAAGGAAAGGCACACATGTGCCCGCCTTGATTCGATGTTGAAAAGGTGTAGGTTAGGATGCAGCTTTCACGAAATTTTTATGGATCTGATAAGATAAGAGATATCTCTGATTAGTTACATATGTCATTTAGTTGGATAGGGGTACTATATGTAAATAACCAATATACCCCTGAACCACGCTTCATTCTATCAATTCTATCGAGAGGCAGCACTTTGCAAGCTGCTTTCATCAAATATGTGCGAGTTTTATATTTATATCCAACTCATATATAATATTATATATCGTCCAAAGTACTGCTCATTTATGAACCCAATTCCCATCCTCCTTGCTCTTTATAATCTCATGCACATCAACCCTCTCCTTTACGATCTGCGCTCCATTCACGAGATCATTCTCATCAGCACGTTTCCCAGCTTCCTCCTCGTCCTTCGCAATTCCTGCCTCGACATGCCTCCTCACCAGCCGCCTCCTCGCCATTTCGAAATCTACATCCACAAACCACCTCTCGTCCATGAGCTGTGCAGCCGAGCGCCACTAGAGCAGTATATATAGGTCAGCAATCATATTGCCGGGAAAGGGGGCGCTGGAAGTAACTCCTTCACTCCGAGACAAGCCGGTAAGAGCAAAACAACAAGCAATTTCCCGAGGTAAGACACATACAGGCTCCTTGTCCAAGCAAACATAATTCCCCTCGAAGACCACAATCCTATGCGCCGGCAATATCGCAATATCATCCGCTTTCGGATCCTTAATCGCATGGTCAAAACTCGGCGCATACAGCGGCTGCAGAGGCGGAGGCGGCACAGTACGCAGCGCCTTGACCAGCGTCAGGAATCCGGGCCCGTCAAACGTGAACTCGGCGCCGCGACGGGCGTGAGCAAGAGCCGGGTCCGGCATAGCGGATAGTTGCGCCCGCGTTAAGTGGTACCCGTCCATGGGCACGAAGACAGCGGGCGGCACAGCATCGGGGACTTCTGGGTGCAGGCTTGCGTGCCGAGCATTAAGGGCTGCGGTGACGATTTGGGAGAGGGTTGTTTTGCCTGGGGTTGGTTAGTGTATACTATCTAGTATAAGAGGGGAGACTTACCTGAGCCTGGGATACCGGCTATAGCGATTACTGAAAAATGAATATGTTAGAGAGACGTGAGAATTATACTGAGAATATCCCAGAAGACTTACAGAGTCGACGGTCCGCGGGGAGCTGCTGGAATTTCTCCCACGCTTTGTCCACAAGGCGAGCTACCTGGTCCTCCATCTCTCTATAACTAGGCTGTAACTAAATATAATAACTACCTTTAAGGTACCTAGAACTAGCAGAAGAAAGAAAATAACGCTTGAGTTGAATTCGAACAAATCGACTTAAACAAGTATCCTAGATCTTTGTGATATGTAGAGATATGCTGTGTCAACAAAGTACCAAATCTCGCATTTGGAGATGTCAAGTTCCTAGTCCAGGTCAATCCTTATAACCCCATTGGCCCATCCCCTCACCCCGGGGAGCGGAAGCTTTATGCCCCACTAACGGAAGAAGTACATAGACGCGCGCTGATGTCAAAGCCGAAGCAAACTTGGTCTAATATCTCGTTACACTAAAGCAATTTCCCCCGGTCAAAGGTAAACGAGCCGCGGTACCAAAATCGGGTTTCTCGTCCCCGTTCATCTTATAATTAATCAATCGTAACATTGAAATCTAAGCGGTCCAATGGATCCGGATCTCGATTCCGGCCTCTTCGGTATCCAGCTCTCCGACTCCGAGGACGGAAGCAGCAACAACTCAGAACCCGCTGAAGGGACTCGGCCGAAGAAAGGGGAAGCAAGCACACCCGTAGACCGGACAGCCCAGTCGGAGGAGGAGTTCCAGGCAGTGCGGAGGGAGTATCGGGTTAAAGTCGAAAATGGAGAAGTACGTATCTTATTATGACTTTTACTTACACCCGCACGTGCACGTCATCTATTATATATATATAAGTTCAAATGCGACAGTAAAATAAATAAATAAGTTAACACATCCTCAGATATGGAAGACTATCCAACTCCCCCTAGGACCAGGCCGGGTCCCCAAGCCCGAGGCTCAAGCCCTACTACACGCAGTTGAGGAGCTATACTTCTTTCGGCGGTATGCCGAGGGCGCAAATTTTGCGCGAGCTGTTCTAGGTGGGAAAGGGAGTGAAGGTGATGACGAAGAGGGACCATCCGGGCTTGACGAGGATACTAAGAAGCTATTGCGATATTATGAGAAGAAATGTCACGAGAAGGAAGTGTAACTATAGATAAAGGGAGGACTAAAAAGATTCGATACCCCGCTACATAAAAATTTTATTACGAAATATAGACTACATCAGTTCACATGTCAAGATGACAGGTTAGACAATCAAAATCAATGGGAGAAGAGTGATTATTATCTTTATCCCTTGCTCTAAGAAGAGTATTCTATATATCTAAGTCTAACATGATACATCTGTGCTCCCGTTTGTTCGGTCGGTCGTCGCGGCGAGGCAAATCGCCTACAAGCCTATGCCAGAACGTAGCAGATCTAAATAACCCCTTTTCTATGCAACACAGTTTTGTTGGTTGTTGGGTATGCCGGAACGCCGTGCTTTTTCGAAAACAAAAAAATAAATTCAAGTCAAGTTCATCACCCCTAATTTTTTCTCTCTTCAGTACTCCGGAAATGCTCTTGTTATGGATATGGTACGTCGTTGTTTATCCCACTCGTCGTATGGCTTATGACGGACGTTGTGGTCGTGATTCGATGAAATGGAATGGCAGGTAGCCAAATTCCTGGACCTACGCCATCATCTTGCCTTCAACTTGTAGCCTTTCTTTTTCCCGTTCCTCGGCAAAGACGCGTCGGCTCATAGCAAGGACGCACTCGAAACCCTCTTTACCTTTCGTCGCGTTTTCTCGGAATCGGGTGACTAGGCTGTCTTCGATACTGGTCTTGATCCTTTGCCAACCACCGCACAGGGCCGTTATTCGGGCGTCCTGCTCGAATTGTGTCCTATGGGCATCTAGAGGGCGATAAACCACCGTCTCTTGAACGTTGACCATATTTGCCCAAGTGATGTTCTGCGATACCATAGTGACGGTCTTTGCGGCGGGGTCAACATAGGACGTCTCGAAGACCTGACTCGTCTCCGTGCAGCCGATAATAGATTTCAGCCATTCTGGTGCTGATTGCTTACAGGTGATAAGACGCTCCGTTCGTAATATACCGGTGGCTGGGTCGACTTCTCGAGCGAGTGTATCGACGGCTATGACGTGGGTAGATTTGTCGTTCCAAGGGCAGTATTTCCGCCAGTTAGCGGTAGATACTTCTTCCCAGGAGTAGTTGAAAGTGTGGGTGTTGGAGAAGACCTTCATCTCTGACGGACGATCCCAATACGAGGCGGATTAATAGTTAAGGGATAAAACGGCCCTCCTCAAAGAATAGACTCAAAGCTGCGGATGTAGTTTTTTAAAGTCCGTCCGGACGTTCAACCGTTGAGGTGTAGCAGAGGAACCTTAGTATGCAAGGTCGGACGGAGAGTGCGGACCGAGATAACAAATTCCGTATGTAAAATCGCAGCAGTTTCAAAAAAGAACCGGAATAAATGTCTCGCGTGCTAATCAGGTACTGTGACGAAACAGATACACAATTTAAAAATCGCTCGTGACACGATAAATGATGGTGATAATGGCAGAACAGCCAAGCTCCTTAGAATATTTTTTTGAATGAATGTTAAGCGTGCCGAGGGATTTTGTTTTTAAGTTTATTTTTAAGTTGTTTAGTAAGATGAGATGAGATGCGAAATAAATGACAGGAAATGCAGAGGCTTTTGAGAAAATTTCAATCCAAAGGTCCCGACTGCCCGATCGGCATTGGCGACAAGGAACCTTATCGCGGATTCCTTTTTTGCCTTCCCGGCAATGTTCGGTATGTCCCCTTACACAATTCTCCTCGCCAAAACATCCTAATTAGGATTAGCCTCGCCAGGTCAGAGAATAGTTCGGAGACGGCGTCAAAGCTTTTAACAAATTTCAAAATTTTAATTGGTTGACTGGTCCCTGAATGGATCCGAAGTGGACTCCGAGCTTGGGCCAAGTGCCCAAAAACCTGGAGCGGGTGCGGAGTCCCAGCAAAGCATCCAGACTTTGCTATGTTTCGTCAATTTTTGCATATGACAGAGACGATCTGCTGGGGCTGGGATCTACATACACTACACAGACCGGTCACCGATGAGCCTCTCACAATCTTGACGACTCAGTGACTTAATTTAGCCGATCTTAGCCTCTTACATCAATCAGTCTTCTATGATGATTTTTATGACTTCAACCCTTACCCATACCCCTAATGATCATCTACTTAATCGATCCGTGATATACTAATTGCGTAGTTCAGTCGACTAAACCCTAAGAGTTATTAGGGTTATCAGTTTATCGATAGAGTCGTCCCCAAGAATATCCATCATATTCTAATGATAAGAGATGGATCAAATATGAACTTGCGGCCTTGTCAAAGCTAGTTTTACTACAATATTATCATCAATTAAAGAAATAAAGAAAATATAACAGTGTCCGCGTTGAGACTCGATAGCGAATATGATACACGGCACTCGAACCTTTGTTTACAGCTTCATATTAGCAACTGATGTGCGCACAATTGCTCATTCTGTGAAGAATCACGTGGCTCCTTTACAAGTCACATCCCTCAACGAGGAACAATAACCCAAGTCTTAAAGAAATTCATTCATATTGGAATATTGGGATAATAGGACTAGCCTATCAAGGAACAAGTCGCCTTTATAATACAGGTTACTAACCCGTCATCACCCACCTCATAATTCCATCTAGTAATCGTCGCCACGACTAATAACCTCCTTTACGGTAGGTCGGAGCAAAATAGTCTAAAATCTCAAATCAGCATGGCAAACATCTATGTCATACGCATAATAGAAAAACTCACGTGCTCAAATTGGGCCGTGTACGACCCTTTCTTATCCAGTAGAGGGGGGTAGTCCTCTACAATACCAGATTGGACGAGATTGTTCAGCTAATACGACGTTAGCATAATTTCAAATATGCGTAAATCATTAGGATGCTTACCCCCAGCAAGTATTTCTCCTGGCCGAGTCTGTCTAAATATCTTCGTGCAAACGGAATAGTACCAAAGTTCTTCTTAATAACGTTCAGAAGGGATTTGGCTGAAGACAAACGTAGATCAACCTTGGGGGCGTCGCTACGTAGAGCATAGTGGGAGACCTCTCCCTCATCGTGGACATAACCGTTTCCGGTACTGCCGAAGGTCTCGATAGCGAAGACATCGCCTTCTTCCATCTTCGTGTTGTCATTCGTTTTAACAATGGGGACGCTCTTGGTCCCGTGGATGCTATACGGCAAGATAGTATGGCCAGTAAGGTTGCGGATTGATTTGATCGGGTATGTAGTGCCGTTGATCTCGCATTCGTAACTCTCCATGGCCTCTTGGATGTATCCACCAAGTTCGCCAAGACGGACGTCAATGCCCGCCTCCTTAATACCTGTGTTGGTCGCATCCTTTACGGCTGCCAACAGGTTGTCATACATTGGGTCGAACGCCATGGTAAATGCGCTGTCGACGATCCTACCATTGACGTGGACGCCAATGTCTACTTTCATGACATTACTCTGCTGCAAAATAGTCTTGTTCCCAGCATTCGGGGTGTAGTGGGCAGTAATGTGATCCAAGTTTAAGCCCGTCGGGAAGCCGACTCCGGCAACCTTAGCGTCACCTTCTGATAGCCCATCGTGGCCAACTAGGCGCCTGATGCTGTTCTCAATCCCTTCAGCGATCTCGGTCAAGCTTTGGCCAGGCTTGATGTTCTTCTGAGCCCACTGGCGAACTTGACGATGGGTTTCGGCAGCATGGCGATAGTCAACTAGGAAGTCGGTGTTCAAGTTGTCCAAGTGCCGTTTCTCTTCGCTAGTAGTGCGATAGCGATTCTCATCTTTATATTCGACTTCTTCACCCTTGGGATAGGTGTTGTTCGGGAACAATTGGGACATCAAGACACTCGGAGGGTCTGTCTGGGCAGTAGGAGCCTTCTTCTTCTTCTTTGGCTTCTTCTTTTTATTCTTCTTCTTCTTGGCAGCTCCGGGCGCAGGTTCGGCGGTTTGATCGTCGGCGTCATCTTCAGAATCTTCGCCGGAATGCTCTGCAGCATCGCCGTCCTTGGTTCCGTTGGCTCCTGCGGCAGCCTTCCCGTTGGTGGCTCCTTCGCTCACTACTAAATATTAGAGGATTATTCCAGCTATAGTTTTATATTAGCTTAATACTAACCACTGAGCTTTTGGAGCTCATCCGATGGTGCTTTAGCAGCCATTTTGCGATGAGTTAAGGCAAGGCTTTTTCGGTTGTTTGAGTTAAAGAAAGGTGGATTAAGACTTAAGGCTCGGAACTTTTGAACCCCACCAACTTTTTCTCGGTCTTAAGCATTATTGCATCGGAGGGCGCGGGGCATCGAAACTCCCGTTACATGCTTGGACCGCCCCGCAATTTCGCTATGAGCTTATTCTATCTTAAGCTTAAGATGGTCACGGCAAACATCAAGAGCCATACCTCTAGTTACATTTAGCTATAACTTAGGTTTAACCGTATAGTTCAAGTTATTTTTTCACAATATGATAGATGATCCTTAGGCTTGAAAATCAATAAAAAGAATAAATAGATTTTAAAATAAAAGAATGCGTGCTAACCTAAAGAATGCGAGGCGCAATAAACAGTTGGTACTTTAGGTGTATGACAATAATATCCCAAAATGATAGATCATTTATCCGTTTTAGAATGTTAAAGCACGTTAATACATAAGTGTAGCGACTAAGCGAGTGGCTTAGGGGAAATCTGACGAGTAGTATGGATATAATATTCGCCCGACCAAATAGCTGTTTTATTAACTTTGATTAAGAGCCATTAAATGAGGGCTCGTTAACAACCCCTTAAATACACTTCCTGATCTTTGGATACTATAGGTCTCTTATGTGCTGCTCCATGCTACTCAACAAGCAAGGCTGGCGTTAAATGGTGCCAAGTCGCTCATCACTGCCTACAATCACTAATAGTTGAACCCAATCAATGCACATTAACTACTGATTGTAAACTAGGTTCGTATCTTGGAAGCCTTACCAGTATGCATGAATTGAGGGTTCTATGAGACGTAATTTGGGTATGGAATCGTTACCCAACGAAGATGTACAAATATTTAAGTCGCTTAAAATACATATTATTTCCTTTGATCCTGCACCTAAGACATCTAGTCACTTATCGAATTTCCGCTTGAAATTCATATAAGGTCTCGAATATTCTCCATTCTCCCTAAAATCATTAATATTGAAGTGTATCTCACTCCTGAACATTATCTCCTCATCAAGAAGGAAGAGCCTAATCCGTGACGTCCATCGAATGCAATAATAATATGACCATGACAACTACCACAGGAGAGCAAATTCGACGGAATGAGTTCGCTCCAGCCTTTGAGAACGACCCGACCCCCCATACGACTAGACAAGATCTACCCAGGGATACCTACCGCGAAGACGATTTGGATGATAACTCTGATACCCCCGACAGTGAGGATGACTCTCCTGAGTCGGCAACCCCTACACTAGGTAGTAATGGCGGTAAAAAATCAAAAAAATGGACCAAATGGGCCTACGAAAATTTGATGAAAACAGTCTCCGCTGCGAAGGGAGTTGCATCGCAGCCCGTCGTTCATTTCGTCAAGGAATAGTACGTCTACCCTATATAATCCATGTTAAGAGGCTATCATCCTAATTTCGTTGCAGTCTAAAAGGAACTAAGCTAATTTTTGTGGTCGGCCAAACGGGAACTGGAAAGTCGACCATCCTCCGTGAGCTAACTGGGTTGGATTTGAAGATTGGGTATACTTGGAAATCAGGTCTGTGCTTGAAGCTCCCGCATTTTTAGTCAATGAATGCTGACTTCATCCTATAGGTACCCGAAAGTACGAAATCTGCCCGGCTGTCATTGACGGGGAACAATACATCTTCGTGGATACGGCCGGCTTTGGTGCCTCAGATATGGATGATACAGCTAGTTACGAAGATATCATGAGCTGTTTACAGGCTCTCGGTCCTTTTGTCACAGTTGCCGGTCTTATTTTCCTCTACGGCAAGATCGAAAACCGACTGAGGACCGAGGACCTTAAGACCATCCAATGGGTCCAATGTTTTTGTGGCCCAGAATTCTTCCAGAATATTATAATCATGACCAACAAGTGGGATTCATGGAGTCCGGATGATTTTGAAGAGGCTTGGGAGAGGGTTCCAGAACTTCTCCATCACGAGGAGATAAACCAAATCTTAGATCCACCCGGCCGCTACCCTGGAGGCACAGTATATCATCACGGCTTTCCAGGAGGCAAGGGATCCGTCGATAGCTACGGACATATCCTAAACAGGAGGCGTCATTCCCGCGAAAGGGGTAACGAGCTTAGACAGTTGATCCGACAACACTACGCGAAGGCGAAGCCGGTAAAGCTTCAGGTTGTTCAGGAGCTCGAAAGCGGCACTCCCATGGCAGAAACAGAGGCAGCCAAAGTGTTAAGGGTAGACCCGGTTAAGACTAGAATCAGAATCGAAGGAGACCGCGCCGTCGTCCCAGGCAAATTCGGCGCTCCCCCAACTCCAAGTCTTACCACTGGACAGTTGCAGGTGCAAACCCCACCATCAGCTGAGTCTACTCCAAGTATCCCCAATTCTAACGCCGCGACCCAAGTAGTGAAAGGAAACAAGACGACCCAACCTGCCACCCCAAAACATCCCATCTCAGGATCCCCGCCCTTAGAGGACCCAAAAGACACAGAGCCAGAGCCACCCACGACATGGTGGGGGAAAGTCCTCCAATGGTTTAATATCGGCTGGCACATCGCTGGATTTTTCAGGAGGTTTCAGAAGCAATAGGGCTGAATCCCAGAAATAAACTTTCATAAATCGAATGGTTAGCAGACACCTGAAAGGTGACGATTAAGGATAACGCAGACGGCCATTATTCACATTCGTTTCGGTCATCGGATACATTACCTACTCGGGCGAGGACCTATGTTTACAGCACTGCCTACCCGGATACTAAATTGCTGATGCTTGCTTGGAAGATTTCCGTACCTATCGGGTTTCACTGTTGGCTAAGACTGTTTTTGCAAGTTACTTCATCTATTCTATTATAATTCTGAATATAATGAACGAAGCCAAATATGCAACATTATTACATGTCCGTATAATACACAACAGAAGTAACCTTAGACATTTCATATAGTTCCGAAGGGGCCTAAAAAGCCGGGACTTGGCGGCGAGCCGTTGAAATTTTGACCAGAACAAGTTAGCCTTGCTATCGTCCCACCGTAGATTCGAATCTAAATCCGTTGGAAAAGACCGAGGGTTATTTCTACTCCCGTCACGTCTCTAACTATTAGCTCGCGACCACTTTGGCCAGGCATCGGGAATAAGGGATGATAAAAGGGGCTCTTAATATGTACGACTTATAAGTTCCTTCTCACTCCCTACAACAGCTGCCTAGCAACGCCTTAGGGTTCCTAAGGTGTAAGTGTTATGACTTTGTTCAATATAAGTTTATTCGTAGTTTATAGTTGCTACGTGTCTAAACAATAAGCACGACTATAATTGCGGTTCTGTACTGTGGCCTATGTCAATATGTCAACTGATCTACATACTTTTGGGATATCGTACTTTATAACCCTGCCAATTCTCGTAGCTATGGGGCGACGAACCGCTTCAAATACTCCGTTGTGATTAGCTTTTTGACTAGGAGTTTCACAAGGACGGGATATAATTATTGGCCTCACATCGACGTCGTCTATCGTCATCCCCAAACATCAGCCTGCAGATGACCTTTCCATTACTATTTGGCATAGTATTGTAGTGATATTTGTGCCTTTAAAACTTAGGTACCTGATACTTTCTAAAGTTATCCTACCACAACGGTCTTCTTTTCAGCTTCCTCCAGCCATAATGGCCTCTTGTCAGGAATCGTTATTTCATCTGATACATCATCAGACACAATAAAATATACGGGATATCTATAGTCATAAGTTAGATATATCTGCGTGGACCCCAACGGTAGTTTTAATCGCCACGATAAATAGCCAATCCTTTCGTAATATGTGCCGTTATGTCTTAATAACAAGAAGTCCGCCCTAGATATAGATTCATGAAATAAATAAACCGGTTCCGGACTCGATGCAAGGAGGAATCCGACCACGGGGCACGTCGTAAAATTGCTCTCATCAATATCAGCTTTAGCTAGGATGCGAAGGCCAGGGCATATCTTTAGAGACGCATATACTCCGCTGCAGGGTGCTGTATCCCGCACAGATACGGCAGTGTGGTGGTAGATAATCTTTCGGCCTAGGTTCTGCACTGGCTCTGTCTGCTGGATGTTTTCAAGTGGTAGATCAACTACAAAGCCTGTTAAGTGCAAATACCGAGGTGCATTTTCCCCAAGTCCCTTCAGTTTGGTGGCAGCTATGAGATTTATGTCGAAAATCAAATTTTCTCTATCCCCTAACGATACTTTGAATGGTACCTCTTCGCGCCGGGTCATGTAGCGGCGCACTTCAATGGGGCCATCCCAGCCAAGGAATGACCAGCTAGGGAAGTTAGGGCGTCTTTTCGTTGGATGGTTATGGTACCAGTATATCATAGGTACTCTTTCATATATGGCAACTCCCCAAATAAAAACAATGCCTTTCAATTCCAGGAGCTGTATAACGCCGCTCATGGCACGCAATGCATCTGCAGGGTAGCCCAGTTGTCTCCGGCTGTATTCCATTATCACCTGGTGGACTATACTGATGTTATCTTCATCTATGGACCAGGGATCTTTGAATTGAGGCAGCATAAATGGCTGGCAAGAATAAATGGAACTTTCCAATATCATGTCTATTGGGATTTTGTAATGCTCGGCTAGGCACGTTGCATCGCAGAGGTACGATACTTCATAATCGGTGAAGATAAGTCTTCTTGGTGATAAGAACCCTTCTTGATATGTCCAACCACGACTTGCCCAAGCGGACTCCTTCAGTTGATCGCCGGGATGAGGTAATCCCCCCAGGATGATTACGCCATTGATGACTTCGCTTGATTGTTGTTTTCGGGGTCTGCTTATTCCGGGAAGACCGTAGGTAGGGTCCGTCCCTGCAGCAGCAATGATTGTGATTTCTGCATTCGCATAAATATTGCCCATCTGAGATATTTGATAGCTCTTGTCTGCTTCGTCGTTCTGGTTAATGCACTATCATATCGGAGTTTATAAATTAGATTTATCCGCTATATAGAAAGTGTGAGGGTGTAACTTACATGGCGGTCGACCCAAAGGTATCGAAGTTTCATCGATATGGTGACTTTGATGGCATCGATAACCACCTGTGAGTATTTGTTTCCGAGAAGAATACCATGTGGATTACTACCCCAAACATATGAAAGAGCCGCATATTTGCATGCCATAGGTGCGGAAACAACTATTTGTTTCGAGTGGTTGCAATCAATCACTCGGAAGCGAGACGCTGGCGCAAGGGTTGGTCGAGTACAAATATCAGCATGATTCTGGTGGCAATACAACACACATTCCTGCAGCTTTTGAAATGAAACAGTATCAGGATCTATACGCTGGAACCCATACTTGAAAACTTGGCCGGGTCGAGATACCTGGATTGGGGATTCAGGATTATAGCTAACGATTATGAGGTTGCTGCTATCGCGGATGTCTGTCGACCATTTCGGTTTGCATAAATGATAAAGAGCTGGGGTTAGTCTTAGTTCACAATCTTTTCCATCTAATGACGGAGTCTTGGTGTCCGCAAGAAGGCGGCAGATACGGCAGTTTGAAGATTTGAGTTGCTCGTGGGATTCGGGCAACATCATGATTGGTCCTTTTTCGTTGTATTTCGGGTTTGTTAATTTCTGCCATGGCACTTTCTGACAGCGAGGACAGACAGATGGGTCGGGAGAAGATAAGCGCCAGAATGTCATATTCATATTCATATCCATTTTAATCTTCTTTAAACTCTTGTTGAGCAACTGAGGCTGCCTTGCGACCGTCTTGTCTGGCTGCTCCATCGTATTCGGCAGTACTTATGAAGTTCGCTTCGAAATAATCGATGGTGTAGTTTTTGCGACTCTTGACTGACGGGGAACAAGATCTCATTGAGACTGGATCTTGTCCAAACGCTTATTTGCTGCCAAAACCGCCTGTCTAGAACCCCGCTGCCGTGTCGTATCGCACATAGTTCGTCAAGTATCCCATTGGACCACGTTGGAGGGCTGAGACCTATGAGGCGTTGAATCTTAGGTGCTTACCTGGGCGTGTAAGTTAAAATCTATTTCCGATGGACATAAGAGGGGCGTGCCCGGGGAGACAAATGAGAAGATGTACTGGAATAATACGAACCGGTATGGATACCTTCTATTGGGTGGACCTAAGAAGACTGGCGCGCCCACCTCTCCCATCGTGTCCTCCCATCGTGTCGTTCCTACTGCCGCCTCCACAACATTCCGCAGAGAACTGGTGAGTACCTAGGTACTATGCATTAACAAGGGCGTATTCTCTATCTGCCTGTCTACCTACGTAGATAAAGTCACATGGTATCGTGTCGTCCGCCAGCCCTCTCCTCTCTGCCCTCTACCGTATACGGTAGCTATATTCCTACAACATCTCTTATTCTTTTTTTTTCCCTTTCCGCTTCCTGCGAGGCAGACTCGGGGCCCGTATAAGCCACATTCTGATTATCCGCCTACTCGGCAAACCAATCTGTTGGATATATGCGTGGGCAAGTAGCAGCCACGACGACATGCCAATAGCTGCTGCCTTCTTCCTGACCTACCATGATTACTCCTCCATATTCCAATCGCCTTGTTTATCCAGCACGCGCACCTTAGGTCACCCTGAGCCATAGGCGCTCTACCGCTTCTTGATGGTCGCGCGAGGCTTGCATTCGTCTCCCTGGACGGGGTGTAGCATGACCTTATTGGGGTAGTTCTGGCTATTACCCATGTAACCTTTACTCCAGTCGTATCCGACCGCGTACGCAAAGATGGTGCCTCCCGAATTGAACGTCGTCGCCGTGATGCTACCCCCTACCGAGGGGTATCCTTTCAGCCGGTGTTTCGCATCTTTGTCCCAGAAGTGGAACGTGCCGTCGCTACCGGCTGTACTGAACGTTCCATGCTGCGGATGGAATGAGATGTCGTTGACGGCGTATACCTGCGTCGTGTTACCCTGAGGCGGATCGCGGTGACATTTGAATGAGAAATTGGAGCTATCGTACGTTAGTAATCTACCAAATAGAGAGGGTACCTTTTAAAAATTGGCGACGTACCTCGCGTCCTTCTCTTCCACATATTGGATGGCGCAACGACCCTCGATACTGCCAACAGCAAACCCGCTAGCATCTGTAAAACAGCTAACTACGCGAGTCTGCCACTTAAGGGGGCTCTGAAGTGTCTTATAAAAATTAAGGGGGTCCTGGAGGTTGACGACGTTGATGTAGCGGTCCGCAGTGCCGACTACTAGTAGCGAATTACGCACATCCATGGAATATACACGTTCTTGGCAAGTGACAGATCCGACGGGCGTACTTTGTCGTAGGTCCCAGTATTTGATGGTCTTATCCCACGAGCCCGTCACGAGCATTGGACCGTTCGAGTTGGGTAGCTCGAAGAAGCGTGCGCATCGGACGGTCTGCTCGTGCGCGGCTACCTGCGCCGTCTGGAGGGTCTGTAGGTCGCAGACTTTAGCCTGCTTGTCGGCACCGGCAGACACAATTTTGTTGCCATCCTAAGACATGCATTAATACACGATATTCCATAAGTATAATAATATTAGGAATATAATCAACTTACTTTGGAAAAGTCTATGCTGAGAACAGGGGCCTCGTGTTCATACATATGCTTCCCTTCACTAGAACCATTGGCAGCAATCTGATATATACGGACCTTCTTGTCCCAGCTTGAGACGGCCAAGATGTCTGAGGTAGGAGAAAAGGCGAGGTCTGAGATTGTGTCACTTGGGGGATTCGTAAGGGCAACATCGTTCTTTAAGTCGCCAATCGTGTTACCAGAAGACGATGCAGCAGAGCTGCTTCCGAAGAGTCCCGACATATCGAATTGCGATGCTGGCCGTTACAGCCGTATAGATATGTAATGCTGGTACTTCTTGAAGATTGGCGGTTGGTAAATATGGCGGCGACGGCTATACAGGATACAGCACGAGGCTGCCCTTCGGAATAAACAATAATAGCTTCGAAAGCTTAAGGCGAACCGCTGGGAAATCTGCACCGGTACTAAGTAGAAGTAGATTGTATAGAAATTAGTACGTATAAGGGTACGGTGTTTTGATGCGCCGTTATTGTTATGCAGGATGCGGAATGCGGAATGCGAAATGGAAGATGAAGCGTTTTTGACATGGACGTGAAGTTTAACGCGTGCTGGAACCTGCCAACCTGCTGAAGCCCACCTAACCTTCACTAGGTAACCAACTAAAAGCTACAGGTCACCAGCTACACATTATGTTGTCAGAGCTTCGACGAGGTCCACATATGATTGGATAATATTTTTTACTAGCCCGACTCCACTGTCTTAGTTGCTTAGTCATGTGCAAAAGATGCAAACCTTAAAACTTTTTTTCCGGACCAGCTTTTTCATAAAATTTTCTTCCTTCTTCTACAACCCCCTCGCCCAACAAATCGCTATCGAAGCCACATACAGAGACTTTTGATCTATGATTGATCGTCTCCTCTTCTACAATGCTTTGGGAGAAAGTCCCCGGACATCCTTCTTTCTGAAGGAAAGCGGAAACGCGCCGCCATAGAAGCACAGCGGCTTATGTCTCCCTGTCTGTCCCTTGTTCTGTTATGATTCGCCCCGCCTGTCGCTACATCGCTCGTTTTCTCAGCGTGCTGGCCCGTCTTGCCTGGCCTTGAGACCTTATGGACGAAGATATGAGTCCGCGCTCTTGGTTGGGCGGTTCGGTGTCCAAGTGCTTGGGAGCTTGTCGATGACAGTTGGCCGTGGATTAGGCAGATGGGGGCACGAAGGATAGGTGCAGATCCCCTGTTGTCGAGATTGATAGTTATGCGATTGCCCTGCTTCTTCCTTGAGGACGTTGCTCGGTTACTCGATGGGGCTTATTCTTGGTGCGAGGGGGTTCCCTTCATGATGAACTACTAGACAACCCAAACTCTGGGCTTCGTGGGAAGCCTTTCCTCCGTCTATACCGTTCTGGATTGAAGGTTATGTATAGGATCTTGGCAATCCAATTGTCTACCGAATGTGAAGTTCATGTGATGAGAACCAGTATTAGAGTCAAGCACTGAGGCTAGCCCATGGTTAGTTCGTTGACGACTAAAATGCGTTATGGTATCTGATGGACATTATTCTCACTTTTTGTATAAGGTTGGTTCTAGAGATGTAGTAGTCTAGGATACATGATAGTCTCGGTCATTATGTTAGACATTGCTGTCTAATTATATTTATATACTCGTCATGGTTAGACATTGTAGTATACTAGTGATCATTATGTGCATAATATCCCATTTAAAGACTTGAACGCCATTGTGCCCTGTAACCCATGCTATTTGGTATCCTCAACCGAAAGTGATCCTAAAAACACCAGGACAGCAACCAAGCCAAAAAACGCAAACCCACTATTGCGCATATAAGGTAGGTATATACGCGAATATCCTCATCATATCAAGCCACCAAGGACCACCTTGCCCACACTAGCAATCTCCTGTTTCAAGCCCGTCCGGCTGGAATCTTCAAATTCTTTAACCACGCCCTGGATGATAATCTTGCGTACCTTGGCGTCAGCTTTGGTAAACAGCTCCGCAATGATAGGAGTACAGTCTTTCGCCGTAGGAAGAAGGGACATAAGCCTCGAGTAGCAATCGATTAATACGTCGCATAGTGTGGCGAACGTCTCAAAAAAGTCGGGATCGAAAGGAAGGTTCGGCGTTAAGAGGTGAGTGTACTCCTCTCCAGGCACAAGGTCGTTGCCCTCACCACCAAGCCCGAAGTTGATAACGCTCGTAGGCATCGAGTTCACGGCCGAGCCGCTAGCTAAGCTATTGTTGCTAGTTTCCGTATACAAATCAGTAGCACCTGACTGCCTCCGGCCTCTTCCACCAGGTCCTCGACGGAACATACTTGGTATGCGGGCGCGGGAAAGTGAGCTTGTGTTCACGCCATTCTCGGTATGGATTTGCTGGTAGGATTCAAACTCGGCGAGTAGGGTGTTGAGAGAGCGAAGAAACTCGAGCGGCGTGCCCGAGTTGAGGTCTATGACGGCCGGTAGTGAAAGTCCAAGCAGGAGATAGTTGGTAGCACGATAAGCCAGCTTACGGCTGTCGAAATAAGGCATACGTGCCAGGTCGGGCTTGTCGAAGAGCAACGTGTTGAACCAGTAGATGCGACCCTCGTGACTAGCACAGATTATCAGCTTTCTGATCAAAGAGACATAACGAAACAAAAAGAGGAATAACCTCTTCTAGGAACATACGCTTTACGTAGATAATCTAAAGTTGATATTCTTTTATTGGCGACTTCGTGGATATGCTGGTGAATCGAGGGGACCTCGTGTTGAGTTAAAGGGGGAGAAGTTGTAGTAGAAGCGGGATAGTAGCCATTCATAGTCGTTGGCGCCGTGCGGGCTATCATCTTAGAAAAGGAATCGGTCGATGCAGGCGACGGTACTATATCGGGTTCCTTTGCCAACCTGGCGGCGGCAGCAAGCGCAAAATCAGGGGGGATAGCGGGTGGTATAGCAGCGTCGGTTCTGATCTGACCTCCAGTTCCTGTTCCCGCATTGGCCGAACTTCCCCGTCTTTTTCCCTTGGAGGGGGAAGAAAAGGATGGTCTGCGCCCAAAAGAAGGTTTGCGATCGCGGTCTTTAGTCAAGACGTTAGATTCCCTTTCTTTGTCCTTATCTTTGTCACCCGAACTGGTACCGGGGCGCGATCTGCTGGAGCTACGACCACCTTGGCTCGATTGCGACTGTGGGTTGGGGTTCGAATTGGCGCTACTGTTCCCCCAGATATTGGTAGAAAAGAAAGGAGTCGCATTTTGCGTCGGCGTCGGCGTCGAAGTAGCAGATCTCTGCATGGTTGACCGAGCGTAAGCGTAAGCGTGGCCGTGAACGTGGGTGTAGGCGTGGGCGTGTGGCTCCCACCCTTCGAAGGTTGCGCCGTGGTAAGTCTAAGATTAGCGCGTTGCGCGACACGACAAGGCCCCCGACAAGACGGCCTCGATTCGTATAAGCCGCTTCCCCCTATCTGGATTGCAAAATTCGCTTGGTTTAATTGGATGTGGAGAGAGCAAATGCATACAAATGCATATGAAGGTAATTTAACGAATTACTAAGAGATAGTAATGCGTCCCAATTAGATGAATTATGGATTCGACATGATGTACATTAGGTAAATGACGTTTAATGGGGATATATAAAGATTTGGGTATTACGAAGTAGATCGGAAGATGGAGCGAATGTGAAAATGGAGGAACGGTGTGTGTAAGTGTACAATACATTAGGTATGTGCGTAGGATCGTGAGAAACTCATATGAGGTATGTACAATACGGAATACCTACATATATGTATTATGTACAATACCTCATATAGGTACCTTATGTAGGTAGGTACCTAACCTTATATGCATGCAGGTTAGTTCCCGCCCAAGCTAAGCTGCGCTTGTTACCCATTTAACCTTTAGAACGGGCAGGTAAGTTCATGTACCTGTTACACATGCCTGTATGTATTGTACTTTTATGTCACCTATCAATAGCTGCATTGCAAAAGGAACCAATAAGTCGGGGTCCGAAGCTTATCACACGCATACATTTATGTAGGTACTGTTTTGTGACGCAGCTTTAAGAGATCTGCTGGTCCATTAGGTAGCTTTATCATTGGATAGCATAATCATAACGGGGCCATACCTCGATATTTCATGCCGGGTGAAGCCATGTAAGGCTCAAGATGTTGGTATTTGATTAGTAGGTAGATATTATATATTGTGAAGCTGAGTTCCTCTTGTTTGAGATCGATTCTAAAATGTTTCAATTGTTCAATTGTTTCAACGTTTCATATGAGGAAATACCTACCTCTCGGTTAATTCTCCGAGTTGCTATGGAGCCAAACTGATAATGGTTATGCTCGAATTGTCATACCATTATACCATTATTACCTAGATACAAACTAAATTTTAACCAACCCATTAGACGGCTTATAATTTATAACAGTCACTCAAGTAAATGTAGTGATTAGTTATAAAAAAGTGTAGATTTCAAGATTATAGGTATTAACCTATAGGTTTTATAAGATGATGGGTGGAGAGATATACGGTTATAACGATATTACACATAGTGCTTGTACGACAAACGAGTTTGGAGGGTTATCCGTGTTCTAGGTGCAACCCCGCCAAATTCGAGCACTTAGGTACCTAAAACGCGCTACGCGTTGATAAGACAACCCGTTATCAAATATCTTAAGCTGCAAGGGAGCATTTGATAAGAGAGCATTTATTTCGCAGCATCAGTCTACGAACTTAACATAACCATAAAATATATGTCGCGATAATGCCCAGGTAAACGAGCTGAAAATAAACCCGATAAAGCTTATACAAATCTAACACTACTTTTCAGAGAAATTATCACGATTCAGGCGGGCCAGTGCGGCAACAGCAGTGAGTGATGCCCATTCAGAATCCCCGAAAAGAGAAAACAGTTCTTGCAGCTAGGGCGCATATGCTGACACGCCCAAGTCGGTAGCCAGTTTTGGCAGCAGCTATGCCAGGAACACGGTATCAATCAAGACGGCAACCTTGAAGACTTTGCCACAGAGGGTGGTGATCGCAAGGACGTCTTCTACTACCAGAGTGACGATACGAGATATATTCCTCGAGCAATTCTAATAGATCTCGAACCCCGCGTCATCAATGGTATACAAACCGGCCCTTACAGAAACATCTACAACCCAGAGAACTTCTACGTTGGTAAAAGTGGCATTGGCGCAGGGAACAACTGGGGTGATGGATATCAGACCGGTGAGGCCGTCCACGAGGAGATCATGGAGATGATAGAGCGCGAAGCAGATGGCAGTGATTCCCTTGAGGGTTTCATGCTGCTTCATTCCATTGCTGGTGGTACAGGTTCCGGTCTAGGTTCTTTTCTCCTGGAACGGATGAACGACAGGTTCCCCAAAAAGATCATCCAGACGTACTCAGTGTTCCCCGATACCACAAATTCGGGAGACGTTGTCGTTCACCCATATAATAGTCTTCTCTCCATGAGGCGATTGACACAAAATGCCGACTCGGTCGTAGTTTTAGATAATGGAGCTTTATCTCATATTGCGGCAGACAGGCTACACGTTCAGGAGCCGTCATTCCAACAAACCAATCAACTGGTCTCAACAGTCATGTCAGCCAGTACAACAACGTTGAGATACCCCGGTTACATGCACAATGATCTCGTTAGCATTCTGGCATCGTTAATTCCTACGCCTCGCTGCCATTTCTTGATGACGGCATATACTCCCTTCACCGGAGATCAAGTTGAACAAGCCAAGACCGTCCGGAAAACCACCGTACTTGATGTTATGAGACGACTATTACAACCTAAGAATCGTATGGTCTCAACTATACCAGGGAAGAAGAGTTGCTACATTTCTATTCTCAATGTCATCCAAGGCGAGGTTGACCCAACAGATGTCCACAAGAGTCTACTACGTATTCGCGAACGACGATTAGCAACATTTATACCGTGGGGCCCGGCAAGTATACAGGTCGCTCTAACAAAACGCAGTCCATATATCCCGATGAGCCATCGAGTTAGTGGTCTGATGCTGGCTAACCACACCAGCATCGCAACCGTAAGTTTCTTAAAGTACACATTTCAGCAACAGTCTATCAATTAACAATCTCATAGCTATTTAAACGGATTGTTCGCCAATACGATGGTATGCGGAAGCGCAACGCATTCATAGATAGTTACAAGAAGACAGCACCCTTCTCGGAGAACTTCCACGAATTCGACGAGGCCAGGGAAGTAGTGACGGATCTGATTGCTGAGTACGAGGCAGCTGAAGATGCGAATTATCTGAACCCCGACGAAGGGGAGAAGGCGACATCTGCAGAGACGGACAAAAGAGTTGCGTGACGAAGATGTTGCTTTGTAGGAAGAAGCAGAAATTATGAGATCATGTCGCATTGAAAAGCATGGCCAGTGGTTTTGTGTCGCAAGATTGGTAAGGGATATCAACGTGGTGTTTAGGCGTTCCTGGTATGACGTTGGAATGTTGATATGATGGTAGACCATTACCCGACACTGCAGTGTCCCCCTCTTGATAATTTAGAAATATTGAGAATCCTTTAGATTTGCATATTCCGCTTCAATTTCAGCCTCTCGTTTGTTTAGTCGATTACGTCGTCGTCTGCGGGAAGACCCGCTGAATCAACCGTTCCTGGACAGGCGAGCCTTTGGGGCTGAATAGGCGGGTTCTGAATCGGTACATCTACACGTGCATGATACCGTAAGAGTTTAAGATTGACTATTGTGACGTCAACTCTTGAACCTATCTTATGTATATATGTAGAAGCCCTCGAATGACGTCAGGATAGCTTCTGCTCCACCGGACCAAAGCCTCCTATGTAGACGATATCATACATATGTACAACTGACGTACATATTAAAGCATCAGGGTCCAACAGTCGATTCTTTTTCATTCTCTTCCATCATTATAACCACATAAGAAACACCAACTAAATTCAACGACACTTCCCATCACACGATCAATACATACAACTGAATTTACACATTATCTTCATCACATACTATCAGACAGTAAGTTCCCCTAGCCAAGTTATAACAAATGGACCTAGCTTCACAACATGAGAACAGCTTATTAAACTAACATTACCACGATAGAAATGAGTCAATCAAAGGAAGACAAAGTCGACGACAAAGTCGAGGAAAAAATCGAGAATGTCAAATCCAAGCTCCCTCTACCTGAGGAGCCCCCCGTCTCCCCAGACTGGAACACGGCCGACGCCCGCCCCGTCGCCGTCGGCTCCGGCCGCGTGGAGGACGATATTTCTTACGGCGAAGCCTCTACATCGGGACTGCGCCAGCCCGCAAGCAAGGAGGTGGAGGTCGACTTAAGCGGCGTGGGCCGCCAGGGCAAGGATGACCTGGAGAGGCCGCCTAAGGATGCCAAGGGGCCCAGGAAGAAGTTGAAGCATATACCTCCTAAAGATCGCGTGTCGAGTAAAGGGGATGAAGAATAGGATATGATGAGATGTTTTATCGGGATATGGTTGTACAATATAGGGAGGAATAATCTCCGCGAAGGAGAGGTGTTATCTACCTAGGTACGGATGAATGACATAGATACGCATACGTATATGTGCGTTGCATTAAGTTGCATAATAGCTTGGCATCGGTCGGCTACTTAGATAGGTAGTCAATAATTGACTGCTATGAAGAGTAATCTACGTGAGGCTTTCTCGAGTCCATGTCACTGCAAACAGTTAATTCAACAATTCAACAATACTTGAAGAGAATCCTGGAATTCGGAAATAACCGAATCGAAGTTACTTAACAACCCTAACCAACCTGACAACTTACTTTTAATTACGAGCTTATCTTTGCTTTGGTTCTCATTGCAGTTGTAATGAGGCAGTCACTGCCTGCATCTACACATATGTAAACAATAGCTACCTGATCCTAATTCTGTAATCCTAAACAATAATTAATACAACAACGATGTCACCATAATCTAGGGAATCACAAGAGTTTCAAGTTTTGTAAGTTGCTTCAAACTGATTGGGCGATAAGCTCTCCAGTCATATCGTTGTAGCTTTCAGCAGCGGTTATATCCGACCAGTGGAAGAGATTAAGAAGGGAAGCCCTGACCACGACGCACAGCGTTTTTCCCACTCTGCCCAAAATGCCAATACTTTATTATACCGTATATTTAAGAAGAGAAATCACATTCAACTAGCCTACCTCTCACCGGGACTGCGGGACAAGGAAAAGGGAATGGCCAAATCATCGACAGAAACACATGCCGGTTTGATATCTTTCAGCGGCAAGGATATATTATTTCCAATCTGCCTTTCAGATGTCCGCATAGAGGATATCCCGCCATCTGCGGGTGGTTCTTCAGAAGATCAATCACAAACAGGATCGGTGACAGAGCAACAAAAACAAGAGCTTCGTAGGTGCCTACGTCAATCGCAATTATAAATAAATAATGGCAATCTAACATTTACGAAAGTGGAAGAAATCAATTCTTTGTGGACACCAGAACAGGTGAAATCGATAATCCAGAAATGCCGCATATTGGGCGTGAGCCTCGATATAGACCGCCTTGTTCGATTCGCTATTTGTTTGAACTGTTTACCAATTGTCGAATTTATTGTCGAAGAAGAAAACGCGGACCTGACACGTCGGGATATCTTTGGTAGATCTGCTATATTCTATGCATATTCACTGGACCTGGACTACGAATTATGGGAGTATTTATCGAAGCATGACTGCTTTACTATAGAGCACATAAATTACTTGGATGAGAAGAAATGGTCTCCCTTACACTATGCGGCAAAGCAAAATCTGTTCTATCATATCAAAGACCTACTTAGAATGGGCGTCAACGCTGAAATCAGAAATGGAGACGATAAAATGCCGATAGAAATAATCGATACGGACAAGCGTGACGGGAAGAGTTGTGTGCTGCTTTTCGCATTTTGGAAGCTACGCCAATTATACCCACGTTTGATGAATGTGTACTTTTATCGCTCTCGGGGCGACAATTCAGGTATACGGACCAAGCGGTTGGATATGCTGAGCCTTGTTTTCGACCCCCCAGATGACCACTCCTTCAGCTGGTGTCATATTCCGTGGATGAACGTAAGTCTTTAGTAGAGCGTTTGATAACTTTAGGTATTCTAATATTGATAGGGCATCATAATCTTCGTACGTTTTAATAACGAAGATTCCGGGGAATTAGTAGCTAATATACTCAAGGCTGTTCTCCGGGAACTTGAACAATGGAATAGAATGATTGATATAGAAAAAACATACGCGTATCGTTCGTGGTTTCTAGGGGCTACGCCCGCCTCTAATAATCCGAAGCTTCGCTGCCGTCAACCATCGTACGAGTCATTCTACCTTGAACCCGAGCCTCCGTATATGTCTATTGTGGTACGCACCCGCCCACGTATTGAAATTTTGCAATGCTAATAAATACAGTTCCCTTGTCTCGTACTTCGGACCAGAAACAATTACATACAGTCAAGGGAAGAGACTCTTCAGGTGAGATCAGTTATACCTAGTAACTTCGCCCAGAGTGTAGTACAGGTGGAGCAAACACTAGACGAGTCCTATTACTCAGCCCTCTCTACCGAAGCGCTTGCACATCGAAATAATGACCAGGTGGTTTCCAGAGAGTGCGTAGAAACACTCGATGGCATTCAGGTTGATGACAATACAAGACCTATTCTGATGGTGTCTCAACTGTGGTTGTGGAGATCTGGGGACCACATTTTAACTGCTTACTCGGAAGGCGGATCAGAGAGCTTTGAGGACACAGTTAAGGAAACGGATAGGTTAAATCCATGGTTTTATCCTACACTTCAAGCTGCGTCTATAATAGGCCATCACGTTCGGAAATTCGACAAACCGCAAGCCGGTGGAAAGTTTCCATCGCCCCTTGATATCTTCGAGATTGCTGTAGTCCGAATTCTGTCGGACGTCGAGGCGTATACAGATCCAACCAAGCAATTGCTACCTGAGGATATTAAGAAAGAGCGCGATTTCATGCATAGAATTGCCGACGTCAGAGAGGAATTGGTTATGATACAGGAAATCTTGGATCGACAAAAAGAAATCATAAATTGTTTAATTGACGATACTAGGTATAAAGAAGAATGTGATAATCTAGACCAGATTGATGAATATATGGAAGAGAGAAATTGGGCGGAGTTGCGACGATCTGCTGAATATGTTGATAGGTCCCAAAAACGGGCTGCCAAGATTGATAGAGATGCAGAGAGGATCGAGAACTTGATTCAGAGCCAGCTAAACATGAAGAGGACGTACGCCAGTATAAGGGACGCTCGCACCGGGTTGATTCTCAGCGCCGCTGTCATTGGATTTACAGTTGTCACGATTATATTTGCGCCACTAGCCTTCATGACAAGCCTATTCGCCCTACCCCTAGAGGGCCTCCTGAAAAGCCAATACCAAATAGACGGAGGAAACGGAAAGGACTCGACCACCGCGTATACCACGATGTATGTTGCGACATGGTTTGGTAAGTATTGAGTCCCCTAAGCTTTTTACTAAGCTGACGAGTTGAAGTTGTGGCAGAGGTCGTATCGTTAGTTGTCACTATTTTCCTAGTAGTGCTGTGCCTCTGGTATTTTGGCGTCCTCAAGAGCTTAGCCACGGTGCGAGAAAACCATTCCCATAATACGGTGGCAGAGGATCACAGGCGCTCTAAGAGCAAGCTGAGTGAAGTGGATAAGACGGCAAGGCCAGTCGGAGAGAATAAGTCGGGGCCGGATCAGGAGAAGGCGAGTATGAGAAGAAGGATTTCGAGACCGTGGGGTCGTCAAAAACAGGGTGAATCGGGCCTGGTTTAAGGGGGTTTCTTAAGATGCCCTATGTAATGATTCGGTACCCTTTGGTTAGGATGAAGCCGGAGTATGGTAACGGATATAGTACTCGAGCAATTTCATGTAAATTAGTTTCCTATTTTTCATCCCTTTTCATCCTCAGTGTGTTTTTGACTCATTATTAAGCGCAGCATCATAGCTACCTACATATACTGAATCATATCACGCTCATTTCACCCATTATCTGTGCTAGAATCATACTTGCTGAGGAATCATTTGAGGGCTAGAGGATATGGAACGGGACTAGTCAATATCCCATCCCCTAGAGCTCGTTGCTCCATTTTAGTAGCTACGGAACTTCTTTCATGCCCAAATTGTAGTAGTTACGCCCCAAAGCTACCCCTTTGGTCTGCAACTCGCAACTTAATAAAGCATAGGTACCTATAAAGAGCCATATAAAAGTTATTAAACTGCCCACTCTGACAATTAGTTTAGTACAAGCATAATTCCCTTTATGAACTGTGAAGCTTGGTATATGTGAGGATTGGCTTAATGTTCTTCCATGCTTCATTAATAGATCAGGCTTCACTCATCTTTATAAAAGGCAATTTGGATCAAGTGCAGCCCTACTTGTCAGCGCGAGACTAATTAATTGCCACTGAAGATAACTATGTGTCTTTGGCCATCAGCCTCCCAAATGTATACCCTGGTAGGCCGGCACTTATTACCGCTAGAATCAGACTCTACATTATTGGGTTGGACATTCACCCTTTGAAACACATATCTACCCAGTAAATCTAGTCCATTATGTCTTGAACACTCTAGGTATATATATCTAGATTTCCCATCACTACTTACCTATTGCCTAATATGAGTCTTTTATATTTACATAATAACTAAATGCAACGGAAAAGATCAAGTATTACATACATCCTTAACAGTAGGTCATAGGAAGAATATAATTGCAATTAAGCTAAAATTATTACCATTTATCCTATTTTTTCGAAGGTTACCTTGATAACTTCAGAAGATGATTGCTAGACGTGCATGAAAGAATGCCATAGAAACACAGCGCCGACATACTATCAACACATCGGTAGGCTACACGCCTAAAACACACAGGTTATCCCAGATAACGTTGAATCTTATCGTGCATGAGAATAGGCGGTATTGTAATCGCATTTCGTTTCTTTTGGTTCTCATCTTCGCTTCTTGGTTTCCCTTTGCCACCACATACTGCATAAACACACCAACTGAACCAAAAAAAACTTCCTCTCCACGTTTAGACATCTCTTAGATCTCCGTTACTAAGGAGTATCTTAAGTAACTCGACCTCCAGTGCATATCAAGGAGGTAAAGAGGTATGCACTCAGGCACATTTCCTACTTTGTTTGTTATTTGGGTAACAACCATACCTAAACATGAGCTCGTTCTGGCACCCTTCCCAGCCTCGGTGATGGTTATAAACCAACCCTTAACCTAACTTACGCCAACCTGTCCGTCGCGTTCAAATAACAACAAACTGTAGTTTATGCAGCTAATCTGACTAGTCCTAGGGTGTTCACATCAGTATTTCCTTTGGAACGTTTCCGAATAGTACGGGCATCAACCTCATACCTACCTAAGCACCAGGTCTACTGCCACTTTTGGTATCCGCAGTGATAGACGTGAATTCTACGTGAACGTGAACGTGAACGAATTTTCACCTTGGACCCGGTTTACTTCAGGTGGTGATAAGGGAAGTTGCTTCCTTTCGGACTGCACTTGACTGGAACTCCTGAAAACTACAGCTCTTCCTTCCTTCCTTCTTACTTTTCTTCCTTCTTACTTTTCTTCCTTCTTACTTTCCTTCCTGCCTTTATTATTTTATTCACACACATTAGGTATTTAATCCTTACCACTCCCCCCTCCCACTTGCTCTACCTCAGGTATTTACCTTCTTCATCCCTGCTTTAGATACATACCTCTTATGTACGAGATCCTCAACCTTTACTCGAGTTTCCTCTGGAACTGAGTTTCAACACGACAATCCCGTCTCAGGTCATATTAACCAACGCTATTCGCTGTCAAGGCCCCATTTTTGGTTCTGACTTGAGGCAAACCTTGGTCTCCTACCTTCCTACCTACGTTCGTACAACGTTTTAGTTGAGGATTAGTTAAGGTCGCCGGGTAACTGTTTACGCCGTGTCCCTTTTCAATATCGCATTGGACAAGGCAATCCAGAATTCAGCCATAGATCGCGTTGATCTCCTTCCTTTAGTGTATACTCCTCGTGTCCAATACGGACTTTACTTATTAATCACTCACGATGGGTGATTCATCGGCGGATCCGTCCCAGCGAGAGGCGGATCGGCGCATCATGGACGCTATGATGGCAAGTCTTCCCTAACTTGTCTATTTAAGACCCGAAAAGGAGATATGCTAACTCTGGTTATTAATAGAGTGATCTCGGAAATAGTCGTCTCGAAGAACTTGCTAGAGATGGCGATGAAGATCGGCGTCGAGGCCGTCAGACCTTCCAAGTAAACCGTCGTCCGCTCTCGACGCAACGCGAGGAACGCCCTTCTGTAGATGATCCAGCTGCAGGCTGGAGGAGTAAGTTATTTCCATAATATATTCTCATATCCGCGGCTTGATACAATACTAATAAATTGCGGTAGATGCATTTAATGAAGGTGTGTTCAACGACTCTGATTATCATGCGGTAAAAGGTCTTGACTCGCTCGATGACGGAAATGCCCACCGCCTAAACCGAGCTGCAACGAAACCAGGACTCGGGGGCAGTGGGAATGCTGTTGGCTACAATAGCCGGCCTTCAACCTTTACTTCTAAGGAACACACTCTGATATATAATCCACTGTACGTCGCCTCCCATCCTGTAAAATTGATATGTAATCTAGGTAGGCTAATTCGATGCTAGGAATCCCGGTTATTCCAGGAAGCCAAAAAACTCCTCTCAACCCCTTCAGCCGGGACATAGAGAAACTTCGCTTGGTGGTATTGTACCACCTGGGGCCGAGGTGAGACGATGGGACTCTAAACGAGCAGAACAAGCTGGTAACCCAATTCGCATCACCCCTATATCCAATGTACCTGGCACTGGGCGCGGTACACCGGTCCAGGCGAGATCGCAGCAACTTGATACTCTAGGCGGATTAGGACGTGGCGCTCCGCTGCGGCTACAACCTTCTCTCATGCCCCATCAGCAGGAGAATACTCTGCTCCCGCATCAGAGACGACCAGCCGGACCCGCCCACAATACGCCTGATCACAATGGTGAAACTTCCGGTGGAAACTTGATCCAAACCGCGGCGCTTAAACCAGATCGAGTTATATTCAGAGACGAAGATGTTACTATTATGCTTGTCGTTGGACAGGATGCATTTAGTCCTGGTCAAGTTTCTCTCCATGAAAGGCCGAGTGGTGTCGTTGTCTGGAGTTTGAGTATCAACAACGGTAGAGCGACGAGAGGCGATATTCGTCTCTGCTTGCAACCGTTCCAATACGGAAGCAGCGTTCATCTTCGACGACGAGATAATGAGGCTTCCGAAGTGCGATCTAGTCAGATACGATTCGGCAGTATTCCAGCCGCGCAGGAGTTCGAAGAAGTAGTTAATTCTTGTCGGAAGCAACAGGAGAGTTCGCTCATACCAATCCTCATGGAAATGAGTAAATCCGAATTCGCACCCCAGCCAGAAATTGATACGGACAGCAAGGATTCGAAGAAGACAGACGGACAAGCTCCGAAGAATCAAGTACCTGAAACTTGCCGGGCCAGAGTCGACACCGTGGCTTCTACACCTCCTAAGCCTACATCCCCAAAGCCTACCCCAAGCACGGAGATTACGAATGAAGATTTAATTGATCTTAATTCTCCAGAGTCCCTTAAGAGTTCGAAATCTCCTTTAGATCTCATCGATCTAAATTCTCATAAAAAGTCGATGGTTAAGTCTATAGGCGATGCCGAGTCAGCTAGTCTCCAGGGAGAGCCCGTAATCGCGGCGCCCACCAGAGACACATTCTCTATGATCGCCCGATCTCAGACTATTTCGCCGTCAGTTACGACACAGCATAGTATTAGCTTCAGTACGGCTACGGTTATTTCCACCTCACAACTCGAGCAGGATGTCGCGGCGATCGAAGCGATTACAGTTGGAGTGGACATGTCTCAAGATTCCCTTCGCGTGCTTTCTTTCCTAACGACTAGAGACTATAGGCATATGATCAAAATAAGCCGCAGCCTTTTGGAATACCTCACGTGGGCTCAGAATTCATCGCCGTTAGCACTCGCTAAACAAGCAGCAATGCAGGTTGCGATGATGCAGCTTAAGCGATATGATGAATTCGGTGACCTGAATCAAGATGAGCAGAGAAAGACAATTGCAGTTGTATATGCGAATATCCTACATGGAAACGCTCCGATTATTCGCTCGGTCGGCGAGATGATGATGCTGCGACAATATGCGTGCCCCTGCCACCCTAGAATTCTCCGCTTTAACCAATATTTCTACAGAGTGACCGAACACCTGGGAACGCAGCAGCCATTTACAAGCAAAAATACCTTCGTCCCAAAGACTTCATGCTCAATGAAAGGGCATTCGGAAGATACTCAACCTGTGCATGAAAAGCAATGCCCTGTACCGGAAGAGAAACTTATTGATATAGAGCAACAACCTGAAGAGGCTGAAGAGGAAACGGTAGAAAAAACTAACAGATTTTTGGCTCTATTAAGGGACCACAATAGAGACGCCGTTAAATTAGTCCAGCCAGAGGCCAATACCTCGACGTACGCAATGAGCAACTCATCGGCGTCTACCATACGGACTGGTGCAGTCCTCGTGCCACGTACCAACCCAACGCGGGAGACGAATGCTTCTATAGACCGTACGCCGACGGTTCACGGCATTAGTTCCTCTCGTTGGGCGAATCAGTCGCACAATACATCGAGCCACGCCGATACGGAGAGCCGTCGTAACTCCCCAGTACCGAGTCACGGACGAACCGCAACAGGCGACTTGAGTTCCCTTTCGGGCATCACGACGCGACTTGCGACGCTCGAGTTGGATGATCTACAACGTCTTTGATGCATTCGATTAGTCGTTTTCCCCGAGAGTTCTTGACATCTCTCATACTTTGAGTTGCGAATTTCAAGCACACATCTCCACGTGCTTATGAAGTCGTCTACTACTAGTTTGAGCTTACGGACCATATTTGGGCTCTGGTCATCCGTTTCTTTCCTTTCTTTTTCCTAACGCCTCAATAAGAATCTCGGATGTCGTCTTCGATTTCCGCCTGGTAGTCTGAAAGGGTGCTGAATCTCTTTTGCGTTTTCTCACCTAATGTATGGCGTTATGCTGCGTCACCTTATCAAAGACATCCGCAAAAGCAATGCAATAACAAAACTCGTTGAGACGTTCCGAGGTCTTTTAATAGATCTTGGACTATAGAGAATTATCTCTCTTACTTGTACTCTTCTATGACAGGATCAGAGGATCCGGCTATCATGAGACGATAGGCCAGCAAAGCACGTTTTAGGAGAACAACTGTTGGGTGGATAAAAAACCCCGAGCTTGACGGCAGAATTCGACGTGGGCAACAATGCATCTCGGAGAAACTCCTAGCAACATCTTGCATGCTTAAGTCACTGCTGGACACGAGCAAATTTAGATTTTTGGCCGAAACCTCGGGTTAGCCGCGACGATGAGATGGCATGGTGGAGACTGTTGTATATAGGTGTGGATAATGCTAGGTTAATAGTGAATGTAATGAGTCTTGTAAACCTGATGTTGTCTTCGTTCGCCGTGATCGGTTGACTTCTGTTTACCTTGATTTAGTACTACTAGCCACACGGATTCGAGCGCTAAGGCTTAAGGGAGCGCATATACATATGTAAGGTTATGTGGCTAGACAAATTAGAGCTGTAGCCTCGGCTGTTTGGCTATGACAGGTATAATACCAGAGCTTGATAGATAGGTAGCATTGTTACCTTTATCCTATGTTTAGCTTAGGTTAAAAGCTTAGGAAACTTGAGAAGCTAACATGTAAACCTTTGTTCATTCTGCGTAAGAGCTTTACAAAGTAATTGACGATGATGATGATGTGTGCAGTAAGAAATAAGAAAGAGGCGGTCACGTTGTGTTTCTAAAGGTGGCTTTTCTTAGGATCTTAGATCCTGACCGATAGCCAATCAAGACGAGGGACAGGATGACCCTTGAACCGTTGCTGTGTTGGTAGCTTGTGACTTGTTTTCCTTAGGAGATATGTTCCCCACAATGCGTTAAGTTTGACGAGGGGTCGTGGTTGATGTTATGCGTTTTTGCTGTTTAAACAGGTAACTTTAGAATATGTATGCTTGTTTTATGCATAAGGCTCTTATGAGTACCTAATCTGACGTACCTAAGTGCTTCAGCTGACGCATGTACAAAAGTATGTTCATGTTTATTCCGCACTATGTAAGTGTAAGATAAAGTGGCATGTAAGGTACATACATGATATGGTAAAGGGAAGTTGCATCGTGGAAGTAGGCATAAGGCACTAATGCGGGCCATTGATGACAAGAGTAAGTGACAAGAGTAAGTGCGTACCTATGAGGTAGCCTGTAATGTATAGCACCGCTAGTCCACTTAGGGTATTACTACCCAGTGTATGTACAATACAGCAATACTTACGGCCACAGGGGACCTTGTCTCCACCAGCTGGCATCGAGTGAACCAACGACATGGTCAGATACATTGGGGATTTTGGGGCCTGACTTTTTTTTTTGCTTGACTGCCCGAGCCAGCGGAAGGCGGTTTGCTGAACCATTGCTGCCATGTCTGCGCATCTTTTCCTTGGAAATATCCAATCCACACCATCCACATGCACACACAAAACCTCCATAACCTCCATAACCTCCAAATCCTATTCAATCAAATGGATTAATCGACCCAAGACTTTTAATTGTTAAGAAAGCCACCTTTGGGTGTTTTATTATTGCGTGTTTTGTTATTGCTTTTTTTTTTTCTCTTAAACAACTACGTTATCCTCGTCAATGGGCAACCAATAACCAATATTAGGCGCCCTTTTCTAGCTCAAGGACCAGACTGAATAAAAGTAGCCACAAGTAAACGACATTCTTTTTCGATCCACACACTCCCGTTATCCACCTTCTTACATACTTCCTCCCCTCTACTTTTATTTATCTCTGGTTCTCCTCACTTCCCTCGCTCAACATCTTCCCCATCCTGCACTCCCGGTTAGTTCCCATCGTCAACGCCACTTCGCCGTACGTCAGATAAACATACCGTCGATCCGCCGATCAGTCCAGCGTGGTGTCGACATTGCTGTAGCTCGACCAAACACTGTTATCGAGGTGGGAATAGGATACGGAGTAGCACGACATATCGAACGGAATATACCTGCCAGCAGAATGAACGTTCTGTTGTCGTCGCAGCCACAACCGCCGTCTTTCTTCCCTCATCAACACGAGACCAATAGACGGTCGCCTACTCGCTCAAGTATGTGAATATATTTAATTCCTCAGCTTGCTCATCTCGAGTCATGTGGGGCGTTGTCTTAATACCCCTTAGTTATGTGCGATCCCTAGCTGCAGACTCGACTACTCTGCATCTAAGGAGATTCGAATAGGCAGCAACGTAAACAACGTATACTAACAATTCTGCTTAATAGTTTCTCCTTTTCATACCGCTATGTCTAGTTACCGAAAGCGAAAGGCCGATGATGATGGCGATGAGATGTCGGTCTCGCCCCTCAACTCCCCTGCTGGTCAATCGCGACAGCTTGCGGCCAGACCGTCGAAGAAAGCCCGGGCAAATGAACTAGCCGGGAGGCCTCTATCGCTCCCTCGACTCCTCGAGACCCTCGATATCACGCAGTTGCGGACTGTGCTACAGACAATTTGCGAGCGACAACCAGAAATTGGAGAAGAGGTCGTCAAAAGCGCTCCAAAGCCCTCCGTCGATTGCGCGCTACAAGTATTGAAGGAGTATCAGGACAAACTACGAGATGCCTTCCCCTATGGCGATTCGAGTTCCGATTACACATACTATCGAGTCAAACATCAACTTATGGCGCTGATTGATGCCCTTGTTGATTTCACACATCAATTCCTTCCGCCCAACGAGACAAGCGCCAACATCTCGCTACAATATCTGCATGGCGCCACGAAGGTAGTACACAGCTTGCCTGACTGGGAAAGTCAAAGCCACCGACATCATAAAGAAAACGTCTACTACGAAATATCACAAGCCTGGGCTCTGGTTATCAATGAAGCCTCCAAGAAAGGGGCTGGCTTCCTCTTACATTCGGGTGGTTGGGACCAAAAGCTTGCTAAGCACAATCTACAGTCGGGTGGCAGGCTAGGTGCTGCCATTTCCTCTATGGCCGCGAATGTCGGATGGGTCGGGGGAAGTTCAGGTAACACTGCCTCAAGTACGCCCGCCAACCAAAGCTCTATTCTAGACCAGTTGATGGCTGGCAATTATGGCGCGCCTGTTCCGGTTGGACGTTGGTAGAGACCGCCACCACCAGGGAGGAAGCAAGGAAAGAGATGGGGGAGGAGGTGGATTTGGACGGGCCTAAAGGGGCACGAAGATTAATGAGCAAAACGATGTTTCACTAGCATCCAGCATATGACGGAGTAAGCAGTCGTGCAATAGGCATCGAGGATGGACGCATTTGCACATACCACCACCTCGCAATGAGACTACGATGAATATTTCTTATTTTTCTTCCTTTCGTCTTAGGGGGCATGGCATAGGTTCATAGATTTGTCGGCCAAGGGTTCTTTGCTTCACGGTTACTTACTACATCACGGCGTTCTAGCACTTACATCTTACATCATATCACTGTTACTATCAATTCATGTTTTTTCTTTGTTATCCTGATATCCATCCCCTTTTTTCATTTCTTCATCCGAACCAATTACACATTACGGATGCCTTAACTACTTTCGACCGAGTCCCTTTCTGCATAGTGGATGGAACGAACCAACAAACGGAGGAGCTGCTTCTTGGGTATCCAGGTACTTAGCTGGTTTATTCGGAATAGGCGGACCTATTTACTTATTACTTATTGGTCAGGGCGCCTCATGATGTACATGCAGCTCGTACTGACGCTGTTATAGTCGGAGCGGACGTGAGTGTTGTGGCTTGACTCACTGGTCTAGCATAAGCATAGGCATAAGCATAAGCATACCTAGGATAGGGACATAATCATCATCAGCGATTTAGCTGTTATTGACGCCAGCAATATTTTTAAATCAGCGTTTGGTTTGCTTCCGTGAATTGTTCGTGTTGTTTTGCGTCGGCGTTAAGTCGGGTTAACAGTGATATACTATCAAAGGTTTTTGAGGTATTCTGTGGATTAAGAAGTGATGAGGACTCCAGAGTGTTTGAAGTAGTTCTGGTGCTCTTGTCTATAACGGGAGTGAATACCTAACTGACGGTGGTGGGGTTGTATTGGCGGAATAGAGGCATATTCTATGAGTATATTCCAGTGTTGATTCTTTGTAATTTAGGTAGTTATATTTCTTCCTTTCCAGAGCGAATGAGGGTTTCCCGGTATTGGTTTACCCCTTTTCACCTTGCTAAGCTCTAACACACTATGTAGCTTCGTGGGGGGGAATGAGAATGTGTTCCTAGGTAAAGAGACTAAGTTCAGTAGTAATTACTCTTTCTAACTCTTTGTAAGGCGGAATATAGGTCTTGAAACCTCGGTTTGCAACGGGACAATGAAAAGACTATTTAGCAACTCAAGGTTCAGGTACCCGGTAAGCTAAACGCACGGGAGTACCTAGATGGCGAAAGCTAACTCCTCGTCTCGTATTATATACTTGGGTAGGTTTTAGCAGCGAATTGAGTTTCATATTAACTAGATGACTTGTCCGATGTTTTTGGGGCCCGGGTAGTGTCAAACCGCGTACCCGCCACTAGGACGTGATGAGACGTATTTGACTACCTACCTAACCCAGGTAGATTGTATCATATATATAACTTCCTATGTGGTTACTTATATGGGCTTATCATCTTCTATATTTCTATGGATTTTTTTATCACGTTAATGATTAAACGTTTAGAACATTTTAGTAGTTTTCGGAGGGCCGGGGCGGCTCTAGTTCGAGCTCGTATAGAACTATCTACCATACGTACCGTAAACCTAGAAAGGGAGCAAGCCTTCCCCCGTAGTCTCAGCTCAGCTCAGGATCAGCCTTGAATTCCTGTCGACATGGAGCTGGACTCCAGTAGGACTGTCTTTGACCAAGATCAACATCCACGACTTTGAGGCGCCTTCGCCATGCCGGATGGTTGGAAGCTTATTTCCCTGTTTGCCCTTCGCGAACCCGACAGTGACATAAGCTTTAAGATGGCATATCATTAAGGCCTTTAGGACCACTATGAATAGTTAATTTTAGGAGTCCGTTGCTCATTCTCCGTTGAGTACTGAGCCTCCTTAGCTACGTAAGAATCGAAGGCACATACACTCACCTAACCACGACGACGTTGAATATATTTGGCATCTTTCAACGCCCTTACCAGTGAACACGTGTATACTCACTCTCCCAAGTTCACTTACTCCGACCATTTCACCCGTGAGATAGCTCAGCCGGACGGCCAAGGTTGCCCGGGACAAAAACGGGAGTAAGCAGAATTCTACAGGGACCACGATGAGTAGGATATGTCCGTATCGGATTATACCAACTGCGCCCTGCTGCTGCGATCTTTAACCTTCCAAATGGGTAATTCAGAAGATACGTAATAACCTATTTTACTTAAAAATGGAGTCTGGGCAGTTTGCGGGTTCCGTAGGTCTACACGGAGAGCCTCGTGTTTACGCTCGGCTTCTGCGTTAGACGCTCTATTCGGCCTTGTCGATACAAGGTAAGTGAAGGTATGAGAGCTTGAAGACATTGTCTATGACGTGGAATAAACACGTCTCTTTAATAGTAGTGAAGACATAAATATACCTGTTAACCTCCTCAAGACTATTCCATCATCACCCAGCAATAGCGACTCATTCAACCATTCATTAACTTACCGCTTACTATTCATACATCCATATGATAATATAATAATACCAATAACTTACCGCTAATTAAATTAAAAATGGTTACCTCTGGATCTCCTTCCGAATCTCCCCGTGGAGCTCCCAGCAACATTGATGCTTTTGCTCTGTTTGAGGCTCTTACGGGCCACAAAATCGACCGGCGCTCTATTCCTTCTAGGACTATGTCCGAGGACTACGAGGTCCTCGGCAACGATGGGGATGACCGCCCTCCCCTCGGCCAGGAGCCTTCTCCCGATGAGCCTCCCAAGGACGTGTTCATCGGCGCCATCAACCCGTATGCCCTGGTTGAGGCCATGATCGGCCATCGATTGGACCGTCGTGCTCTTTCCACCGCGCGTATCCTCGCGGATGTTCTGCAGACCGATTACGAGGAGCTCTTCGACATGAAGCACGACTCGGTGCTCTTTGCTGGCCTCAAGCTCAACGAAGACAACCGCCAGGCCGAGGAGATCCCCGAGAAAGAGATACAGATCCTCGAGGAGCGCGACCTTGTCACTCCCGACTTGTCCCGCGTCAAGAAGCTCGACGACCTCGAGAAGATCGGCCTGAAGGAGCTCGGTGATGTCCGCATCAAGATAGCCCATATGCAGAATGGCAAGCTCCGTCTTGTCCTCGATGGCCAATCTCTCGGCAAGACTGTCAGTAACCGCGAGGTTACAGAGACCATCAACGATCTTGCCCTTCCCTTCCGCCACGGAAAGGAAAACCAACCGTGGTCTCCCCCTAACGGCTCCTGGCGCGATATGAACGACATTCTCTCCCGAGGTTTCCCGCGTCGCCCCATGATGGACGGTCCACCCTTCGCCATGCACGGCGGCCTCCACCAATTCCGGGAGCAATACCAACACCGCTTCGACGACCCGACCCAGGGAGCTTCGAGCGACAGCTGGCTAATCGCAGCCATCTTCTCCGTGTTCTGGGCGAACCCGGCCATGATCAACCGATCCACGCGGATGACGATGACCGGGCCTATGGACCGCGCCCGCCGCACCCTGAGCGTCCGCTTCCACGACAAGGGCGGTCGTAACAACGCCGACACAGACACCGTCGAGGTCGACTACATGATCCCCGTCAACAACTCGACCGACATGCCCATCTACGCGCGCTCCAGCGACGGCTGCGAGGCTTGGCCCGCGCTCTACGAGAAGGCCTTCATCAAGTGGATGACGCGCACCGAAGACCGCAGTCGTGTCGACATGACACAGGCACACAACGGCGACCCAATCAAGGCCAGTGCGTAATCCATCCATCCATCCATATTTAATAAATATTTTCCTTTTCCCCCTCCCCCTCCCCCTTTTCTCGGCCCTCACCGAAAAAGTCGGGGATTTCCTGGCCCCCCCAAGACCCCCCCAAGACCAGTCTAACCCCCTTTAGACATATTGGTCGAAAAAACCAGCCGCTAACATCATGCTTGATTAATATAGTGGCCCAAATCAACGGCCGCGAGCCCCGTTATTACTTCACCGACCGCCACTCCGGGCCTGAGCTCGTGGGCATTGTGCGCTCGTGCAGCGTGAACAGGCGCACGATTAGTCCTATGGCTGCGTGGACGCACGCCACGGGAGACAGTATGTAACGTCTTGAGTTTCTTTTTTCTTTCCCCTTCTATCGGATCGGTTTCGGTGGGTGGGCGGTTTTTCGCCCGAGAGATACCTAAGCGCTTTTGACTTTTGTTGTTTTTCGTCGGGTGCTAGCTAACTCCGATATTATAAGTGTTCCGCGGAAGCAATCTGGTTGCTAACCATGCGTACTCGGTCCTGGGCTGGGTCAGCGAGGGCCAGGAGAATAACGTACGTACCTAACCTTTATATATACATACCCCTTTTCCAGCCGATCGGAGGGAGACCTACCTAGTGTGTCCGGGACATTTCCGAGCCACTGAAGTTTCTCTTATACATAGTAGTAGAAGATGACGGGGAGGCTAACTCTGACGACAGCAATACATCATTATTAGGAACCCGTGGGGCGTCACCGAACCTCGCGGCCTAACCTCGTACCCCGGCCTTCTTGACCGCGTCGAGCCCGAATTCTGGCCACCGGCGGCTCTCCTTGACCGCGATGGTGTTTTCAGCGTCGAGGTTCAGGCTTTTAAGAAGTACTTCGCCTGCATCGGCGTTGCCAAATAAGAATGCTACTCCGATTATCGGACAGTCTGTGAATCGTCTCACGACGTCCTTGTGGGCTGATTCATGGTTCAGCTGTGCCTGTGCCTGTGCCTGTGCCAGATGGCTCTCTGCGTCTTGTGGATTTGTATGTAACCTAGTGGATTCGTTGAATTTGGCACGTTTTGTAGTTTGTCGAGTAAAATTCCTTGGATACGCAGATCGATCTTATCTTGTAACTATGCTAAGATTCAAAAAGAAAAAAAAAAGAGGGTTGCTTTCCAGAAAGAAAAGTTAGGGTATCAGGTTATAGACGTACAGATTGGCAATTTACCTAACCTAGAGGCTTATCATGCCTGTCTTGTTCCATCTTCAGCTGCTGTGTATCTCAACCAACGGTAGGCCATGTGTTACGCCTTGTTATACCTAATCCCTAGGTGGATATATAATGTCCATCTGTTATTAATACGGGGGATATTCATAGAATCATAATTGGTCCAATCATATATATGATACAGGGGTTATCGTCCTAACTAACATCGATATTTACACTACCTATGCTTAGCCACGTCATGCGTTGCGCCATTTGGTAACTGGTTTGATTTAAAACCTCAAGTGTTTCGTCGGTAGCAAGATATTCACTCTAGTGTAAGGTTGACGAGGACTAGTTCAGGTTGCCTCGAAGTTGCACCAACGCGCTCTGTTTAGGTAGAAGCAGCCCCTAAATCGATTTATAGGTTAGAATACGTCCCGAAATACGAAACCTCGCATTCTTAGCCATCATTCGAGAAGCAGAACTCAGTCTATTGATTCACTACAGATCGTACTGTGATTGGATTTGAGCCACGTATCTCTATTTCATCTCAGCTTTACTTCAAACATATTTTTTTTATAAATAACTTCCTGTCATGTCTGAAGCCGTCATACCCAAGACCCTACGTCCCACCTATATCATGACAGGAGGTCATATTCACGCAAGCAGGCTTTACAAGTCATATACCTATGACAGCGACAAATATATATATATAAAAGAGAGTGTGTCAGGCATGAATCAGGAGTGGATATAATCAAGGTTATTTTGGCAAGCCAACACAAAGATATTTATCAAAAGAGCCAAGATGTGGTGGATCTATTGCAGGAGGCATATGCAGTGGCTGACTTGCTAGAATGTTCTGTTCGACGAGGCTGCGAATCTACCGAATATATAAGAGTATGGGCTATGCAGCTGAATAGATGACTTTTGGTATGACTAGCACAACCCATTCTTCGCCACCATTACAGTTCTACACGGTTGAAGCCGAGCCTCAATCAGAATATCTGTGGAATCCGAACTCACCTATCTTACTTGCCAGGGCTGACAATTATTCAATGTCAAATACAATCTGAATCACTTGCTTTGTATTTGTTAGAAATCAAGCTGCTAGTGAATACCTGATAGACGTTTTGCTTTAGAATTTAAGTTTTTCTACTTGAGTAATTCTGCGGCGGATTTGCATAAAGTTGGAAGGGCCCGAAACAATAAATCTAACGATACTTTTTCGTGGACACGTATCGGTTTTCTAGATCTACCTACATCTCTACTAGCATAATGGGCTCATCTAAGTATCCTAAAGTTGAAGCCAACTTCCTCAAATTAAAGGAAATCCAAGGCCTTCCGCTGGATAGCGAGGAGAGGAAGAAAAAGATTGTCGAGAGATGCAATTGGTACATGTTCTGCGCTTCGGATATCAGGGGGAAGGATTTTCAAGACCCCCACGAGTTTATTCTTTACTGCTATCACAATGTCCAGGCAAATTGCCCTCCTATGCAGATGAAACCAAACACTAAGATTGCCGATACTCTTGCAGAAGCGTATGTTCAGAATTTTCCACCGACCCCAAGATCGAGCAAGAAATAATACCTACCATATGAAGATTACTAACGCGGAACAGTTTCATTTCCAAGTATCATAAACCATATGAGAAGGGCACCCGGAAATATATTGAAAGCCGCGATGATGTAACAGTAAAGGAAATACAAGACACTCTTGCCGATGCCTGGGAAAGGTGGCAGTGCGACAAAAACACCAGGGCCAACGAGTTCAAGCAAGCTATAAACAGCATACCCAATCCAGAGAAAATCGAAAAGGTAGTTTGTTTAGGGCTCGGTCGTATACTTATGCCAAACTTTCGCTCCAATCAACAGTCGCCGGAACAAAGCACTGGTAATACACCAAGGCCGCATAATAATATCATCATGCCGCGGAATATCGCTCAACATATTGCCGCCATATCACTGGTTAAAGAACTGGAGAAGAAAACGAACAAGGAGATCCCGCTCTATACTGCAGACCCCGAATATGGAGATGGGCACAAGAAAGCCCTCGAGACGTTGGATTTTGGCAAGTTTATCGTTCTCGATCCAGCATACGGTGTACACGAGCAATTTACGTATATCGACGACAACACTCTGGTTTTTGATATGGCCGGACCGCCCCAATGTCCCACCATGAGAATAATTCAAGAGTATGCTCGACCCGTCGCGATTATCACCGGCGAGATCCCCCGCAGAGGAAAGTTTCAGGATAGGCTCTGGTTTGAAGTCCAAGAAGAGAGCGGCAAGAAGATACAAATCCCAGGCTGCGCGTAAGTCGTCACATCAATCAATCCCAAACCCTTTCTTTCTTCACATCGCTAACGGTCTCTCATCTCAGTCACTTGCCGCTCCCCGACGGCTGTTTTCGATTCGGCGGACTGTGTCCAAGACGGGTCAGAGACATGATCGTCTACGAATACAAGCAAGAAGACAAGTTCCCCGCGGAAATGGAGGCGTCTGCGCGGAAATGGGGCGCGTGCGATCTGGTGAACTACGACAATCGGGATAAATTAGAGGCCCAAGTCGGCGCGTACTGGCACACCGATACTCGTTTGTACGTGCGTAGATCTCGTCCATCATACTTTTTGAGATTTCTCGAATGGTGTAGTGGCTTGCTACTAACATACTGAGGTCTATATAGTACCTAGACTATAGTATAGCGTCGCTTCTGAAATCGCATTTTTACGTGGTTTAGTTAGTCAGTTGATTTAGTTAACTCAATATTATTATCGCGTTGCTTTACTTTTTAGTTCTGACATTTATAGAGACTACGAGGCCGTACCTATCTATATGCTATCTATATGCAGGCTATCATTCTCCGAGGATGGTTCAAGATGGGAAATGACGAGAACTGAGTGATCGACAGAGTACGAATTCTAGGATCGTCTACTAACTATCCAAAGAGATGATAAGTTCGAAGCGTTTCCATGCGTCTACAGCTTGAGCTACCCTTGGATGAGAATGCTGATATAGGCAGCAAATTAATTTCATGCAGTTGGAATGTAAACGTAGAATTTCATTCGAGTATACTCCATTTTTTCTAAGCTACACCTTTTGAGATAGAACTGGTCTTATGTAGTAGTATTGAATGTGGGCATCTCTTTTTCATTCATGGAGCCCACGTTCTTCGAATAAAACGCCAAGATTTTACATACCGCTAACGCTAAAAAAAAAAAAAAAACCCTAAAAAAATCGACACAATCGGATCACTCGATTCCCAGACTAAAAAAAAAAGAATCCGCCAGGCGCTTCGTATCGCGCCAAGTGGGCGGGCAAAAGAAAAGTCCTTTGAGAGCTGCAGGATTCGAACCTGCGCGGTTTCCCATCGCGGGTTATATGGTGTTCCTTCGGAAGACCTAAACACGACGCCTTAACCACTCGGCCAAACTCCCATTGGTTGTTGGATGATTGATCGATTGCAAAAACAACATTTATACCTACCACTGAAGTTTTCATATAGTCACCCGACTTGTTTTACAAGATTGATCATTGATTACCCAGTCTCTACAGTATTTTTATTTCACTCCTAAGAGAATATAATTAGACAAATATTACCGTAGGGCAAAGCATCAATCAGCTTCATCTTAAAGATCTTTATAAAATTTGGGAACGTATCTTTAAGCGTCTCTTATAAGATGCAATGGTGCTTTGTCTCCAAATAAATCCTTACACGAACCGACACGATTCTAGACAAGACATTTAGAACTAAATATACTTTCAGAAATTCTAACAACAGGCTTTCATACCTAGCTTGATTCAAAGTTCCTTGCAGAACATCGAAGTTATTTTCCTAGCTTCTAGAACCACCTTATGATATTTAAACCCCAACTTGTAGATTGCACTATCTATCTCGTATAAAGAATATTCTCTGGTGTCTTAATAAGAGATATCATATTATAACCAAGCCCATGTAAGTTTATGCCTGAAGATTCTAATGGTCCGTTAACCGTAACTAGGAGGAGCTGGAATATCAGGTAGGTTTCCAGGCCTACGTTCCTAAATAGCATGGTGACTTTAAATAGGGACATAGGGTCCTATTTAAGAGAATAATAGTGACCATCATCAAATATTCAATTACCTCTTAACTGTTATTGACCGTATGTGAGCTTCTTGCAACTTTATCGTTTTACCTTAAGACCCAATTATAACCATATGCCCCTGGGCCAATGCAATCAGCATGGTAATCGCAGGAATTCTCTTGGTAATCTTTATCCTTCTTGCAGTTATTATAGAGACAAATTGGACAAGAACCTCAGAGCCTTCTGCTCCAACTCCTGCTCCTGCTCCTGCTCCTGCTCCTGCTCCTGCTCTACGAGTATGCACTGCACAGGCTCCTCGACAAGAACTTTCGCCTATTCAGCCACCCCCCAGTCAATGGAAGACAGCTAGCATTGATAGAATGGCGAAATTGCTAAGCAAGATCAAAAACGAATTCGGTAAATACACCATACGAAAATGGCCCCAGGACCATTGGAAACGGGGCCGTGGCTCCTCAGATGCAGATATAATATCTTTAATTCAAGCCCTCGACGTAACTTCTTTTCCACGTGACTATTTCGCCTTCCTTCAACTCAACTATTCGACCAGTTTTTTCACGTACGAGGGTGGGCCGCTCTTACAGTTTCACGACGCAAAAGGAGTCAGGTGGGATGAAAATGGCCTTGAAACACGGACCGTTATGGAATGCCTGATCGGAAAAGCTGCCTTCAACGCCGTCATCTCGGAGATAGAATGCCTTGAATCCCTCATGCCACCATTGCGTGTGCTACACATAGAGGCACTTAACCGAGTATGCCTCATCGGACCAGAAGACTGTCGGCGGATAGCCGAATTCTGGGAGCCCCTATTAGCCCACATGATTGTATCCGATAATGTTAGGGGGGCAGCTTCTCGTTATTCTGAATTACACTTTGCATGCGACTCTCTATTCAAGATGATGAAGTCCCAGCTGAGTTGGATTGTCGTGGAAAATGTAAGGAAGACGGGCACTCGGATATATCCAAGTTTTTCGCACTATTTAACAGAATTGGCAAATTCGGAGGGCCCACCACATGTGCGCGGGCATACTACAATGCCACTTGCTTCCATCGACCGTCATCTTATATGGGGGCCTGTCCTTGCGATGGAAAATGGACAGCGACATCGTGCTGAAAGTGATTACCGAAATCATCGCCTTGTTGTTACGAGGGTCAGGCCATAAGTCCACCGAAACCCGCGTAGAGATTTTCTAATACAACTTCTGCACAAAATTACGATATTTTTTCTCGAAATCACTGGAAACAAACCTACGTGCCCATCGATACGATCGATGGTTCGGGGAAGCAGGCGACAAGAGACAACACCACAGTTTGTGTCTGGGGTAAAGTGTGGTTACCTACTCCACCAAGAGCCGTAGCATTCCATCAAATCGTGACCAAAGAAATGGAGATTTCCAGTTTGATCGACTGCACAAAAGTGGGAAGAGGGATGATGTGGCCGTTAAATGATTGTGTATAATGCAGTTGAATTAGTTGACGCCATAATAAGGCATCAGGTAGCCATGGTGCGAAAGTAGTAAGCGAAGACGCAACGGCAGTTATTCGAAGGCATGTTGCTCGTCAGGGGTAACGAAATGTTTCGTAGTAACGCCGTTTCCATTGCGTCTAACTACATTAACTTAAAGTCATTATAGGGACATACTCGTACTTCACGTAGCATATGCAGCGAATATTGGGGTCGCATCTAAGGCTAGGTTGCAGTTGAGAGTTGAGGCGTGAGACGAGATTTCCGAGTTGAAAATATCGAAGAGCCGGACTCACGACGGATAGGTAGTAGTTCATGAGCCATAGTATCCATACCTGAATAAATGTTCGCTTGTCTCGGCATCGTTATATTGAGAATATGCACGGACGATGTAGTACATATATACAGGGTTTAGTTCGCCGCTGGTTAAATGGCCATCAAAGAAATAAAATATTTCCTAAAATTTGCTGGTCACGACGTGTTCTCCTTTTACTTACCGCTTAGTGGTCAGCTGGTCCAAAGTAACATAGCCTGTCCGTCGCCTAGGTATCCTGCCCATCGTGATCCTCAAAACGGTTGCGCTAGAGGATCGAAGGGAGCAACGGCAGATCGACAAGCGCGATCTAAATTCGGCCAAGCCGAAATCTGAAAGTGCGAAACCTCTTTTTGCTTTTTTCTCTTTTTTCCTGCTTGTTACAAACTCCACATTTGTGGATGCTGTCCTGTCCTGGACTCTCACGCGGTTTGAGGATGAATCGGCACACAACCAAAATTTTTATTTTTTATTTATTTTTTTATTAACCAGCCGAATAATGGACCACATCGTGATTCCTATTAGACGAAGTTCTTCGTGTCGTATCATCCCTCGGAGATGCACATAGCGTCGCAGCAGTTCGCTTCAGCTGGTAAAATGTAATGCTGTCGACAGCACAGCAGTAAAGCAGTACGGCAGTGCATTACAGCGAAGTGGTCAGTGGGTGCTGGAGTCAGCATGGCTTGGACATGCTCGACATGGCAAATCGCCTATTAGAATATAAGCGTATGGCGAAATCCAGCCCTTGATTGATCTCAACCGTCGCCAACCAATCAAAGTGATCAGGCTTTAGATCTATTGGTTGACGAATTGTAGCGGCTCTTTCGATCAACGCCCGTACCTGCAGTGGACTTACATGGACTTACACGGGAGAGGACTAAAGGATTGGCTGACCTCGTCCTACAGGTCTCTATATACATATGTCTACATACCTAAGCAAATATACGTACAGCATGACGTTTGCCGGGCCTTTGTTCCTACTTATGAGTACGTAGGTATGTATGTAATTACTATGTATGAGTTACCAGACCACCCAGTCAACAAGATTCCAACTCGTCTAAAAGCAGAAGCGAGACCAATTACACCACCAATTGCACCACCGAGAGCCCATTCTTGCCCATCCTGCACGAATCCCTGTCTAGCGGCGAGGGAGCAAACTATGGGGTAATGCTTAGGTACAAAAAACTCCTCTGCAGGTCTCATGATGCCTTTGCCCAAGACCCGATTTCGTAACTACATCAACTTCTGCCAGTCTGAGAGCTCCTGTTAGCTAATTTCTTTGTTAGTGGGATCCATCACGCGGTTACCCCAGATTCCACTCATTACATGTTACTAGGTTATACGTGTTTCCCTTACGATTTGGTCCCCGCCAAGACGATGGTTTTTCCTGTCTGGTCGGTCTTTTCTGAGTTTACCAGCCCTATGTGGGAAGCAAAATTCGACCGGACCATCAAACGTCTTGCGTGCGCCGCGTATACCACCACCACCTCCTTGGGGCCGTGAAAATTTTCCTTAATAGGATTTATGCTCTGCTCTAGGATCAAGTACGTAGTTACGTATCGTGGCCGGCTTTGTTCCTAAACTCTTGTCCTGCTGCCACGTGCGGCAAACCTGGAACTTTCTCGCGAACTACGGTGGAACTTATGACAAAGGGGTTGCTCCCCTGGTCCTCACGATAAAAATATGTATATTAGCCCCGTGCCCTCCGTCCCACCGACCCATCTTGAAGATCTGTTATACTATTTTGCTGCCACTATTCATCGTAAAAGCTTCCCACCGGAAACAACATCCACCTGATCTCGCAAGTATCGCAGACATACATATCAGCCTCGTTGCTGTCCAAGAGTAATCCAAGATGCCTGACCTCATGATCACCGAGCCTCACCCAACCGTCCCGAAGGACTCGTACACCCACTCGGGACGAGGCGGCGCCGGTAACTACTTCCGGGCTCCTACCACAACGCCATCGTCCGGCGTAGCGACAAAGCCGACATCAGTGCAACACACCACATCGCGCTTCTATTCCGGACGAGGAGGAGCAGGCAACGCGCACGTCGCAGCAGCAAAGCCTGTTCTGTCGTTCGACGAGGAATTCACCCACAAAAGCCACATCGAGCAGAAGCCCGTCGGCTACGTTGGCCGGGGCGGCGCCGGAAATGTCTATGGTGCTAGCGGCTCTAGCACCTCCCGCAAGGGCAGCGATGCTTCCAGCCAGCATAGCTCAAGCAGCTCAAGCAGCTCAGGTAGCCTGTCCAACATATGGAGCCGCATAAGCCACCGGCGCTAAGAGTCGTAACAGCTCCCGCTAAATGAACAACAACTATTAATTTACCACGATATATATATTTCAACACATCATCATCTCTCTGCTTCATCATTATCATCGTCATCGTCATCATGGGAAAGCAAGGCGCATCGGAGTTTCGGGCATCATCGTACTCAATCAACTACGGGTATGAGCAGACAGGTGGGCATCAATCATCATGAGCTCTAGAGAACAGAGCACGGGAAAAGAAGGACGGGAGAGAAAAAAAAAGTTTGGGGGCCTCAGAGCAAACAGGGAAGCTCGAAGATTTGGTTTACGGGAGAAAATAGGATAATAGGGAACATTAGGTATCACCCGCAACACTCTCCCTTCCGGCTGGTAGACTCCGGGACGAAGGAAAACCTCATAACGATCAACGGCGTCGTTTGTTTCTGGTGAATATTTACGAGCGATATATATATACCCCCCCTACAGCGACTTTTTAGCTGAAAAAAAGTCTTTGCGTTTTGAGGTTTGGGAAGGCATGCACATAGCATTGCGCTGGATGGGATGGACATAGGTAGTTAAGATAACTACGAAGAATTAAAACCCCCTACCTATGAATTATACTTGCATCATCCGCACTTGATTCACGTTTGCATCGCGTAGAGTATTACCTTGCAGCCTGGAGCGAAAATTAATGGCCGGGTCTTGGCATTTGACCTCCTTGAATGATTAAAGTAAAACGCATGATAAAATGATCATGGTAAAAATATAAAAATAATCTTAAACAATAGTAACAGCCAAAGAGTTAGATTATGATTTTTCTTATTTTTTATCACCGTATTTCGTGTTTATTTTTGACTATAGTGTGTGTGGTGTTGAATTTGGGGTGAAATGCCAAGGCCCGGCCATTAATTTTCTCTTCTGACTTCTGACTGCCTTGTTGGTCTTACCGTACTATAAGTCTTTAGCCTCCTTAATTTTTACTTTCTGTAACCTTAGCAACACTTTAGGTCACAGGATTACTTACACATTCCGACCTAGCTCATTCTTATGTCAGGCGACACTCTAGCTCTGTTCCTCTTGGGAAGTACCCTAGCTTAGACGTCCTAAGCGCCAAAGATGCGCCGCTATATACTACCTATACTACCAGGTAGCATACAGCAAACCAATAGACGTAAACGTTATCATAATCATCATCATCATCACGTAACGCGTATATCATCATCTCATCTCATATGGGATCTTAAACGTCTGGGTATCATTCATCTACGTAGATGACTTAAGTATTCCGCCAATAATCTGACACACAAGCTTACCGGCTTCTCCTTTCCCTCCCCGTCCTCTCTTCCCCCCTTCAGACATTGCAAGAGCCTCAACTCGCTAGAGTGTCCGTTGCAGCCATACACTATCTACTACATCTATGGACTGTTGTTTAAAGTGGAAATGAGTCTCTCGCTGCGCTTACGCTATGCTGCCTTACCATGAAATCCCTTCGTACCTGCTACGCTCGGACCGGGAGATCGCTAATTCGTAACTTGCTGACCTCCTTTCCCTGGTCCGAGTTATCATGACTTGTGAAATCTCCCCGATCTATTTTTTTGGTATTCCGAAAATGAGATGCAAAGGGAGATTATGTTAGTTTCTTGTGAATTATGTCGGGGTCCTCGTGCCAGTCGTCGATGCTAACCCACATCTATCATCCTATTAGTATATCTTTAGTCCGGGGATCGTGAAACAGCAAACGCACCTTTCTGAACGTGCTTAAGCCCGCAAGAATGCTACCTCCGATCCAGGTTGAGTACTTGCGCTCGGGGGGTGCGAAGATCTTGATCCGCATGTCCTTGACAGCGAGCTTCTTCACTTCGCTCAGCAGACGATCACCGAAACCCTTGGTTAGGGTACTGCCGCCGGATAATACAATGTTGGCGTAAAGCGCCTTACGTAGGTCTAGATCCGTCCTGTTGATGGCGTCTGTTACGATCTGCTGGATGCCCGGGTACTCTAACCCGATGAGCTCAGGGTCGAACAGGATCTCGGGCGCACGGAAACGTTCCTGGCCTACGCGCAGTCGGTTACCATCAGGTAACACGTACTCTGCCGTTTTGCCCTGGTCTAGCTTCGCACTCTGCCAATCTTTCTCCTCTTGCTTAGGGTTTATAGCCACATATGAAACTGCTTCCTTGATTAACCGCACAACTTCCTTTTCAGCGCTCGTATGGAAGACGTAGCCACTCTTGCGCAGCAGCGTCTGCATGTACTCGGTGACGTCACGGCCGGCAACATCGATACGGCGCATAGAAGAGGGGATTGCAAACCCCTCGTATACAGGAACCGCATGCGAGACACCGTCGCCCGAATCTAACACGCAACCCGTGGTACGTCCGCTGGCGTAGAGGGAGAGGACAGCTTGGATAGAGGTGTATAGGGCGGGAACATTAAAAGTCTCGAAAAGTATTTGAGCTGCCGTGTCACGATTTGCTCGCGGGTTAAGTGGTGGTTCGGTTAAGAGGACAGGATGCTGGTGGAAACATCAATATTAGAGGTGTCGATATTGGAATAGGGAGGGGGTCTAGGATCATAGGATCATACATACCTCTTCGCTGATAGTCTTTAGTCCTTCGCTATAGACATACTCCCATATCTTCTCCATATCGTCCCAATCCGTGACTATGCCATGCTCTAAAGGGTATCTTATCTTTAGGAGCCCTCTTAGCTCCGTCGCCGCCTTTTGACCGATGAATACCTCGCCTTCTAAGGCACCAGCAAGTACTCGCAGGTGCTTCGGCCGACCTACGAAGGAGGGGAAGTAACATTTAGGTAGATCGTCTCCTGCAAAGCCCGCCCGAATTGTACCAGAACCATTATCCAGTACAATGGGCGCGTTGTGGAGGGAGTCTGTCATTGTGGGCGTCTGGGCGTTTGAGCGTTTGGGCGTTTAAGCAGCTCTTCGTATGTATCGTATCCACTCCCGTCTCCCCTTTACACTTGACCCTTAACCGTCTAATCCTTCACTTTCGTATCTGAGAATTGCGAGTTTCTGCCCTTCACTACCAAACCGTAATTTGTAATTTTTTGCAAATTACAATCAGACAAAGTCGGTGTCCTTTGTTTATTGGCCACAAGGGGTTCGTAGCAGTTTGAAGCGAATTCGGAGGTTCAAGAGTATTATTATTAACTATAAAATAGCAAGTGGACGTAGAAAAAAAAGGGTTCGGTCGTCACCTCGTAAGTCCAAGAAGCATTTCGTGTGGTGGTGGTCGAGTGGAAAGGTTGTACAGCGTTGGCGTTGGCGATCGGCTTGGGGTCAATTTTTCGGCGAAGCTTCAAAATTCACGACGCGCCTTTGCCCAGTTGCCCTTTCCCTTTCTTTGGATGGTTCAGGAGCTCCTGCAGGGGTTCGTGTCGAATGGAGTACGTATTTACACGTGGTCCAAGCTCGATTTCGCTTAGTGCACTGACCACTACCTTATCTCGGATTGCCCACTCAGCCAGCCACTATTGACGCTAAGAGGTACGAAGTACAACAAGATATATCGCCAAACAGTCACTTTTTACCTAAATTATTCCATAAGGTTTTCTATTATAGAAGTCAATTCTTATCCTTTTAATCTTGTAAATCTAACTCTAGAAATTTGGAAATTACATTCAAAGAAGCCTCTCACAGTACATCAATATTAACCATTTCAAATCTCATCTCAATACTATTACCATCTAATCTTCGTGCATGAATTGGTGCAGCGCTTCGTTACTAGCGATATACGCTCTAATTCGCTTGCCGAAAATCCATAGAGGAATAGTCAATACATTTACGGCGACAAACACGGCACCGAGTACATTGAAGACCGCGAGGACTCCATCTTTTGCTAACCAGTCGTTGACGAAATAGGTCAAACCAAAGGTCAGAATATTTCGAGCATTGATAGCCACGAATGCTACAAGAGATAATGATTAGCATATACCTGAGACTACCACAGACAATGAATAAGAGGAAGTATACCTTCTTCGCTTAACTCCTTATGAGCGTCGATCACGTAACCAAAAACAGATGCGTTAGACAGAGCAAGACTCATGTTTGCTAAACCAAAGCATAAAACTGGCCCTGTCCAATGAGTTTGATAATGAACAGTAACGCCAAATCCAAAGAAGCCGACGATACCAACAAAGAATGATATGATAATCGGTGGTAATCGAAACTCGGGCTCGTAGATACCACGATTCTTCTTGGCCAGGTACATGCAGACCCAGTCTGTCAATGGGCCCGATAAGACCTCACCTACGAAGGTGAGAATGAACGGGGAGAGTGAGATCAACCCTGTCTCTGATACCGAGAAATTGTACGGCGGTGCCGTGAAGATGACTGCGTTCACGACGCTAAATACCACGATCCAAGTCAAGGTGACCCCGTAAAGCAAGAATGCCCAAAGGACGGCTGGATAGAAAAAGACGATGACCGGACGCAGAAAGATCTTCCAAAGGGGTGTGCTGGTATAAATGGTACCACTCCAGAGTTTCAAGCTTCGTAGATACGAATCTTTACGTTCAGTCACCACACCAGTCTCTATAGTTTCCACCTTAGCACTGTCCTCTGGCCCGGACGAGGTATCCTTCTTCTCTGAAGTCTCTGGCTTGGCATCTTGGCTAGCCGCGCCTTTAACTGCTAGCTGTTGCTCAAACGACTGTCTTCTATACGCGGTTTCGGGAACAAAGAGTATCACGAAAGGGAGAAGCATGCCAAAGATTATGGCACACCAGATCAAAGTCCACTGCCAGCCTTGATCCTATGGAGATGTTAGCGAGTTTAGCACAGCAGAGCCCCGAATACGACTTACCTCGATAATATAACCGGCAATAAGAGCGCCTCCGCTAATACCACATAACAAGAACATATTCCAGACAGCGATTCTAGTGGCCCGTTGGTGGACATAATAGATGTCGGCGATTGTGCACTGGACGAGTATCTCGTAAGGTGCCATCCCTAAGCCGCTCCATATTCTACTACCCAAGAAGCTACTGTAATCCTTCGCAAGGGCTCCCCAGATGCTTCCGGAGAGCATAATGATGCTCGATATCACATATACCGGACGCCGCCCAACCTTTTTAGCTAGCGGGTTGAAGACGAAGAGTGAGAGCCCAATCGTCAAAACCACCCAGGCTGTTGCTTGAGAAAGCGTATTGATCGTTACATTGAGCGCTGCGGCAATTTCGACAAAACCCGGTGAAATCATCGGCCCATACGCGCCAACAACTCCGGCGGATAGACCTACGATAACAAGAATAACATCTTTGCGCCATGTCGGCCACTACGTTCTTGTGAGTTCTCGATTCCCAAGCTTCTCTGCTGTAGTGAACTCACATTAAGAGGATCGTTGGGAGAGTCGCTTGGCTGAGGAGTCAATATGATATTGGAATACTTCCCGGTACCATGTTTGAGCAGCTCTCGAGAGACGTTTCGGTATTCGTCTGGTATATCAGACTGATCCGCAAGTATGACTGGAACTTGGATCAGCGTCTGTTTTACCGCTTTTTCATTTTAAGAGATTTCCGTACCTGTTCCGGGGACATTGCCCTCATGCTTGGTCTCGAGGATTCCCCAAGGCATCGTGCCAGTTTACTTCGACGTGAATGATCTTGTAGTCGTCGATCTACTGTTCTACGAAATCAATTGACGTTACTGGCACTCGTCTAGGGGGAAACCATGTCTAAAATACATATGTAACAATTGGAGATCCATGTTGATAAGCACTGACTACCTACTCCTCGCAGTGGCCAAGAATGTACAGGCAAGGGTTCAAATGACGGCGAGACGCATATGCAGTATAGCGTAGCATCGTACTGCTCCCCGTTACCATTGCCGACGAAATAAGCACAGATCCACAGGCTCTCCGCACATCCCAAACTTGATTAACAAAAACTCCGCGCCTCTAAACTTGGGGAAATAAGTATTCTACGGGGTATCAGACGGCTCCGCGAGCTTCTCCACTCGGAATTGAACAAGGGGTTAACGACCCAGAACCCAAGTATCCTATCTCATTGAGCTTTTTATTGGCTGCTGCGATCAAGGGCTATATAGAACCCGTCTGGGATAATCACTTCGACATTTAACCATCATCTCGTACTACGGTCCAGAGACTACCGTCGCGGCGCAACTGCCGATATCCTTCCAGGTCCTGATGCGGGGAATATTGATTTTAATATAGTTAGGTTGAAGAACTAGGTAGGCAAGTTCATTCCTCCACCGTGGAGATTCAACAATGCACAAGTAGAAGTATGTGCCGCTCAGCCAGTTTAGATGTCATGTGAGAACGCGAGGCCTTTGCAGTTAGGTTAGACTGATCCAGCCAGTTGATCATACCCGAGGTCAACTCAAAGACGGATTAATAATAACCGCCTACTCCGCTAATCCCGATGTTTAAGAAAGATAGAGGGAAGATCGAAACGATTTATCAATAAGACGAATATATTTAGCAAAATGGCCCAGCCACAGGAATCTGCGCAGACAGGCATCAAGGTGATCGTGGTGGGCACGGGTTTCGCAGGACTAACAGCTGCAATAGAGTGCCACCGTAAGGGACATGATGTATTAGTGCTCGAGAAATTCCCAGAGCTTAAGCTCCTAGGCGACATTATTTCGTTTGGACCTAACTCATCGCGATTATTCCGTCGATGGCCAGGTGTCGCTGAGCAATTGGAGCCCCTTAGTATGAGAGCTGACGCGATCACTCTGAAATCCTGGAAAGGGGAAACGCTCTTCACCCAATACTGGGAGGGCGAAGACGCAGAGTTTGGAATCCGTTATGATGGCCACCGCGGCGAGTTCCACGAGGTCGTTTATAACCATGCTAAAGAAATTGGCGTCAAGATTCGGCTCAATGCCCGTGTCGAAGACTATCTCGAAGACGATAAAGAAGCGGGCGTAGTCCTCGAAAATGGCGAGCGAATTACGGCTGATGTCGTGATCGCGGCCGAGGGCGTACGTAGTAAGGGCCGCAAGATCGTTCTCGGATTTGAGGATAAGCCTAAGCCTTCTGGCTACGCTGTATACCGCAGTTGGTTCAGCGCCGACGAGATCGCAAAGGATCCTGACACCAAATTCTTTACCGAGGGCGGTGACCAGCACGTTGCTTGGCTTGGTCCAGACGTACACTTCATCGCAGCCTGCATGAAGAACGGGAAGGATTTCTCGTGGGTATGTACGCATAAGGACGAGGCGGACATCGAAGAGAGTTGGCAACTTGAGGCGCCGCTCGAAGACGCGCGCAAAGTGCTCGAAGGCTGGGATCCTATCATACAGAAGATCCTGGACAAAACGCCATCGCCCCTAATCGACTGGAAGCTCGTTTACCGTGACCCCTTACCAACATGGATTTCAAAAGGTAGGCGTATTGCTCTAATTGGTGACTCGGCCCATCCATTTTTGCCGACATCTATTCAGGGAGCGTCGCAGGCGATGGAGGACGGCGTAACAATCGCCGTATGCCTGCGCGAATGCGGCGGCCCCGACAAAGTCCAGGAAGCAGTTGCAGCGTTTGAAGCAATCCGGTACGAGCGCGTCAAATCTGCACAGAAGACGGGCGAACAGACACGTGATATATGGCATAAGGCGGATTTCGACGCCGCTAAGAAGAACCCGGAAAGTATGAGGCTAAGACGCGAGGCCTGGATACTTGGGTTTGATGCTGAGAAATATGCCGAGGATAACTACGAGCGCACAGTTGAAGTCTTAAGACGCACGGGCTTACACGATACTAGCGAGGCAAGAAAGCTACACCTACCCGAAGGAAAGCACGGCTATCTCGAATACGGAAGTGGAACTGATAAAGGAACTGATATTTCTGCTGCCGCTCATGCGGTCAACGGCACTGTTATATCTTAAATAGGTATATATAGACGTATAGAAGAGGTTGAAGATGGTCGACAACGTTGTACGACTTCCAAGAATGCAGTACGACTCTAGACGATTTTTCCGCTTCTCCTTCTCAATTCCCCCCCCTATTTGCCTTCTTCAAACTGATTAGGTAGTGAGCCGGAACGCCTCTGATATCATGATGTAGAAAACAGCCAGTTATTCTGTTTCTCTCTGGCAAACCAAAAACGCCTTCCGGATGCCGTAAATGCGGAAGACTCTATGTACAGGTGTGTAGTCGTCGATGTAGTGAATGGTAGGTATTATATAACCCGGTATATATGTAAAGGTAATACATGTTCGAAGCGAATTAGAACTATCACATGTGGCCGTCGAGGATGGCCTTGCTGATGAAAGGCCATGAGAGGAAGCCGCCTAAAGCAGGGAAGTATCTATGATATGACAGTCAGCTCTGCGTTCTTCATCATGTGCAGGTATATATATATAAGGGTTCGAAGATGAGATGAAACTTACACTGCAGCAACACCAAGACGAGATCGTGCGATGCGGCCCCAGTCACCGCGTTGAGACGGGCCGGCTGAGGGGAGTGCTTCGGTAGGGCCCTCAACGATCCTGGCTGATTGCCGGAAGCTCTTGAAAGCTTGTCGGGCAAGAGCGGAAAGGGGGGATCGGGCGGCGTTAATGGCGATAGCTGACATATTGATTTTAGGGGGTTGAAACTTAGATAGTTTAACAAGTGTGGATGGTTTGTCGTTATAGTTCAAGGTGTCTAATAAGACAAGGTTTCGAAATAGACTTTTTTCTGAGTTGAGATGAACTTCTGGAGAGGTGCGATGTCTATATTGCTCTATTTATTGAGACTTTGGAGAGGAGATGTCTTTTTTGAAATGTTTTATGATTGATGAGTGAAGATGTCTATGATGCTGATGATGCTGATGCTGATGATGATGATACACATTATTCCAAATTCCCAGACTCACGGCCGCTCTCATATTACACGCAACGTCCGGCCACTACGGCAAAGGACAATAATAATCACGCTCCCAACGACACTCCACGGCCCCAGAGCCAGAGCCAGAATCTTCGTAGATACTGGCGAACGTATGACCCAGGACCCGTTCAAGGCTTAGCTGGGAATCCAGCGCCGCGGTTCTGACAGGTGGTCCATGACGGCATGCGGCACCATCCCCAGAAAGCTTACCGTCGACTCCTGTATGTATGTACGAATGGGTCTCTGCGCCTTAGCTATCCAGCTATCTGGTGAGGGCAGTCCATCGTGTCACGCCATGCGGCTGCGCGTATTCAGCTAGAAGGGCGATAGCTAGCAACACGGCGAAAAGGGACCGGAGATGAGAGGCTGAAAAATCAGGTCGTTGGATACGCGCTTATGGCATTCTGGCCTGCTGCGTGGTACGATGTTAGCGATGGGTGGTGTGATCGGAGTCGGCCGGTGGAGTTGTAGGAGGGAGAAGAGCGGGTCGGGGCTGTCGGGTTATGTAAAGATTGACCACGGGTGGGAAAAGTCTGGATTTAGTGTAGGCACGTGATTTTTGAATGTTCCTTGCTAGCTCGAGCTTATTTTGGTCTTTTTGTCCGTCAATTATTACTTTCATGTTTATATTTGACGTGACAACCTTGTTGCAAGAGAATTGCTTCGATTATTTAATACGTAGATACCTATCTATTACCACACCTTTTCTTATATACTCTTTCATATATCTGAATTTTGCATTCTAGTTTTTCTGTTCCGGTATATCTTCAAAATAGAATACGTTGAGGGACCAGATGCTCTATTAGCTCACTTACAGCGGACCTATGTAGGTCTAGACCGTCAGACTCGAATCCCGCAAAAGTACGACTTCGCCCGTATTCATAATTCTAACACATAGAACTTAAAAAGTAGTCATCATGGTCTCGGTAAATATGTTAATCTTGACAGCGCTGGCACAATGTTAGTTTCGCTTCAGTCTACTAAATATATCCGATTTCAATACATAAGGCCGAACTTGATGTCACATCGCCGCTCGGTAGGAGTCGGTGAAACACGTTCCCAATGCCCAAAAAGTACAGCAAAGCTGTCTTTGATTGGAACGTTCCATTACCTGCCTCATTGCGCATCCCTCAAGGCGCTACAAAGGAATACCAAGGAGCCTTAGACTTTGACTCAAGGTACGAATTCCAAGATAACCTTGCGTACCTAATGTATAAACAATCATAACGCACGATCCAGCCTTGGAACAATCATAGCTTTCGGAACCGCCACGAGCCCAATGCCTGGCACATACCGACCTGGCGAAACCACCTTCTCGAATGAGGATTGGAACCGGCCTACTAAAACAACCCAAATTCAACTTTCACCCTAGTCGATGCTCCATTTGAGTCTCTAACCATCTATAAGTAATCCACTGTACTCCATATTGAGCTTATACAAAAGGACTACGCTGCCGAAACTAGATAGTTACACTTGACAATTGGACCTCGCATACTGCTATCTATGTATATTCAGCTAGCTAGTGAATCCCACGATGATGATTTCGCCAAGGCTACGGGCTCTCTCCCCGTCGGGGAACCGAGGATGCGATGACATTTCTAATGGTAGTACTAGCACAGACATTGCGATAATGTGTCACGGTGTTCAGGTATATTATAGCTACTTGGTGCCCATATCATGATCTACATACATAGGCTGTGTGACGATCACGATCTGCATACGTCAACTACAAGCATAATCAGCGCTGTGCATCATGTTCATCTCTAAAATCCTCTTCGCGGCACTCGCCACCATCGGGGTAGCATCAGCCGCCCCGGCCTCCCTTGCCAAGCGCCTGCCGGGCCGCGTCGTGAAAGCCGGCGAGCCGGTGGTGATCGACACCAACTCTGAGTACGTCCGAGTTAGCTTTATGAACGACGGTAGCCTGATAGGCGGGTACACCGCCAAGGACGGCACCCAGAATGTCCTGCGCGTTGTGAAGTCTACCAACGGCGGCCAGTCGTGGGAATATCTCGGTGAAGTGTTCCGAGGCGAAATCGCAACCCACGACATCAACAATGCCATGCCGCTTCAGCTCCCTAACGGTCGCATCCTATACGCGTACCGGAACCACGATCGCACGGGTGCCGACTGGCACTACACGTACTTCCGCATCTCGATCTCGTACTCGGACGACGGCGGCAAGACCTTCAAGTATCTCTCTACCGTCGAGGAGCACGTCCCGTCAGGCGTCAACGGCCTTTGGGAGCCGTTCCTGCGGATCGCTAGGGACGGGTCGCTGCAGTGCTATTACTCTGCTGAGAACAACGCGGGCGACCAGGACAACTTCATGAAGTACTCCACGGACGGCGGCGCGACGTGGTCTAACTGGATTGCCGTCTCGGGCGGCGACAAGACTTCTCGCGATGGCATGGTTGGTGTTGCGCCTATTGACAATGACGGAAATCTCATGTCAGTACTTTTACTCCCCAACGTTCTCTACCTACTTAGGGGCTGGGCTTCTAGGTAATCGTCACATGGAATAACGGATGGAAATACTAACGCGCCATACATAGTGCCGTCTTCGAAAACACCGAAAGCGGCGTCTTCTCGGTCAACTACGTGCTCTCGCACGACGACGGACGGTCGTGGGGGTCGCGCGGCCGGCTATACACGGCGCGCGACGGGAAGCTGGCGGGGGCGCCGCAGGTGTACAACGTGTGGGGCACGCTGGTGGCCAGCTTCATGACGAACGAGGACGTGGAGGGCACGAGCGGGTACGACGGGGCGCAGATGAAGGTTATTACCAGCGTGGACGGCGGCAAGACGTGGTCCGGCAGCGTGGTTACCGGCGAGGCGGCGTCGCATTGGCCGGGCGTGTTTAATCGCGACGCTACGCATTTCTTGGCGCTGTATTCGAAGGATGGGCTGGGGGCTGTTAGTCAGTTGTACGAGTTGCAGGATTAGGGCGGCGGTTGTTTGTATGTTTGTGGTAGGAAGAGGATAGATGGTCCTGCTTCTTGTGCCTTGGGGGGGGGGAATCTTGAGAAGAGAGAGGAGGTTTGGGCTTTGGTCGTTGAATCTATCTAGATTGTATATAGTTCTATTCGTTGTCTATATTCTACGGATATTATGAACTGCAAATATCAGTTTGATTATCAATATGCTTGAATCAACTGCCGTAGGATAGGAGCCTTCAGCGGATGCTGTTACCCAGAGCCTCCAGTAGCACCTTCTTGACTAGGTATAAAAGTATCGAGAACGTGAATAGATCTGCGTATGTCGGGTGCCGTAGGCAGAATTTCCATCGCTGCCTATCGATTTCGACGGAAGTCTGTACACTATCTCTCGAGGTCTTTGACATCACATTATTGTAAGGGGCGTTGGCTGCAGCGTCAAGATTTTACGGGTGAGTTCTTGGCGACTTGTTCAGCTACGATCGGATTTGTATTATTGGGCCACTTAATGAGCTGGCTACGTGACATCGGCCGCTGGGCGCATTTATCCTAGGTGACTTGACTGTAAAATCAGCGAAGCCGCTTAATTGTAGGTGTATTTCGTACGTCTTGATCAATATGATCTATCGCAACTATCATCGTAAACAAGCATACGTACACTTGGGATACATGCTTCCGACGATGATGTTTAGGAGGTGGGTAGCCAATCAGATTTAGTCGATGGATGTCCTTGTTTCTAGTTGGCTAGAATCTACTGTGGCAAAGAAGGATGTCAACAGCCCTGGGTTTTACCTACATTCCGTAGATGCAGAGATGCTATCGCAGTCTCACAAAGTATGCGAGCTTGAATGTAGAGCTTTGACAAACGTATAGTATATCGAAATGGTAATACAGCTTGCATCTTCTATGTTCTGCTGAGGTCTAAGGCGGAGTTTTCATTAACTACCAACCCCCTTCACCCGGAAGTCGAAGGACAGCTTGTAGTTGCGGTGCTATGAAAAAGACTGTCGGTAGTTTTCTAATACATAAGTGGACTTGGGTGCGATGTACGAAGTACTTGATGTAGCTCTAAATCGAATGTTGAGTTTTTAGTTTTTTGCAGCTTTGGGTAGTTGTTTATACCAGACATGGCAAAATAATCAAGGCTCATTAAATTAGTTCAGTAGTATAAGAGGTAGTAAATCAAACTGCTGTGTGTAACGTGATATTACATGATTATTGCGCTGATATTTCCGGGAAGGTTAGGTAAAATAGATACGGAATAAATAGGCTCGTTCTATACTCTTCTTAGCCTCTAAGTATTGAAATGTTTAAGAGGTACTTTTGCGCTATTATCAACACTGACACATGATTCCAAAGCGTGGGGGACTCACCATCCTCGTGTATGGCCGCACCATGAAATATGACATCGAATATTAACATTGCGAGTCGCGCATTTTAAGCGCGCGCTATAAATCTGACTGGTAATATTGCTTGTTTAGTATAGCGAAAAGCTGATACTTATATTTTCCTATTGAACACGTAAGACAGCATAATAAAACTAATTATTCTTCAAGTAATTATTGGCATAGGTAACTAAACCTCTTCAACAGCGCTTACCGCGATGATGGATAGATAATACGCGACGTGTCAATTATGCGGTTGGGAATCCATACGAGAAATATTGAAACGTTGCTAATAAAAGGTCTTATATGATTGGTCATTGGTCTCGGTGGAGGCGGTCTTCTGATCGGTATAATCGGTAGGTATACTTGGATGAAGTGGACATAAACGGATGGAAGTGCATCAAGCAAATACGTGTAGTTATAGGAAAGAATGAAATAAGGAGTGACTTACGTACCTCATTCAGGTGTAATTTACGCAAGTACCTAGGTAATTGCAAAATGTTCGTGTGTGACATTGGGTAGTGGATAGTGCAAGTGCAACGGTTATATTAATCTTGGACGGTAATTTCCTATTTCCATGAGCCAAAAAAATGGGTTTCCCGCTAAAGTAATCCTCGATTTAAGATCTAGCAGGCAAGTCCCTATTCTATCTCATGACTACATAAATGAATATAGTATTTAGGTTTTCACATTAGGTAATGATGGTAGTAATTTAAATAAAAGAAGGTACGGCTCTCGAGATCATTTCCGTATGGCCTCGCCTTATAAAGTCCGCCAAAACAATAATCCGACAAGCGACTAGGTCCACATCTTAGACCTATCGCATTGCACGGGCCACTTTATGGACAATTGACCGTCGACACTAATTCTCGCCATGTACGTACAACATTGACTTGTTCCTAGGAAGTTCATCTTCTATGTGCCAAACTACACCTAACCTACCTCCTAACCTAATCTTTCCGGTTGAATGTTCTCTTCCCCAATGGACATTTGCACGCCGACTTCGTGAGACCATTGTTGCGCTATGATGAGGAATACCATACCATTTATACCATTTATCTTTTACGCAGCGTAAAATCCCGATCGGCGCGATCCTAATCCGTTTTGGTGTCTACTTGAGCCTTAAGCTTGCCAGCTAAATTCCCTTACGGACCATGACGAGGAAGCCTTGCAGCCGTACTGGATTGAGTACCGAAAGGGTATTAATCACTACCGGTAGGTTGTTTTTAAACATTTTTTACTTGCTGCTCTTCAACTCAACTCTTTATTTTTATTTATGGCGAGGCTGGTCTATGATGAACGAATATGGTAAAAGGGCGGACTGCATCTATGGATACTGCTGGTTTTGAATTCTATAACCCGCCTCACATTCAGCCAATGTTTTCTATCTGAGAACGCGTCTTCAACCCCCGCAACATATTATGTAGGGCTCGCCACACTTAAGTTATTGGCCCGTCCTTCACTTCGGGGAGAAGGCAAAGAAAGTTGCAGCAATAGCTGTATGTTCCGCTATATAGGAGCCTAGCTTTGCATTACCACCATAAGGCAAGACCAAAGGCTGCGGTGAATATACGCCCCAGGGCCCAAACTCTGGGGATCGTGATAAGCGAGGTTCGGAATTCGAAGCCGGTGTATCCTGCAGGTTGATGACTCAAATTAAAAACTGAAAAGATCTGAGACAAGCCTCCCATTTCGTTTTCGTTATCCTTTATCGGGTGTGCATACCAATAATTATATCCAATCTAACATTGTCTATAGGACCTCATTTCTTATTGGTGTCTAAAGATATAGGTCGGGTATACGACTATCCTTCATCTTTTTAAGATAAGACGTCGAGCAACATCACAAGACGAATTACTATTCAAGCCACCTTTTTAGCAAGCTCTCGTTTCCCCTTATCTCTGTTCTTATTGCTGCCGCCTTTTTTTTAACGGGTTTGTTCAACCATTTCAGTAAGTAACCTGTCTGTCATTCACCCCGCCAGCTCTCTCCTTTTTTTTTCCTTCCCTTTTTCGTCTTTTCAATTATCTACCCGGATTAATCTGGTCGTGTCTTTTCCTCGTTTCTACTTTTATGCGGTTTAGTAATCAAATTTGCCGGCGGCGCATCTCGACGATCTCTCACTCGTCCCGTAGTTTTCAAGTATTGACTTTTTACTCGAGGTAGTTCCCAGTGTAATCACTGAAGTTATTTCCATCATAAGGGAAAAGGCGGCTAAGATGACACGACTTCGACAAAACTCAAGGGAACGAACGCAGGTATCTTGTTGTTATTTTCGCAAGCCCTCGCGGCTGCCCGCGCATTGGGATTTAACGAAGCCTCCTTCCTACCGCATCACGTTCTTAGATAGAGTGTGATTGGGTTATCCCAAAAATTGAGTCATGGAGAATAACCAGTACATTTTACAACGATGTCAATTCAAAGAATGCGAAGCCCCTATCTTCATCAAGGGACCTTATTGCTCAACGCATACTGACAGCATAAACGCGCTCAAACCTGCAACCGTTATAATGCCCTCTTCTACTCCGGATTATCAGCAGCCGAGCAATGATCAACATTTTCAACGGCCCGCATCGCAGCCCCAAAGTAATTCCACTGCTATAATCCACCAATCAGAGAAGCTGAGAGATGCTATCACTGTGAAGGCACCACTTCCAATGGCGGGTCCTGTGAACGAAAAGAAGCACCTTCCCATTAAAATGGTAGCAAGGAAAACTGCCGGCAACGCGTTTTCTAACTCGAAGCACGAACCAGTAGGCGTACGCAAGTCCGAGCCCAAGCTACCTTTTAATGCTAGCCCTACTGGGGATATCTCTTCCTCGAGTCAACGACCACAAAAACGGCCAAAATTGTCTGCTGACGTGGATAAAGGCGAAGTAGAGACCTATCGTCGTGTTTCTCTATCTCCCGCGGTGATATCGACGAATATTGGTGAACGTGATCACGAACCCGTGGCAGCTTCTGACTTTGCTCTTCGGCCGAGGAAAGGAATATCTTCTCCGTTGGAAACGCCATCAGGGCCTGGATCACGGGATATTTCATCTTCGAAACCTTTCTACAAGGGTCGGCCACGTGAGCAACAAAGTCTATATGACAACTCCAAGGGTTACAAAATTCCAACTCACGAGGTCATAGACCTCACAGAGGATGATAACCCTCGTCCCCGATCTTCCAATAATGCCGTTGAAAATCTGAATGTCAGTACAGAGAAGCATCACGAAGACCATGCCGGAGGTCCCAACCCTCGCACTGCACATATTCCATCCGAGTCAAGGCGCGAGGGAGAGTCAATAAAGGTGCAAGTCTCCAAAAGTAAAGACACGAGTAAGCCGCGCGGAAATGGTGCAACGGGTTGGAAAGAGCAGAACGGTGTTCGCAAGATAAGTTCCAATTCGACAGTTCGGTCCCTCGCGCGGAAGCCTCACGTTCATATCGCACCCCGACCCGCGCCAGCGTTGCCTTCGCCGGACTCACAGGTCGCTTCACCGGCAACGGAACCCAAACCAGCTAACGGCAAGCAAGTCTCTGTCCAGCATCCTAAATTGCCCCATGAAAACCCCGCAGCTGAAGCCTGTCAGAATGATACTCAAGATCAAGGAAAAGGCGAAGTGCCAGAACCGGCGGAAGGTACTAGAAGAGTTGTCAATGGTGCTGCTACTAATCCCCCACCAGTAACGTCTGCTGTTCCTACTACAGTTGCAACGTTGGACACTACAAGGGTTAATGGGGTGCATCGTATACCACACGTCCCGACGAAAGAACAGGTAGATGAATATATACGCAATATACTTGAAAATCCGACAAGAATAAACATTCCCACCATAAAAAGCCCTAGAATTGACTTAGGTACTCCATTATCTCGGTTAAATTCCGAGGAAGTACCTAATCCTACACAACGGTCGCCGAGTAGGGAAGATTCAGATCCTTCAAGTACACAGACACTCGGTAGATCACAGGTGGCGGAGAAACCTCCCTCAGCAAAACGTCATCAGGCTGTGCCAAAGACAGCACAGCCTGCCAATAATCGGAGCACAGCAAAGAGGCCTGCCAATCCGTCGGTGGGCGAATCAACTCTTGCATCCATAATTCAAAACCGGCGTTGGAAACACCTGAGCCCCGAGGAAAGGCGGCAGGTCTGGATATCTAAGCATGATCCGGATAAATTCGACTCATATATCTACGGAAAACTTAATGAAGCTAATAGACCTGGCTCTATGTCGTTCGGTCGACCTGAATATCAACAACCTCCGCGTCCCACTCGTCCAGCGACACATTTTGGCCATATAGACCCGCGAGTCCACTGGACACGTCCCCGCTCCAAGAAGTGGTATTTTGAAAAACAGAACGAGATTCGTGAACGGGGAAGTAGAAAAAGTAATTTTGGCCAAGCTGCAGCTCGTGCAGTGAAGCGGAGACGAGAAGAAGGCGACGACGCGCCCAGAATCGACTTACCTGATCGAGTGCAGAATAACCCTGCCTGGTTATCCGCTCTAGATGAACTAGACGCGATGGCAGACCAGTATTACGCGCAAAGGCGTCATATCCGTCAAAAGGGCATCCAACAAAAGGAGATGGAAGGTAAAAACATGGTTGTGAATGAAGATAGTGATATCGAAATGGACGGAGATCCAGCAGAGGCCGTTTGAAGGTTCAAAAGTGAGCTATAATTCCACACTCCCGGGCCGACTAGCCGCCCGTGAAGTTAATGGCCCGAGGACTATTGAAAAATGCACATATATAATGTTTTTGGCTGGCGCTGCTACGAATAGCTAGGCTTCCGATGGCATGGCGATATAGGCAATAAGGAAATGATCTTTAAAGATTATTACATTAGACGGCGTGAGGCGTCTTTAGACAGGGAGATACCACTTACTAGGAGGTAGCTTCAAGTTTACGGAGGAGCTAGAAACAATATATGAACCAGGGTGGTTGAAGGTAGTCAGTCGCTACTATACACTCTAATCATACGTACATGCGATTCGGGTATCTTGGAAAATTACTATGCGTATGCCACTAGGAGAAATTGACTGAGACCAAAATTATAAACTATTACTAGCCAGCTATGCTCCATGTTACTTTCGCTGAGTTCCCAGGACCAGGGATGACAATTAGTTTTGAAGGTTTAGGTACCTTAGTTAGAATAAAATAATAACTATTCTAAAACGTTAAGTTGACTACCTAATTTAATTAGTATAACAGCTTCTTAAGTGGCGTGTTCCTTTCGGGATCTAGGTAAATTGCTACGGCTGTCTTTACTATAGCTATCAATAATAAGTCTAGCCGCTATATTAATAATTAAGTAAGACAATACTATAGGTAGTAGATCAAGTCGGATATTCTTAATGTTCTTATTCCATACCTATAAACATATTTAGGTATTCCTCCTTCTTCGTTGCAGTTTAAAAGTTTAACAGCTGTAGAAATACCTAGGTAAAAATATCTCCTAGAGTAAAATGTGAACAGGCTTCATTTTAAGTTCCCTCTAGGGTAGAAGTATGTTATCATGTCTATATTTCTTTTTTTTATGTATCTCGACTAAACTTTTCATAACCTAGGTACCGCTTGGCATGCTTGTCTATAATTCCGTCATATAACATATAAACATACGCTACACATATCTATCATCGAGCACATAAAGCTGACCTCCGTGTGCCTCAAATCCACCCATATCACTTACTTTTTCGAGAGTAGATTTAACGCACTGCCTGCGAGAATGAAGCCCGCCTGGTCCTTGCTAACAGCATGCTTCGTCTTTATGAGCACCTCCTCTCCGGTCTTGTGCTTCTTCACCTTAAGCGCCACCTCTCCCTTACCACCATTTTGCAGCATCTCATATAAGCCAATTGTAGATACCTCGTCACCGGCACCGATCTTATCGTAATCAGCCTCGTTGGCGAAAGTCAGCGGCACGACACCCTGCTTCTTCAGGTTCGTCTCGTGGATGCGTGCAAAGCTCTTGGAAAGCACGATCCTGGCGCCTAAGTACCGCGGCTGGAGCGCAGCGTGCTCTCGTGCGCTGCCCTCTCCGTAGTTATGTTCTGCTACCACTAGCCACGGTTGTTTAGCCTCCCTCCAGCGCTTTCCTAGTTCCGGAATCGTGTGCTTGGATCCGTCTAAATCGTAAGCGACGTTGACTTCGCCGGTTTCGGCATTTATCGCCGTGTTGAGCGTGTTCTCGCTAATATTGGGGAGATGGCCTTTGTACTTCAACCAGGGACCGGCGGCAGAGATAGTGTCCGTCGTGCATTTTCCGGTAACTTTGACTAATACGCGAAGGCCTGATAGTTCGGAGGTAGGAAAGGGGTCGAACGGTTCCAGAAGCGCAAGACGTTCCGAAGAGGGTGAAATGGCCACATCTACAGATGGGTCGGGGGCTTGGGTAAGGGGTCGAAACTGTTCTCGAGCTATCTCGAACGGCTGGGCTGGAATTTCGAGACCTGCAGGAGGTGTAAATCTGAATTCCTTGCCGGATGGAGTGGGGAGCGAATCGGTTATGGGATTGAAGGTGGTAGTGCCTGCGAAGGTCATAGCGGTGACGATCTCAGGTGATGCAAGGAAGTTCATAGTGTCGGGATTTCCGTCATTGCGGCCGCGGAAGTTACGGTTATACGAGGTAAGTATAGCGTTGGGGGTTCCCTTTTCAACGCCATCATGTCGCTTCCATTGACCAATACAAGGGCCACAGGCATTTGAAAGCACAGTGCCACCAGCCTCCTTAAACGTATCCAGAGGACCATCTCGTCGTAAAGTTTCCCTGATTTGGTCACTACCCGGCGTTACGTAGAAATCGGATGCAGGTTTTAAACCGGCCTCTATCGCCTCGCGGACCATGCTCTCTACACGCGTCATATCCTCATACGAACTGTTTGTGCAACTTCCGATCAGACCTGCTGATAGCTTGTCGGGCCAGTTTTGCTCCTGTACTGTTTGCTTAAACTGAGATAGCGGCGTAGATAGATCAGGGGTGAAGGGCCCGTTGATATGAGGCTCTAATTTGGATAAGTCGATGGTAATAACCTCGTCATATTTCGCACCAGCATCGGCCTTAAGCTGAATGATATCCGAGAACTTCTTTGCTTCCCTTGCTACATCATGTCGGTGTGTCGCCTCCAGATATCGCACGTGGGCAGCATTAAACGGGAAGATAGAAGTCGTAGCCCCAACTTCGGCGCCCATATTACACATCGTCGAGGCTCCGGTACAGCTGAGTGTTTCTACACCAGGCCCAAAATACTCGATAATAAATCCGGTGCCGCCGCGTACCGTAAGCTGCCCCGCAAGGTTGAGGATGACATCCTTTGGTGCGGCCCAGCCGCTGAGCTTGCCCTTCAGCTCTACTCCCAAAATGCGAGGGGCCTTAAGTTCCCACGGTGCGCCTACGAGAGCTTCAACAGCATCAGCACCACCAACGCCAATTGCTATCGTGGAAAGACCTCCGGCGTTAGGCGTGTGACTGTCAGTGCCCAGCATCATCAGGCCGGGGGCAGCGTAGTTTTCCAGGACGCTCTGGTGAATAATACCAGCACCAGGAGGCCAAAATTCAATACCGTACTTCTTCGCCGCAGATTCTAAGAAGTCAAAGACTTCCTGGTTCACCTTGATTCCCGTTTCTAAGTCGGCCTGCGCGCCTCGTTCGCCCACAATTAAGTGGTCGCAGTGGATGCTAGCCGGGATAGCTGTCGAGGGGAGATTGCAGGTCATGAATTGTAAAAGGGCCATTTGTGCCGAGGCATCCTGCATGGCAACTCGATCAGGCTTTAGCTTAAGATTTGCTGTCCCTCGAATATTTCGTCCACCATCCGTATTAGTCGTGAGAGATTCCTCGACATTATCCAAATGACTATAGAGGATCTTCTCAGCCAGGGTAAGGGCAGCACCCTTACCCAGTACCTCCTTGACCTTTTCATAGTTCTTGGCCAACTTTAGGTATGGCGGTATTCGGGGGTTCGAAGTGTCGAATGTGGGCGTCGCAAAGGTACGTGTCAAAGGGATGCGTCCTTGGCAATTTCGAGTTAAGAGCCCCTATAGTTATACGGTATTAATTCTGGAACTAAGTATAGTATATGAATAGTATATGAATTACACGTACTCGAAGAGGGGTGCCTCGACGGCACAAAAGATTAGCTGTCCTCATTCTTTTTGATTGGCATCGCAGGTGCAAAAGCATGCAACAAGAAATACTTGGCGAAGAAAAAAAAAAGTAACACAAAATCACAAAATTCAATTCATTGCGACAAATTGACAATTCAGTCATTTTGATTGGACCACACAAAAAGTTACTTGCGATGCCGGAGCGGGTAGGGGCAATAGTGGGTCCCTGTAAAATCTGGGGTACAGGAAGGACCGTATCATTAAGATGCACAGTGTAAATCTCGTATTGGCAGAAAGTATTTGATGCTCCTATGAAGCAGGGAGTAAGCCGGCTGTTAATTATATTGGAAGATAGGCTACTAACCTGTTGGCAAGTCAAATAATAGCACCTTCTGCATTTGGATACGAATAAGTTTATTAGGTAGGTACGTATAAGAATCTGGGTTAGGGACTCGTTTGAAATGTTCTATAGGCGAACATTGTAGAATGGAATATTCCATAGTTAATAACTATATGAAACGTGGGCACGTCACTGTCTATTTTCTAGGAGGAACTATTATATAACTGATATAAACGAGTGGCGAGGTTTCTTTTATAATGATATATTGACTCCTATTACTCTTTATGAAATATGTTATAATGCTTAGTTAATATCATTAATACAACTTGGATCCTATAACTAAGTTACCTATGTAAGACTAGCCTCGAAAGGTGCACACATTGTAGACATCAAGGAGCATATGGGAAATGACATCCATAGAAAGCAGCAATACCGGCCTCCTGAATATCCTTGCCAGAATCATCATCTTACAATGCCAAGCAGTCGTATTTTACTCCGGTCCAAGATGTATTACGATGGACCGCCGCTTACATCAGGCTGGGGTCCCCATAGTCTCTGCATACTCTACCTACCCCAAATTGCTTTGTATCTGTGTAAGTTCGTATAAGTTGGCGTGGAGAAACAAGAGCCGGGACGCCACCACGTATGCCACCACGTATGCCGAGACAGCGGACTTAATAGTGCACCAAGTATAGGCCGATGGAAAAGGCCGACAGACCCGATTCGGTACCGGCTGGCTATCATTTTGATCGTATGACCCGTTCGTAATGTTTTCAGGCGTGGTTCGCCGTAAATCTCTGTTTCTCCGTCGCCGTCATACGAGTTACACCAGCTTCATAAATAGGAGAGAAACTCGAGTAGACAAGCTATAAATCTCTATAGGCCAGGAATCGAGCCACCGCTCTAGTATCAAGTCCCTCTCAGTATCACGAAGAATCATGGGCTCTCGTTTACTTGTCTTATTGGCATTATCAGCATGGCCTCTCAATGGCTTCTGCTTCAGCACACCACGTGGGCCGAGACAGTCACTCCAGGGCTATGCGGCCAGCAATGATTCAGGTACCCCAGCCTATAGAGACTCTTCTCTATGCGTCAACGATAGAGTTGAAGATCTCTTTCAGCGAATGACCCTAGAGGAGAAAGCCGGCCAAATGTTCCATGCGATGCTGTTCATGGGTCCTAACGGCACATTGGATGAAGGGAGCGAAGCTGCACTTCGGAATAGCACCGACTTCATGATTGGGAACCAATTTCTAACGCATTTTAACCTCGTGGGTGATATTACCGATGCGAGGGAGACAGCCGAGTTCCACAATCGCGTCCAGCAACGAGCTCGGGAGACGCGTCTTGGAATTCCTATAACGCTATCCTCTGATCCTCGACATCACTTCACTGAGAATATTGGAACTGGCTTCAACGCAGGTCGCTTCTCTCAATGGCCCGAGACTCTCGGACTCGCTGCACTTCGAGACGCCGACTTGGTTCGGAGATTCGCCGAGATCGCTCGCGAAGAATATCTAGCTGTTGGTCTGCGTGCTGCGCTGCACCCGCAAGTAGACCTGACGACAGAGCCGCGGTGGGCGCGAATTGCTGGTACGTTTGGCGAAGATTCGAACCTAACCGCCGAACTCCTTACGGCTTATATCAAAGGCTTTCAAGGCGAGAAGTTCGGTCTCACCTCTGTAAGTACCGTGACGAAGCATTTCCCTGGCGGAGGTCCGATGGAAAACGGCGAAGATAGTCATTTCGTCTACGGAAAGAACGAGACCTATCCTGGAAATAACTTCGATCATCACCTCATCCCTTTCAGGGCAGCTATTGCTGCAGACGCCCGCCAAATGATGCCGTACTACAGCCGTCCGATCGGCACTCAGTACGAGCCTGTGGGGTTTTCATTTAATAAGGGGATTGTCACAGATCTTCTACGCAACGAGCTCGGATTCGAGGGCGTTGTAGTAACCGACTGGGGTTTGATTACTGATACATACCTCGCTGGTCAATACATGCCTGCTCGAGCATGGGGAGTAGAGGACTTATCAGAGCTAGAGCGAGCAGCGCGCATCCTCGAAGCTGGGTGCGACCAATTCGGCGGCGAGACGCGTCCTGAGCTTATCGTGCAGTTGGTCCATGAGGGCGTGGTAAGCGAAGAACGCTTGGATGTCTCTGTGCGAAAGCTACTGCGCGAAAAGTTCATGCTAGGGCTTTTTGATAACCCATTTGTCGATACAGATGCTGCCGCTCGAATCGTCGGGAATGATTATTTTACGCGCTTAGGCAATGAGGCCCAACGTCGCTCGTATACGCTGCTTACCAACAAGGACGAGACTTTACCACTTCGCAACGCTGGGCCGGAGACTAAATTCTATATCGAGGGTTTCAACGCAACTTTACTGCAAAATCGAGGTTATACGGTAGTGGATAAACTCGAGGATGCTGATTACGCTCTTCTGCGGTTAGCAGCTCCTTACCAACCGCGACCAGGAGGTGTCGAATCTATGTTCCACGCTGGATCTCTTGAGTTCTCCGCCGAAGAACGAGCGCGCCAAGAGGCTATATACTCAACAGTGCCGGCTATTGTCGACATGATGTTAGACCGACCAGCCGCAGTACCTGAGGTCGCAGAACGATCGGTGGCAATGCTAGCCAGTTTTGGAAGCAGTTCCGAGGCATTCCTCGATATCATATTCGGTGTTGCTGAGCCTGAAGGCAAATTGCCGTATGACTTACCGCGTTCGAATGCAGCTGTCGAAGCGGCTATGGAAGATGTGCCGTTCGATACCAAAGATCCAGTGTTTAGATTCGGACATGGGCTAAGCTACGCAGATCGACGTGTGAAGATATGATGAGGCACCGAGTGACTGAGTAGCTGGTAAATTAACGATTCTAATGCTAGAAAAGGGGCCTATTGAGAAGTTTTAGTTAATAGATAATTACCTAAGTAATAATATCCAAAAGAAGAAACATAAGTGTTTCCCTTCTCAATACCACAATCAAGCTTTCAGGGCGTTTGATAGGTGGAAAAGCGAGAGCTTGTAGTATAGAAACCTTCCCGGAGGTAATTTTGTTATCGCATGAAGTATAACAATTAATATCCGCCCAGTTAGCTTTTCCTGTTATGACAACATCAAACCAGGTCAGTTTGGTTTTATTGGATACAAGTAGTATTATAAGGTCTCAACCGTTTCCTGTATAGTTTCGTGTGATAAATCCGACCAAACAGAGTCAATACTGTTCCATATACTGGCGTAAGGTTTCTATAATGTTCGTGTAAGGGGTGCCTTACGTTTTGGTCTTCATCCTAACATGGTAAAGGTAAATTGTTTTGTCGTATGATTTAACTTATGTGCATACTTAGAAGAGATGTAAGTTAGGGTGGCGCGTTCCTATACCTTATAAAGTATCGAAGCACCTCCCTCGAGGGATACGGAGCTATAGTACCCAGTCAGGTACACGTGTTGTTTTATATAAGATATCCTCCACTCCTTCCCATACCATTACGTTAAGCTTTTACAACACGTCGTAAGATACGTACCTCTTAGGAAGGTCTCATGAATGAGTGAGCTGCAACTGCAGGTTATGAGGTAGTTAGTTAAGAGGTAGGTGCGTAACAGTTCCTTGCATGTACCTACCAGACGTCTCCATGCGTTGAACTTTCTTACGTCGCCAGAGGAACTCCGACCTAAGCTTAGCGGAGTTAATATTAACTCAAGATCTAAAAATTATTTTCACTCTTTTTCTATTACGAAACCTCCCATCTCTTGCACACACAGACCACAGGAGCACATTGTCAATGATTCCCAACACTTTACCTAACTTTAACAAATACATTAATCATCTATCCTCCTTGTATTCTTAACGGGAATATGGTGCCATACCTAAGCACGCACCGGGCAAGGATTGGTACGACCGGTACCGAAAATGCGAGGACGGCAGCTCGCACTTCGGCAAGCTGGAACTCATCACCTGGGGCGGCGTTTGCTCGAATAACGACGAAGAAATAGGTTGGGGCAACAGTGTCGCGTCCGAGTCGGCGCGATTGAAACGCATGTACGAGGAAGACTTCAAGTCGGACGACATCCGCCCGAGTAATAAACTATACGACCACCATGGCAACGCAAACCTGCGTAGGTTATTGCTTTGCAATAGCAACATTCAACATGGAGCCTATAAATACCTATCCTCGAGTGATGAGTCTTCAATTCGTGGTCTACCACCCACCCATTCACCCACCCAATTCACCCACCCAATTCACTCACCCAATTCACCCACCCAATTCACCTTTTGTACAACTAAGCTATCGGAAGAATGTGAGTAACATTATCCTACCTACAATATATTGAGTAGTTGGAACTAATAGGGACCATAGTCAAGCAAATTCACTAGAACTCCCATTATATAAAATACACACCTACAAGACTCTACATTACTTTCATCTTAAATTGTCCCGGCAATACCTATCAACAAGGCCGACAACCAAACGCTTTCCAATAATACAAAACATCTAAGCTACCTACTCGAATTACTAATTCATAAGCTATGTCTTGCGACGTAAGGATCTACTCGTATCAATCACATCTCTAGAAGCATTTACTCACAAGTTTGTAGGCTTATGACAATGGGGTGCAATGTTCACTACCAAGATATCATTCCTGCTATTGCAACAAACATCACCTCGAAGAAAGGTCTCTATACCATTTCTACAAGTTTGTTGAGCGCGAGTGGGAGTGGTATCAACACAAGGAGCTAGAACATAACGACATCAACAAGCTTACTTGGGCCCATTATCTCCTCTCCATCGCGATTTGCGCACGGCGGGTACACACCAGCCGGTATTTTAGAGAAGATCGCTGCGAAGGACATGAACAGCGTGTATTGTGGCTCCTGTCCGATCGAAATGAGATAGAGGAGTCGATTCTCCTCGCGGACTACGGAATTATCGGACAACAAGAGGCAACCAAGGGAATTAGACGTGTTCTCTTAGAGGCAGTGGAGAACATCGACGAAGAACTAGGCAGTGAGTAACAACTTACACTTTATAACTAGAGGTTACCCCCCGGGCAACACAAAAGCCTAAGGTTTACACCGCACCATGTTTCTATACTATTTTTCTTATTATTATATATTAGCAACCTATGTACCCCCTATTAAACTGGAAGGTACCCCTACAATAGCCCGAATTTACTGCTATTACACGGCTGGACAATACTCTCAGTACGATCGAGAGCTTTGAGACGATACCCCCCAGACCTAAGTAATAAAGAAGCTTTAAACCTATGCATATACAGACTTATTCCTTTCATATTTACAGCTTTTTATGAGGCAGGAAAATTATCTACAAGGTAGAAAGGCATGTGTCCTAAATAGGAAATTTTTACTCGCATTCAACACAACATCCTAAGGTAAACCTTAGGCACATACGTCTTTATGATAACCATTCTAACATTGATTCAGAAACGGAATTCCAAAGGCTATTAACGGAATTCCCGGCAATCCAGATAGTTCCAGAAGACACACCGGGTGCAAGAACTAAGGCCACTGACGACGCCGAGAAGGAAGCCAGAAAGAAATACTATAGTCTAGGTGACTGGTAATTTCACTTTGGTCGATGCCAGCATGGAATAGCCAAATAATTAACACGATGTTGTGAACATCGACAAGGGATTTCCACTAAAACTTGTGGACGAAACCTCGGAATACGACAAAAAGACTCAATAGATAACTGTTGCAATTTGGGGCCGGACTCTCACCAACTTGCCGGATAGGCTCACTTTGAAGAGCTATGGAGTTGATGGCTTTTCGCAATGAATGGCTGATGGACATCAGCCTTGGACAACGTATCATTTATATTGCAGTATGCTCACCCCTACACCTGACTATCCTATTCTTTTCTGCACCACGTCCGCCCCCAGGATTTAACAGCTAACCATCAGTAGATCGTCCGAAATAGTAGATTATTCGGTGCTCAAGTTAGCCATACGGAATCCCTAGAATATAACGATGATTTAAGGCACGTAGCCTGGCTTGAGCGAGAGGGGCTAATCAGGTAGGGACACTTTTCGTTTCCCCCCCGAACCCCCTCTTTCCCATGATTAAAGGGGCTACTGACGTAACCTTCTACTCTCTAGGCTTACATAGGTATACATGGGTTATTCTTGACCTAGAACTCAGCCTATAGCAATGCGATATTGAACAGGAGCTACAGTCTCTTGGCGAGTATGGCTCACTACTTCAACAACTCAAGATCTTAGAATAGACCTCAAGAAGCTGATAGTGGCACTATACTCTATTAAAGCCTGTAAATGAACTGATAAATATGAACGATAAATGGTTCACGATGAAAAGAGACGATTAGTCGCATGACTGAACTGTTGAATATGTCGATTGAATGATATTCTAGCTAACGATTGAGGGGTGATGGTAACTATCTAAGATGTTGATCAGAGGATTGTCTGATACAGGACCTTTATAGGCTCCGTGCGGCTATAGAGATTACGTAAAGATGCCCTATAATAGACCCTAGCAACACTGCACCTGTTCAATATATCAGACTTAAATTGTGTAATACCCGAAAAGAATGTGTTACGCAGTACAGATAACCCAAATTCGACGTCTATTTTAGCGAGTCGGTTATGTATGTTGGTAACATGTAGTATAGGTAGGTAGTGTACGAATTCATACTGTGGTGTATGAAAATTACCTAGGTAATCCCTGCCACTAAACGCTAATTCTTAGCGGTTGAGATAGTGGACGTGACAGTGGACGTGATAGTGGACATGAATTCCCCGAATTTCTTTCATCCAAGTACAACTCATAATCACAACGAATCTTAAGCAATCCATTTATTATAATGGACGAAAAAGACCACACCGTGTCTGAACAATCAAACGCACCTGGTATCGAAGCGGAGGTTAGTTAGAAAGAGAATCCCGAAGTCTATCATGGCGATATTAGAAAGCTATTCTCTATGCTAACTCATGCGGTCAGCGCGCGCGTCTGCGTCGCAACCAGCGAAACTCGAGGGCGAGGAAGCAGGCCTATATCCAAAATCTCGAAAAGCAATGGAATGAATGTATGCGTTTAGGGGCTCAAGCCACTATCGAGATGCAAAAGGAAGCTCAGAGGGTTCAAGAAGAAAACCGACTCCTCCGAACTTTGCTACATGATCAAGGCTTCGACGATGTGGCAATCCAGCGTGTCATTGATGCTGCGAAGCTCGCAAATGGAAGCACGAATCAGATGCAGGTTAGTTTGTCTACACGATTTCTTCATGCGCGTTATCCTAAACAAGGTAGATACTAACTACTAAAATAAAAATATATAGAACTCGCGAGATAGCTTAAAGACTGGTGGTGCATCATCCAATTGCAATTTCTCGCCTATTCCATGTCTACCGGCGCTGTCTCGGACGGAAAGACCACAGCTCTCGGAGGACCGAGAGGATAGATCCCAGCCGCCCCCGGTCCCACATAATTATGTAGCGGATCTCTTCAATCCAGATGATGTCTTTAATACCGAAATCAATGTAAGTCGTAGTTAAACACTTCAACATGTTGAGGTTTGGTTTTAATCTTGCGCAATAGATAAACGATCAAACGTACCAGAATTATCTCGATTTCACAGAGATATTATCTGACGAATCTATGAACTTCCCTGATCTCTATAACCCCGCGTTTCCATTACAAGATGAGTACCCGACGAATGGTTCAAAGCAGGCGAGCGGGTAGTCAGCCAAACCCCCTGGAAATGTTCCATCGTACATAGCCTCGATCATTCAAGGGCGCTACATAGCCTCCAAACTCGCCAACTTTCTAACTAATCGACAACATACGATTCTTCATCAATTGAATCTAACGGTGCCTTGTGTGGCTTCCACCCCATGCCCGCTTCAGTTAAAAAAGGAGCTCAGTCTATCCTAAATATGCCTTGTGCTCCTGGGCACAGCCTCACCACAATTCGTCGCCTCTTCTCCAGACAATTGGCTTGGTTGAGTTAGCATATAAATACCAGCCGGTGTATCCCTTCACCGATCATAGAGCGAGAAAGCCGAAATACGTCCTCAGCCCACCAGCTCGTCCCCGATGATCAGGTGCGTAATGGAGTATGCGCCTCATTATGCATTTCAAACCACCATTCACATCAGCGCGGGGTTCCTCCTGTTCTACGCCCGTAGATTATACCACTTAAACCTCCGTCACGAAAGCTAATAATTGGCGTAATGCTACGCGCCAGAAGCTCCTAGGTACCTAATTCAATCATTGGTTTCGCCGTGTCTCGATACTATAACATAAAAAAATAATCAAGACGACAGTATGAGTTCTGAAGTTTGGTACTTTATCTACTGTGAGAGGAGGGAATTATGGTTCGGGATGTCGAATTCATTGAAGCATTCAAATTACTCGGTATTGGGTTCATACACTTCCCCGTACTTACACGGCCCTTTAATTGAAACTATCTTGCCATGTCCAAACCCCAAAGTTTTCCTTATAAGAAAAATTAATGACGCATTTGACAACGATCTGGGAGGTCTCATCTATCTTCTCGCATGTGGCTACAAAACCCGAGTTTGGCCTATTTAGTCGAAATGCCCCTCATATGACAACAATCCAAATTTCCCAAGACCACATGCGATCTCCCTAAATGTATCAACTTATACATTAGATATATCATATGCCTATTTCAAGACCTACTTAATATTCGGTCAGTCTACTCCCAAAGATCGTATCTCATATTTGGTCGACTTTGGCAAGTGGCTTTCCCATAATCGGACGAACTGTACCGTTATGCTCGGTCTGAGGAGACTCAACTAGTGACGTTCGCCGCAATGGTCGAAACACCAAGTTATCATAACTCCTATGTTCTTATGTTTTTATGCTCTATGAGGTCCTCCCGTAATGATAAACTCTTCGGTGAGATATTATCACCCTACTCTAAGGTAGCAAGTTGATTTCGAACATAGGTACAATGGAGGTGAGAAGAGATATATAAGATTTGGACGTCGCCGTCCTTGAGACTTGTGAAGGCAGGAACTGCAGACGAGAACCAGAAACGACTTTGACCTGCTTCATTCTCGCTCCACAACCTTAACTATTTAGTCTTTTTGAGCTTACGACACTTCTCTCCTTCAATACATAGAAAAAGAAGCCAGCCAAATCATGGCGTCTAGCACATCGCATATCCCGTTGACCGAGCCTTGTATTTGGATAAAAATAAGTATGCCATATGGAGTAGCCAGCTTAGGCTGCCCATGGTGTTCCTCCATGTGGTTCAAAAGACTTGGGGACTGCCAAAATCATTTGTTCAAAGTACATGATGGTATGTTGCGTCAGGCGGGTATCAATTTGACGATGCAGACGAATACATCCACCGCTATCAATCCTCCGCCCGGAAATCCCACATCTTTTCAACTTGGGAATATGGGCGTTACCCCGGGTCACAACTCTGACAATTCGATTCCCATCTCTGGTTCTAGCAAGACTCCGGCGTTCCCTATTAGCAACAACCCGTTTGCACTTCAAAGCCCTCAGTTCAAAGCCACCTTGCCGCCTCAGTTTTCACCTCAGCCTCGGTTCTCATCCCAGATTCAGCAGTCCATTCCGGCTCCGCGATCCACATCCATTCACACATCTGGTCCACCTCCGCCGTCCTATTGTGCCCCGAGCCAGGGCCCACCTCCAAACGGAGCCTTCCAGCCCAATAACCGTGTCACGTCCACCGTGAACGCAGGTATTCCCCCACCTTTTACGCCTCCGCTCCCTTCCAATAATCAACAGGGGAATGCAACTATACTGGACTCGTTCGACCCCAATCAGTGGCTGTCGGAATTCCAGATGAGACCTCTGGAATAAAGGACACTTTCGGTTAGCCAGCCGTAGGCTTCCGTAGCTGGCTGGCTTAGAGTTCCTCGCTAAACAACGAAGTTGTATCCCTGCTTCTTGACCCACCTCACGACAATGGCTGCTCTGACGCTGGCATTGTTAGCTACGAGTCGAGGGGTATATGGATGTATGTGGTCGATTCGGCCGACATTTGACGAAGCATATTATGGCTAGCATATGTAGGATTTGAGACTCGGTATCAGGAAGGGGGGGGTTTTTTTTTCTAGTTGGGAGAGGGGGAGAGGGGGAGAGGGGTTTCTGATTGGTACACAGATACTGGTAAACCGCGAGTTAGAATACTCCTTCGTTATAAGAACTTGTCAGATATTACTATCTGTCCGACACAAATATAAAGCATAATAGGATAGAATCTATTACCAGATAACCTTTTAGTGGTATAGCGGTTTGTTCAACAGAACTTTTCCTCGCTCTCTTTTAGATGGTCAAATTAAGTATCTTAGTTCCTCTTTAAGTTCATGTTTCCTCCCATACGTAAATCCTTATTATACATTCCTTTACCCAATAGACCTTCTCTATCATCCTCTCCAACTGCCGTTCCCTAAAATTCGACAACCGAAGTAAAGACTGTGAGTCTCACGGTGAGACCACCGGGAATGGAAGTTGAGGATGATAGTGGGGCCGATACCGTGTAGGTATCATGAGAGCCGCGGGGGCGGTAATATGTCCGGATGCGGATCTTAGATCCACTAATTAATTATTGAAAAGGTCATATGAAAGACACGAATTTGAAGATCAGTTAATAAAACATGTATATGTAGCGATACATACTGAAGGTATTATAGAAAAGGGGCCAGCACAACGGGATGATTGTCATGATTGCCCCTATAGACGAGCTAACATTGACGGCAACATGGGATCCTATCGTATTAGACGATATATGAACTTCTTGATCTTCAACCTAAATGACCGCTTTGAGGGTAGCTGTTGTCGCAGTGATGGTCGGAATCCGGGCTCTGGAAGTTGCTCCGGTGGCTGTTCCAAAATGGAGGGTTGCTTCTCCTGAGATTGCCCACTGGGGATTGGTTCTGGGGTGTTTTGAACTTGCTGTTCTATCGGAGTCTTGCGGACGACCTCTTCTTGGGTTTCAGATTGGACTTCGGGTTGTATAACCAACGTTCCCTGAGATTCTGCATCGTATTCGTCGTCTGATATGATACTTCGCTGAACCAACGACCGTCTTGATGATTCTTCCCATCGCCGCTCAAGTATAGGGTCCATATATTTCCGTAAGTCCTCGGTAGGAAATCCAGCTTCGAAAAATCCGCTCAAAAGCTGTTCCCAAGACTCCGCGCTTGCGTTCTTTATCGTACCACCCCGAGATGTTAGGAGGCAAGTCAACTTATAAAGCTCCCAGTGCTGTCGCTGATAGTGTCCATACGCTTGGAACCAGGTTGGTGCTCTGAGCGAATTCCTTGCGCAGAAATGGTCTAGAGGCGTCATTCCCAGGGAATCCAACTGGTCCACAAAAGCACCCTTATCCAAGAGCAGTTTTACCGCCAGGAATGGGCCTACATGTAAAAGCGTACTCCGAACGTTCTTCTTACGATAGATAGTAGGAATGCTGACATAGGGCTCCTGGCCATGGTCGAGCAGGAGCTCGATTAAGTCGACATGACGAGATCGTAAAAGTGGGTTGAGGTCATCATCGACTGCTCTGTACAAACTGTCGCCTCGGAGCGTCTTCATCGCGCAAAGGCCGAAGGCCATTGGATCCTGGTGCGGTGTGAACCCGTTCTCTAACATTAACTTAAAAGTTTGTTTGATTTCTTCGTCGTTGGTGTCAGCCGTTGATCTGACGACGCAGCTCAGCAATAAGTGTTTAGAAGTTCGCAGAAGGTCAGGATGGTCGAAAAGAGATTCGAAAATATATAAGCGGAGCCCAGTCGACGCGGCATACTCGAGTGGTGTCTCTATCTTTAATTCAGACTCGACGTATATTTTCCTAAATATCTTTTCTGACACACTGTTGAGAAATACTTTCATACTGCGGCCGCTAACCTGTTCGGCGGCACGAGCGTAGGTCCCGTTGATGAGGGCTTGCTTAGTCTGCATTCGAGTAGCCGGGGCCGTCGTATGATGGAAGTGTTGGAGGAATGGATCACCCTTAGTCTCGTATATGAGAAAATAACACTTAGCTAGAAAGTTATTGCCATTCTCGATCGTAATTCTGGCTAGGTTCCCTAGGACTAGCTGCTTAAACTTTGGATCAGTTACAAAGTCTTCGACGGTTTGGTGGAGAACCTGGACGTATTCGCCTGAAGCTCCGTTAACAACTTCGATCAATCCGCCACAATATTTTCTCGATTCCTTCATAGTCCGGTCCCTGAGGCCACCAGTGGTACGTACGTCCCCCATCTTTGAGAGAACTCCACGGCCGTCCTGTATGGTCTTGGAGTCCGAGCATTCGACTGCGCATAGAAATATTACAGGCTCCAGTGAATCTTTAGATCGCACGGCAACCTCGAGCATAGCATATGCTTTCCACCTAAACGGCCGCGGAATTCGTTCGATAATCTCAGCGTAGTAAGCATTAAGCTCGTCTGGATAAGACGCCAATAGCCTCTCTAACTCCATCTTGTTCAGCGTATTGAACCTCGTAGCTTGAGCAAGATCTTTAACGACGAATTTTACCCATAGAAAAACACCCCTCGAACGCGTCACGATATCAGGAACCAGGTCTTCGAGTAGAACAGATGATAAGCTTTCTTCCCTAATAGAACCAAGACAGTAATCCCTAATGTCTTCTTGCGTAAAATCATGGATCTGAAACCCGGCAACATCTTGGAAGGCATTGATAAAGATTTGCCAAGGTCGGCTAGAGAAACAGATTTTAATTCTTTTGGTTTGGGTAGGAGGAATTTTACCCAGCTCCAAGAGAAACTGACATATGAACTCCAGTCTTCCGTCATATTCGTCGAGAGCATCTAGGAATAAGCAAAGATGTAACGGCACCTCATTCTGTCTTATTATGGTATGGAACCCTTTTTGGAGAATGGGTAAGGTCCACATCCTTGGGTGCAGAGACTCAGCAGGATCAAATAAAGTCTGAAGAAATTTGGCAAGTGGTGGGTTCTTCGTAATGATTTGGTATAGTACGTTTCTCAGAAGGCCTTCGAAGGACTTTTGCACCGAAGTTCCACGATAGTGAAAAAAGAAAGCCACATTGATATAGCTGCTTTCTCCTTTCCAGTCGGAAAGTAGATCTGAAGTGCGCCGATCCCTACATATAAACTTCATCAAAGTTGATTTCCCGGAGCCTGGCTTCCCGTTTATCCAGAAGAGACCAGTATCGCTCTGAAGCCATTCACCAAAACCCGAGTCCGGTTGGTCATAGATCCAGTCAAATGTGTCCTCGAACTTATCCTCGATTTCTTCAACCCGACGATCTCCTTCGGGCACATGGATTGAGTTCAGAACCGCTGGTTGAAGATAAGCCAATGACTCACTTATAATAACAGAAAGCGGTTTACTCACCTTCGTAACTCGGACCTCTGACCGAGGTTGACTCACGGTTCATCATCCTTTGGACTATGCTCGATTCAAGCATAAGCGTATCTCTTCCACTCGTTTTAGGCAGAGATGAGCCCTTTGAAAAAAGAATCTGGGATAGTTTTTGTACTACTACCGAGTAGTTCGAGTCGTTCTCGGAGAATTTAACCATGTTTGAGTGATCCTCGTTAATCGGGTATATCGAGTCCGATCGCCTGTTTGCTCCATATAACCCGCGTGTCGCAGAGTCCGGAGTAACTAATATCTCTTTGGGTCCCGTCCTTGACCATATACCATTCGAGTCTAGCTACGAAAAGTCAACACGGGAACAGTTAAAAAAGGACTCGAATATCCATCCTTACGGCAACAGTTGGTGACTTCTTTGTCTCATAGCACCAGTAGAGTAAAGCATCTTGAAGGTACGAGATACCGCTAAATTGTTGATCTAGATGCTGGAGATAGTCGGACTGAATCGAGAGGTCTTCGACAAGTTGCATATTGGCTTGACCTTCCACGACAGCCATGAGATGTGACTGCGCCATGCCCAGATTAGGTACGCCAAAAAACACAGCTCCTCTTATCGCCTGTCGAATTGGGTCATCACGCTCAATCTTATTCGCAAGCGATACGAATGCCTGCTTCAAAACAATCCCCCCTAAGCTGTGAGCGAGAAAGACGAGAGGCTTGCAGGTTGGCAATGTCCACCCGTTAGCCTTAAGTTGATTGATCAATCCCAAGGCGAGATCGAATATCGTCTGGAACGAAAGACTCTCAACAAGAGTGGTATCGTAGCCGTACAAGATAGGCCGTACATTGCGTAATGATTGCGGCAATGCATCACGAATCCACATGAACGACTTTGAGCGCCCTTTCGGTTGCCAAGATCCGAACGGGTGGCTTGCAAGTCCTGATATTGCAATACAACTAAGAATATGAGCTTTTAAACTTGAAATGCGTCCTAGGCAAGCAATGGGGAAATCTTACTCGGCATCATGAGAGTCTGGATCATATAAGGGTGTTAAGCCCCGAAAGTGAGCATCCAAGACTAAGCCGTCGCGAATATTATCGGCGACAATACACCACTCATCATCCCGCTTCGTAACATTTGGGTTCCCGCCCTGTTCAAGAATATTCCGTATATTAGCCGCATCATTGAACATCAAGGTAGCTACTTTGCTAGGGAGCCATGGATCAACGGAGCGGGCAAGGGAGAAAATCCGAATGACCGAAGTCTCAACACCTAACGCCGTGCTGAGTAGTCGGACAGTGTCTAACCTATCGAAATCAAGAGGCAATTGCCGTAACCTGAAAACCATGCGGTCCATATCGGCTCAGGAAAAGACATGCTGTCGATCAAGGTAGGTAAAGCGCAAGGCTGGGTTTGAAGCCCCTCTTAAGGGAAGGGCGGAGAGCTAATTCAAGTAATATTACGCCAGCAGACGCACGTGAGAACCCAACGAACCAATTGATCGGAAATGAAATCGACAAGGCAATATTAACCTCGATTGGGAAGTTGGGGGCTGAAAGGAGCTGAAAAGCCCCAGGTCCGCCAAGATCC